AGCTTAAGTGGTTAATTCTATAGGCGGGTTTTAATACGTGTTACTTATTATTTTAGGGTTTCATCTACTCCCTCCCCCTTCTCTTCTAATAAGGTATAGACTTACGCCATTAACTTATTATAGGCTTCCTTTTAGTTCTTGCTTTCCTTATAGAGCTGGTTGATTTATGTCTTTATTTGGACGAACTTGGTATCGTCCGTTGGGGTCACCTTAAGAGACCTAGAGGGGGTTATGGGAGCCATATTATTAGTAGGGTGTAACTAGGTACGTACCTATAGTTGTCTTTAAGACATAATTATTAAAGTGTAATGGGGGTCGCTTGGCCATAGGCTAAGCTAGCCTCAAATGGGGTTCTGGTGGGAAATAAGGGCTTTAGGAAGCAGTATAGTCGCGTTAGGTTAATACATTAATTAACTATGGTAAGGTTGTGTTGCCAAAACGTCATGAGTAATCTTTCTGTTAGGAAACTAGATGCAATAACTATATCATGGATTGATGATGATGGATTACTGTGGGAATCCGTCATCTCTATATACTGCTATTGGACCTGGCTCTGTAGGCTCTGCACCACAGAGCCCGCAGAGCCGTCACGTGACCTCATCACGTGCCCTGATGCTTACGTGTCCATGTTATGGTAAGCATCGTCGCCATAAGCGATGTTGCCCTGGTCGAAACCCCAGTCATCGTCATCGCTGTCATCGTAATTATCCTGCAGGTCATTCTGTTGCGGCGTAGCCGTAACATTACGGCAACCGCGCCGCACCAGAATTACGATAATGACAGCGTCAGTAGCGATGGCCAATAGGACGATGATGACGTAAATTACGCTTACGGTTCCGATGCGGAACACAATATGAACACGTGAGGAAGTCACGTGATTGGATCTGTGGATCTGTGGATCTGTGGAAGACAGAGCCACAGAGCCAACAGAGCCAGGTCAGATAGCAGTATATAGAGGTGATGAATTACCACGGTAATCCATTATCGTCAATCCACGATACATTTACTGCATCCAGTTTCCTTACAGGAAAGATTACTCGTGACGTTTTGGCAACACAACCTCACTGTAGTTGATTGACGCATCAACTCAACGCGACCATACCGCTTCCTGAAGCCCTCATTTCCCACCAGAACCCCATTCGAGGATAGCTTAGCCCAAAGCCAAGCGACCCCCGTTACAAAATAAGCCATTTAAACTATTATATAGAAATAATCTACAGCTAAATATATAGCTGAATTTAAGAAATATGCTCGGGATGGCTCGCTAAGTGCCCAAGTTAGTATCCTGCGCCGTCTAAGTTTTCATATACACCATGCCGCAACTGCTCCTTCTATGGTCTCACAGGTGTTAGACTGTAAACTACAGAACTCACAAATCCTTCCCAACAGTATTGCCTCTGTTGCTCAATTCCAAATTCCTCCCATGTGCTCGTCTTAGCCTGTGCCTCCAACTTGATTTCCTAATTGTGTTCTACCTCCTCCCTTGGTCATTTCATGCCCTCTGAGTCATGACGATAAGGCGGATCTCAACCAGCAGCCATCTGCGTCTTTCCACCCATCAGCTCAAGCACATCCATAAGGCCCGAACCAGTCAGGATACCGGCTAATAACTCACGACAATACTCCCGTGCCCTTTCGAGTATCTCAAGGGCCGCTTGCATGCATTGACTTGCTTATCCCAGCAGAATTGATATAGTATAGCTGCGCACCATACAGTATTTATGTTCCCATCCAGGAGCTTCGCTGCGTCTTTCTCCTCGTCAAGATCCAGGATGTCCCCAATAAGAGCATGGGCCTTCAAGCTAAAATAATATCGAGTCCATAGGGTTGCGACGCTAGGACCCGGTGAAATAAAGCGCTCGTAGGCCATGCACAATGTAACAGCCAACATCCACAACTTTTGTGTTTGGATTATTCTTTAATCACTGTACAACATTTGCGAAGGCTGAAGGGTATCGGATCTAGAGCATTAGGAAACCGAATACACCGGAGCAAGAGTAGGCCCGGATAACCTACAGCTTTTGCCCTACTGCTTTAATGTGCGTGATAAGTTGGTTGGGCAGAATCTTCGAGTAATTTTCGAGCCTTTCACGAACCTATGAATGACTTAGTCTCTGCATGCACCGCACTAAATATACTGGAGGCGATACTTTTAGGATTAAATATGTAAATTAGAATGTAGAAGTCCTCCCACTTCTCCGATCCGCCACGGGAGACTGTTCGTCTTCAACTTCGCGTACACGGGATCGGAATCGCCAGCAAAAAGCACCTGTTGGTCTCCTAAGGCACGCATATTGTAGGTACGAGCCACTGCGGGAGATTACCAGGCTGGAAACGTATAAATACAGCCCAACGTTCCACGGGGTTACGGACCAATATATTTGACTTCCCTAGCGTTGGGCACGATGTCACCAGATAGCTTGGAATACTAAGGGATATTACATCACCAATAGCTAGAAGCTGAAAAGGGTAGTAAGCACTAAGACCTACTCGTAAGGCAAGACGTACGCATGTAGATCCGGGAACTAAAGCATCCTACCTCATTCCATGTAATGAGTCTTCCATAGTCGTATCCATGCTAATCCTCCCCACCGGAGTTATCAAGCGAGTCCAGAGATACAGTTGGTCTTCACCAAGTGTGGTAATCGCGGAGGTCAATAATGCAATCTCCTATAAATCCAAGCTAATGTCAGGGATGATATGTGCACTATATGGCGCAACAAGGCATGCGATAACTCGTATTGACTTAATAATAGGGGCTGATAGCGCAAAAAAGGGGGCCCTGGCATAGGATACCATGACTATTTTGTAGTGAGTAAGAACCGCGTTGCTAGTACAAACGAGTTCCTCAAACTAGTGCTGTGTTACCCCAGGCTTTCACGGTCTGCTTATTTAGTATATATTCAAGCTGCAGCAGTCGCCGCGGCCACGGACGTTTAGATCATCTCTGGAATTGAAATGACATCGATGCCTGGGCCACTGACATATCCCAGTTGTTTGAGCACCTAGACGTTACCGATGCGACAGTTGTCGGACACAGCACTAGTGGGGGAGACTTGACGTGCTTTGCTGCAAAGTTGAAGGCGCACAGCGGCTATGGTCCCTATGGAAGCAAGAAGTTGAGTTGGGTGTTGGGTGAAGAAGCTAGTGTTGATCAGCACGATGATACCGCAGTTGTTACAGGCCAATTAGAATCCCAGCGGCGTCCCTCTCGAAAGCTTGAACCAAGAACTTGCACTAATGCTGAAGGAATACTCCTAGTTTTCCTACGACGTACCCGAGGGTCCGTTGTTCGGGTTCAACCGGCCTAATGCTATCGTCAGCAAAGGTTTCATCCCGACCTGTTATAACCAGAGCCGGGATAACCAGAGCATGCAAGCATCTTTTAAGAGCACGTTTGACACCATCGCATCGTGGGAGACGGATTTTCGACCGGATCTTCAGAGCTTGGATATGCCTATTCTAGTGATACATGGCGTTGCCGATCAAATCATTCCCATTGGTGTAGGCAACCAAGACCAATTTCTTCGAGGATGGGAGGACCTCATGCATTGCCTCACATCGAGGTCGACGGTATCAACAACGATCTCCTGCCCGTTTTAAAGGAGACCTAGGCACTGCGTGTAAAACTTGTGTGTCCGCAGGTTTCTCGTAGCCTTTGATTAGCAGTGAGGTGATTCAAAACGTTCCTCGCTTTTTCCTCTTGAGTAGGTGCTCAAATCCTTCTTAGGTTTTACCTCTGTTCTACCGCTTGCCTACCCTACTTTGATTCCATATGGACCCTAGACTTTTATGAGGTCACCTCGTACATTGGGATAGTTGTAGCACACGCGCACGCGAGTATAGTATGTGGCTAGAGAAAGTGGTATACAATTCATAGTACAGTATGCGTACATTGCTACGATGACGATGCGGAGGGCAGGCGGGCAGCCGCGTCTTCAAGTGGCTTGAGAGGCAGCTTCCTCCTAGGTCTCCTCAGGTCCTCAGCCGTGACGCCGTTGACACCCACCTTTGTAATGCCCATCTTGGGTGCATCGCCTTTCTTAACAAACTCCCACAGGCCTATGGGGGTTAGCGATGGGACCGAAATAGAGCAAGAGGCGGCTCACCTGGTAGCTTATTCCCAGCCAAACGGAAGGCATCCCTCACGACCTGTTCGTGCAAATCTCCCTTGATCTCGAAGACGACCTTGCTCACGGCCAATCGAGTGGCCCAGTGATCAAAGCTGCCCTTTCCCTTGCCCATTCTGCTTTCGTTGCCGCTCGTGTAGACACCAATGTTGGCGGAGACGCGCTCGTAGAGGCGGAACTTCATCCCTCGCAGGCGCTTTTTGATGGTCTCTTCGGCAATGCGGAGCTGCGTCGAGGAAATGCGGCGGTCGTGGTCGCGCATGCGCAAGCCGTAGTCGCCCCACACGACAGTGGTGCCGCGCATGCTGCCGCCTGTGGGAACATGACATCGGCCTTTCCGCGACTTGCGAGATTCACCGGCTTTGGGAGCGAGCCAGTTGAGGTGGTGCGGCGTGGAGGAAAAGGCACGGGCGGAGGGGATGCGCAGGGTGGTGGATGCGACGGTCGGGAGCACTGCGCAGATTAGCACGCTGGAGCCGTGGAGAAGGCGCGATGGCAGCGCGTACCTCGTGGGCGAGATGCCGACAGGGCCATCTGGCCAAATTGGGCGGCCAGGCTCATGGTGGCTATCCTGGGCGGCGGCATGGTGGACGGCAGCAGTGAAGACACAGGCTGGTGCGGCCAAGCAGCGAGGTTCGACTGCGCACTTCTGGGTTGTGGCTAGTGCGTGGCGCCTACCGCGCCCAAGCGGGAAAGGGAAAGGGCCGCCGCGTGATGGCGCGCGACTGCCCTGCCCGTCATAGACGCGTTTTGGCTCAACCACCACGACTGGACTCTGCAACCACTCCAAGCACACAACGCCCGCGCCGCCCGCCCGCTGTCTCCCCGGCCGTGCGTGTTGCGATTGCCAGACTGGCGACACAGCAGGAAGGATGCCGGCAGATATTCGCAGTTTCTTTGGCGGCGGAGCAAAGGCGAGCCAGGGCAGCCAGGGCTCGCAGAAGAAAGACGAGGTGCGTCGACGAGCGCTGCAATCGACTGCAGCTGCCAAGCTGCAGCCCGGCGCACTGACAGATGACCGCAGAAGCCTGCACCCAAGAAAGCAGCGCCCAAGAAGCCTGGCCGTGCGAGCCGTGTGGTCGTCGACGATTCCGACGACGATGATGTCGACGAGCCAGCGTATGATTTACCGCAAATCTTTGACAACGGCGTAACTGACCAAGTGCAGACCCATGACGACAACCCCGAAGAAGCCCCCGCCCAAGAACGCCAACAAGGAGCCGTCCCCCGAGCTCCAAGAGACCACCACGTCCGAGTTCTTTGCCAGCAAGAACAAGCCCAAGCGCTCGGAGCCTGTCAAGAAGAAGCCCGCCGAGTCTACGCCAAAGCCGACACCCGTGAAGGCCAACGGAAAGGCATCTAAGAATTCGACACCGCCGACAAACAAGCGAGGCCCAGCAAGGCCGAAGAAGCACCTCACCACACATGCCACAAAGGACGATGAAGATGAGTTTCCGGACGACGATCTCGACGAAGCGGACGACATATTCGGAGACGACTTCAAGCCCCGAGGCAAGAGGGATGACTACGTGGAAGTGGCAGCTAGCGATGACGACGATCTGCCCGTACCCCTCCCACATAGGGGAACGCCCAAGAGGCCTGCGAAGAAGCAGAGGACGGCCAAGGCTGATGACGACTTTGATCCGGAGCATGAGGACGTTGACATGAAAGACGTGGATGCAGAAGACGACTTTGTTGAACTAGATGAGGATGAGCGAGCGGCCAAAAGCAAGCCCAAGAAAACTTCGACCGCCAACAAGAAAAGGAAGACTCCCGAGCCTGAGGACGAGGACGATGGTGAAGAGGACGAGGACGAGGAGCCCAAGTCGAAGCGCGGCCGTCCGAAGAAGGATGCACCGGCCAAGGCACCTGCAAAAAAGAAGGTCAAGAAGGAAGAGGCGGTGGAGAACAAGGATATACAAGCCATCTACGACAGCATACCCCTGGTGCGCCCGCCGACCCCTCCCCCGAAGGATGAAGCTGCCAAATTCGACTGGAGACAAAAGGCTGGTGGTGGGAATGCAGATGCCGCCCCGGTGGGCGGTGATTCAGGGTCAATGCCGTCGGGGAGCGAGACTTGCCTAGCTGGCCTGACCTTCGTGTTCACGGGCGTTCTGCAGCGGTGGGGTCGAACAGAGGCCCAAGAACTTGTCAAGCGGCACGGCGGGAAGGTTACCGGGCAGCCCAGCAAGAACACAACTTACATCGTTCTCGGACAGGATGCAGGTCCAAGCAAGCTGAGGAAGATAAAAGAGCTGAATATTAAGACCATTGACGAGGATGGACTCACAGCCCTGATCGAAAAGCTTACGGCAGCTGGCAATCAGGGTGATTCGAAAGCTCAGGCAGCGTATAAGGAGAAGCAACGCAAAGAAGAAGAGAAGATCAAAGCACAAGCTGCAGAGATGGAGAAAGAGGAGCAGACCAGGTTGAAAGCTTTGAAGACAGCTGAAACTGCCCAGAACGGCAAAGTTTCGTCCGCCCCTACCTCAGCCTCCGCAAACAGCTCAGAGCCAGCCGTTGACTCGCGACTCTGGACGACCAAATATGCACCGTCTTCGCTGAACCAAATTTGCGGCAATAAAGCTACAGTGGAGAGGCTGCAGAGATGGCTGCAGAGGTTTCCAAAGAGCTTGAAAACTAACTTTAAGCTGGCTGGTCCCGATGGTAGCGGATCTTTCCGTGCAGTCATACTCCACGGTCCCCCAGGTATCGGAAAAACTACCGCCGCGCATCTGGTTGCCAAAATAGAAGGGTATGATATCGTGGAAAGTAACGCCAGCGATACGCGCAGCAAGAAACTTGTGGAAGAGGGCCTGCGGGGCGTTTTGAGCACGAACTCTCTCAATGGCTATTTCGCGGGCGACGGCAAGAAGGTAGAAGCTGGGAAAAAGAAGATGGTCCTTATCATGGACGAAGTCGATGGTATGTCTGCCGGTGATCGCGGCGGCGTGGGTGCTTTGGCCGCTGTATGCAAGAAGACGGAGGTTCCCATCATCTTAATCTGCAACGACCGACGACTGCCCAAGATGAAGCCGTTCGACTACGTGACCTTCGATCTACCGTTTCGACGACCGACGGTGGATCAAATTCGGTCTCGCATCATGACCATTGCTTTCCGAGAAGGATTGAAAATGCCTGCGCCAGTTATCAACGCGCTGATCGAGGGCAGCAATGCTGATATCCGTCAAGTGGTGAACATGATTTCCACAGCCAAACTTGATCAGGAAGCTATGGATTTCGACAAGGGCAAGTCAATGTCCAAAGCCTGGGCAAAACACGTTGTCTTGAAGCCGTGGGATATTACACAGAAAATTCTCGGCGGTGGCATGTTTGCTGCCAGTAGCAATGCTACCCTAAACGATAAGATTGAGCTCTACTTCAACGACCACGAGTTTAGCCCGCTGATGCTTCAGGAGAACTATCTTGGCACCAACCCCATACAAGCATCGCAATACAGTGGCCCAGAAAAGAAATTGAAGTTGCTAGAACTGGCTTCTGATGCCGCTGATAGCATCAGCGATGGAGACCTCGTTGATCGCATGATTCACGGCTCGCAGCAGCACTGGAGTCTAATGCCGACACATGCGGTGTTCAGTTTCGTGCGGCCGGCCAGTTTTGTCGCAGGAAGCACAGCCGGTCATCAGACTCGCTTCACAAGCTGGCTCGGCAAGAACAGTTCTCAGGGGAAGCTCACGCGTCAGGTCAAAGAAATACAGGCCCACATGCGTTTACGTTCGTCTGGTGATCGACATGAGGTCCGACAACAGTATGTTCCCATCCTCTGGCAACAACTTGTCAAGCGTCTAGAGGATGGAGGGAAAGAGGCTATTCCTGAGATCATCGAACTCATGGACAGCTACTTCCTGACAAAGGATGATTGGGACGCGATTGTGGAGCTGGGCGTTGGGCCCATGGTACAAGAGAAGGTCAAGATCGCTTCGCAGGACAAAGCGACCTTTACTAGACTGTAAGCACACTTCTAAGAGCAGCTGTCAACGGTGACTGACACGATGCACAGGTATAATCAGCAGTCCCATCCACTCCCATTCATGAAAGCCTCGAACGTCGTCGCACCCAAGAAAGCGACCAAGGACAAACCCGATCTTGAAGAAGCGATCGAAGAATCTGACGAGGAGGAAGTAGTGAGTGAGATCAAGGAGGAAGACGAGGACGTCGACATCTCCAAAGACAAGTACGTCAAGCAACCTAAGAAAAAGGCTGCAAAGAAGGCCACGGGAGCCAAGCCTCGGGGCAAGAAACGCGCTGCTGAGGATGATGACGATGGGGAAAGCGAAGAAGATGTCAAACCGAAGGGCAAAGGAAAAGCCAAGGCTGCTGCGAGCAAAGCAAAGAAGAAATGAGCTCTATTGCGGTGATGTTGAGGTGCGCCATGATCGGGGGCATTTTTTGATCGGTAGAGAGCGGCGGGTTACAAGGTGGCTCACTTCTGTGACTATGTTGCCCAGATCGATTCGATACGCAGGAATAATGTAGGCATTGTCGGTGCCTTTTCGGGCATTTAAGGGGCTGCTGTCGTAGTTGAGTATCGTGTATGTATTCATTAGCCGCAGAATATGCCTGCAGAGCATTTTGAAGGCTTCCTCGGAATGTAACTTCAGTCGGTTGAGTATAGAGACCTTTGGGCGGAGGACCACTACTATAAGCTGGAGTGAATTGCATTGATTGCACAAGTGCGACTCGTTTGAACGGCAATATTGACTTGACTATGTACGGGTTAACCGCTCGATTACCCCAGGCTACGGTTCCATGAAATGGTCATCTTGCGGTGGGCAAGTACGAGAATGCAAATTTCCCGACGGAAAAGCATCTCATTGGCCCGATAGCACGCCTTTCTGCGAACGGAAAAGCCTTCTGAACCTCGCATCCCACCTTTGGACTGCATTATCGCAATTTACGTACATTCATCGAGCATATCGATCACATTCTTGATTAAAGCCTTTGTCCACTGTCCTGCATATCAATCTTTGGCGCAAGTTCCAGAGTACAGTTCCATGCTAAAAGCTAGTGCAAGAATTCAGGTAGGATGAGCGGGCACTCACACGACCCTATCGCGTCGGCAAAAGCGCAAGAAGCTGCACACAAGTTTGAGTTCCGAGTTGCCACGACTGCGGATATCACCGCACTACAAAAGATGATTGGGGAGTCGCTAAGGGCGCTCGGGAAAGGGTTCTATACACAGGCGGAGCTGGATGGGTCGATTGGATATCTATTTGGCCCTGACACGTTGTTGTTGCATGTAAGTGTCTCTTGTGTGACCTTTATCAACGCCCTTTGAACTGGCCCGCGTAGGTTTGAACCGCAAATCGAACGCGAGATGACAGGTAGACAGAAGGTTCTCGACGAAGGTGCTGATGCTTCTCGCCATAGGATCGTACCTACTTCATTCTCCATCCTTTAGACTCCCCCAATGTTGTCAGCGCATGTGGAGGTTGGTCTTTTCGCCGCACGTTGTACGGCGCCGACACTGCGCCTGGTCGGCTTCCTGAAGCACGCGATCCCAAGGTTGAGCGCGCGAGCATCAGGGCCATTTTCACGCACCCCGAGTGGGCAAGGCGAGGTCTGGGTACTATGATGATGCGGCACTGTGAGGAGCAGGCGAGAGAGGGTGGTTTCTCGGGGCTGGAGATGGGCGCGACGCTTAGCGGGGTCGCGCTGTATGAGCGTTGTGGGTATAAGAGGAGTGGGAAGATAGATGTTGTCAGGTATGTCCATAATAAAATTGACGAAGATAATCATATACTAACGATACCAAGGTGTCCGAATGGGGAGGGAATTCAGATAGTTCACATGCTTAAAGACCTGCCGGGATTTGGCATCGAAGCCAAAACTCTTGATGACGACAAGCCGAGGAGGAACGGGCTCGCGAGCAGCGATGCTTAGCATGAGACTAGCGATTTTGGCCCGCGTGAGGAACTATGGTGCTCCTCTGGTCAAGGTTGGCCAGTGGGCGACGTGCAAGCTCTCTGGCATCATCACACCTTGCGCCTGCAAATCGCATTGGTGTTGAGTAACCATCGGAGTCTAGACTATTACACTGTGACGGCATTCTGTCGATGGAATGAGCTATAAAAAAGGCCGACATTCTCAGCTTGCACCAAACATCAATGTGTCTATGTATCTTTCCGGTTGAGTTTAGGGGCGATTTAGAGCTCAATCAATCATAGCAAACAAATTCAACTCTTAATCGATGGTCGTACGCGTCAGCGATTTGTGTAAATGCACACAAATACCTCGAAACAATTATGCGACATCATTCAGTTGCTCGCGGATCCTATGCTCCATGTAAAGTAATGGTTTCGCACAACGAAGTCAAGCTTGAGTGGGGCTCTGAGAAGAAAATATTTCCTTCGAATATAGTCTCTATTGTCTGGTTCCAGATCCAGTGAATCGCTCTAAGGAGCTCGTGAGGGAAGATGTTCATGCGTTGTGTAAACTGTATCAAAATATAATAAAGCCTCCAGCGGATTAGTGTGTTACAATAGGAAGACTTGCCTCCTTACCGTTCATGTCCACAGCACGCATCACGATGCTCCCCGCAGATGATAAGAACACTATTCAACGATAAAGACATATCGTGCTCGCTATTCTGACTGTATACCGTTCGCAGCTGCTCTAGGCCCATCTAAAAGAGTGCTGCTGTATGCGGTACTGCCGAGATGAAAGCAAGCAAAAAAAGTGCACGGCATTTGTGGAAAACAAAAGAACTCTGCAGAGTCTGCTAGTTTCCAGGCGGCTCAGTCCGACCGTTCTATCCAGAAGCGACACACGCTCATGCCCCTTGGAGCATTTTGTTCAGCCGCTCTCCCTCGACTCTCCGGCGGGCAAGAACATGACGCAACATCAGGTGGATTGCCAAAAACTAACTCTCCCTCGGGGAATCGAACCCCGGTCTCCCGCGCTCGTAATCTGACGATGACAAGCGGAAATCATGACCACTAGACCAAGGAAGACTTGTTTGATAAGATTTCGTAATCTTTGATAATATATCACCGCATTTTATGATTGCCATTCGAAACACCATGGCTTCGCTACGATCGAGCTACAACCGAAAGACACGTCGCCGGTTTGCGGAACCGAGATGCAAGGCCCGCAACTAACAGAGCTTACGTTTTTGTGGCACGTGGTAACAGGGCAATGCTCGAGGCCAGCATATCAACCACGTGCGTCATAACGCCCGCAAGTACACGAACTGATACCACTTCGTCACGCGCGAACCGCATTCAGATCTATGGCACTCGAACGCTGTCACTCCAGGCACCAAAAGTCACGAATCATCAAAGTCATAATGTATCGCCACATTCGAGCCGCTAATTCAGGTAAAATCCATAGCGGTAGATACCGGACGAAAGGTTTCTTCTCCACGCATATCCGGAGACAGTGAAGCCTCGGTGCCTTGCGCACAGTTCCACAAGTCAAGAACTGTCCTCAGCGAGCGCGTTGTTGAAGGAAGCTCGGTTCACGCGCAGGAGATTTTCAAGTTCCGCACGCTGAGTCATTCTGCGCTAATGAGCACTTGGCGGCCACCCGACCTCAAAACTTCTGCTGCGCGCTCACCCTGTCCTTTCTTCACCATAACACTATGGACACACTCGATAGCACCCACTGGGACGTGGTAATTGCAGGCACTGGCCTGCAGCAGTCTTTACTTGCCCTGTAAGCGTGGCGCACTAAACACAAGCCGTTCCGCAATCTGACTGACGCAGCACTAAAGAGCATTGTCCCGCTCGGGCAAGAAGATCCTCCATGTTGACGAGAACCCCTACTATAGCGGCTCTGCTGCCGCCTTCAGCATTTCTGAGGCCGAAGAATGGGTAGCCAAAGTCAACGCAGGCGTTTACCACGCGGCCTTCGCCGAGGCATCCATACACGTGCCAGAGCCTTCAGAGTCAGACACACCTGTGCTATCGAGAAGACCGGGGAGGCAATACAATCTGGCGCTTGCTCCCGAGATCATCTACTCCAGCTCGGCGTTCAGGCGTCACCTGGTGACTTCTCAGGTCCACCACCAGGTTGGGTTTCTTCCTGTCGGTAGTTGGTGGGTGTACTCTTCACATGCTACGAGTGGAACGGCGACTGGCAGCCTGGAGAAGGTGCCCAACACACGTGAGGACCTGTTCGGAAACAGTACCCTCGACTTTCCGGCCAAGCGCAAGCTCGTCAAGATCCTTCGCTTCATTATGGACTACGAAAACGAAGACGAGAAGGTCAAGTGGGAACAGCACCGGACGTTACCATTCTCCGACTTCTTATCAACTGTTTTCAACGCCCCGAGCATCCTGTCGGCGCCACTACTAGCTCTCACCATGTCATCACAGAGCTCTGATCGTGTTACTACAGAGCATGCGTTGCCTAGGATAGCGCGGCACCTGCGATCCATCGGCACGTTGGGCAAGTTCAGTGCGCTTGTCCCTAAGTACGGTGGACTGGACGAGTTCTGTCAAGTCGCCTGCCGTGCCTGCGCCGTTGGAGGAGGTGTGTATGTCCTTGGAAAAGGCCTATCCACCTCCGACAACTCCGTGTCGACGGTGCAGATTCCCGTCGAGAACATGTCCGAATTGGGGACAGACGCAACAAACGATGCGAAGTCTGTCGTCGAAACTTCGGCCGTGCGCTATCCCCCGGCTGCAGTAGCAGAACACGTGCCTGGTGTGAGGCTTCATCTGAAAGATGGCGAAGCCGTGACCGCGCGTTGGGTAGTGGGCGAAAGCCCACCGGCCAACAATGAAAGTCCGCTCTGCAAGTCAGTTACCATCGTATCTTCATCGCTATCGACACTGTTCCTCCCTGTCATAGTGGAAGACAGACCTTTCCAGCCCGGCTCTGCCATTCTGGTCTTTCCATCAGGCTCGCTGTCCTTGTCAGAGGAGCTGGATGGCGATGAAAGTCTCCCCCCAGTACACATACATGCGCATTCCAGCGAGTTAGGGGAATGCCCCGCCGGCCAGAGTAAGTCATCACCAATCTATCCCTCCTCCACTTATGCCCTTATGATGATTGATTTTTTGAATACTTATCTACATTGTCTGAATTACTTTGACGATATATATCCTCTGACAAACTGATCTTGGCAATATTTTCGGATCCGATGAACGTTACGAAGTCATGCAACCGAAGCTAACATTTCACAGGCGTACTGTACGCTTCGACAAGCCTGGGTGGTGAGCGTGGCTTCGAGCTTCTCAGACAAGCAACCAATCGTCTGCTGACAAGCTTGGACGCTTCGCCATCGCCGAATACTCTCTGGTCCATGCAGTACGAACAGCGTGCGGTGCCTTCTGTGGCGCCATTGCCCATCCCGGATGGTGCGAGCGCTCACTTCCTCGGCATGCCTCCGGTACCGCTGGATCTGGTTGTCGACGATGTCGTGTTCGACCGTGTGCGAACACTTTGGCGGACAATCACGAATGATGATCTCGAACAATTCTTGCAGTTCAAGAACCGAGAAGCCGAAGACGACGATGACTTGTGAGCGAGCAGCTGCCTGCTGCCCGATACGAAGATATGATGAAACGATTTGTGGCTTTTGCGAATGATACCCAGAATAGTTATATTCCAATATGTATGCTCGTTCCATGTGTGTTCGGTGGATTGACATGTTTTGCCAAATTCCTTGTTTGTAACTTCTGACTATGCCACTATGTCTACTTCACCTGACCGGGTGGTGCAAAGACACAGACACTGCGAGAAAGTGCGATGCTGGCTACCGCTTAGCCTGAAGCACCGCTCTTGCTTCTAGACCCTCATCGACTTTTCACTTAGACTACTAGATGACACCAATCACCGTGACAGCAGCCACCTTGCATGCAGACCCTTTTTTGATCTAATGCTTAGGGGAGCTTCCGCCGGGCCGTTTCGCTTCATCTTATAGGTGCTGTCTATAATCACGACGCGGTTGACTAAAGTTTGGCAGCGTTCATAATGGTGACATAGCACCGATGATGGGAGCGCTCGACATCATCACCGACGCAGAACATCTACCAGTAATCCACATCGCACACTCACGTAAATGGAAGAAAAGTCAAATCTCCCCAATGGGAGAACGAACCATTATTATCTTTTGTCCTGCAGAGCGTCGCAGCTTGGAGAGAGATCAAGCCTTCCTACCTGCAGTAACGGGGACTTGAATGGCAGTATGTTACGTGGTGATCTACGGTCGGGTAGACATTCAATGGCTATCAATTCTGCAACTGCTCATTAGTCACTAGTTAGTTTTGCTAGCTTCAATTCGTTTTGTAACAGTAGATCAACTTTTCAAGCCAAATGCATTGTGCCTGGTGCTGCAGCATGTGAGTGCTTGATCTTTCGATTGCTTCGAGAACAAGCCAGCATGGCCATCCTGCGTTCGAGCCCTCGTTTCCTGTCGATAGGGTAGGTCACCTGGGTCCATACTTGCTGGGTTGTTTCTGAGCCTTCTGGAGTCATACAACCCACCATCAGTTACCTAGCTTTGTCGTTTCATGATAAGCTAACTGCTGTTAGTGGTGGATGAGAGCATGTCATTATGAAAGAGAGCAACTCTAGATCTACCCACGCCCTTATTATCACCCTCGTTCGCCGCTGGGCGAGAGGCCCATGTTTATTCTGTTCGCTGCAATGTCTCTCACTTTCGCGGTCCTGCAACTGGGAACTACTGGCGCCTATAAAGCCGCCATTACTTGGACGCCTTCTACTTCTGCCTCACACTCCAAAATCGCAGTCTTTACATACACTCTTGATATCAATTGCTTCCATCCAGCAATGCAGCTTCTTGCAATCGCCTCCACGGCGTTCGTAGCTTTCGTAGCTGCCGAATCTGCGACTGGAACTAAGCGTTTCACGTGTATATTACGTTGATCTAACCCCCGCTGCAGAAAGCCGACGGCAAGTCCCGGCTTGCGCGCGATGATGGCCTACACCATAATGGCTTCACCAATTTCCATCCTACCCTTACTGAAGCTTCAAATCTGTCAAAACCTGCGATATGAGGTGCCGGAAGTACCGCTGCTTCTGGCCGTGGGGCGAGTGCTAATGTCGAGCTGAAGCGTTGGCCGAGTTCGAGCAATTCGACACTGCAACACCGTCGACGATACCAGCACTTACAACCCAACCTCGACTCCCACTTTCCGCCTGCAGCCACCTTCGGGTTGTGATCCTAGATGCGTCAAGTACCACTGCGGAGGTGCTCGATGAGCTCAAACGTGCCGAGCAGGAGGGTACTGCCCTGTCCATCGAAGCAGCGGCCCTCAACATCAATCCTGCGAGTATGAAATTGGGCTCCGGTGCCAACGCCAACTATAATTTTCGAGCGCCTTATGGTCTAGCTGGCTCAGAGTGCTACTAGCTAGACCCTCGCGGTAGCCCGCGTGTCTACGCTTGCCCGAAGGGCCAGTTTTCCACCCTTTCCCGGCAGAACGAAGCTGCTGTAAGAACTGATTAGGTTCAGTTATGCAATTTAAACCATACTGCTGCAATAAGAGACAAAGACTATCCCCGTCAGAATGCTGAGCACCGCAATATCCTTGTTACGCGCTGATACGGGGGATTGAGACCTACGCTTCTTCCCAAGCACGACATTTGATCTAGGCCGTTAGGTGAACAGAATTATCAATCCTCAACTTAGAGTTCAAGGTCGATAATGTTGCCCAACCAAGGGTAAATCAGAATTCAAGCTCTTGGTACAGTCGTGTATGTATGGAGACTTTTCCCTGGGCTTTCCCGCGAGGTGTTCATATGAACTAAGCGGAGAGACATGCGGAGGTCATATATAGTTCACTATCATCATGTCAGATCTTATCATAGATGATCTACTTTAGAGTGCCCAAGCATTACCCCAGTCGTTGCAGGGATTTGTCACTATGGATACTACGCTCTGTATTGATTCGTGGATCTGACTCCCTGTCTTACACCCAAAGTTACTGAGCCTACGATCAGTCACTGATCATTATCTGGAAATCGTTGCGCAATAATCTGCAAGTCTGTTTTGTTGCTCAGATCAACGTTGTCCATGCTGCGCAGCTTGCATCGCATGCCGTCGAGTGGCTTGCCCGTCAGACAAGGAAGATAGCTCGTAGGCGAGCCAGGACCGTCGCAGCTGATGGTTATGTTGCCGAAAATCTCCCCACAATGTTTTGATCAGCGTAGAGTGAGAAGGCATAATCCAACCACGTTCACATTCGCGATGCGAGTACTGATCGTCGGTCACAACTGATGTCGTAAGGAACTCAAATAACAATGGCGCACTTACCGCAGACTGAATTTTTATTTGAGATCAAATCTCCACATCTTCAAATTGAACGGCATTTGGGCCACCGTGTCGCCTGTATCTCCCCCATTCGTCACATTCCCTGTGACACTCATTGGCAACCTCGACTACTATGACGGCTCTACTTTTACCCATTATACTTACATGCTCCAACCTCAAAGTAAATACCATCCGTGCTGGTTGTCCTTGTCTCGTTTCCCTGTCCCATGTCCACACAGTCCCTAAAATCTCTGGTAAAATTGTGTGGTCCCAGCTAAGATCACATACCGCTTGTCAGGATCCATTTGGTGCCTTTGCATCAGGGATGGAGACATCGAAAGAGCGTAGTATAGAAAACGGCGTCAGCGGGCCAGGGCATGTCTACACGCCAAAGTATAAAGTTAATTAAGCCAGAAAAATGAGCTCATACAGGAAGTGTCACTGTCCGAGACACAGCAACTTGGTACTGGGGCGTCTCGTACAGGGCGGACCGAAGCCTGGATATGGAAGAGGCGGAATGAGAAGATCGCGGAGATTGGAAGGATGGCGGATGTGGAACAGCATTGATCATGGGTTTTGAAGGTCTGATCCTACCTTTGTGGTGTCATGGATTGTGACAGGCGAGTTTCAGTGGTAGCACTCAAGGTATCATTCCATTGTATCAATCCACAAATATGTATTCCCATTATCGTTGGTACCCAACACCGGTCAACATCTCGTAACCTAGATCAATTTACCAAGGGATGAGAATCGTATCTTATTCTGCTAATCTGACGTGAAAGATGGCCCGGTGGTGGGACCCGTCATCGCCGCCCGTATCGTACGCCCTTGAAGTCAACGAGAACGCTGCTTTCCGCTACTGTATATATCCCGATGTTGTATCCCGTGTGCTGATGTACCGCCGCCGTGGTAGTGTGAGTATTGTGCTGCGGGCCCATGTGTGGTCAGGACACGCTCATATGTGACACTGACTGTTACCTTTGTTCACAACACCGGGACTAGAATATGCCATCAGGTCAATGAGAAATTACTTAGCCTAGAGGCGGATGTGCACAGTAAGTACGAGCATTCTAGTCACAGCTGCTAGGACAAAGACCAGGTAGTGTTCTCCAATACTAAGAGCGTGATATGGGTCTAGTGTCATTTAATCGTTGCAATGGCACTGTGACCCGGCTTGTGCGCTGCAAACATATAGAAGCTTAATGCCGCGATAAGGACCCTGGAGTCGATTGCTAAACATCCCACGCTGTTGTCGAGGGCGCCACGCCCTTCACACCCATGTATAAGTAACACGTCCCAAATTTAAATGCCTTAACATATGATGTGGCATACTGCTTAGGCAGCAGCTACACCTTTCCGCACCCTCATTGCCAGTTCAGCCAAACTCCGGAAATCAAGATTCGTTTGCGAATCAGGCATAAATTCCCCACTCGCAATACAATGAACCTTCATCTTCGGATGAAATTTCAAGTCGTTGAGCAGCTTTGGTGTAACAAGGAAATATTGACTCGTATGTTCCTGACAAGCAATGTCGACCATGCGCTCGTGTACCATGCGCTCGTTGCGCGGGTCCATACCCTGGTTGATTTCGTCAACTACGCGGAAGGGCGAGCGCGCGAGACCCTGGAGCGCCATGAGATAGAAAATTGTTGAGACGGCGCGTTCACCACCGGATTGACGATGAGAGTCCAAAACGGCAAGTGGTTCGTTTTCGCTGCAGTGGTGTTAGCGAACGCCAATCTGAACAAGGTAAAAATACCCACCGGAAGCTGACTTCGATCTGGATGGCCCACTTGTCAAAGTCCTCGTCTTTCTTTACTGAGACTTGCCCAGCACACCCAATCCGGTCGAAGTTGTGAGCGAATCCATCACTGATAGCAGATACTATCCTGTCTAGCTCGGGCTCCCACTGCTCGCGTATTTCCGTGATTCTTGTGCGAGTATGCTCTAGCTTCTCTGCAGTATCTGCAAGGGTCTGCTCAACTTTCCGGATCTCCCGTTCCCGGTCCTCGTAAGCTCTGATAGCTTGTGGGTTTCCGTCGGCCATCAGCTCGAGACGGGAGTTGACGGCGGAGATCTCGTCGTCTAGTCGTTCCATTGGGAGGTCTTTGAAGTCGATGATGAGCTCTTTCACGTCATCCGAAACGATGATTGCCTGCAATTGCCTTTTTAAATGTCGAGCTTCGGCTGTTTTGGCATCCAATTCGGTTTTGAGAACAGCAAGAGCTTGCCTCTGTTCCTCAATAGCTTCGATGATCTCACGATTGTCATTTTTCAAGCCGTCCACTTCAGAAGTGGCTTCGATCAAACGTATTTCGGCTTCTAGGTACGATTCCTGCAAAGCTCGCAGTTGCACCACCTCTTTCTAAATCAAAATGAGTCAAGAGGTCTACTTTCCAAGGAGAACGTGGAGAATGTAAACTTACAGCATATGACAAGGTATCGCGTGCCACAGACATGGCGAGATCTTCGGATTGGGATCGAATCAATTCGATACGGTTGTTTGTGTCGTCACTTTGGCTAGTGATGCCCGCTAAATCGGATTGTTTTGTGGCTGGAGAAAGTTAGTACTATCACGTATCCAATTTCATTTCGACTATACCTATCCTGCGCGGTAGCGCCTCCCACGTTGCATAGGCCTTTTTGAGTTGATCCTGTTCGGCTTGAACTTTGGCCTAGCGCCAGTTAGGACCAATGATACAGATATGTCAACGAACATGACCTACCCTTTCAGCCTCAGCTTCTTCAATCTCCAGCTTGGCTGCGTTAAACTCAGCTGCTTTAGCAACGTGGCGTTCCTTTCTCATAGTAACATCGCGCTCGAGTTCTTTGATCGCATTCTCCAACAGCGTTATTTCCGCGGTAGCGACAGGTTGGCCCGTGAAATGTTTTGCCTTCCTGAACGTGTTGATGCTGGTGGACGATATCCCATACTCTCGGCGTCGGGTAACGGCATACACTTGATTTCCCGCAATCCATTTCTGGAGCCTTTCATTTCTTTCTAGAGTATTGTACTGACCAGTCGTCATTTTTCGGGATGAGTATGCGGTGGCATGGATCTTGACGTTATCGCATAACATCGCTAGTACGGCGTCGGGTCCTTCGATATAATCACTTATCCACCCCTCAAAACTAAAATTCGCAAGCTCTTCGGAGGTGAGAGGGTGTGAGTAACTAGAACGCGGCAGTGGGACTGTGCGGATGGTAACTTGGTGCAAGCCCAGACCGCCTGCATCCTTCTTGCCCACAAGTTTGTTTTGGACTTTCTGGGCATCCTCTTTATTCGTGCACGTGAGAGCCGTTAGATCTCCAAGACGCAGCATCGCTTCGACAGCATCGGCGTATTTCGGATCCGGTACTGAGCATTCGATGATCGGGGGCCCATATACCTTGTCTTTCAATGATAGCGACTTTATATTTGCTTTGAGCCAAGTCCAGGCTGTGTGGGTGTCCGGTGACAGATTGGACAATATACTATCTTGCTGGCCACTTCGCGAATTGAGATGCTCCTTCTCCTTCTGTTTGGAATGCATGTCATTGGTGATTTGAACGGTCTCTTCGCGAATCCTGGTGATTTCGTTGATATGGGCGTTTTGTTTTCGCTCAGCTGCAGACTTCCGGGCGCGAATATCGGCTAGCCGTGAACGAAATGAATCTGGGTCGTACTCCACGGTATTGTTCTCATGTTGGTGTTTCAGATTAATGATCTCGTTTTCCAGCCGCCTCACGTCCTGCCTCCGCTGCTTCTCATCTTGCTTCTCGGCGTTGATTTGGGCTGCAAGTTGACCCAAGCTCTTCTGGTCATTGTCGATTTTCTTCTCAAATCGATCAACGGCGCTTTTCTTGACTTCGAAGCGATGCTTTCGGGTATTGGAGACCCTTTCGATCCGTGCCTTGTCGCTCTCCATTTCCGCTTCGGCGCGGCGAATGGGCTCCGCTTCGGACTCGTACCGGTTCAGGTCGATTGTGCCGGCCTGTATATCTGCTTGGATACGGCTCCTCTCCGCCCTTATCGCGTTGTAATGAATGAACGGGCGGCAAGTTTCAAGGTCCCTCGCTTTTGTGACAAGCCCTTGGCGTTGGAGGTACCGATCAACATCTTCTCGCGTAGAGCTCTGCTTGGCCTGTAGAGCTTTCAGATGGTGTTGCTCATTTTGCTGCTCACGTTCCGAGGCTTTTTCGTCTGTCCGCAGCCTTTTGAGCTCGTCGTGCCATTCTACCATTTGACCAGACGATGCAGCACGTAATGTCTCCCCAAGCATCGCGATAGGGTCCATCTTCGCGAACTCGACAACACGGTCTTGGGGCAAGAATTGACAGAGGTTGTTGATCTGTATGGAGAAATTCTCTGCCAAAGCTTTGACATCCTTTTGTGATTTATACACGTCGTTGATGTAAAACATTGTCTTGTTACCTTCTTTTTGTATTCTTCGACGAATCACCGGGTTCTTTCGGTTGCCAGAAGCAGCAAGTTCGATCTCAATCTCTGCTTCGGCGCTGCCGTGCTTCACGAATTCACCAATCTCCTTGGCTCTGCCGAGATACTGGAGAGGTCAGCAACACTAGCAAGTTGAATGGATAGAACGCATTTTACCTGAGGGCCCCATCCAAGGCCTAGACAAATGGCGCATACCAGCGTACTTTTGCCTGTCCCGTTTGGGCCAATAATCATGTTGAGGCTAGGTCCCAAATGGAACTCGGCGGAGGTGTAGGTGACAAAATTTGTGAGCTTAACCCGCACCAAAGACCCAGGCTGGTGCACATCTTCGGGAAGGCGGTGGTGGCTGTGATTGCTTGAGGGGCTGCCGGACGCGTCGCTGATGGAGCGCGCGCGTTTGCTGGCCGAGCCGTCAGAAACGCCCGGCTGCTCTTCATCGTCGCTCTCGCGTATAGTCGGCCTCTTTCGTTTTTCCGGAATCCCCGGCATCTCGGTATTACAAACTTTGAAAGCGAGGAACGTGGCGTGGCTCAGATGTTGATACTGTCGAGCAATGAGGGACTGATTACCTGGCTCAGTGCACGGTCCATATCACGTGATCGCGCGCTGCCCGCGGGCGCAGACTACTGGGTAAGAGGCCGCATAGGCACCGTCTGAGCACCATAGGTATGGTTGAACACACATTGACCGCAAGTGCCTAGCTATCACAGACGGTGAAGATTAATGTCCGGATACGCTACTTCAACTCGGATTCGACACCAGCAACTTTTCATTTGCCCAGGTGGATATCAACTCTAATTTACACGTCGCGCCGCCTGCTGTACGCTTACACTATTTTTTGCATTATTTACAAAAGCAACGTCTAGTTCTTCTCCTTAGGCGCAATCATGAGCTCTGGCCGGACGTGCTTGTCGAAATCCTCTTCGCTGATGGTCTTGAGCTCGAGGGCACTCTCTTTGAGAGTGATACCCTTCTTGTGCGCGTTCTTGGCGGTCTTAGAGGCAGCATCATATCCGATAACGGGGTTGAGGCAGGTGACCAACATCAGACTGCGTACAAATTAGCGAGGGTCAGAATAGAGAATGGATAGGTTCACCTCTCGTTTAGGAGAGCACCAATGCGCTTCTCGTCAGCCTCCAGGCCTTCTACCAAGTTCTTCTCGAAGCTCCTCATGGCATCGGCTAGAAGACGAGAGCTGTGGAGAAGGTTGCGAATCATGACGGGCTTGAAGACGTTGAGTTCGAAGTTTCCTTGCGAGCCCGCAAATGTGGTTGCGGCATTGTTTCCGAAGACCTGCGTGCAGACCATCGTGAGAGACTCGCACTGGGTTGGATTGACCTTGCCGGGCATGATCGACGAGCCGGGCTCGTTCTCTGGAAGCTTCAATTCACCAAGACCGCACCGCGGGCCGGAGCCAAGGAAGCGGATGTCCTGTGCGATCTTGAACAGAGATGCAGCAAGAGTGTTGAGCTGGCCATGAGCTTCCACAACAGCGTCATGTGCTGCAAGAGCTTCAAATTTGTTCGGGGCAGTAATGAACTCGTGGCCAGTCATCTTGCTGACCTCCGACGCGATGTCCTCGGCAAAACCCTTGAAAGTGTTGATGCCAGTGCCTACTGCAGTGCCACCCTGTGCGAGCATCTTGAGACGAGGAAGCGAGGATTGAACGCGCTCAATACCGAAGTCGAGCTGCTGCACGTAGCCGGAGAATTCCTGGCCAAGCGTCAAGGGTGTAGCATCCTGCAAGTGCGTCCTGCCAATCTTGATGATCTTCTCGAACATATCGCTCTTCTTCTTCAAGGCGTCGCGGAGGCTTTTGAGCGCTGGGAGGAGCGACTCCTCGAAGTCCATAACGGCAGCGATGTGCATGACGGTCGGGAAGGTATCGTTGGAAGAAGCTGACATGTTGACGTGGTCGTTGGGGTGAACGGGCTTCTTGCTGCCCATCTGGCCGCCAAGAATCTCAATGGCGCGGTTCGAGATGACTTCGTTGGCGTTCATGTTGGACTGGGTGCCAGATCCCGTCTGCCAGACGACAAGCGGGAAGTGGTCGATGAGCTTCAGGTCGGCGACTTCAGCAGCGGCCTGCTGGATGGCCTTCCCAACCTTAGGGTCTGCACCTGCTCGTAAGTGAGGGCACAGCAGGTAGATGGGACCTACATACCCAGCCCAAACTTCATGTTCACAGTGGCAGCGGCGCCCTTCAGGATACCGAAGGCCTTGACGATAGGCGGCGGCATGCGGTCCTGCGGCTGGTTGATCTTGAAGTTCTCCAGCGAACGCTCCGTCTGAGCTCCCCAGTAGCGGTCGGCGGGGACCTGGATCTCGCCAAACGCATCGCTCTCTGTCCGTGTGGAAGCCATCATGGTAGTTGCTGTAAAGTGGCGGCGCTGCGCGGTGTTTTGTGCCTGCAATTGAGCGTAGCGCGGGGTTGTGGACATGGACAGAGGAGCTCGCCCGGTCTGCGCCGACCAATGTCTGGTCACGATCGCAGGGCGGGCTTTCGCATGTGCCAGAGCAGAATGGAGGCCCGCCTCGGCTGCGCGCGGCTTCAGCGCGGATCGGAACATGGCAGCAGTCAGCAGAGATGCGGAGATGATGAGCAATGAGAGGGAACAGGTTGTTGGATGCCGCAATTGCAAAGAGGAGCTTTATCGACTCGCCGCGCCAAACAACTTGAGCTTCGAATTTGCGGAAAAGCCCGGGGGCTCGGGTGGTCACGTGATGCGATCCATGCTCAAGTGCCCCGGAGAGATGTGGATCGTAGTCCCGAGGGTCGCGGAGGCGTGGGACGTGGATAATCTTCTGAATTCAGCCCGCCGGTCCAGAGCCAACACTTCTGAGCGAGCTCTCGCTGCTCCTGGGAGACGCAGGCAGCAGCGCCTGCTTCTGAGACGCCCGCACGCCTTCTCGTGCCTTCTTCACTCGCCGGCGCAGCGCGCACTCGTCCGTGGTCGCGGGCGACCTGCCTGTCTGTCGCCCTGCTCGCGTTTGTGTTTGCGATCGCCTGCACCTGCCCGCCACGGCCTTACTCTCAAGGTGCGTCTTTGCCTACGTGAGCGCTCGCATGCCACCAGTCAGGCTGGGCAGCCAGGCCCCGGACGCACCCAGAGCCCAAAATCGGCGGCCGTGCTGCTATTGCTAGAGACGATGCTGCCGCCGCAGCCTGTCTCAGGCTCTCCGGCGGCCTCGCGTTGCTTTTCCTCGACGCTTGGTAGCAGTGAGCGGCGCATACGCGCGCCGTCCGTTTGTAGCTCATGTATGTGACGCTGTGGCCGCCGCAGCCGGAACTCACACCAGGCTTGCGGCAGCACCGGGATCTGGGCCTGGAGGACCAGCGAACTCGCCGTGGATGGCGAGACGCGGCGCTCTGCCACGGATTTAATCCAGCATGCAACGACTGGCGCCTGTCCCACCTCTGCCGTCGTTTCGATCCCAAGTCACTTGGTCCCGGAGCACCTGACGGCCTCTAGCAGCCTTGCTTTGGACGTCCGCATAATAGTGCTGCCCGCTCCTGCCCCTCATTCCATTGATTGCAACCTCTCCCAGCCGCCATCTCGCGCCTCCCACCTCAGACCTGCTCTCCTTCACCGTGCCCCACGCTCAGTCCGGAGCTGCCGCACATCACACGGCACATCTCCTCACCGCCTGCCCCTTGACTCTGTGCTCGTAGCCACATAACCTGCTTCTCCCGCTACTTATCCTCCTGGTCCCAACCTTCCCGCATTTCCCAAAGTCAATCACTGCTTGGTCGTCCGTACCTTACCAGGGCACCCGACTACCCAACTTCTATTGAACCGCCGCCCAACAATACTCCTGCACCAACGAATGGGCTTAACATCCTGTTGCTATAGCCCACGATCCCACAGATAGGCGCGGGGGTACATACGCCTTGCGCCTATAAATTCCAGATGGCAGATTCGTATCCTCCTCTTACAGAAGGACTTATTCCACAACATCGACCTGTGCCAAGCTATCCACAGGACTACGACTTCAGTACCGGCTACAACAACCTTCATTACCTCACACACCATTATGCCTTCGCCCCCCACTCTCAGCAGTCAATGTCCAGCGAGGAGCGTTCTCACCCCCAGCACGCTCAGTATGGATATCCTTATCTGGTTGGCGGTGGCCCGGCCGTGTCATACTTGGGAGACCCTAGCGCCCTGTTCCATTACGGAGCATCGGTTGCAAGACCGGTAAGTACATATCTTGAATTCGGTTATGTCCAGTATCGGTCCCCATAGGTAAAGCGTTGGCCTGATCGGGCCATTATGCTAAGACGTTCACCGCAACTCTTCTCGCTCATGGGAAATCCTCCACCGCTTTACGGGGAGCACTATGACTCTCAATTTTCGTGGATAATATACAATCTACAATATTTCGGCACTTCCACTTTCTAGTGCTTCAACTGTATCCTCGCTTCCTCATCCCTTTGATTGTTTTGTGCACTGGAACATGGAGAACGCTAACACATGGGCTCAAGTGGCAGGCTTTCCCGCCGCAACATCACCAATCAGTATCAAATAACCATACTCGATTCGACGAAGAAGGCCGTGTGGACGAGGTGGCTGGCACTCCAAACGATGTGGGGCATCCTTACCCAGGCTTCAACCTCCCGAGCTACTCAGGCCCTCCAGACCACCCGAATCTTCAATGGCCACAACAACTACCTCGAAATTTCGCCCGGCATCCTCAACGTACGGTGCCTATGACCAGCTCGTTCTCTTCCGACATGTTTGGGACAGACACCACGGTTGACGAGACTCGCAATCCTCAGTATCATCGAAACAGCGAGATCCCGCATCCTGATGTAACGAGTCGACGAAATCCTTCATATCAACGGCCTCACCGGCAGGGCAGTTCCGACTTCAATAGCCCAGACCGTCGCCATTCCTCGAGATCTGCCGATGGCCACGCTCCACTCTCGGAACTCGGTTCGTCGCTGAGAACCCATAATAGACGGAGTTTTGACCGATACTCGACTGATGTTCCAAATGGTGCGACTGGACCAAACGGGCCGATTCGCTCACCATCGTCTCGTGGCGCAGGTACGTCTAGTTTTGTCCAAAGCAATGTGCTACTCGATTACGCAACTTTGGACGCAAATGTACTCGGGTTCTAACACAAACATGTGACTGATGGAGTCAGATCGAATGGCGGCTCGAAGGCAACGTCCAATAGGGCATCCTCTCTTTCGTCGGATGTCTAGCCATATGGAGCACCCCAATGTCCCTTCGACTGAGCAATTGCGAGAACTCCGAGAGAAATTACGGCACCTACTGCCAGCCGAATTGCCAGAGGGGATTGACGCAATGTGCGACATCTGCCAAAAGGATTATTCGACCAAGCACGTGGATCCTTCAGAATATGATGAGGTCGCGATCCAGCTACCCTGCAAGCATGTTTTTGGAGAGCACTGCATTCACACCTGGGTGAGTCACCTGCTCGCCCTGGCTGCCTCGTGAAATCTATCGGCGCCGATATGGCGCGCAGAAGCAGTTGCACATGCCAACAAACGACTGACGCGATACAGTTCGACACATGCAAGAAACACAAGAACAAGATCACCTGTCCAATGTGTCGGAAGGTGCTCATCGAACCGCGGTGTCGCGAAAATGCACAATCTCGGGGACAGTTGTTAGAGAGACTGGACAGATTGCGGAGACAAGGAGACGGAGGTCCGTTCTTCGAACATATGCCCAGGGCGATATTTGAAGGTAGAGTGGCAAGAGAGCCATGAGCGGCCTGTCACAGGCAGTTGTCTTTCTGGGTACTCGCATTGTGCATCAGCATGGGTGGCGTTTTATGGAGGCGCTGCTGGCGTGCCTTATTCATCCGGGGTGGTTCTTTGTTGGACGTTTTGCATATAATGACGGCGGACTCAGTAGGAAGGATAATCGGGTAGTCTTGCCGACGGCGTGAACATAGGATCTGCCATGTGGCGGGAAGCAGTGGTAGGGTTGGGGTTGAGGCCGCAGGTAATGACGGGAGCAGACAGGGATGTGCGGGGCATTCCAGTGTTGCCAGGGCTAGACTGGATCCTAGTCCACAAATAAACACAACCCCACCAACAACACTCGACGTCCACGCCTCTCGCATCCCGCCGTTGCAAACCGCATCGCTCCAGCTGGCAATCGCACTTCTGTCCCAGGCGTGCTGTTTCTCCTGTCGCCCCTGCCACCCGCTCGCGGTGACGGCAGCCGCCCGCACTTGCGTCGCTCTTTCCCAGACGTGACCGCCATAGCAACTGGACCCCATGGACGCACCCAACTTCCAGATGCCTGCGCCGCCCCCGCCGCTCCACACGCGCTCCAGCGACATGGATCGCCCGGCGACGCCCTCGCAGGAGGCCTTCATTAGCCCGCAGCAGACGCCACAGGGCAGCCCAAGCAAGCACCAGCATCCACCGGGCGCGTTCGACCTTCCGCACGTCTTCGAAAATGCCATGCGACTGCTTCCGACGCTGGGCTCGCCCACCCGATCCAAGCCAGGCACCCCCACGTCGCCCAGCAAGGCGAATCTGCAGGCAGTTGACGATGGCGACTACTCGGCCAACGACCTCACCACCCTGGGTCCCGGAAGCCCCACACGCAAGGCCAACAAGGAGAACACGCCGCCGAGCACACGTCCAGGCCTGCAGAAGGATCCCAGCTACGTCACCCACGCAGCACAGTCACGCCAGGAGCCCTACCGCACTCGTGAGGCCGACCAGTCAGGCCGCTACTACCAGACACAGCGCCTGTCAGCAGAAGACTTGGAGAAGACGAGGAAACCATCCGTCAAGCGCCTGGCAAATGTGACGCAACTGTGTAAGTGCGCGCATGCGACGGATTTGAAAGCCAACTTATCTGTTGACAGATTTCCTCGACCACTATTATGACCTGCTCTCCTACGTCCATACACGCCAGAACAGGCTCGCGCAATTCAAAGCCCAAAACCCTGCCCCCCCTGCCACTCCAGAAGCCGAATATAACGACGCCCTCACGCAGTATCTCGGGCGCGAACGAGCCAATCTCCGAAAGCGACGCACGCGGCTGAGGCAGGGCGACTTCCAGATCCTAACGCAGGTTGGACAGGGTGGCTATGGACAGGTGTATCTGGCGCAGAAGAAGGATACGCGCGAAGTGTGTGCATTGAAGGTTATGAGCAAGAAGCTTCTCTTCAAGCTCGACGAAGTTCGCCATGTGTTGACAGAACGCGACATCTTGACCTCAGCCAAGAGCGAGTGGCTGGTGCGGCTGCTTTACGCTTTCCAGGATGACAAGAGTATCTATCTGGCTATGGTACGTGACCCAGTCTCAGTGCAGCTATCCTTCTGCTAACGTCTCCAGGAATACGTGCCTGGCGGCGACTTCCGCACCTTGCTCAACAACACTGGCGTTTTGCACAATCGGCATGCTCGCTTCTACATTGCAGAGATGTTCTCATGTGTAGATTCTCTGCATCAACTCGGCTACATTCACCGAGACCTGAAACCAGAGAATTTCCTCATCGACAGCACTGGACACGTGAAGTTGACCGACTTTGGCCTAGCTGCAGGCATGCTTGCACCGGCAAAGATCGAGTCCATGCGGGTCAAATTGCAATCTGTTGGGGACGTAGTGTCTCCCTTTGGACGACCCATGGAAGATCGGACAGCTGCAGAGCGCCGCGACAACTACCGGTCCCTTCGAGAACGGGACGTCAATTATGCCAAGAGCATTGTTGGCAGTCCCGATTATATGGCTCCCGAAGTGCTCAAGGGTGACGAGTACGACTTTACAGTCGATTATTGGAGCTTGGGTTGCATGCTCTTCGAAGCGCTCGCGGGATATCCACCTTTCGCCGGCGCGACCGTGGACGAAACGTGGCAGAACCTGAAGCAGTGGAAGAAGGTACTCCGCAAGCCAGTATACGAAGACCCCTCCTACTTCCTATCAAAGCGTACATGGGACCTCATCACCCGACTTGTGGCGTCGAAGACATCCCGCTTCCGCGGCATCTCTGAGATTCATGGCCATCAATACTTCGCTGAGGTGGACTGGAATCGTTTGAGGGACCAGAAGGCGCCCTTCGTACCGGAGCTGGACAGCGAAACTGATGCCGGCTATTTCGATGACTTTGGCAGCGAAGCAGACATGGCCAAATACAAAGAGGTCCATGACAAGCAAATGGCGTTGGAACAGATGGCTGACCGTGATGAGAAGATGGGCAAAGGCCTTTTCGTCGGATGTGAGTGATTGTTCAACCCGTTTTCAGAAGATATGCACTAACTATCTCACAGTCACGTTCCGTCACAAAAAGACCGCTGATGAGAACGGCAAGCCTGCGAGCCCGCGGAAGCCCCTACCTTCCGTAGACGAGAACTTCGGCACTATTTTCTAGATGTTTGACCAGTTTCCGTCAAGCACTGGCTGCACTGATGGTTGTTCGCTGCTATGCCGAGTTCATCCCCTTTCGCTTTCTATTGCAGAGCTTATAACATTTCGACGATGTGTAGTGAGCGGTAGACGTCTGGCACGAGGGGCTTTCGGTTCTTTGGCATGCTTTTGGTACAAAGGCGTTTTCCGGGAGTTTTGCGGGCAGCATGCATTACGGAGTCGTGGTTTATCATGTTTACTTTGTGTGATATAGGCACGGTTCACGTGTAATAGTAGGATTGGTAAAAAAATCAGTGATCAATTGACTGAGGCCGTGACGTCAAGAAAAGAGTGTGTGTATGAAAGATAACCGTACCCTTCTCCTAGTCCCGGAAATTAGCTCAAACATGCCGGTGCGTGGACGCCTTCGTCTTTCCCCCCACCCTTTGCTGCCACTGAAGGGAGCGAGGCATGTTCGGCACAACAGATCACGCCGCTTCTTGCTAGTTCTAGCGCAGCGACGTGTGAATCTTAGTGATTTTGGGATACAGCTTCGTTGCTCATGTGCATAGAGTCAGCGTCAAAGATGTTCATACGACCGGCTCTTTCCATGGCGTTGGAATCCATCACATTCGTGCTGTCCATCATGCTTCTCACGTGCATGCCCGACGCGGCGTTCCCCACGTCACCAGCGCCCATCATCGCTTTCGATCCAGTCGCAGTCTTCTCCCCCGTGATGTCCTTCGACCCAATCATTCTATCGGCCATCATCCGCTCCTCGTGCGTAGTGGATGACGGCTGCGGGCTAGCCACGAGACGCTCGCATTCGATGATGGCGTCACCTTTCATCCTGCAATTCATCGTCTGCATAGCCTCCATGCTCCCGGGGGATTCAATCATGCGCCTGGAGTGCATGTTCGTGCCCACCTTGTGCATGTGGCTCTCCTTGGCGGCCTGCATGTTGTTCATGTGGTTGCGAGAGGCGAGCAAGTTTGAGGGGTCAGAATTGGAATTCGTGTTGGAAGAGGTTATATTGGCAGCGTGCTGTGATCTTGTGTGAGCAAAGCGTGTATGGCTGGAAAGGGCGAATGAGGGGGTGCCGAGCAGTGAGGGGAAAGCAAGGCCGACTTACATGATCCATCTGATCTACTTGATCCGTCATCCGAATGGGAGACCCCGAACTGCACGCGAGCAGACTGGCTGAGAGCGCGAAAACGGTGAACTTCATGATGCTATGTTCGAAGATGATTGTCTACAAGACAAGGAATGTGGTAGTCAAATGAGATATGAATTGGCAGTCACTGCAATGTCGACGATGCTCGTGTGAAAGAAAACGGAAATGTTCATAATGTTTGTCTATAAATTCTCAAAGCTTTTCCTTCAGAATGCGATATCTTTACGCAAAATGATGCAACAGGTGCTGTACTTCATGTCTCCCGCGCATACAAACCAATCTACACAAACGCCGCCCAATGCAAGTCTATCATGCAGCGCACAAGGACGTGCAAAAAAGCACATCATGTTACTCATCGGCCTCGTCATCTGTGTTGGGCGGGTGCGGTGTACCCTGCGCAGCGTTAGTCGCGTTTCACAATCACATATTCACACGGGGTCGGGTCGGGTCGTACCTTGGGGCTGTTGAGCCACTCAATGTGCCGCAGGCGTCTGCGGACTTCTTGCTCCTTCTTCTCCTTCTTCGTCATCTTCTTCTTCTTACGCGCGCGGAACTTCATATCGTCATTTGCGCCTTCGGCATCGCTCATGACAGGCGTGCCGGCAGCACTGGCGACAGTGCTGGGAACGGCAGAGCTGACGGCGGACGAGACGTTGCTAGAGCCTGGACGTGAGTCTTCGAAGCGGTCCATAGATACGGCAAGGTGGCCCTTGTGTGCCACGCGTCCGTCCGCAACATGCCATTGCTCGGGGCAAAGCGCGCCAACGAACTCTTCATTGTGGGAAATCATAATAACGCCACCCTTGTAGTCGCGGATGGCCACAGCAAGACCACCAAGGGAATCGCGATCCAAGAAGTTAGTAGGCTCGTCGAGGACGAGCAAATGGGGGTTGTTCCACATTGCACCCGCTGCACGGAGGTTAGCTACAGACTATCAATCAACCGGCGGGGATTCGACTTACCTAGTACGACCTTGACCTTCTGTCCACCAGAAAGACCAGAGATCTCATTGTGATTAGCAATCTCAGGATCGAGGCCCAGGTCCTCGAAATGCTTCGAGATAACCTTGGGCTCTAGGACACGGTAACCGAGACCTTCGCGAGACGACTCGTGGTCATCGAACTCCTGGATTAGCTTCTGGAAGCCCAAACTGGAGAGAGTCTCACGCGAAATCATGGTGTTGAACTTAGGCAACATGTTCATCCACTTGACTTCGTACTGGAAACTCTTCTTGTACTTCTGACGACCGATAAGGGCCTCAATCCTGCGCGGGCCCTTGCCATCACCGATATCGACTGGTGTTTCCATCTGGGCCTTATCTTCTGGAGTGAGCACGCGAGTTTGCTTCATAAGCACCTCACGATCGTCACCGTTGGCGTAACGCCACTGCAGGTATTGGTTGGGGGTCTTCTCTAAGTGCATCTCGACGTGCTCCAAGGCGTGCTGCTTGATGTAGCCGATACGCAGATTTGGGTGCTTCTCGACCTTGCCTTCTTGTGGGATCGTCTCACCCGTGAGGAGCTTGATGAGAGTCGATTTACCAGCACCGTTGGCACCAATAATGGCAACACGGGAGGAGAGCGATAAATTGCAGGAAACGTCATGCAGGGAGGGTTTGGAAGAGCCAGGGTATGTGTAGCTGCAGCCTGTCATGCGCAGAATGGATCGAGTGTTCGATTTGACGCCACTGAGGATGCCGGGTGGAGGGAACTTAAATTGCACTTGGGACGCTGACAGGGTGTAGTAGCTCTTGCCTTCGGGCTTGACTTTGACGAAATCAGCGAGGTTGCCGCGGTAATGTACCAACTTCTTCTGTTCATAATGGTAAATATCCGTGCAGACCTCATCCAGGAATGTGGAATCGTGAGAGACGATCAAGCTTGTGATCTCAGTGTGCTTTTTGAGGTAGTTCTGCAACCATGCAATGTTGGCGACATCCAAGTGGTTGGTCGGTTCGTCCAATAATAGAACGTCAGCGCGCATCAACATGGCACGAGCCAGGGCGAGCTTCATCTTCCATCCACCGGACAGAGAGCCGACCTTTTCTGATTGTCTTCCCTCAGGACCTGATGTGAATCCGACCTCTTCGAGAACCTCGGAGATACGCTCTCTGCTCTCCTCTGCGAAACGAGGATCCCGAACAATGTACTCAAGAATGCTCAGGTCAGCATCCTCGCCCTGGTTGTGCTCGACGAAGCAAGTCTTGACTTCATCCTGGGGCGGGAAACCCTCAAGCTTGCCGTTTGCAATGCTGCGCATGAGGGTAGATTTGCCAGCACCGTTGCGTCCACACAGACCGTACCTGTGACCCTTGAGTAGTCGTAGGTTGGTGTGTGAAAGAAGAAGCATGCCGCCGTAACCCAGAGAGAAGGTAGCGTTGACAACCTCGACCTCTCCATCGTCTTCCTTGATTGGTTGACCAAACTTGCGATGGTCTTCGTCAACGTAGAATTGGTGCACCGCTTTGGCGACCTTCTCTGCATCTCCAGGGTCCATCAGTGGGCCAAGGTACGGCGCAATAAGCAGGGTAACACGGTCCAGTTGGCGCTCGTTCACAACCTCAGCAACCATGTCAGAGATGTACTGCTTTGCAAGTCCCCAAATTGCGGAGTCTCCCGGGAACATTGAAATCTGTCCGACAGCCTTGATGTGCTTGTCCATGACCTTTTGAATATCCTCGGGGTGAGTGCGGTCGATGGCACCATGGGCGACGTTGCCATCCTGGTCAGCCATGGCCTTATCCATGACGGCTAGCGCGTTGGAGGCAATCTCTCGCACTTCAGGCAGGGAGGCGCCTTCGGCGACTTTCTTGACACCAGGCTGAAGCTTGGGCAGAAAAGTTCGTGCCTCGATGGGGTCGTGGACGAGCTTGGTCAGGTTACCCACGACGACAACCGTCTGGCGGAGGACTTCTTGAGATGTGCCAGGGTTGTTCAGCGATCGCTCGAGGAGTGGGGTGAGCATAGCAAGAACAGGAGATGTGACGATGGCCACGAAAGTGGTCTGCGAGAGCGCGTGGATGGCTTTCTGCAAGCTTTGCGTCGAAGGGTCCTCGATCGACTTGACGAGAAGGGGTATCCGCGGGGCAATATCGTCGTTCTGAAGGAGGGTGGTAAGGCTGTTCATGGTCTTTGTGGCTTGTTTCGCAACCTACGATGTTGTCAGTACGTGTGAAACAGACAGTGCTAAAGGAGAGCTTACTTCGGACTTCAGGTCGTGCATACCGCCCTCAACGACAGGGATCAGCAGCTGAAGCTTCTTGCCCATGGCTTCTCTGAGGATGTCTTTCTCCTTCTCCACCTCAAAGCTCTCCATGCCCATCTTTGCCTTGTCTGCGGTTCTTCCTATCAGCTCTAGGGCACCGACGGCGCCCTGCCACTTTCCGGATTTCTTGCCCAAGTACTTGATCAGCACCGGGAGCAGGCCGAACACCTTGGCCTCGGCGCTCAGGTTGTTGAATAGCGAGTCGAGCGCATATTGCGCGCTTTCCCGCACGGTGCCCGTCTTGTCGGACAGGGCATCCAGCGCCAGCACAACAGTGCCCTCCTCTTGGATGAGGAACACGACCTCGGTCAGCCGCTGGAAGGGCGGCATCTTTTCGAACAGGGCGCCCAGCGCATTCATGGCACCCTCGCGTCGGCCAGGGTTCTTCTTGTCGGTGGCCGCCTTCTTGATCTCGTCTAGGATGCCATAGCTCTGCAGGCCGCGGAAGCCGACCGAGTTCTGCAGGAGGGTGACGAGGGCATAGGCGGCTTCTACCGAGGAGTGTGAGAGTTTCGCAGTGAAGACGGTGGTGAGGACGGCAGCAACGTCGTCGTGCGAGGGCGCGGGGGCGTCGCCGGACTTGCTCACAGCGATCGCGGGAGCCATGGGGGGCGACTCGGAATGGGGCATGCCCACGCGTGTGAGGGGAATATTAGGAGGCCGTCGGAGACCGTCTGCGAAGTCTGCGCAGTGTATGCGTGGGGCAGCCGCTGGAATTTTTAGGAGGGGCGCGCGTTATCGATAGGCCCGTGGTAATCTCGTTTGCAATGGAGGTACCAGCTGCGCAAGTTGCGCCTGCGTGGGAAAAAGAAAAAATTGAGTGGAGAGTGGTCAGCGAAATGAGGACAAGAACGAGGAAGAAATGCGATGCAAAGAAAAGAGCGCTAAGGGCGGTTGGGGACCTAAGTTGGGCTGTGAATGATTTAATTCTCTGTCCTCCTGCTTAGATAAGACCGGCCGGCACCACTTGGGCGGAGCGCACATGCACGTTCCATGCGTGGTTTGAAAAACGCGGCCTCCGCCTCCGCCTGTGTAGCGTGTAGGGCTGACGATAAATCTCTGCTGTACCTCTACGAGTACCTCGATCTACCCTTTGCCACACACTACCGTTGCTCACTTTGCGGCTTGGCAAGCCCTGTTGTACCCTGCTTTCTAGGAGTTCGCTCACACGTCCATCCTCGTCGAGTCCGGCCGTGCTGTGACGATACTGCGCTCGAACACTTACAGTCCACCTAGTCATGCTAGAACCTTTGAACGTTCCTGCACTGCTTGTTCTTGCTTGCTAGTAGGCTCTTTGAAACTCGCAGTCTGCGAAATAGGTTATAAGGACACGAATTCGCAGAACACATAACTTTCCACTCGAGTCTCGTCCTCAGCAAGTACAAAAACATCGAGACTCTGAGCATCACATCATACCGTACAAGTTAGCATTTGAGAGAAGAGTATAATCCCTTCAATACACATACTATCCTGTGTGGCAATAGCAGCTTGGTTTACGGGATACAGAATTGAGTCTTCTCTGATCGTATTTTTGTGCTTAGTTCCTAGGCATGTCTTCGTCACCCCTGTTCGACGCCTCCCTGAACCGTCCTATGGTAAACTCATTCTCTAAATCTTCTTACCGGCTGTCTTGCTTTGACTTTACGAGTTCAGCTCTGGTCAGCATGCACGCATGTTCTACTGGAGCAGTCACACTTTACTGAGCACCTTTGCTCTGCAACACATGGAACGCATAGTTGTCTCAACGACGTGCAAACCCACTTCTTTGCTTTACCCATCTCAATGGACGCTCGCTAGTGTGGTGCGCGGCTGCCATCCGTTTGCGCAGGCGTGACTGCCGTAAACAAACGGAAGGAAGTCGCACACCAGTACACATGACCTGACCTGCCTCCAACTCTCCCCGCCAGCTGCTTCCCTCCATCTTTCTATTCGGCTGCCAGCCTACCCCCCTTCTCTCTCTCTCTCTCTCTCTCTCTCTCTCTCTCTCCCTCCCTCCCTCCCTCCACATATCTCTCAACGCCCCTTGCGCTGCTCCATATCGAGCCCTAAACCCGAACCCAGTCTGTCAAGCTATATCCGACCATTACAAAGAATCTGACGATCAAGACGCCACCATGCCTCGCAGCCAGGTCTATGACCCGATCATGATGGAACAGCTGGCGGGCGTTCCTCTTCCTGCTAAGATCAAGTGCTGTCGCTGCGAGAAGTCCAAAAGCCAAGCGTCGTTCTCCAACAAGCAGCTTACCGACGCGCGCTATGCCGTCAAGCACCGCGGCCAGTCTGCATCCTACAAGACCAAGTGTATGCCGTGCACTGGAGGCCAGCCTGTGGAACATGAGTGCAGCATCTGCGGCATCACCAAGGGCTTAAAAGAATTTGCGAAAAGCCAGCGGAAAAAGGATGACAAAGAATGCTTCAAGTGCGTTGACAAGCGCTTGGACATCGATCCCATCGAGCAATCCAAGTACGAAGACGAGAACAGCAACCGCAGCTTCAGCGATAGCTCTGAGTACGTGTCGACCTCGGTCTTCGACCACTCTTCTCATTCTGATACGGTATGTCGTTTGTCCTTCCATACCTCACGATGCCCGAGTACATTATATCTGACATGTGGAGTCGTCCGAATGGATTGAGGAGTCCAAGGAGAATGGCGGCGTTGGCCTCTCCGAGGGTTTCGCGCGCAACATGTCCATCTCGAGCCCTTCCCAGGCTGGCACGCTCATTGAAACTGAGTTCGAGCGTGGCAGCCAGATGTCGCATGATGACGGTTGGCGTACAGTCGGCCAGCGATCGTGGCGGACTCCCTCCGGTCACTCCCGCTTTCAGACTGCATCCACCACCTCCAATACCGGTTCCCGTGGCTTCAACCCCAATGCTTACAGGAACCCTGCCGCGCCGCGCTCTGTGGCTGACTCTCAGCGCTCGTTCAATTCCAGTGTTGCTGAGCGGTCTGGTGCCGTCTCCAGGAGCGCCAACGGCAGTTTCGCGAAGATCAAGGCCTATGTATGTTGAGTCTGACTTCTTTGTTTCTTCCTAAATTAACATTCAGTAGATTCCCCCGAAAGAGCAGTGGTCCTCCGATGAGGAATCCAACCACGATTCTGAAGCTATCGACGACAGCGACGACGACGAGGACTTGTGACACGGTCGTCGACTGACAAGACGCTCTGTCGCTCTCATAGTGACGAACGATCTCCGGGTCACCTTCGCACGTTTCTCTATACGAAGGTGACCCGGAAATGTCTACAACATGATTGTTTACAAGCTAAGGCTCTTCTTCCTTGCTGGAAGGCGGATCATGCTCTTTATGCATTCATCAGTTTTCGATTTCCAGGTATCTCCTATCATTTGCCCACAGACGGACTTGCAAGGTGGAAATTCTCTCTGTATTTATTATGGCGGTGGGGCATCTAGCACACCGGCATGACAATCAAGTAATCTTGTTCTCAGTGCAGCTTCGGTAAAATCAGATCGTGGTTTCTCGAATCCAGTTTCGTGATGCCAAATCGGAACCTCCACCGTCTGTGCGAGCTTTCGCTATTATGGCTAACAGGGCATATGGAGCGCAGTGGAAAAGTCCTTGTGCGTTGGTCTTGCACGACCTCTAAAAGCACCATGGGCGGCTGGCAATCTGGAGAAATTGCCGCGCACACTTTCACTCGATAGTTTCTGCACTTGGAACACACTCACTGTATCATATAAGGTGAGGGTGACTTCATTCATGAGTGAAGTTTCGCCAAGCCCATATAATCCGCATACAGTAATCGCCACCGCCACCGCGTTTGCACGTGACTGCGCGCTCAAACTCAAACGACGTGGACGCGGTCTCCTACTCCACCCCGCAGCACTCTGCTTTATTGCCTTGTCGCCTTTCAGCCTCAATACGACGCTCTTTAAGTTTGTTCGAGCGGTGCCACAACTTCGATAGAATGTGAGACATGTCGCCACCCACTGCGCGAAGTGGCTGACCAGCTTTTTAGGTCTCAACGTCGAGGACGAGGCGGAAGCGGCGCTGGCGGAAGGGGTGCCGGCATTCGCGGTCCTCATTCAGCGCTGACGGACTTCTTAGCAGTAATTCATCTTCAAAGCTGGCGTGTCTGATATCATTCTGAAATTAGGCAGGCAAACAATATCTCTGCGCAAGAGATTCGCGATTCGTACCGCCAACGGCAACAGCAGGCCGAAACCGAAGCTACGCAGGATGGAGAAGAGGACGACAATGGTGAGGGGCCTTCCAATACGAACGAGGTAGATCTACAGGCGGAGTCCTCAGCAATGGCAGCCGAACCCACCCGCAAGCGCAAGCGCAACCAGGAAGAGGCTATCGCGAAGATAAAAAAGGGGAAGGCCGCGAAGAAGGGCGCCAAGAAGAAGAAGGGTTCAGATGACGATTCTGACTTTGACGACGTTATGGACATGTACAAGAAGATAAAACCGCTGCCTGGTCAGTTGGAGAATTGTGAGGTCTGCAGCAAGAGGTTCACGGTTACACCATACAGCAAGGCTGGTCCAGATGGCGGTTTGCTGTGTGCAAAGTGCGGCAAGGAGATGGCGAAAGAAGCCAAAGCCACCGTACAGTCGAGCAAGCCAGCTGTGCGCAAAGGCAGGAGGAAGATCGAGAGCAACCGTCTGGATGGTCTGACCTTCCGCGGAGCGAAGTCACTGCAGCAACTTTGCATAAACACCTTGGCCACGCACGCCGACGACATTGAGGAATTCGGCGACATGCCTGAGCCCATCTTGAATAGGCTGAGCGAGATCTTCTCAAAGAAACGTGCGATGAAGTCGAACACATTCAAGTTGTTTCTACAACCTGACCTGGACGTGGTCGCTATTCACGAAGCAGCGTGTAAGTTGCTTCCGTCCTTATGCCCTCAGTGGCTGTGCTGACTCATACTAGATTTGGAGACCGAAGACTATGATCAGATCTTCGCAGTTGTCCCGCATGTGAAAAGGCTCTCTTTGCGTAACTGCTGTCAGTTCAAGGACAGTAACGTGGACTATATGATCGACAAGGCTAAGAACCTGGCTGACATACAACTTCTCGGAGCCAACCTTGTGTCCAATGACAAGTGGATGGACCTCTTCATCGCCCGTGGCCACGATCTTAGGTCGCTAAAGCTCGAGTGGCTCGACGCTGCATTCGACGATCAAGCAGTTGAGGCACTTACAACCTTCTGTCCGAATCTAGAGCGCCTCAAACTAGAGCGGTGCAAACAGATTGGACCTGACAGTATCGACGCCATCGCCCGCCTCGAGAAGTTACAGCACCTTACCCTCTGCTACCAGAAAAACATTCCACGCGATCGCGTCGTGAATCTCATCGCACACGTGGGTCCAGGCCTCCGCACTCTCTGCCTGGAGCGCTTCATCGATGCCGAAAACGAGGACGGGCTCACAGACGACCTCATCGATGTGATCGGCATTACCTGCACACGCCTTGAGAAACTACGGTTCAGCGAGAACAACGAGTGTTCGGACGCCGGATACGTGAACCTCTTCACAGAGTGGCCAAACCCGCCGCTCCGATACATCGACATCAACAGCACCCGCGACATAGACAACGCCAATCCCGATGGCCCAGAGGACCCCGTTGGCCTCGCTTCCGCAGGATTTCACGCCTTGATGCAGCACTCCGGCTCCAAGCTCGAGTACCTCGACATCTCTTCATGCCGCCACATTAGCCACGAGACGTTCGCACACATCTTCTCAGCCGAGCAGACGTGGCCGTGTCTCCGAGAGATAAACCTCAGCTTCTGTCCGGTGGTCGACACCCAGGTTGTTGCGGGCATCTTCAGAAGCTGTCCACAGATCAAGAAGGTCGTTACGTTTGGTTGCTTCGAGGTGCAGGAGGTGGTGGTGCCGCGGGACATTGTGCTTATCGGCGCACCGCGAGCACAGGACGCGATTGAGCAGTTCGGGCAAGTCGTCATGGATTTCCAGAAGGAGTTCAGTGGCATGGAGAATCCAACAGGGATGAGTCGTATCGTGCCCGTCATGTCTTGATTGAGAGCGCTGCGAAGGTTTACGAAAGGCGCATTATGGAATCTTAGAGGACTGCATTACGTTACTGGCGACAGGCAAGGGATGGCGTTTCTTTGCGGGACAAAAGCATAGATGGCATGCAGGGTCACGACCGCATCGAATTATGTGTGATATCTTTGACGATGTCTTAGATTCGGCGCACGCCCGTGAAGTCCATGAAACGAATCACGGTATGTGACGCTGTTCATATGGATATGGGACTTGAGTGATGGCGTACATGAAGTCCTCCAGACATGGAATGAACGCCGATTGCCTTTGGTGAAGCACTCGGCTTGATAGCCACCCTCCAACTTTTGTGCAATTTCGTTTCGATTCAGGATTGAGACACTATCACGGCAAAGGTATCAGGGTCACTTGCAGTAAACAGGGTATCATTGGGGAGCATGCTCGTTTCAATCCTCGACGGGATCCAAGAGCTATACATTGATAGTTTTCATCGTTTCGTTTCGCCGTGAGCAACCATGTCCGAACCCTTTTAGAGATGCGTAAAGCAGCAAAAGCCCATCATGTAAACGATCCTGAATCCATGTCCATATTCCATGCGCGTCCAACACCTTCTCAATCCTAAGAAGAAGGAGCGGCGCCGCCACGGCCGCTGCCGCGTCCGAAACCACCACGGAACTCGGGCTTGAAGTCACCGGGGGCACCGCCCTCGCCCTTCTCGCCAGCATCACGGCGGCGGTAACCGTCACGGTCACCGCGTCCACCGCGGCCACCACCACGGCGCTCACGGTCGTCTCCGCCCATCATGCCGCGCGGGGGTGCGTGGGTGCGCTGCTGCTTGATGTGCGTCTGGGGCACGATCTCAGCAGGGAGGTGGAGCCACTCGCGGAGGTAGTCGAGACCCTCCGGGGTAAGGGTGTAGTAGTAGTACTGCCATGAGAAGCGGGTCTTGACGTAGCCGCGGGAGTCAAGAGACTGCACTGCAGGATGTTAGACACAACCCCAGCTTTTGGAGAGAGGTGCTACTGACAAGCCTTGATGACGAAGAGGTTCTTGGTGTCAATGTCACCGTGCTTGGGAAGGTTGAAGTCCTTCTTCGCAACGAGTACGCCCTCTGTGGTGACCGTGTGTCAGCCTATCCTTGTATGCAGCAGATGCCGCTCGAACATGTATATTTTGCCATAGCCATGGCGCGAGCGGGGAATATACTAACCGCGGAAGAGGTACCTGTGAGTGAAATAGTCAGCGCAAGTTCAATTGAAAAAATGTTGCGACGAGGGGTAACAGAAAGGCTCATGTTCAAGGTGGACAATCTCTCGCGAAATTCCAGACTCGATTGCGCCCGTGAGCGGTGCTGAGGAGGACTGACTCGTGGATCTTCTTGCGATCGGCCTTGGGGATAAGCATCTTGACGGTTGTCGAGAAAGAGACTGTGGTGCTGGTCGGTGGTGAGGTGGTCGATGAGGAAGAAGAAGTTCGGCTGTCTGAGTGAATTCAATGCATGGTGTGGGCTCGCTAAACGCACAGACCTACCGCGCCAAGCAGGAGGATCCCGGTCCGATTGCCTGCACCAGCCTCCAGCGCCACTTCCTCAGCCAGGCCTTTCGTCTTTTATCGCATACCAGAAGTACCCACCTCCGTCCACGTCTATTATCTGCAACTTTCCGATTGCAAGCCACACTCAGAGAGACCACCTGCGCACAGCGCAATAAACGAGAACATGGCCCAGGCTGCAACAGTCTCTGGGCACCACTGCGTGCCAACCCTCAATGCCAACGGCAATGCCCCCGTTACAGTCCTCGTCAACACTGTTCGAGGCACCATAGCTTTCACCGTGGTCAAAGCTGCGCCTCTCTCCTCCATATACGAAACTCTGTACGATCGCGCCCCATGGATAGCCAATACGTCCTACATCCTCACGACACACTCCCGCCGCACCGTACCCACCACCGATGGCCCCGTTTCCTCCCTCCTCAGCTCTGCATCCGACACATTCATATCACTGCGCTTGAGTGTCCCGCTATGTGGTGGTAAGGGTGGTTTCGGGTCTATCCTGCGCGCCCAGGGTGGCCGCATGTCGTCGCGGAAGAAGAAGCAGGGCGAGGTGAACGGCTCGTCACGCAACTTGGACGGCCGCCGACTGCGCACCGTCGCCGAAGCGAAGACGCTCGCTGAATATTTGGCTATCAAGCCAGAGATGGACAAGCGCGAGAAGGAGGAACGGCGCAAGCGGTGGGAGGACATCGTCGCGAGCACGGAGCGCAAACAGGATGAGCTGATGAGTGGACGGACGCAGGGTCGACTCAATGGCAAGTGGGTTGAGGACAAGGAGGAGGCGGAGAATAAGACGCGGGAGGCGATCGAGAAAATGTTGATGGCACAGCAGCAGTCGAGCTCCGAGGAAGAGGAGGAGGAAGAGCAGGTTGCGGAATCTTCCAAGCCTGCTGCTCAGCGGACCATGTTTGGCTGGGACGACGAGGACGATGAGTTCATGAGCGACAGTGAGGAAGAAGAGAAAATGTTGGGAGAAGACAAGCCCAAGTACGAGGGCAAGGGCAAGGGCAAGGCTGTGTAGGCAGGACTTGCGCTGTGTTCTTTTCACCTTACAAGTAGGATGCATGGCGTTCAGGAAACATTCATTTCATTATCATATTTCAGATACCCAGACAAGGCTTGCCGATGCCTTAATTCATCCATCCATCCATAATCATGCCCAACCTGCATGCTCATCTCGTGATGGTTGTAGCCCACCCAACAATTGTGCAATCCTTCAACCTCCGATGTTCCTATCCATATCTTTGTCCCCACCATAACCCTGCACCCGCCTCTGTTGCGCCGCGTCATCTTCCAACTCATCCGACCTCTCCGTTCCACCAAATCTGCCCTCGCTGCTCGCGTGCCCCTTCGCAGTCGTCTTGCCCCCACCGCCACCGCTCTCCTGGATCGTCTGTCCGTACCGCATCTTCTCGGCCGGGGTAACACCCTGCGAGTTGGGGCCCGTGGACTTGGACTCGTGGACTTTGTCGGCCAACTGGGTGCCTTTTGAGACAGCTGAGGTTTGGAGTTAGAAGGAACAGCTAGAGAGCCACGGGGCGACAGGGAGACGGGGAGAAGTACCACCTAGCTGTCCGGACAGCTTCGCGACGGGATCCATGTAGCCCAGGTTGCCTTCGTACTGGCCGCCCTCGCCGCCCGGGGAGGTGTCCATGAGCTGGTCCGACATGAGATAGACTGATCGAATATAGTATCGAGGTATGGAAGTGACTTCAATAGGCAGAGTTGTGCGTGTGATATGGTAAGGGCAGTGGTGTGACAGTCAACTGTGCTTTGTATTTGCAGTCGCTCCAACGGTAGAGCTTCGAAAGATGCTGGGGAGCTTCGTCGTTAATGACGTCAAATCAACGCTAGAGCATCCCTCCCTTTCTCGGAGTGCTATGCCGCCCCTCCAACCACGCAACTCCTAAACGCCTTTGCTAGATGTCCCTGATGCAAGCTATAAAGCGGAATGATAATACACCGATCATACCTTTGCTAGTCGAAATCGACGCCCATGAGGAAGCTGTTTGTAGATTAGCAGGTGCAGCTTTGACAAGGGAAGGGGAATAGTACCTTTCATATAACCGCATGTATTTTGCGACAAAGGCTTCTAAGTGGAATATGACTTTGCTGCCGGTCTTGCATCTGTGCTCGTAGAAGGCAGCCCACTTTATGACTTCTGGCTTGAGCGCATCGTCGGTCTTAGGGATTAGTTTCCAAGTGAGTGTCTTTAGAATTGTTGTGGGATCTATGCAATGCGAGAGAAGATCGTAAAGTGCCGCGCGGACCTGGAGGAGACGGGCTGGACTCCGTTCCTCGACAATCTGGTTTGCGATCTGGCTGATCAGAGCCTCCCAGTCTGGTGGCGGGATGTGTGTTGTGTCTGTGATGTTTTCGCTGCACCTTTGTTAGCAAGAGGTCGGCCAGAGAAAGCTCCAACAACGTACTTCTGTGCATGCACGGCCTCAAACATAAGCAGGGCCTTCCTCAAATTCCTGCCGCTTTCCTTCGCAACCCTCTTATTCAAGCCATCCACCTCCTTCCATCCCTCCTTCTTTCCAACTACCCTCAGCACGCCGCAGATCTCCTCTTCGGTCGGCGCCGCAACCCTCACTAACAATGTCCTACTCCGGATCGGAGCAATGATGTTACTTGTCGAGTTTGCCAGCAGGATAAGCCTCAAGTTAGGACTGTATTTCTCCATGGTCCGTCTCAGTGCCGCCTGCGCATCGCGCGTCAGATGATCCGCCTCATTAATGACCACGACCTTGAAACGCTGCTTGGCGTTCAAGTCGACCTGCTGCGTCTGGGCGACTTCCTTGAGGAGATCTTGCACGACGACACGGTCGTAATTCCCGACATCTGACGGCGTGATCTCAAGGTGGTACACGGAGGCGACGATGTTGAATTCGAGCTTGCGGTTGGACGTAGTTTGAAAGACACGAGCGTCGATCTTGATCTTTTCGACGCCGGGGCCGTAGAGCTCTTTGAGGGTTGCGACGATGCGGGTTTTCTTTCCGGCGCCAGAGGGGCCGTAGACAAGGAGATGGGGGAAGTCGCCGCTTTGTGCCTGTAACGAATGTTAGGAGTGCGTCAATCTGGAGGGTCGGGTTGGGTCCCAGGTTAGGGTCACAGTTAAGGTTACGATCTGCGAATAGGGCTGTGAATAGTACATACGAGAGATCGCAGACGATCTGAGAGATCCGGATGGTAGCTGAGAGCCTCTAGGCTTCGCGGGCGGTGCTTGTCCACGAGTAAAGCCATGGTGTGAGTATGATTGTGTGTTGTTTGATCGTAGCTTCGGGCCTGCTGCACACGCGCTGGCGCGGGACGCGAAGTCGCGTAAAGTGGTGGCTTGGCGCGAATGTTCAGTCATGCTCCACCCGTCACGCTCCCCTCACCCAGGACTTTCAGCCTCGAACGTCTCATCGCTTATATAGAAGAACAACAGCGTCTCCTGTCGACTGCGACATGACTTATGCAAAACAAGGTTGCAAAGTTCACGTGCAGAGTCGACTCGACATGGCCTTAAGGATCTGGCATGCATTAAACACCAAGTCACCTAGGGCATACAGTATCAAGACGTCAAAAAGTGATTGGCAACAATCTCGGTTCTTGATTCGTGATTATATGGCATGCCTTCGCATCTGTATCACGGCCCGCGGCGCTACGAAAGATCTATCACAACTCTGCCCTGCATCTTCTGCTCATCCATCTCCTTGAAGACCTCCGTCAGCTTGTCCAACTTCTCCACCCTGAAATGTGTCTTCACGACGCCTCTTGCCGCAAAATCCAGCGTTTCGATCGCATCCCTCCTCGTTCCGACCGCCACGCCCACGATCGTAATCGCACTCATGATGAGCTGGGCCGGCGTCGCCTGGAAGGGCACTGGATCACCCTCAGGCACACCAATGCAGACCACGGTGCCGCCATGGCGTAGCAAACCCACAGAACTCGCGTATGCTTTGTTGTTGGAGGTGAGGACAACGACGGCGTGAGCACCGAGTCCGCCAGTGAGATCCTTGACTGCGCCGGCCACGTCGTCTGTGCCGTCAATGGGGATGAAGTGCTCGGCGCCAGACTCCAGGACAAGATCCTTCTTCGAGGAGTGATCAATTCCAATCACACGCAGAGCCATGCCGCGCGAGGCGAATTGCGTACCGAGATGTCCGAGCCCGCCACCCGCACCGAGGATGACCACGAAGTTGCCAGACTGCGTGCGGCTTTTTCGGAGTGCGGAGTAGACTGTTACTCCTGCACAAAGCAGCGGAGCGGCTGCAGCTGAATCCAGGCCATCGGGTATGGGAGTCACGTAGTTTGCCGGTGCGAGAACGTATTGCTGGAACGTGCCCGGTGTGTAGTACCCTGAGACTTTCTGCAGTGTATTGTCAGCTATGCTCTATCTGGAGATGATGTTGTCGAGAAAGCTTACGCCTTTTGCACAGCTGGCGTCCAACCCCACCCGACACGCATCGCAAGTCTCGCAGATACCCGCCATCCACTTGATTCCCACTCTATCTCCAAGGCCAACGCTTGAAGTGTCGGTCGCAGGTCCCATCTTCACGATCTTTCCGACGCCCTCGTGTCCACCAACCTGACCAGCTTGAGTGGGGAAAGGCATGTGCTTCCATGATTGCATCATAATGCCCATGTCGGAATGGCAGACGCCCGAGTGGGAAAGATTGATCAGGACCTCTCCCGGACCCGGCTCAGGCATGTCCAGCTCCTCAATCTTCGTCGAGATGGAGCCCGGCTTGTCATAGACAGCGGCCTTGTATTTCTTGGGTAGATCGGCAGCCATTGTGGACTTGTCGGTGGAACTTGAATTAGTGAAGTAGCCTTCTGGGACACAATTGATCTCCTCGAGCGACGAGTGTTGGTGTAAGGTAAGCTGTAGGGGAGATTACAAAGGAAACCTACACGGTAGGTAACACGGCTATATGAACGAACCCCTCCTTCCTGCTGCTGCACCTGATGCGCTCCCGCGTCTATGGAACGCACATGTAATCATTGACCTAGTCTGGTCTAGCCCACAATGATGCATCCATGAGCGGACCGCTCATCGGATAACGAGCCTCGGTATCTGCAAGCGGTGTTGCTTGCGGGGTGACCAAGGGCGAACGGCGATAACCCAACTCCTAGAGATCGAGGTAGTGGAGCTACGAGAGCTACCCCGCATGTAGTGGATCCCTGCACAATGTGCCTGGATGCTACGAGTGGGGGTCCGATCATGTGGAATGGCGATTACGCTGACTCGACAGTACGGACAGAGCAGGCATCACTTTTACGGCAAGCTAAACGGTTGTTGCAGCTCAGAGCTAGCATTTCCATGATGTAAAGCATACTGATAGTATACAATTCACAGCGGTGGAAAGTTATCTTTGCGCAGCTCCAACAACAACACAGGAAGACACCGAGCAAAAGACAACGTCAGCACGTTTGAAGGTATTGAAGATGTCTCTAGCTATGATATACACATCCGAGGGCCCTCAGCGCTAAACATCTAGTGAAGAAGAAGCCGCTCCGCGGCGTGGGACCACAAGCCTCCGCCTCGCAAAATTGGTATTGTACAAAACAGCATAGCGCAAATAGGCGCCGAAACATGAAAGGAAATGACTAGCCCCCGGAAGCTTTGCTCCCTCCCATTATTTTGGTTTCCTATGCTATGTCCTCCTCGTTGTCACGTAAAACCATTACCATGCAAAATGATATCGACAGTGTCGAAAGATATGCCAAAAAATAATGAACAGCCGCACAAGGCCTCTACGAGGCCTGTTCGGTACAAAATGGACTGGCAAGCAGTTCGTCGGCGCTTGGACGCCGCTCGTGGTCGATGAGGAAAGTCTGCGAGAGGAAAGCACGAGCATCATCTCCCGCGGTCTCAGGTATGGCCGGGTTGGCTTCACCAGGACCACCAATCTTAAAGATGGCCTGGAGCTGGCTTAACGTGGGATGTGGGTGCGCCCCAGTAAACATTTCCACAATGAGACAGCCGAGTGACCAGATGTCTGCTTTTCGGGTGTACGCAGTCTGTCGAACAACCTCGGGTGCCATCCAGAAGACTGATCCTTGCAGAGAGACACGCTGGGCGCCTTTCTTTCCTCCGTTGAGCAGGGTGGACGTATCGACACGTTTGGAGATACCGAAATCGGAAATCTTTACGGAGCCTTTGTTGTCGACGAGAATGTTCGCCCCTTTGATGTCACGATGGATGATATCCCTTGAGTGAAGGTAAACCAGGCCCTGAAGAATCTGGCGTACGAAGTTTTGGATGAGAGATTCGCCCAACGGTCCGTAATTGACAAGCATGGTGGCAACGGAACCACCCGGAACATATTCGAGGAAAATGTTCAGGTGCTGTTCATCCGAATTCGACCCCAGGTACTGCACGATGTTCTTGTGCTTGAGATCTCGGAGAAGGCCAATCTCGTGTTTGAGCGCCTCCACCATGTTGGTCTTCCTCTGGTCCGTCTGGGCCGTGCCAGAAGCTGATGGGAGTTCGACTTGTTTTACAGCCATTAGCTCGCCCGTTACGGCGTGAAGCGCCAGGTAGACGCTACCGAAGGAACCTTGCCCAATCAAAGCACCCTTCATGTACTTGACATTTTCCCACGAATCTTGCTCGAGATAGTCGGCGAGCTCATCATCGTACTCCTCACCATCCTCGGCAATGGCCGCAGAGAGGCGTTTATTAAGTGAATCACCTGCCTCGGTATTGCCAGCGCTGCTACCGGCAAGGCTGCTACCGCCATCGTCAAAGTAAGACTGCATGGTCGTGTGGCCTTCGGGGTCGGTGACCTGAAGGCTCTCCGTAGTACTCTCGCCGCCGAAAGACACATATGATTTACGATTGGGTTCGAGGGGCGATTCTTCCTCGAGTGGCTCTAGGACGGAGGATGCTACCGAATCCCGATAACCTGATTGAGAAGGAAGGCCAAGACGCATGACTGAAAGTGGCCTCAACGGGCGTGCCTGGGTGTTGTTCTGAAGCCAGTTGTCTGCTATGGATGGAAGAGGTGGAGCGTCCTTCAGACTTGAAGCGACACTGAAATTTGATGCCATGGACAGACGAGAAGCCGCCCGACTAAGACGGCGAGACCTCCTGATCGACATGCGTATGGTCTTGTCGATCTCATCCTTTTCCACGTCCGGAAAATATGAAGTAAGATCTGAAGTGATGAGCTCACTCGGCGGTCGAGCTCCGTAGAACTGCTTGAGCTTCCGCGCCCTCGTCGCGAAGGCCTGTGCTCTGGACGGTCCTTCCAGGTGCTGTGCGGTAGAGTGAATATGTCGTTCTCGCTCCCGTGCTGACGTAGGCGAGAGCGGGTAGCTGACTGCAGCCAACGACTCTCCTGTTATCTCTTGGATCTTCTTCTTACTTCTCTCGTTTTGCGGCAGGATAATATTCTGCGTCTGTTGGATGTTTTGTTGTTGATACTGCTGTTGGTAGATGCCTGCGGCCGCCTTCAACTGATCTTCTTCAGGCTCTCCAGTATGTATCTTCCGCAAGATAAGACGCCCTCTCTCGTGTCGGTTGGAATCTTTGCACAGGCGAATGACTTCGATATCGCTCAGTCTGTGGCACAGCTCAGACTTCGGCTCCGGTCCGTCCAAGATGTAGAAGCAGTAGTTCTTGAGGTGGCTCTCGTTGAGCTGCCCCTTTCGCAAAGTCTTGAGCATGATCTCATCTGCAGTTTTGCAGCCTTCGATGTTTATTACAGACGATCGACCCGAGTCGTAGATGACGCGGATCACAGCCTTGTCGGATGGTAAAATGGCGCTATTAGTGGCACTCTCAGAGATGCTCTGGTTCCGAATGTGGCTTGCGAATCGGGCAGTTTGGGGTGTCTCCGTGGGTGTGGTCCGCGGGTTGCGATATGACATGTTGATCGCACTGTTGGCTGCGCTCAGGGGCTGACTGCCATACGAAGATGCATAGTTCTTGTTGTCCTGGGGGCTGGTCATACCGTAATTACGCTCGCGCCTCGCACCACGGTTCTCTTGATCGACAAGAGGAGAACTCGGGCGTGAGGGTGACTTGGCACCACCGAAGTTGTAGGATAGATCAGAAGCATTGATTTGGCGAGACATGCGCTTCGAGGCAGTTTGGTAGCTAGAAGGGACGGAGCGAGCAGAGTGCTGCGACGGTCGAGGTGAGGCAGACGAGGGCGGGGTGTATGCGGCGTTGTCCAGCATGGCGAGGGATTGCTGCATTGGAGTTAGAAATGACATTAGATGGTAGAACAACAGGCAACATACCCTATTTGACACCCGTCTCGAAGCCTTCTTGTATTCTTTGTTGCGTAGCTGCTTCGCCTGCGAGCCGATACGAACCCTGTCGCCGACCTTTTTGATGCCCATGTCTTTCAGGTGCGTCTGGTCCATCTCCATTAGGTTCTCGCCGTTGATGTTGTTTTCTAGACAGGTCAGCCGATTTCGTCTGGACCAAGACACAGGGTCACGTACGCCTGAACAGCTCGACATATTGAGCACAGTTGATGCGCTTCAGCCAGTCGCCGACCTTCTCCTCGTCCCAATGCCTGACTGCATCTGGGGCATCGTATACTTCGGAGAACTCGGACTCGGTCGGCGAGGCATAGAGCGATTGATCTGCCCGGGAGGCAGCACCTTGATTGCGGTAGCTCGACACGCTGGCGCTGTATTGCGTGGATGTTTGCGAAGCCGACGACCCCAGCGAGGGCGCCGAATACGACGGCTTGGAGGCGAGCATGGCCATGGCTTGTGCGCCTGCGGGATGTGTGCGGAGGGGGCGGGTGACGGGGCGGGTGGGCTGTCAGACGTGACGCTTCTCGTGTGCGGCTACAACGGCACCTCTGTCTCTTGTCTCTTGTCCAGGAGTGCCAGGTCAACCACGCATAATGGGTCGTGGATAGGGACTGTCGGGGTGCTTGTGGATGGCGTGACGCGTGCCGCTCAGTGGCAGGCTGTCCTGGGGGGCCTCGAGTGCCGGCGAGGTGCAGTTGCGGAGGTTGCACGACAGTGGTGCGTGTTGGTGCGAAGGGCAGCGGCGCAGCGGGTGCCCCGGGGTGGGCGGCGGGTGGTTCAGCGCGGGCGGGCGGCGGGCCACGCTGGCGAAGGAGGCTCTCACGGGACCGAGTGCGTCGGTGTCGAAGGGGTGGTGAGCGAGGCAGCGGGTGAGGCTCGGCGTCCGGCGTGCTGCAGCGGCGCCGTGAGGGCGTTCAGCGCTTTATGGCTAGCGACGCAGCGGGTCGGGGGTCGGGGGTGGCGGTGGGCAGAGCTACAAACACGCGCAGGTCTCGCATGAAACAACAGAAATCACGAGCGGCGGGAGCGACGTAGAAAAGGCGGAGCAGCCGTGCAGGAGCTGTGTCTGACTGAATGTCGACGACGCACTGAGACGGCCAAATCTAAAACACGCTAGTGCCTCAGAGGGCGAACCGCACCGCTCCCGTTGCGCGCGCGGGCATGGCAATCATCCCGTGCCATCTCTCCGCACGTCTCTCTCCGCAGCGACTTCGCGTGGCGCGCTCCGTGAGATTGTCCATGATGCTGCGACCGCCTGTGAGCAGCGCTGTGTCTACTTGCAGCGGGCCTACACGGCGTGGCTCACGCTCCTGCTGCAATGCTCGCGACGGCGCCTCGGCCGCCCGGGCCACTAGCCACTATCTGCGAGACCCTGACCCTAAGCCGCCCTGAGCAGCAGCAGCACCCGCCAGCAGCAACGCAGCCGTATCGGCACGTCTTTCCTGGCTGCGGGCCTGCCCAGCCCAGCGCGCACCGGCAGGCCGCCGGTCGCGAGGCGCGCGTGCGTGCTCGATCCACCGCCTCAGCCTTATTTCCCGCGTCCGTTTCACGGTGCGCTCGCCCACACTACGCCACGCTGCAGCCGCCCAGGTGCACTGCACACACATAGCCACGGCGACCGGAGCAAGCGCTTCCTATTGCTCGTGCTCCAGAAACGCTGTTATCGCCGCGTCGCCCACATGTTTATTGTTTTGCCCGCCCGCAAGAGGCTTGTCCCTGCAGCCAGAGTTGAAACCACGGCGCACGGCCGGTCAGTGCCCAACTTAGCCGTCCGCCTTGTCCGCGCTCGTTGAAACAAAGATGACGAAGAAACAAACATCGTGACGCGGCAGATGGGAGCATGCTCGCACGTCCTCCGCACGTTGCGGTACCGAGAATCATATGGCGATGTGATGTGATGAAGGCTGCTGCACGCCGTCCTCCGTCGTTGTTCAGTGACGCCGTCCTCCGTCGTTCAGTGACAGCGGCCGCCCCACATGCTGTAAACCACGCACGCGGGCGCCTGGCACCAAGTAGCGCGCTATAGTGCGTGTACACACGTCCTTGGAGCTACGAGGTACCTAGGTACATGCGATCGCAAGGTACTCGTGTCTCTTGCGGGACCTGAACAACAGCGAAGCCGTATCAAGTCAAAGAGTTGGGCATGCATAGTAGGTCGAGTCACCCTGTGCTCGACCATGTGCAAACAATTTCACTGGCGAGGGCCTGGCCTCAGCCTGCGTCTGGTCGCCATGTTGACACGAAAGCCCAGTGTCTTTTGCTGCATGTTGCGAGGTCCTGACATGACGTTCTTGGTACTTTCAACCAGCCCTTCTATCGCCCTGACGTTTGCCCATTGCGAGCGATGGCTGTTCGCGACACCGGCACATACAAGCATGCGGCCTTCGACAGGATCCGAATCGCTGCACAATTCGTGCAACTCGCGGTCCAGACGATGGGCGAAGCATGGTGATTCATCAAGTCGATCATGTCCAACTGCTTTTCTTAGAGCAATGAATGACGCCGCTCGCGAAACAGTGCGCCCCCAGGTATGACGCAATGCGGCATTCCGCGCCCACCACGGCCTGTTCCCACGAGCTCCACATGCCGTACCAAAGAACCTCGCCGCACGTGGAAACTCTGCATTCTCACCAGTCAACGTCTCTGCAGCGCATCACCGCCGCTTCCTGTGATCCGATCAGCGAACCATTTCCTCTTCGCGACAGAAGCAAGGTGTTCTCCTGAGCAAGGCCGGCTCTCGTTTCCACGGCTCCGCCTGCTTACGACAATATATCCTGCACCTGCACCTGCACCAGTCTCCACCAAACTTCTGTTCGTCCCCTCCCGCAGCATATATCGACGCATATTGCATGGGCACCACGCACCAACTGCAGCTTCCCTTGCTGCACCCCCAACGTTTTACCTAGTCAACCAGTCGACATCACTCCCGGCCAGTAAGCGTCATCGGACAGGGCTACACCGCTGGTATAAGCTTCCACCATGGACAGCAGCTACGGCAGTCCGGACCCTCACCAGGCACCGTACTCGTCGTCTTACGATCCACGCCCCTATTACCCGTCGTCCTATCAGCAAGATGCGAGCTTTCGCGACCCACAACGCCCTAGATCTCCCGCTTCATCCAGAACTACAAACGACGGACATGCGCAGCCTTATCAGCAGCCACTCCAGCAACCACTCCACAATGCGCTCAATAACGCATTCGATAAGTCCGACTCGGCAGGCAAAGTCGACCCTGAGCTCATTGCGCAAATCACGGCCGAGGTGAAAAAGTCGGTGCTGGATGAAATCAAACTGGGAATGGGTGTCACTGCGCAGCAGCCCGTTGCACCGCCGCAGCAACCGTACCCCCCGCAATCGCCCGTCTCTATGACATCCATCCCTTCGCGAAACGTGTACACACCACCATCGCCCAAACAAGCAGATCTATCCAGCCACGGAAGTGCTTCTCCCGACCCTCCATCGCACGATCCTCTCTTCGATGGTACTGGAGACACCCCAACACCCAGGCACGAACGCAGCGCTCCGGTTGATATTCCACACGAACGTTCAATCCCGCGGCCTGCAGCAGCCCCAAGGATGCCCACGGACAGTGATCTAACACCTATTGAGAGACGATGGCAACACTTGTTCGACCCGCAAGGCCAGCCCACTCCTCGCCTAGGCGAATTCCTGCGAGGCCTTGCCATCCACCTGGTTAGTACTGATGGTCGCCGTTATATTCATCTCCTAACATGGCCAGATCGACGATTACGAACCAAAGAAGAGCCTAGTCATCTCACCGTCTAAGATGCTGCGGTTTTACAGTGACGTGAAACTCACTGAGGAGATCTACCCCTGGGACAGTGAGTTCGAACCATTGAATACATTGCAACATGTTGACATAAAGACAGCCATTTTCGGGAAACTGCCTTACTCGACGCTGTGTAAGATATACCGAGACATGCGTTGCGAGCACCATCTCATCCAGGAACATGCCGCGGCTCAGCCCGACATTCCTGCTCTCACTCCTTTGGGGTTCCAAGAATGGATGACAGCCATGATACAAGCTTATCCCGATGCTGAATATGAACGCCTCTCGAGGGCGGTTCTGGACATGCCGATCAGCAACGCCGACGACTGCAAGGAGCGCTTCCCGAAGGAACTCCCTCGCCGTCTCTTCCCTCACATTGAGAACCTGCAAGCTCAACAGCGATGCGCTGCTGCTTTATCTCCGGAGGGCGTCGGTCCTCTCCGCAGAGCTCCCACCTTTCCGCCGCCACCGCCTCCACCAATGAGCCAGAGTGCAAGCGTGCCGCCGAGTCTTGAACGAGAGCGCAGTCCCTACACAAGCCGACCAGACCCAAGAGCTGTTGTATCCGAAGATGAAGACAATGTGCCTATATCCATACCTATAGAGCGTGAGAGGAAACCCTACGCTGCCGCCCCAGGCGGCGGCAAAATGCACGAAGACGACAACACTCGCGGTACAACTTCAGACGCACCGTTGCGCGAACAGCGCCGGCGAACCCAGTCAACAGCGAGCCAGTACCCATACGTTCCGCCCGCCGACCCATCTCAGTATCCGCGATCCGCCACGCAGACCAACAGCCGGCGACCTAGGAGCCCCAGCTTCTCCAACTACGGCAAATCCTCCGACCCTAACGTACGAGACATGTCTGGGGCATACTATAACAGCAACATGTACGGCGAAGACGAGGAAAAACGGAGATTTGCTAAAGACGCTGAGATGAGGAGGGAATGGGCCGCTCGTCAAGCAGACCACAGCAACGCAGGCCACCAGCGCCGAAGTACCACGGGCACCGACAGTTCCCACGACTCTCAGTCTCGTTCCGTGTACGATGACGATCATTACCGGGGCAGGAACGGGAGCAATGGATACGACAGTCGTAGCGGATACGATTCGCGGCGATACTAGAGAAAAGTTTCGGAGAGGAGCAAAGGCTGGGAAACGTGCGCGATTCGCTAGCGCTCACGACGTTACGAAATCCGATACCCTCACTTCTGGTCTGTTATTTCCCTTGTGTAGAGTTATGTTTTCCTTCTTGGATACCTTTTCAGCTGTTATCCTCACTGTCAGTCGGTGCGGGTCGTTTCATTTGACATACCCCTTTTGTAAGCGCAATGTAGTTGGAACAGACCTCGTTTTCATTTGAATTAAGAGCATTTCGATATCATCTAACGACTTATGTGTGACTCTTGTTGAGAACCAATTGGCTCTGCTGTGTTCTCGGATGTCGCGCGTGCGATCTCTGTGCTGAGCCTGCTGGAAGCACCCCCAAGCACATAACCGTCCATCGTGTAGCTACCTCAACCTGGAGTTGTGTGTTCTTAGGAAATCACGCAAAGGATATCCGACATTCACATAAAGAGAACAACAGGCCCACAACGCGCCGATGTCATTGTTGAAGACCTCACTGCATTCGATATAACCCTGCAGGACCGATCCTCGCTTCCAACTTCTCAGGTGGAAGTGGCATCCAACATCGCCTCCTCGCTACACTAACGCACGGCGCGCGCAAGTACACGGGACGTGAGCATATGAAGATTTGGAAGGTAAGCACGGGCTTGTCTTCTTCGCTTCAAGTCCTTGCCATGCATGCGCTGATGATGCTGTTGTGAGCGGGGCACCTTGGTTGATAGATGAGGGACGACCTGCACGGCCAGCACATGGACGCAAGATGTCAGCACATCAAAATTCTGAAGGCGAGGATGGGACGTATCTTGTCTTCATCTCGCGTCCATGGCATGTGGAGTGGCGCTGCCGCACATCTTTCCCTCGTATTGAGCGCTGGCAACTCACGACTAGGTGCCCGAGGGAGTAAAGGGGATTTGGGGTTGTGCATCGCTGATTGGGTGAATATCGAGTGGGGGGTGGATCGTCGGGGGCCGGGGGCAGTAGTGTACCGTCCGGGAACAAGGACTAGAAATACCTCGTGTGGCTTGGATGCGCGCTGATGGCGGTGGATACCCAAGTGGGCTTCTATCACCGCCTCTGCCTCTGGGGCAGTGCTGGCAGTACCGGAGCTCATCACCCTGATATGGCGAGATATCCTACCGCAGGTGCCCCTGCCATCGCACCTGCACTTTGATATGGCTGCGTCCGTCACCCGCAGACATAGTTGTGAGTTAATCGTGCACAAGAAGGGTCTAGGAGCATCATTGGAATCTGCCTCACCAGTATATGCCTATCATAAATCCAACGGTATTTTCTAGTAAGTCATGCATCGGTACTAAGCCCTTAAGTCGGGCCTTCTACAGTACTAGGACGAAAATCTGGGTACCGTGCTTTCTCATGATAGGTAATAGGTAATACGAAGGTCGATTGCACTCGGTCTGTGTTCATGGTGTTATATGGAATTTCTGCACGACGGGTGGGTACAAGTCAACACCGTCTGTCCCCGCGGGCGCACGCGGGACTGGGAAGGTCTCTAACAACTCAGCAGGCTACTCCGTCACTCGCAAGCATTTCTCGATACAAGTGTACACCGGTACCAATAATGTTGACACCCTGGCTTGTTCAAGGCAAGGCCTTCGCGCGCGTTCCCATGGCTCTAGTACCTCGATACGTCACCTTCGTCAATCCACAGCACTTTCCACAGCGATGTTGGGCTTCTGCCTAGCACGCGAACAACAAGCCAGAGCAAAGGTAAGATAAGGTCTGTTGGTCGTCCCCGTGTAAGCGGGAGCTCTGAGCGCGGCGGGAACCGTGGAACAACGAACTCAACACCAGCGGCACCGCTGGCCTCGTTACGACTCTCACAAAAGCCCAAATACACACCAGAATCAAAGCTCTCAACGAACCGCATGTCCATTCCGGAGTATATGAAACACGAATCTACCAACATGGATATGCTCATGGCCTTGGAGAGCATGGCACGAACGAGCGCTACCGCCGATGCTTACACAGATGTGGGTCGGTGGATGCAGCTATTCGGGTCCACAGCTACACAGGCGAAGCAAGCAATTGAGGCTGGAGGGGAGGTGGTGCATGGGTTGACGTTCAGGTTCTGTGGCGATAAGTCGGAACTTTCGGGAGCGGTAGAGGATTTAGACGGAGCTGCTCCGGAAGAGGGGAAGGCGGTCTAGGGTATTGTATTCGCTATAGGGTGTACGGCTCCTGCTTCCAACTCACCCTCTGGACCTCTCTCATACGGTCGAACCTCAATACCGCATGCAACAACACCTCCGCCCCAATCGCACAGTCATCCTCCTTGCAAAACTCCTCGGGATTATGGCTCATGCCCTCCCTGCACGGCACGAAGATCATAGACGTCGGGCACCGCTTGCTCGCATACACGCTATCGTGTCCTGCGCCGCTCGTCATCTCCATCGTCAGGCTCTTCCCCTCCGGACCAAGGACCCTGTGCGCCGCCCGCGTCACAGCGTCGATGCAGCTCGCATGGAACGTTGTCGCAGGGCTGTCGAAGTCCTCGGTGATGCTCACGGTGCAGGGCAGACTAGGTGTTCCGCCGTCGTTCAAACCGGACAAATTCTCGCCCGCCGCGATCTTGGGGAAGTCTTGTTCTACGAGGGCAAGGACCCTGGCGACAGTCGCGTCGGCCGGTGCGCGGATATCGAGCGAGAAGCTGACGTCGCCGGGGACGGTGTTGGTGCTCCCGGGCTTGAGATTGAGGATGCCGGTGGACGCGAGCGCGTTGTTCGCAGTCGCCAGGCGGTGGCTGTGCAGGATCATCTTGGACGCAGCTAGCAGTGCGTCGGCGCGGCTCTTCAGGTCGGTCGTTCCCGTGTGTGTGTCGCGCCCTTTGACGTTGATGGTGAGCCACTTGTATGCCTGCACGCCTGTCACGACGCCGACTTTCTTGTTGGCCATCTCGAGGAGCGGGCCTTGCTCGATATGCAGCTCGAAGTGTGCGGCCATGGGCGTGGCCTCGTGGGAGGCGGGCACGGAGCCTAGGTACCCGATGCGAGAGAGCTCCTCGGCCATGGTTGCTGTGCCTGGATGTACTTCGCGGAGGTTGTGTGCGGTGGAAAGGGGTATGGAGCCCGCCCAGACACCGGAGGAGGACATTGACATGGGAAAACGGGCCCCTTCCTCGCTGTTCTTTGGTTAGTTTGACATGACATGGAACGCCATTCGGCTGGGGAGCGAGAGCTTGTACTTGGTCCAGTTGACGACGCCTACGGGGTACTCGGTCTCTATCCAGTTTTCGTTCAGCACCTTGAGCATCTCGATACCTGCGTGGACGCCCAGGATGCCGTCGTATCGACCACCGGTTGGCTGCGTATCTAAATGCGAGCCTGCGAACGTCGGCGGCCTGTCGTTCTTGAGTCCCGGTCGCACAGCGAAGATGTTGCCCATCTCGTCAATGGTGACTGTGCATCCAAGGTCTTCGGTCGTCTTCACGAACCAGTCGCGGGCTTGCTTGTCGGAATCTGAGAGCGCAAGGCGGGTCATGCCTGTTTCTGTTTCGGCTCTGAACTGCTTAGCTAGCTGAAGGCTGGTCTTGGGAGGGCAGCTGCGTACTTTCCCCACCGTTTGCCCGTGCCCCATTGACATGTGTGGTGCAAGTCTTCCATCAGGCGCTTCTTGTCAATTTTCAAGCTCTTAAGCGCATCCTCGTCCATCTCCCTCGTCATTAACCGCCGTCTGGAGGTCTGGCTGAAGCATCGCCTGGGCTCGTATCCGGACGTCAATTGCAACACTCTGGGGATCCTTTGCCACTGTCGGTGTGGATTGTTTGCTGCCGCGAGAGCTCCAGATGCATTCAGTGCTCTAGGTGCCGCGCATGCCGTCCTCCGTGCCATCTGTAGTGCAGCCTGGAAGCTGCAAGTTGGCGCTGCCATGCTGCGCACGAGTGTTTCAGAGGAAGGAACGAAGAGGAATCCATCGCGGCAGGAAGAATGTGTGACATGACCTAAACGCACCCGCGGGTGCCCGTGGCGTGAGGAGATAACGCGGGCACAGCGGGGTCGACCCCACGCTAAGCTATCGCCGAAATCATGCCGTTGGGGAACCTCGGAGAAAACGGCACCACAACTTGAGACAAGACCAAAGAATTCCTGATTGATGGCCTTCTATCCGAGTTGATTTACTGGGGTACCATCGATGACCTTCTCGCGATCAATGGGCCCCTGATCCGGGTTTCGTCAAGCCACTTCCCCTCTTCAGCCACTGTAGCCGTACCTGCTCAATCGACGTCTCGCCTCCCATTTCTTTCTCCACAACCTCGCTCACAAACCTCAGTCTTTCCTCCAAGGTGCCTTTTCCCGCAATCTCATTCCTTTTCCGCCCTATAATGGCAATGTTGCGGGTCGAAGGTATTCTCAAATGCTCTTTTTCTGGAACCCAAGACATCTGCGCAGACAGATGCGCGACGTAGCTGCACAGCGAAGTGTATGCAGACACTTGCTTTGCCGTATTTGTGGTAGGTGAAGGGAAGTGTTTGCGATGATACGGAGCGCGGAACCTTGTGCCGCCGAAATCGTGGCTGCAGCAAGGTATGGCCATGAACGGGCTGTCTGAAAGATAAGCCAGAACGGGTGTCCATGCTGTGAGTTCGTCGGCGTGGTTCGAAACGATGAAGGTCCCTCGTGGGAAGAGGCCGTTCTGCCACGGCGGTGAGCCATTGGCTATTGATTCATCGATAACCAGCTTCTGCAGGACTTCCGGGACGAGCAGCATCTCTTTGACGTGCTGCTGGTACGACTCGCCAAACGTGTCCCATGTTTTGCGTCGGCGTGCGTCGAAGCCCCAGCCCTTCCATCCCTCCTTGTTAAGGATGTACACCAGCAGACCGTTACCGCACCCAATATCTACGAAACCGGGAAAAGCTTGCTGTGCCAGTGATCGCCTCACGGTTTGGAGCTCCAGCCGTAGATGCTCTCTATCCTGGGGATCCACGCTGTCTGGCTGGTCGTATGCCTTTGGAGTGCCGCCGTACATGTCCGTCCAAAGCTCGATCAGGAAAGCCGCTATCCCTAGGTCTTCAAAGACGTGCTTCTGTGCGGGTGTCTGTTCGACCCAGTTGTCAATAAGCTCTCTGGCATATTCTCCTTTTAAATAGGCATATGTATCTTGGAAGGTCTTTTGTGGAATGATGACGTCGTGGTGGACGCGTTTCTGATACCCTTTCACACGTCCCCGGGCGTGCTTGTGAATGATTTCCAACATTTTCAGCGCAGTCCGTGACATACGATTCTCCAGTGGCCTTTCGGAAAAGAGGTCGTAGTAGAGTGACAGTGTACCCGGTGCTACACCTGGCGGAGGCTGGTTCAAAAATGTGTACAGGATGGCCACGCCTCTGACTTTGGGGTGATAGAACGGTATCGAATCTACGTTTGCGACATGGGGAATGTATACCACTAAATACCGTTCGGCATCAAATTTGCTGTTGCTACCGTCTTTTGCTGGAAGTATGACCTGCTCGGTAGAAGTGTAAAGATGGCATGTTTGCTGCAAGGCTTCGTCAAGCTTGGGATTTCTGGGTATTAGTTTTCGGACCACGGTCCACTCGAGCTTATATCCTGGCACCCCTCCAAGTATCAGGCGCGGTTGATGATCGGGTTTCAGGTGCTTGATTATGCCCGCGAGCTCTTGTGGATGAGATGCTTCTGGATTGTACGAAGCATCCGTAAAACTCTTGTACGAGAGCTCCGCCCGAGACAGGTGGGACGCAGTAAGGTTGGGATTCTCCAGCAGATTCCGACTGACGTCGAGGAAGTACTGCGGTGGGAAATTCGCAGGTGCTGACTGCACAATGGTCCATATCTCAGGTGGAAGGCCAGAGTCGGCGACCGAAGTATTTGCCAAATCGACGGGCTCGAATTTGCTTCCGGGAACGGCTTGAGAGTCACCTGCCGCTTCATCGTATGGAGGCTCGCTTGCGGTATTGTGAGTCAAAGACTCTGCTGTAGATTCCTGCCCGCCATGTTCTTCCGGCTTGCAGGGGACCTCTGGCTCTTCTTGGACAGCCATGCTTTAGAAAGAGTGGTAGTGGTAGAACCGTCTGCCGGTTGAGGAAAAGCCTGCGAGTTTACACAAGTTGACAAAATTTCCAAATGCAGCTAAGCAGATTCAGTGTTCCTCGGTGCCAAGGCGGTTTTTGCGTCGTCTCGTGGGCTCCCGTTAGCTAATGGGAAGCCGTGGAAATGGTTTCTCCGACATGCGACCAATCAGAGCTCGTTTTACAGCCCACTTCAGCCTCCCTTCTCACCTGGGCATCATTCACCATTGACCAACTGCTTCCGAAGAATAACCATAGCACTATCGGAAGGGACGCAGTCAATGAAGCGCGCGAGTAGATCAGCTGCTGCGAACCCATAAGTTCTGCCATAATTCGTAATGAACTGCTTGATTGACTCACAGCCTACGTCCCACCTGTCTCGCATAAGAATGGTTCATAGAGGGTGCAACCCAACATCGTAACAATTCGATAGGACATCAGCTCTAAAAGTTTCTCCTCACGTTTGCATTTCTAGCTTGCGTCGTTCCATCAATCAACGCCTTCACTGTATCACAATGGCTTCCTCAAGCTCATCGCAAACCTCGATCGAGCTCCAACCCGTGGGCGCAAGCTCGAACGAACAGACCCCCATCAGAGACAACAATGATCCAGCAGAGTTTCTCCCGCAGCCCTCGACCACCGTCAGCGTCATCGAAAGATGGAACCACCCCAAATCCAACATAGCCAAAACCGGTGCTACCTTCTTCGCCTTCCTGCTCATGGGCGCAAACGATGCGTCCTACGGTGTCATGATCCCCTACGTAAGTGCCGTCGGGATTTCTCCAGCGCCAACTAACCCCTGCAGATCGAAGAGCATTACACTCTCTCGTACATCGTGGTCTCGCTGGTCTTCCTCTCACCCCTAGTTGGTTATGCCGCCGCCGCCATGCTCAACAACTGGGTACATGTCCGCTTCGGCCAGCGCGGCGTCGCCTTTCTAGGGCCTCTGTGCCACATCGCCGGATGGCTCGGTCTCTCGCTGCATCCACCCTATCCCGCGTTTGTCGTTATCTTCGTGCTCGTGGGCTTCGGCAATGGCATCGAAGACGCGGCGTGGAATGCCTTCTTCGGCAACATGGCCAATCCGAATGAGCTTCTGGGGTTTCTACATGGGGTGTACGGGCTTGGTGCGGTGCTGAGTCCGCTTGTGGCTACCAATCTGATCACAGAGGCCGGGTGGCGCTGGTATGCGTTCTATTACATTTTGGTACGTATTCCGAATAGCTTGGAACGAACACGCTTCTGATGGGTCCCGCAGCTTGGAGGTGGCGTGATAGAGTTGATCACATCGCTCTGGGCTTTCTGGCCTGTCTCAGGCCGCGTCTACCGAGAGTCACACCCCCGTACAGCATCTGGGAAGGACAGCCGACTGCAAGAATCCCTCGAGAGCCGTGTTACGTGGGTGGTGGCTTTCTTCCTGCTCTGCTATGTAGGCATCGAGGTAGCTCTAGGAGGCTGGATCGTGACCTTCATGCGGCGCGAACGCTCCGGCGAAGCATTTGCTTCTGGTATGGTGGCGACGGGCTTCTGGACGGGAATTGCGCTTGGCCGCGTTTTCCTTGGCTTCCTGACACCAAAGCTGGGAGAGAAGTTCGCTGTGACGGTAAGTGGACTTGTGTGCGCAGTCAAAGGAACCCGCACTGACGAAAGGCGTAGGTGTACATCCTCCTTGCCATGGTCTGCCAACTCATCTTCTGGCTCGTCCCCTCGTTCCATGTTTCCGCCATTGCAGTCTCATTTCAGGGTTTCTTCCTTGGGCCCCTCTTCCCAGCAGCCGTGGTTGCAGCAACCAAGGTTCTACCAGCGCATCTCCACGTTTCCGCCATTGGATTCGCAGCAGCCTTCGGTGGAGGAGGTGCCGCCATTCTTCCGTTTGGTGTCGGCGCTCTCGCGCAGTCCAGAGGCGTCACGATCCTCCAGCCGATCATTCTTGCCATCCTAGCTTTCTGTTTGCTCTTGTGGCTTTGCATTCCTGCTGTTGCAAAGCCGTCGCCAGGAAGCTCGCAAGAAGAGCGGAAGTCACGCCAATGGATCAATATCGATTTCGATCTTGTGGATGCTGGAAAGCGTACAATCCAGAAGGCCAGGAGTGGGACGAGCAAAGTTGCAACACAGTAGGTGAACTTGGACGTTTGTCACATGGAGCTGTCCGGGCTGACAGTGCGACAGGCTGCCAGCGCATCCGCTTGTAGCAGAGGCGGAGCCAGCCTGCAGCGTTGCAGAAGAGCCAGTCCGACGGGGCGTTCGGCAGAAGATCGCAGAGCACCGAGAAGCGCGAGCAGAGAAGAAGCACATCAGGAAAGAGATCCAGAAGCTGAACCACGAGCGGCAAATTCCTGCGTTCGTGGTGCTGCAAGGCGTGGATCCTGCGTCTGACGAGCCGCCTCCGTACCGAAACGTGTATCTCATGCGGCAAGCAGCGCGGCGAGAAATCGCAAGTCCGGGCTAGATGTCGTTCCAGCGTTCAAAATCGTCATGTATTGTTTCGTTGGCGGGTGTGTGAATGCAACGCCGCTCGTCCAAGTCTATCAAATCGTCTCTATATCTGTGACGCACCCCCCAGCTTTCTCTCGTTTCCCGCATTCTCCTCCCCAGGCTCGTCTACTGCTTTGTGGCGCCGCCCTTTGGCTTGGCCTCGCCGTAGTAATGAGCCATCTCCAGCCCGGCCCTCCGGAAGCCGCACTTGACGTAGAAGCCCTCGTTCGCCTCGGAGCAGTCCAAGATGCTCTTGTAGCAGCCGACCTTCTCGGCGACAAAGTCGAGCGCCTGGATGATGCGCAGGCCAAGCTTTTTGCCCTGCTGGTCCTTTGCGACGGCAATGTCCTCGATGTGGCCGACGAGCCCGAGATTGTGGATGAACTTGCGCTCGACGATGAGGGCGCCGGTGCCGACGACGCGCGAGGCGGAGTCGAGGATGGAGATCATGAAGTATTGGTCGTTGTGCTGCGTCAGCCACTCGTAGCGCTGGTTCCATTGCTGTGTCCACGCCTGTCAGCCATCATTCCGCGTGGATGCCGCTGTTTGAGGCAGCCGTGCAGGGAGGAAGGGCTAATTGCGCACCTCTTCTGTGACGTCGCCGACAGTGGTCAGCACGCGCAGCACATCCAGAAAGCCTTTTGCGTAGTCGCCTCGCTGCAGCGGCCGGATTGTGTAGCCTTCGGGGAGCTGTGACTGGACTTCAGGGGAGATAAGAGACGCGCTGAAGAGCGGCATCGAGTCGTCGGTGACGGGCGTGAGGAGCGACATTGTGTATGGCGTGGCGCTGCTACGCGGCACAGGATCGAGGGTTGCGGAAGCGCTGTTGTGCTGTCGCAGCGTGAAGTGCGGCGTCGCGGCTGCGTTTGCGGGGTGGTGGGGCAGGCGGTGAGGCGGACGCGTAGCTCGTTTCGGATGCCTGCTTGTGCGGAGGGATGAAGATAGGTTCGTATATTGCAATTGAGTATGTGTGTCGGATGGGAGGGCCTTTTTGCACTCGAGATGGAGGCTAGGCGTAGTTATTTTTGTGATGGTTGCTGAGGCTGAGGTCGTTAGTCTTGTGCTAGTCAGGAACCAATAGTCCGGACCTGCCGTCATCCTCTTCAACCTTCCATTTCTGTTCAAAGACAATGATCACACAGTAGTGGCTGTTGTATGGTCTACCAGTCTTACGCGATAGACTGATGGCAGCAAATGAAGTGGACAACCCTGGGACACGTGAGGAGATTATCCCAGGTTGATCTCTACAATCATCACGAGCACTTCCACCTGAGCAGATATTCGAATGAATAACCCAGAAGCAGGAGCACATAAGCACGCGGGAGCAAACAGAAAGCCTTTCAGACCTGACTGAGCTAGGGCAAGAGCCGAGATATGCAGAGCCAAAGAAAACATACAACAGCGGGACGTCTGACGTAGAGCACGCTACGCTGCTGATGACCTCAGGAAGCGAAAACGTCAATTGCGGCACAGCTCGACAACGTCGAGCGCGCGCTTTCTTTTCGTGACCATGCGTAGGTATCTTTTTCGTGTCACGACTTTGCATATAATGTCATATGCCACAAGTCGCGTTTGTATGCATCTGTAACTGGCATAAGTGAGTCGACATTTACGACATCGCAGAACAGATCCATCTCTGTCGTAGGTTTTGCAGCATACCATCGCCTTTTGCGCATGCCTCGTGCGTGAATCCAACTGGCGTGCATTAATTCCTATCTTTGTGTCGCCAGCCCATCGCATGTGGTTTGATGAACACCAGACCCACATGGCTTTGGCATGGCAAAAGCTGTGCTATCTGAGAGTGTGTCCATCGCACCTGACTACGAAGAAAACCGTGACAGTCCCACCAGCTCCGCCACAATGCAGGAGTTCAAACGCTGCTAATATTACTCCTGAGAACTCTCTCCTCATTTCCACGTTCCTCGTACCGCGTTTCGGGCTTGCAACCGCGCAGCTTGTAAACGAGCTTGATGCTCCTTCGGCGGTGCCGCGCGCAACGCACTGGGCGCTTTCCGGATGTAACCCTTCAGGCCCACCTCACAAAGTCTCACTATTGAATGCCCATTAGAGATCATCAATCTACGATTCCATGGAAGTATTGTTAATCGATCAAGAAACTAATGGCGGCTGGAGAACATGTTCCATTTGAAGTAAAGCGATCATATATGATCGAAATTTGCGATCAAGCAAGTGAAAGGATATCTACAATGAAAATCGTGACAAGTTATAGAAAACGAAGCACGGCGACGCGTTGGGGAGGAAAATACTCGATGTCAGCAGCACACCATCTTCTAGGCTCCCTCCACCCATTCAATATCCCCCACTGAAGACAACCACATCTAGTTGTGCCTACGGCGCCTCCTGTCGACGGCGTACCCGCCAGCAGCTGTAGCTGTGACAGTCACGGTAACCGGAGGTGGCGTGACTGTCACAGTGGCTGCGTTGGTGCATTCACTGCTCTCGGCATCCGCCGGAAGAGCCTCAGATGCACCGCCCGGGACTGCAGTGTGGTAGTGGTGATGGCCATGGCGGCTCTTGCTCACCAACGTCGTTTCGGGGGCAGGGTTGGACGTAGACTCGGGAGTCGCTGTCGACTCGATGTCTGCAATGGTAGCGACAATGCTCGAAACGGCGCTGATGGCTTCAGAGCTGCGAGGAAAGTCAGAAGCGAACTGTACATGGGTGGTAGCGGGACTTACGCAGCGGAGGAGATGATAGAAGCGGCGGCGCTGGTGGCTGACGCAACGGCAGAGGTCGCGTCACCAGCACCCGGAGCAGCGGCGGCAGTGCAGTCAGGTCCAGAAACGGCGGTGGCTTCTCCGGGCCCCTCTTGGATTGGATTGCAGCCGGGGAGCTTCTCGACAACACCAGCCTCGTCAGCGAAGGCCGATTTGGCGGCACAGGTTGAGATATCGGCATCGTTGTTGACGTTCTCGGCACCAAAGCACTCCCTCATTTGGTCGTCACCACATCCGCATCCACAGTTGCAGTACCCATCGTCAGAGGTGGCCTTGGCTAGAACACCCTTTGCCCAACCGTTCTTGAAGTCAGCGTGCATTCCGAAACCAGTTGGGTCACCTTGAGCGAGGACCCAGGGGTTATCATTGGCACTGTACTGTCCGTCGAATGCCTTGACGTCCCACCAGAATTCAATGAAGATTGCGGGGAAGCGAGCAGCTTGGAAGCCTTCTGGGCAGGCGTCGATACCCGAGCCGCCACCGGATGGGTAGGCCATGTGTGCGTTCGGTTTCTTCGGGTCGAGTGCGTTGCCGTTCCAGCAAGAAGGAAAGGTAAGCTGAGTGGTCAAGCCTTGACCGCAAGAAGTGAATCCAGTAGGGAAGCCCTTCGCCGTGATCCTCGAGTAGTCTTCGCCAATGCAAGTCCAGTCTATGCCAGCCTCGTTCTTCTCGTCTTCTGACCGCCTGAATGGGTCACCGGCGATCATGGAAAAGTCTTCGGGGAACTCGGAGATGTTCTTAGCTTTGGCGTTGCCGTTATCGCCAAACTTATAGTAGATCTTGAGGAAGGAGTTCGGCACGGGGTACATGCCAGTACCGTTTCCGTTCCAGTAGAGAGCCGGGCGCCAGTACAAACTCTTGTCTGGCTTGATACGCGCAGTGGTGCAGTCCGAACCTTGCAGGCTCTCGTAGGAAACATCAGCGCTGAGAGCGTTTCCGCCATCGAAGTCGTGCATATGAGGACTCTGTTGGCCAGGGAACAGAGCGGGATCAAGTCGCTGCGAGCTCATAGCAGGGCCATGACGGTTGTAGAAACTGAAGTAGGGGCCGTGGCAGTCAAAAGCAGCGGCAGTAGCAGCCAAAGCGGCCGTAATGGCGAAGATGATAGAATGCATCGTTCACAATGTAGGCTTGAAGAAAGATATCGAATGGAGATTGACAGCGTCAGGTCAGCGAAGAGGCTGAGTACTGTATGAACGAACGAGTCTCAGACTCTTGAAATGAATGTGATTTGAAGAAAGAATGGATGGTACAGCTGTACCGAAAGGCAGAAAATGAGTGAGACCGTGGGGTACACAAACCCCCGGGGCGAAGACATGATATTTGTATGTCGGAAGTTGAACCTGCGGGCGCCCACGCGGGCGCCAGCACAAGCCCGCGTGGTTCGCCCGAGCGCAAGACCAAGCATCTGGATTCGCTTGATGCTCACGTCTGGGCGCGAAAATGCTGAATACAGTCGAGATACGGACTAAAATTAATCAAAGGGGAGTCCGACGCTCCTCCCCGTGGCGTCCCGCCCACTCTGGCAGTTGTGGATTGCGCGTGGCAGCGTTGGGGTCGGAAACTCAGAAATGAGAACGCATTTGACGAATAAGCTGCCGCATGGGTGCAGGATTGTGGAGAGTTATGAAACGCGCGGTGCAAACGGATGGCGCTGGGATCGCCCGCGGGTTTTAGGTGTTCTAAACGGATCGCTGGTCGCTAACTCTAAAACTGACTTTGCGCTGTCACTTCGGCAGGGGCTCGCAGCATCTTTCCCATCGGCCTTTCGAACAGTGGGAAGAACGACCCTATTGAGCAAAACTCTTCTCCTAGCGCTTCCCCGTTTTCTCTCCTGCTCCAGTTGGTGACGCTTCAAACGACCGCTCAATCCAGGTGGAAAGGATGAATCAACGGCTTATCAGAGCGGACTTCTGCTGCTTCCCATATTCGTAGCTCCGAAGCCCGGCTGTTCCTGCATTGATCCCGTTCGCGCCGGTCCGCGCCTAACTGAACCATGGAAACGACTAACACTTTAATCAACGCTATCTGCACGCCGGTATCCTACATACTCGAACCAGCTTCAGGTGTAATTGAACACCGAAAGTATTTCCATCCTTTGTGTCGAGATCGTAGCCTGGTGGCGACAGCAGCTATTTCATACGCTTCACTTGATGGCATCATCATGGCTGGCTACCGCGGTAGGTATAATCATGCGAACAGTAGCGATAAATGAGATTAGGGATGTGGTCTGCTGTGGTAATCTTGATCGACCGGGAGCTAGGTGGAGCGACATGTTTGAGACCTGTCGATCGAGACATGACGTACCAGAGATATTTTAGGCCTCACGTTTTACTACGCACCCCATATGCATGTGCACTGTATGGTAGCTTTTATGGGAGACTCCATAGGTGTTACACGTCGAACATAAACTTATTCTGTTCATGACACTGCATGTTTTCTTGGAGGGAGACACATTGCAATCACGATCATCGATCCACCGAAATCAGTTTCGGAAGCTCAAGCGAAGTGGCGCATATACGTCCCGATGGTTTCCAGGTGCTACTCAAATCATCAGTGCAGGTAGCTGCCTGGCGAAATTAGTCCGTTGTGCCATCATAGACCACGTACAACGGGCAAAAAGGTTTGCGGCATGCAGTAGAAGTCGCCAATCTCCGCATTGTAGCTTGTGGGGTTGTACTTTGCGAGACGATCACGTTTGTGAAGCCAGCACTCTCCATCCCACGAGATATCACCAGACCTACAGAGCTGGTAGATCTTGCTCTTAAGAGGGCGATCAATTCTGTGCACCAAAACCATGCTGGGTTGGGTATACCTATGCTACTTTGTTACAGGTGAGCGAGGCGTGAGAACACTGATACCAGTGCACGGATAGCAAGACAGAAGCACCTCTGGCCAGACATTTACCAGTCCACGAAACAGAGATTGCTCTACGCTGCCAAAGGTTGTACGCCACGATTATTCAACACACACAATTGATAGATATTTCTTTTGGAACAGTCACACGTGAGTCTGGGAACTCACTGTGATGAACGCTGCAACTCAAACGAGAGGTAGACAGAGATTTATTGATATAATATCAGCTGCTGAGTCAAATCCTATCATGGAAAAGTGCAACCACGCCAACCCAATGGCATTTGGAGTACATGTTATGCCACCAACTTCGATCACGACCCAGATAAGCGACTGCAGAGGTCTGAATCTGATTACGGCCTCCCAGGCTCAAGAACTATGGCATTCTTGCTAAATGCTCATCCATACAAATATCACCCAACTTCGCGAACGACTTATGTGATAGTAATGATCACGTGCCTGCCCCACATGGAAGGACCTCCAAGATACCTACATTCGTGGGCTCGAACGAGCCGAGGCCGCGACACGTACCAGGTCCATCGCACATTTCTTATTCCTGCTTCAAATAAAGTCCATTTTGCATCGCATGTGCTCAATGCGCGAAGCTTCAGTCCTCGGAGAGAGAATCCTTCCAATGGCCGTTTCCTGTTGCGACAACACCTGTGAACCTTGACCCGATGGCAGCAGTAGCTACAACCGGTCGGCCAAGCGTTAGGGTAAGGGCAGGTACTGAGCAATCGTGCTGCAGCGAATCTCGGCAGATTTCTTGCGTCATACGCTTTATTGCGCCAGGAGCGGATTCGTGGAGAGGCTTCTAGTGTCCTCTCTAAATGAAAGGTGTGTCCAGCATAGTATGCCGGCTTTCGCTTCGGAAGCTACGCTTAATCCTTCTGCCCGAGCTTGTCCTGTGCGACTGCGGGTTTTGGCAAGGAGCCACCAATGACCAGAGCAGTCTTGATAGCTACCATCTTGCAAACGCAGCTGTCACTGCGATCAGTGGCGCATATAGTGTTACTCAACAGCGCATCGTGAGACGATTTGTCTGCCACTTTGAAATTGCGCATTGATCGGGTAACGCAACCACACGACCAAAGGATCCCTTGAACGACGGCATCTTGCCCTTGCGATACAAGCGCCCACTGGCATTATCAGTGGAAGCTGTGGTCTGGATGAGCATTTGACCAAGTACCCGGGGAAATCGCGACGGACCGCCGACAATTTGCCTTCCAAAACGAATTGTCGAAGCGGGACGCCTCCGAATTGACAAGGCTCGTATTGCGTTGCACCCCTCAAGTCACGCTTCAGACCTGGATGTCGGGCCCTGTCGCTCCAGACCAAGCGACAGCCTCCGTTACCATCTAGAAGCCGGAAGAATACTCATGTATGCTGGTGTTAGAATCGGTCCATATCACTTTAGGTCGGAGAACCAGACTTTATTCAGACGACTTAGTATGCTTTTCACATATTATAGAGTCCACGTGAACCGGTGGCATTCGTCTGTAGACCAGGGTGATCACTGCCTTGCAGCCGTCGTTTAATATACAGACCCTTGTTTATTGCGGGGGAAAGCCAGCGCGGACAGCCGGACAGAGTGGGCCGGGGTCGATACCCACACGAAGGCGGTGCCGCCCAAGCTGTTATATGAGCGTGCCCGCACGCGTAGGCGCGCGCTGTGCGTTCCGCGGTTTTCGGTCGAGGCCACCTCGCTGTCAAAATGCCCAGGTATCCGCTCCAAGATACTTGCCTGGCTGTGATCACGTTCACACCAGTACTGGCCTCAATATTTGTCGCACTCAGGATATACACAAGACGAAAGCTCAACCTGCGACTAGGATGGGGTAAGCGGCTTGCGACATCTCACTTCGCAGTGCTAACGGTGTTCCTTAGACGACTGGTTGATAGTTTTCCCGACAATACTTTCTCTTGCGCTTATCGGGCCCTCATGGAGACGTGAGTGTCACACTGGGCTCAAAAGCACACCTTTCTGACCTCTGCGCAGATGTCAAAATGTGGCACGTCGGGATACATATATTCGATGTTCCACCGAACGACATCGAGCCCAATTATGACGAATATCACCAAGTGCGCATTCTCCAGCCTTGTCATTTCATATATCTAATCGCCGTAGATCCTCCTCGCATTCAATCTCCTGAACATACCTATTCTTCCACTCGTGAAAGTGTCGATAATACTCCTCCTCCTACGAGCTGGCTCGGTTATCGAGTGGATGAAAAAGACTCTCTACGGGATACTCATATTTACTGTCGGAAGCGCACTGATTCCGTGGTGTCTGTACATCTTTATCTGCCCACCGCAAACAGGGAACACATGGAAACCACGGACCTTTGGAGGACTGCACTGCATGGGCCGACATCGAATGGGCGAGATGCTGATCTGGGTCACCTGCGCAAATCTGCTTACCGATCTTTTGATCTTTCCGATTCCCTTTATCATCGTTCGTCGCATGATGAGCGCGAGGTTGCGATCACGACTAGTAGTGCTGGCGGTCTTCACCTCGAGCTTAGCGTGAGTTGCCACCGCTATATGTTCTTCGCACAACTTTCTCTGATATCATACCAGTGTCACAGCGATTGGTGCAGCCAAAATATATCTGACGTATCGCGACCGACTCTTCACTTCGTTCAAGACCGACTGGACTTACCCGATCGACTACTGCATCAGTCACATTGAGAACAATGTCGCCATCATTGTGGCCAATATACCGATCCTGCGCGGCCTCGTCACACGCTGGGTGTTCAACTTCAAGACTAAGGCCACGCCCATAGAGCGTGAGTTTCGGAGTGAATGGCAATGGAGCAACTCGAACTCGTCCTCGATTACCCATGTGGCAAGTCGCAAGCGGAGATTTCTCAACAAGATCCTACCTTGTCTTACGGATGACTTCTCTTCCTCGCTCGCCCGCTCGGGCGACATTATGGACTCGGGGAAGCAGAGGGGTCTCAAGCCTGCGGTTCTACGAAAGAAGAGTCGGTCTTCAAAACCCAGATCTCACAAGCCGAGCCGCAGAAACAGCGTCGATAGATACGAAACCGCCGATAGTCTTGAGAAGGGCGACGCTTTAGAGACAGTGACGAGTATTGAGAGTTTAGGAAGCGGACCGACACTGGTGGATAACCACAAAGAGATCGAGTGGAGATTGAGTGAGGCAACTATGGCGTCAAGCCCGAGACGACCCTCGGAGGCTACGTTCTCGTCTCACCCAAGGCGGACCTCAGAGACCCCGCTTCTCATAACGAGCCCGAGACGGGTTTCCAATGCGACGATGAGTCCGGTGTTGAGTCCGATTGTGCCCTTGAGCCCGGTGCTGCTTAGGGAAGTGGACGATGAGGATGAGATTCTAAGATACCCATAGTTTATCCTTTCAGCGTAGCATAGCATAGCATAGTATATGAATCACGCAGCTTTCATGATCATGGACGTCTAGGGCTTCGCGAACACCACGATCGTTGCGAGATTGCAGTGTTGTTTCACCTACACATGCTACAGCTCGACAAGACATTGGCCCGACACCATGTTTCGACCTCCGTGCATGAGTGTTGAGCGCGCCATCATGGCATGCACCCCAGATCCCCAGCTTTCATCTCGCATGGCAGCACTGTCTCCCGCAAGTACTCAGACCACATCACGCTCCTTGCCGGCGCTCAGGCCCGGCAGCCGTGCTGGCCGCTTTAGCCCGGTTGCCGGTCAAGCAGACAGGGATCGTGTGTGGCGTGGCAGCCACCGATAGACTCGAGGTTAGGATAGCTTCCGTGCTCCGCCTGTGGACGGAGGCCAGTTTGGCAGGTGAGTAGACTCGTGGTGTGAGGAGCTGGTCGCTCCGCTTATTTGGGAGCACGCCTTGAGCTACTGTAGGTACGTGTGTAGGTGCAGGAGAAAATCTTGACCAGATTCCTTGTCGTTTGGTCAAAAGACCTGCCACGAACCTAGATGATGATAAAGATCCTCGTGCAGACAATAGTGCCCAGTTGGTTATGCCGCGACTATTGCGGCCAAAGATCACCATGTCAGCTTTGGCGTGGCCAGAAGTTCGGATGCATAGCGAACAAGCTTCTGTGATATTCCTTCGTCGTGTTGGTGGCCCTGCAGTAGAGGCCCTCGGCAACTGTGAGCGGCTGCGCGTGACATGCAAAGATTCTGGGGTTGAGCGGTCGCTTACACTCCATGTGAAAGTGGATCCGGTAAGCTACCTCTTGTGGGCGCGGCTCGGTATCAACGGCCATTCCGTACGCCACTCTGCACATTGCTTTTGGTGGTGATTCCACCATTCATGCTTCTTTGCTACGGTATAGCGCAACACTGGTCGAACAGCTTTCGAGTCAGAGAGGGGCAACCTAGACTTTCGGACTGGCCGGCTTGTAAATCCAGAATTCTGGTATTCGTTCTCCAACTTACCCCGCGGTTGATATGGATAAAGTAGCGAAAACAACCCTGGTCTGGCGGACCCCTGACCCCAGCCACACAATTTTATGCATTCAGGCAATTGGCTATCCTTGCCGATTATATGCTTGGCGGAAGAATAACTGAGGCCGAGTTGCTACTTTGAGCAGGAATGCCGGAATCTGGGGGATGCGTGTGGACTGGTTGCGACGGAAAATGGTCATTCGCTACGCAAGATGAACAGCGGTGAAATCTTTCCCACGAATTCTCGATGAGTACGAAAACGCGATGGCGAGCAAGCTGATGTTGCAGACAGGCGGAGTTACAGAAAGGGAAATCTTCCGCCTTCAGCTGGGGGCAACCGTATTGATTTGATTCGACAAGCCATAGACGAAGCCAAACTTCCCAATTTCCCTGAAAATTGTCAAGTAAAAGCCCTCCCGCCACACGGCCGGTCTCAAGCGCGCCGGATTCGGAGGCTGAAGCGAATGCTGCCTCGTAAGAAATGATGCCCAAACCGATACTCAATTCGGAACGGAGGAAGCCTCCAGATGCAGAAAGGAAAACTAACAGCTCATCGTGAGCGACACAGAACGCCATCGGAGCCCCTCTCCAAACCAGACCGTGTGGCAACGTGGCCAAACATCGTAAAGTACACTACGCAATCCAATAACCTTTTGATGATCGTGCTACAAGACAAGAAACAGAATCGTTTCGACGTAAATCGGTGAAGGGAAACGTGATTGCCGCCCATGCGTACGTAGGGTGAGCATGCCGCATGATTCGTTAATGGCAGTCTCTGTGTAACAATGGTGCATCTATTGGTGAGTGCCCTGGCCGGCATTCCGCGGTTGTCGTGATGAAGTTTATCCATGCATGGAATAAACCGGACCTCGAGGCGTCGCCTGATCTGGGTTGGGCGAAAGAGGGTCAGGGTGATGTCAATAGTGAAAGGCCAAGTGGAAGTGGGAGTATCATGGGAATGCTCATACTAAGAACATGCCGGCGATGATGACTAGCGAGAGGACCTTGAACGAGGGGAAGAGAACTGTCGCTGATGAGGTGTCACCCGAGATAAGTTGCTTCTCGTCGGTACGAGTGCACTGGGTTCTGGAGGTGAGCTCGGTTGGGCAAGGGACGCGTTTGAAATTTGCGCTGTAGAACGTCAGATAGCACCCTGTTTCAAGGCATGCATACTTACGTAGGAAACGCCTGGTCCTCGTACCAGTCGAAGCGCCACTTGCAACCATCCTGCAAAGCTTCGGGTAGCTTTTGACAATCATCCTTGGACGTGATCCCAGTGTTTTCGGTACCGAAAACAGTTTGATCCACACCGTACTGACGGGCGCAGGCGTCATGTGAGGTTGTGTTGCCACCAGGTATCTATCGAGATTAGCGACACGAACCACGAGCGACCGGATTGACTCACCGCCAAGGAAAACCGGTTGGCGGTATTGATGTCGTAGGCAGTGTTCGAGGCCTGGACAATCATGGTTTTCCCTTTGAGCGGATCGCTGGTGAAGTCCAGCTGGTAGCAGGCGCAGCACCACGCGTCTTCAATCTTTCCACCAGTGAGACTCGGCAAGATGTAGACGCCTGCGAATCCATAGGAGAAAGTGTCGTTGACACTCCAAGGCTGTTGATCAGAACAGAGGTATGCAGAGCCACCATTGCATCCGGTACCGACGTCGATGGTCGTAGGTTTGTCGTCGCTGCTACATGACAGCACAGGTCGGTCGAATGCAGCTTTCTCTTTCCAGGCGCAGGAAGGTTTGCAGCAGTCCCAGAATCTTGTTGTAACTGCCTCTCCTGAAATATTTAGGCTTGCAGACCTGGCGTGAAGGGCGAACAAGTTCAATACAACGAAGATGTTGCGAAGACAAAGAGCCGTCATTGCGTGATAGGAAGTTTGATGCGGGCGGGAAGACTCTGGAGCATCATTTATTAGCAAGGGAGTGCGACGGTGCCAGAGAGATCTAGTCGATCTGCACCAGAGACGGACGGGTTATATAAGGACCGGTCGCAGCGAGTAATTTATGTGGTCCTGCTATGACAATGCCAGGCCGAGAACAGCGCCCACCTGCTCTGTGTGAGCATGGCGCGTCGCCACGCAGGGATCAGCGAGCCGTTAACCACCACAGTAACGAGATTTGATGCTGGTAGCATTTGACCTAGGCCGCGAACTCTATCCGAAGTCGAGTTTAGCTGCCGTCGGCCTTTCGCAGGTCAGTGCACTACGTGCCAGGGTCAGAACGCCTTCTCCGCAATCCTTCGTAACCCCGCAGAGCGACATACGATGCTTCTCCGTGAGCCATACTGTAGTATTGGATACACCTTTATCCAGTGTCGACCCCTTTACGTATCTTACCTGCTGCTTCTGGAGACCTTCCCCACAGTGGGTGGTTTTCCTCTTGGTGTCTCACATCTCAAATCTCGGCTATTTGACCTCTATCCAGTCATGTGCGCCGCTGCACTCGCTCCCGCGTCTTTCACAGTTGTACAATGCAGCAAGGTCACAACACGTGGGCTCTCGCGCGTTCGCCCGGCACCGCGTTCTCAGTACATTTGGTAAGGGCACCCTTGTTTCCCCGCATTCGCGAATAAAAGCGCCGAAGCAGCTAGGTGACATCCTACCGGAACAGAATCAAGACGCCTGTCCGAAGGCGCCACAAATCTGTTCACCCGATCAGTCCACGCAAAAGGACTCCAAATTGGGAATAACGGTGAGCTTGGCGGAACGATTTTGCGTATTCAACCGAAGTTGAAGGTAGTCCACACCAGGGAGGACATTCTCAAGTGTGATGGGAGCACTTGAGGTTCTTCAGGCTGAAAAGCTAAGGTCGCAATAGAAAAAACCTAGCGCTGTTTACATATGCAGGAGGTACGTCGCGAAAGCTTATGCGGCAAGCCCTGTCACAGCTATGCGATCAGACGAGTACATGGACATCGGGTCTGCAATGTGTGCGTCTAGATCTAGAAGAGAACATTACCGTGGAAACCGTGACAGGAAGCTGTCGAAGTAGATGGTGCTTGTATCGCTATGGATTTTGTAACAGATGGACTTTGATACAAGAGACGAAAGCTACTCAAAAAAACTAGGGCGGGATGTTGGTGTAGTATATGCTGTCCAAGTCTGGCATCTCGGCTTCGTCTCTGTACGCACTCTGGGTGCTGGATGGCGAGGCTTCGGCGGATACTCAACAAACACGTAGGTTTGTGCAATCCACCGCTACGGTGGCTAGCCTATGGATACTGGTCTGGTCCCGATTTAGCGTCCGTCGACATCAACTGCCCCGGCCTTCTCATATGATATCCTCACTATAATAAGTAGCGACCCCGCATTCTCAATCGTTTCCTCTGACCAGTCACAGCATTCACACACACGATAGTCAGACTGCCGCTAATAGAAAGCGTTGATGCTACCTTTAGCAATCTTCGATTGCATGCCATTTCCTATAAGGAGATCACTTGCTCTTAGAAGAAAGCATTCTCGTCTAGGACGCTCATGACTAGTTGGTTTTCGTGAAACCATTGCCCTAACCAACCTTCATCAAGGCGGGACTCCGGGAAAGCAGCTACGCTAGTGCGCCCCAAGCCCGGTTCAGTAAAGTCAATATTAGGGATGGTGTCTGATTCAAGTCTAATAAAATTGCCGCTCACTGGACCAGTATTGAAGTCCAAGTACAATCTCGCAGCTTTACAAAGGATGTTGTAGAGGTGGTGAGGTTCTGTTATCGTGTCCGGCTTCGTGGTAGAACCCGATGGCTCTAGGGATGCTGCAAAGCGCTCCAAGTGTTCTATCTCAGGTACGTCCATCATTTGGATGGCATGAGTAAGCAGAATGCTGAAGGGAGGAAACGGACAATGGACGATGGCCCTACAGATGTTACAGTCAGTAAGAATAGTAGGTGAGTTTTGATGATTGAACTTGAACGGCGGTATTCAGAAGGTACCAGAACTCACCAGTTGAGGTATCTCAAAAGCATCAACGGCTCGTTCTTACAGCTTCTCATGGTAGTAATGCATTCCTCGTGTGCGCGGAGAGCTTCGCGCGCAACTTTGAGACATTCTTCAGAGATGCTGCACACAGCCCCAAGTGAAACAGGAACCGCGCGGAGCACAAGTGTGAGCAAAGAATATTGACATATCAGCTCGCACTGCATATAGACCACTCCGACTGGATCCGCTGTATTGGCAGAGAGACCGCCAGCATTCTCCTAGGGTTTGACTTTAGTGGCCTTGATTCAAAGCGCAGAAAAAGGAGGCTCACCAATATCGCGTCGCGTGTGTCATTTATACACTGCTTTAGTTCTGTACCAAGTGATGCTGCGATATATGCGCGCTCGGCATCTTCACGGAGAAGACCCTTCGGACTATACAACTCATTATATGCGCGGCCCTGGATACTGGCAGTTCTCACGCCTGGATCGTCAGGAATCGATGATAATGATATTTCTTCGTCACGTATCGTGGAAGATTGTCCGAGCCGAAGTGATATGCCTTTGTCGAGTCTGTAGACTGCCCAGAAGAGACGTTGCTGAGCGAGCCATAAATCGTCAGTTCGTTCAGTGTAAGGCTGGTGACGATGGTAGCCGAGATTCAGACAGTGATTTGCGGCGGCAGAGATAAACGTCCAAGCTTTTCTGGCCCTAGAGTCTTCGACCGCATTGTATGCCTATTGCACTTAGCATGTTGCTATTGTTTCCTTCAGGTGGATATCACCCCTAATGTAAGTGCTGCCACAACTTCAATCGATGATGGAATCAACAGTGGTAGCTGCGACAGCGCGGTGTTTAGGTTGTCCCGACAGCACCTGGAGTACTGCGCGTAATCTGATCGCCCTGAGACGACAACGTGTTCGAAAAACACGTAAGATAGGAACCCGTTGGCAAGTATGAATTCGATCTCGGAGTAGTCCTGAACTGAGAAGTACAAGTTCTGGCAAATATTAGTGAATCTATCAAGAGGTAGTAGTTTTGCGAGCCAGCTAATCCTAGCGTTGGATGCATGCTCTGCTGCTGGTCAGTATTGATTCCGTGTCTTGTGTTGGACCGAACCTTTCGCCCATCGCAAAACGGTCACAGCCGACTCTTGTGGTGGCATGTTGATGCCATCACGATTGGATGCGATTCCTTCCCGTGAATATCGCTGTCCCAGAGCTTGAGGAGGCGACTCGAGTGCATGCAATAGCTTCTGCAGCGTCGAGAGAACTTGATTTGCCTCCGGCCCAGTCGATCGGGAGGCACCATCTCTAACAATAGCTTTGATGAAATCGATCATGTGTGCTGAATGACCCCACACAATCTCACTGTTCGTTTCAGGGTGCAGCTGTGTATCTCTAGGGAGTGGCATAGGACTGCCCTGCGTACTTTGTGGCCCTGACACGGTGCGAGGACGAAATTCATGTTCAGCCACTTGGAGAGTCTGCAACATCTGTTTGATGCCATCGATATCTCTGGCGATTCCATCAATCTTCTGCTCACTAGACCGCAACGGAGAGTCAGTCATGCATCGTCGATTGTAGGAGCTGTAACTTACTATTTTGCAGATATCAATACTCTTTGCTTAGTGCTAGCAGAGCTATAGGCCACAGCGCTATGGGTGCAGGACAAACGTGCGGAAATACAGGGAGCACATGGGGAGCCGCGGTCACAACCAATCTTACGGGTGCGGCACTGATCTAGATTGTGTGGAAATCATATCAGTCCATGCTCGTATATGCCAATTGGGACATGAATAAACATGTCAGTTGGGTGCTGATGTTTGTTGGACTTCAGACTTGGGGAGTCGCAAGATGTGAAAGACCAATCAACTTGGAAGCCTCGCCAACAGGAGTGCCTATATGTAGGCAGAGATTGGAGATGCCAAAAACAGTAGAAGTGCCAGATTTGCAACCCAAATCCACGTACCACACTATACCTCTCCGTCAGTAGGAACCTAAGGAAAACATACAGCCAAACTTACTGAACGTCGTGCGACTCGGAAAGTCCTTTCCTGTTCTTCCACCGGATTTCCGCGCATTTCCATGTTTTCGACGAGATGAACTGGGGATGCTTCTCGATTAATAGTGAGAGTTTCCTACTCGACTTGGAGAACAGTGTGAGCACTCGGAGACTTTGGGGCTTTTCGGGTTCGTTGCGGAAACGCGCGCGTTTCCGGTACGGTACTATGGGCGTTTCATCGTCATTGGCTAACAGGATTGCCCACTCTCCCTCCTACCAATAACGAACCATTATGTCGCAACCGCACGCAAACCCGCGCATCTACGCTGATCCCATAGCGAAACATACATGATCATACCTGCTTCGTCTGTTGAGCCCGTGATATAAATAACAGTGCGAGCCTGTGCAGCATGGAATCGAGGCAACAAACAATCACAGCACCACACCATGAGTCACGTCAAAAACATCTTGGTCACTGGCGCAGCGGGCTATATGTGTGTTACCCTTGAAGTGTATATTCAGCACTGGGATACTGACTACGTGCAGCGGTGGTTCCATACTCGCCGACTTCCTATCGCGGCCCGACTTGCTCGCACCTGCAAAACTTCACGCCGTGGTTAGATCCGAAGAGCAACTTCAAGCACTCTCGAAGCTTAATGTGAGTGTACTTAACTTCGAGCTTGACGATAGTGCAGCTGTAGCAGCCGCAGTTGACCAAAACCAAAGTATGCCACTTTGCCAGCAGGAATTCTCCTACAGTTCGCTAACTGCATTAGTTGATCTCATCATCCACGCTGCAAACTCATCAGATACTTTAATCGTTACGAATTTGGTTGAAGCACTCGGACGCCGCCGAAGTACGACCGGAAAGCCGGTCTTTTTCATACATGTGAGACCTCAAGATAGCGCACTACCCGACATGCCACTGAACCTGCTACAGTCGTCAGTCACGACGTTGTTCTCAGAAGAAGCAGGATGGCCGCATGGGATGCTCAAGGACACGGAGTCGATTTACGAGAAGGAGAAGGAGCTGGGGAGTTCGCATCCTGTTCTCCAGGTCAGTGTACTTGCATGACACTGACAATAGCCAATTAACCATATAGACCAATCTTCTGGTAGTTGAGAAAGCGCAAGAGTGCGGCGTCAAATGCTTCAATGTTGTGGTACCGAATGTGTGTAAGTAAAGCCAAAGTGTTGCTGTCGCAATAGCCACGCTAAAAGATTGGTCAGATGGAAGGGGCAAGGGCGAATGGAGGAAAGTATCGATCCTCATTCCAGCGCTCATTCAAGCCAGTATCAGACTCGAAAAAGTGCACAAATTCGACGTAGATGGTGTACGTCTGATTCCATACTTCTCCTTTCCTGTCCACGAACCCCAGATTCTGATACGTGCAATCGTCACAGCATCCCCCCGCAGCGCACATCTCGGATTTAGTCGCATTATATAGGATCTTGGTGCATAAGATACTGGAAAACGAAGACATTCCCAGTGGCAAAGACGGTTACTATTTCGCCATGGCCCATAGAGCACCATGGTGGGCCTACATGCGAGCCATAGCTCAGTCGTTGCATGCGCGTGGACTCGTAGCAGATCCTGAAGTGGAACTATGGCCGAGCGATGAGGCAGCAGCGAAGGCTCTGAAATTCCCAGTTCAATTCATTCGAGCTATGGGTACTGCTAGGTAAGACGACCCACGATGCGTAACGACGTATTAACAATAATCTGCAGCGGAGGTCTTGAACCTGTGAATGCTCGCCAATTAGGATGGCAACCTATTTGGGACGAACGGAGGTTCTTGGAAAGTACAGACGAAGAAGTTCAGGCCGTGTTGGACTTGGATACGATCCGGACCGGCATTTTCGATAAGCTCATGCAGCCTGCTACGGATTAGCTTTACACGCGGGAAAATGTATCGATCGATTAAGTCATTTCTCAATCAGACATACATTTTTTTCTGGATGATGATGACCGAGCTGCGCAGCACCTGTGGGCAGTCATATCTGAGCACCACTGTATTAAGAGTCCACATGGCATCATGCCAGATGAGGTAGCATGGCATACATATTCAAACCATTTGACTAAACAAGGTGAGTCCCTCAACGTTTGTGCAGCATTAGCAAGTTCAGGCCACCATATTTAAGGCTGTGGCAAGTGAGCCACTTCGTGATCCTTTCGGCCCCCATCGAGCGGACTTTGGGGCGTCGCCTAAAACAACGGCCGTATCGTAGCGTGACTTGCAACTAACTCTACTCGTGCTAACGCTCATTTCACGCTCATCAAGACCCGAAGCTCATCGCTCGCAGTGCCAATACCCGTATTCAGGCGTCGCAGTTGTAAACCATGAACATGTTATCACCGCTCACCGCACCGTTACACCCAGTCGCCGCGCACGCTATCTAGAATGCAAACATTGTACTCCGTCGCCAACCTCCGTGCCGTTGGTGCTTACATGTGAGCCGGCTCCTAGCGGCTTGTCACTTCAAGCCCCACGGCGGAAACAAGCACACGCCGCGAGCAATGTCTGGCCAGCGAACCGCGCCCTACGGCTTTCTCTGACGCGCTATCCACCTTTAGCTGAGAGTGGTTACAACAAGAACGATGCCATGTTGCTCAGCCCATTCTGGCTCGGTCGCTAATAAGACCGTATTGTACCCGCCGTATCGTGCCTTCGATGCCGTCTATTTCGATGCGTTCATCGCGATCTCAAGAACTACCTACCACGATTCTTGTGTGAATGCTCGCTACCTCGATCACGACAATGGGCAGAAATCATCATGTCTCCCTCTTCGTAGTTCTATTAGGCCTCTCGCAACTCGATTCTACTGTAGCCGCATCCAAGAAATGCTTCGACGGCAGCGGCGACCAGACGCACCAGCTCCCGTGCACCTCCGATTCGCAAGCCGACGGCATATGCTGCGACGCGGGGGACATTTGTCTGAGCAACGGGCTGTGCAAATACGGACCCAGTGCAGCAGGCCGGAATGCGTCGATTGATGTCGATACATATCAACCTGGCTGCACTGATCAGAACTGGGGTTGGTTGCGTTCCACCCAAACATGGTGACATGACAGCGTCTGACCAAGCAAACAGATACCGAGAATTGTTTTTCAGGGTGCAACAGTCGTACGTACATGGTCTTTCTGCGCGCCTCCAGCACCTCCCGGCTAACACAACGGCCTATAGTGAAAGAACCCCTCGTGCAAAGCTGCTACGACAACCGGTACTGCTGCTATGGCGCCAGTGGCTGCGACTGCTCGAAAACCTCCCTCTTCGAACTCGATGCCGCGACCTTCGTCACCACTTTACCGCTCAGCTCGGCCACCGCGACGGGTAGCCCAGCCAGCAATTCGGCAACGCCGACAACCTCCTCGGCGCATCCGTCTACGGCTACCGCGTCGTCTAGTTCTTCTTCTTCTTCTTCGTCGTCGTCGTCGTCATCGTCGTCGCCTTCATCCTCATCACATCTCAGCACAGCAGTTGGCGCAGGCGTCGGCGTCGGCCTCGCCGTCGTCATCCTCGGCGCCCTCTCAGTCTTCCTGTTTCTGCGCCGCAAGAAGAAACGCAGGGCAGCCGAGGGAGCACCCTACCGGAAGGGCCATCTGATACCTCTACACGAGGTAGACGGTGACTCGGCGCCCCAGGAAGTCGAGCACAGAATGGTGCCGCAGGAGCTGGAGGGAGGTGGCGGCGAGCAGATAAAATTCAGGAATGGTCAGGGCCAGCTTACACAGAAGAGTTGGCGCGAATGAAGATTGAATCATCTGTGGCGGCAAACGATCTCGAGACCACCGTGCGACATCACTCCCACTGCTGACAGAACGCCAATGTAGTCGCAAGCTCCATTCGAAGACAAGATCCACGTCTCATGAACAGATCGGAATTGCGAGTGGGTCCTCATCATAGTAGTTCAACGATCATGGACCAGAATCATGGCAAAACCTGCCTTCTTGTGGTGTTCAAGGCCGGAGAGAAACGAAATCAAGCACGTAGCGCCACCTCGAGAGTTACCTCATTTGTCTGCTTATTCAGGCCGAGCTCAAAGCTTCGACAGGATGGGAGAACTACAATTCTCACGTACCTATCGTTCGTGAGGCTTCGTGTGCTTTTGCAAGCCGTGGCAGACCGCCATTTAGGAGCTCGACGCGGTGCCGAAACAGATGTACATATTGTAATTGAGTTTCGGACACAAGCTATCCATCTCAAGTAAAGATAATTGTCATTACCAGTCGTACTTCGTTATTCATCAGTCATACTCGTCCCCACTTCACCACGCCACCCTACTCCCACGCCCTCCACTCATCCTCGTTCTCCCTCAACTCCACCTTCGCTTTCTCCCACTCCCACGTCCCCCTCTCCAACCCATCCATCCACCCCAGAATATCCCTCCTCTCCCGTCCCAGCCGCACCTCCGCCCTCTTCCTCTCCAGCGCCTTGCGCTCCAGATAACCAAAGTTCTCCTCCCGCACCGCAGTCTCGAAGATAGCGCGCATCCGCGGACTGTACAGGCAGCAGCTGGACCCGAGCTCCAGGTCTTCGCCGGGCACGGGCTGGATGGTGCGGGTGAAAAGCTTTGGAATGGTAGATGGAGTGGAAGGTGACGATGAGGAAGGAGGCGCAAGATGCGGCCAGATGAGCTCGTCGAAGCATTCTTGGCAGACAGTAAATTCGGGAAGTACGGGCATAAAGTGCCACGCTTTGCGGAGTAGCGGCTTGTCGCGCTGGCACTCGGCTTTGAAGGCGTGTTCACGCGCAAGCTGTACGAAGCGGGCGATGTGCGGGTGCTGGTTGTGGGCTTGGGCCTCAGCGTCGAGCTCGACAAGGAGATCTAGGTACTTTGGGAAGCGGCGGGACTTGACGCGGAGGCTGCACGTGTATGTTGGCGGGATAGCGTAAGGGCTGGTGCTTGCTGGGATGCGCGTGAAGTAGCCCTTGATGCTGGGGAAGAGCTCTTCGACCATTCTGAGATCGCAGGGACAGAGGGCGAAGTTGGCGACATGGATACCGTCACGGGGGTCGGATACCCCGTACCAGACAGCATGGTCCGTTCCAAGCTCGCGGTCACCTGGGCACGGTCGCTCTTGATCAGCGATGGTGGCGAGAGTGTACAGTAGATCGGGGGACTGTCGACGTTGCTTAATTGTCAAAAGCCAGGCCAGCCGCATCCATGGACTGCTGAAGTCGCAAAATCGCTCGACGGGCCGCTCGTACCGACGACCTTGGGTGAAATACCTCGAGAACGGGGTGTCGGAGAAGACACCTTCGTAGCAGCTAGGACAGATGTCGAAGCTGGGACAGTTCTGGAGGGTATACCAGTCGGTGTACTTGGATGATGGCTCAGACCGCGGACAGGAAGGCAGAGGTCTATCCAGGCTAAGAGGCACAGCGGTCCTTCTCTCTTTGCGCGCTCCGTCATCATCGTTCTGTGACCGAACACTGTTAGACCTCACCCGCGGCGAGCGAGGCACGTCATCTGTGGTGTTTTTCCGGCTGCTAGGCTGAGGACGAAAGCCTGATTGGCGCTCGCGAGGTGAGCTGAAGATGGGTGAGTCCAGACGGTCCATTCTTGGGGATGACGTGATAGGTGTGTAGGAGGCATAAGCGTGGTCGTGCTGGAACTGTTCTTCGGGTGGCATGAAGGCTTCGGTAGGTCTATCATCAACTGGGTATGGTAACGGGTTCTCGGCCCTTGCTGCTCTTGCAGGGGATGGACTTTTGACATTGATCTGTGGCATTGGCGGCACTGGCATAGTCTCATATCGCTCAGGGCGCGTGGTTGGCCTAGACCTGTCGGTCGCAGGGGGATAGGTCGCATGCCAGTCCGCTTCCGTGATGGGCACTCTTGGAGCATCCTCTGCTCTAGGGCGCGATGGGGATAGGGGAGAAGAGGGTTGTCCAGATCTTGACGACGGTCTGGATGTGTTCGGCGAGGGCGGTCGGCGGGGTGGCAGACGCGGTGAGCGTGGAGGGGACTGGTCCTTGTTGAGCCGCGGCGAACTCGGACGAGAAGATGGGTACTTTGAGCTCCTCACGGTGGCTGCCTCTAAGGGAGCTGGTCTGGGCTTTCTGGACTCTCCGTTCAGTGACGAGTTGGAAGACCTCGGTGAATCGGATGCTGGGGTGTTCTGCTTTGATGACGACGATGATGAAGAGCCCTCTTTGCTTCCTTGGGCGTATGCTTCACGTCGGGACGTCTTGGGCGGAGAGGCTTCCCGTCTCCTCCGCTCCGACTTGGCCTGGTTGTCCAAAACATTGGTCCTGAGGTCTTCCTTCTGCAAGTCGCTCTTCACGAAGCTGTACCGCGCCGGCCGTCGTTCGGTGCGGAGATGGGATGTGTCTGAATCGGCATCGGAGTCGTCGAAGACATCTTCTTTGTTCTTGGTGGGCGACGGCGGCCGAGGGGGAGTAGTCTGCTGGGGACGGAGGGGAACTTGTTTTGCTGGCTTGGTATTCTGGTCGCGCGCGTCGGTGCGGTTCCGGGCGGGAAGGGATCTCGGGATGCTCGACGACGAGGGCGCGACGGTCTCGGGCGACAAGTAGTACTCGCCGGGCGAGAGCGCCAGCGACTCCTTCTGCGGCTTCGTGTAGGCGTATGGTGTGGAGGTGCGTTCGGCGACCAGTGGCGCGTCATCGAGGTCCGTCTTCAAGTGGGCCATGCCCCCCCGGTCGGCGACGCTCCTGCGCCTCCTGTCCCCTGGCGTGCCGCCATCTGGGATCGGGTCCGACACGAGCACGAAGCGGCGCTCGTCGTTGGCGGGCTGCTCCATCTCCTGGATGATGGGGTACTGATCGACAGTGCCCCGCGTTTTCGCTTCACCGTCGTCGACCACCGAACCCGACCCCACCGACGAGCGCACCTCGCGGGTCAACGCCGCCGTCTCGTCTTCGACGCTGGGCGAAGGCGGCCATCGGTTCCTGTATCGTGCCGAGTGTGGCGGTACGCGGGGCGGCGGCGCGGGATGGCGGGGCTCGTAGGTGTAGTAGGGCGTGGAGTGGTAGGCGCCGGGCTCGTTGTAGCTGTTCCTCATGGCGGGCTGCGGGGGCGGTGGGCGCCTCGAGTATGCGTCAGTGTCGCGAGACGTCCGGTAAGACGACCCATGGCTCGGTTCGTAGGTGTAGCGGGCGTCGTGGTGGGAGTAAGCCATGCACTGTGGGCTTCTATGTGACCGACCGAGGTCAGGCGAGCAGCAACAACCGGTCCTGGGATTGCACGGGGTGTCGAGGGTTTTGGGTGTTGCAAGGCAGGACAGGGCGAGGGGAATTGCGCGCTCACATAGCGCAGGGCACGCAGTAATATCAATAGCGGAGCCGTGGACTTTGGCTGCAGTACAGGCGCATTCTGACGCATCTCTCCCCGTCGCTTGCAGCTTCCTACCAGCCCCAGGGTCCACCCTACCCGCTGGGCACCATGCCGAAACAGCATGGTCGCTAAGCTCCTGACCGCCCAAGCCCACCCTCTGCTTCGTGACCCGCCCTGTCTACCCGTGGCCAAGCACGTCGTTCGGGCAGCTCTCTCTGCCTCTTTGCGCGAGAAACAGTACCATGCCCGCTGCCTTTGCCAGCGCCCGGCTTCACGCCCAGCCACGGTCGCCAACGTGTAAGAGCTGCAATGCCCAGGTGCCTGGACCTGCCTTCGTGCCACGTTACAGTCTTCCCCAACCCACTCGGATAGCCATTGTGCATTACAGTGTCCTGCGCTTTGCCCTTGTTTCCTTTCGCACAGCAACTGACCCGCAGTCGCTCCCGGCACCCTCCGAACAAGCGGTAAGACCAAAACCCCTCCGCCACACTAGCCCTCCTCCACAGCGCACAGCCACCACACTACCACAACCCCGCCTCAGCAGAGCCGCACTATACCTGCAACCATGCACTTCGTGACCTCCCTTCTACGCTTCACTCTGCGCTACCCGGCTAAGGCGGACTTTCGCCCTGCTCGCACTGCTTCCGTGGTTTCCGCATGTGTACGCTTGTTGCCGAGTGCCGGGGAAGAGCACACATCTGGTAGTGTCTGAACTGCAATCCAGCCCAACTTCCCGCAGAACGCCACCTTGCATTGTATGTACATCACCCGGAGCCTCTTTACTTTTGAATTTTGTTCGAGTTTATCGACGCCAGAGAGAGCCATCATCAACCCTATCCTTCCTTATCCCCGCCTTATATCCATCCGGGGCCCCTCGAATCAGATTCCATACCCCATTCCCATGCCTAACTTATGTCCATCATCATGCTCCTAGCAAACGTCCGCATCAAGGCATACTGTCCATAAAAGCACAAAAACCCAGTCTGACCTACTTTGCTCCCGAGGCACAGTGCCTGCTTTTCGGAGTGTTGTACCCCTCCCACATACCTTTCTCGCCCTGCTACGTCGTTCCTCCACTCACCCGTGTCCCATTACCATTCACTCCACATCCTCAGCCATCAATTTATACCGCCTCCTTCCGGTTGCCCTTGCTCCACACGCTTTCCGCTATCGCGAGCGTAGCTAGCCGCCTTTTCTTTCACGTATGCCTGGACTTTGAGGATAAGTCCCCTGGCCCCCTTGATATCCTCTCAGCGCGCTGCTGCAGGTGCGCTAGGAGCGGGGGAAGACACACACCTTGTCATCCCTCCGCTCCAACACCTCCCGTGCCGGAAGTTGGTCGTTACGGAGCGAGTAGTAGCCCGTCTTGGTGTTCTCGATATGGCTGAGCTGATCATGGAACGGCTCCTGCTGCAGTGGCTCACTCAATGATGCATTTCCCGACTTCTTCTTGCTCTTTTTCTTCTTCTTGTTCTTCTTGGCCGCTTCTCCCAGGGCTGTGCCTAGGGCCGTCGGTGTCTGTAGCGGTGTATGAAACTCATTGGCAGTCGGACTCAGCGACATCGGTGGAGGACTCCCGCGAAGCGTGGTAGAGCTAGCAATCGACACTGAATCGTGTGGCGCAGCCATCTCGGCTGGGCCTGAGGTGGTCAGAAAAGCTCATACTCGTTGAGGGGGAAGCCCTTACCTTCGACCATCTCTTGGTTTTGAGGCACTTCGTCGACTTCTCTTACTACATGTGCTTTCTCTGGGGTAGGCGACTTTGCCGAGAAGTAAGCTGTATGTGGGGGTGTCCCTGCGCTCGTCGGCCGTAGCGCCCGAGGCAGCAGATCCAGATTAGGGACAGCAATTGCTGAAGGGGCCTTCTTGGGCTTCTTCTCCATCACCTGACCCTGCTCTGGGGCTTTTTGTCGCGTGGCAAGCTCGATGGACGGGTCCACAGTCTCGACACTGTTGGCCTGCGCGTCATCCTTCTCATGACACTGCACAGTCTGATGAGGTCCGGCCTGCTCCAATGCCACCTTGCTTTCTTGAACCTCCACAGGCTGTTGAGCTTCCAGGTTCTGCTTCGGTGCAACATAGCTCATACGACGCGACTGGTTACCTGAATCCTCGTCGCTCTGCTCCTGCGCAGGATCCTTCTTCGTGCCGTTGGAGTTGGGTGCGCCTCCCTTTGCCTCCGATGGTGTATCGTTGGCATGGCTCTCTGTCGTGACCGGCGCCTCGACTTTGCCCTTCTTCTTCTCTTTCTTCTTGGCCTGCTTTTCCTTCTTCTGCAAAGCCCTAAAGGTCCTTGAGTATGGATTGAGTGATTCGATTTGCTTGATACCCTGCTTTTTCGCTGTCTCATTCAGAGTCTGATACAGTTCTGAAGTTGTTGGGATATATGTGTTGCGTGGTCCCTGAAGCACGGTAGCACCTAGCTCGAGATCGTTGGCTTCCTCACAGCGTTGGAGACCTGCCACTTCATGGGCTTCGTCGGGAGCTGCCTGAGAAGACAGGTCCGTCTCGATGTTGGTAGCGCTTGCACCAGTAACTTTCTGAGCGTCGTCATCATCGCCACCTGGCTGCGATTCTTGGGCAGAATGAAAGCTGAGATCGTTCTTTTGATCATCATCAGACGGCGTTTCGTCTTGTGCTGAAGAATTCGCGGTGATCTCTTGGACTTGCGAGTTTTTAGCAGAGCCAACGGCATTCGGCTCCTCATTGGAAACCTCCACTTGATCGGCTGGAAGCGGTAAAGTTACTTTTGTAGGCGAGCACAGCAGAGCATCTTGATATTCGGCAGGTATCGACTCGAAAATGTTCTCGGGGGCTGCCTGTGCACTGGTCTGCGGAGGGCCTTGCGGAAGCTCGGATGCTGCTGCAGTGTGTGCTTCTGCGATCGTGTCCACTGTGGTCATGTCTATGGGTGTTTCATCTACAGTGTTGCCTAGTGCTGCCTCCACGCCATTGCTGGGTGTTTCCTCCGAAATATTCACGAAACCTTTTACTGGGACATTGCTGGGAACTTCTTCGATAGGCGCTCTAACGGCTGTGCCTGCGCTCGTATCGGTATTTTTGTCTTGTAAAGATGGCTCATCTTGTCTAGTGCTGTCTGCAGCCTCGAAGGTTGAAATGGCGTTCGACGAAGGATGTGAAGCCTCCCCGATCTCACTCTGACGGTCCTCATGTGCGCTATGGTTCTTCTTTTTAGGTAAAATCTTTTTGGCCTTTCGCGCTTCCGGGCTTCCACGTGTTGCCGGATATTCAGGTTGTTGTAGCTTGTTCGCACGATGCAGGTCGCTCCTAGCATCCTGAGGTGAATACTGGATCGACCCCACTGATGCAACGTTACTCTCGGCCGGGCGACGAAACTCATGAGATGCTCCGCGAGGTTGTTGCGAAGACATTGGATATTGAAAGTAACGCCGAGCAACGCTGACGTGCAGTTCTCGATCTCTAAACTTCAAGTTCTTAGCATTCACAGCCTCCAGAGCAGTTCTCGCTTCGTCTACAGTGTCGAAGCTGACGAAAGCCTGGGTGAAGTCTTTGGAGTCGAAATTGCGCTTAATCTGTACTGATTCAGGTCCGACACCCGTAGATTCTAGGAACGCGACTCTGAGCTCTGATGCATCAACTTCCTTAGGCAGATTCTTGACGTAGAGCAGACGGACGGTGTTATTCTGTGGGCCAATGAAGTCGTAGGAGCAGCCGAATTGCTTGTCGTTGACTATACTCGGATCCACCTCAAGGCCATTGCTCAATTGACGTACCTGGGTACCCTCAAAAAATTGACCACTACCGCCTCGCATGCCATTTTCCGCGGAATCTGACGGGTACGAACCGTACAGAGACCGGTCAAAGGTACCTGCTGAGGACTTACGGCCTCGGTCTGCATTGTTCGAGTAGTTCCCACGACCTCCTTTCCGGGGACCTGTAGTCGTAAATCCAGCCTTGTCCGGACGCTCTGCACCATAGGGATTGAAAAGCCCAGATGTCTTGGTGGACTGACTGTTGCTTCGCTGCATTCCGGGAGCATCCGTGTCACGACCCTGCGGGTATTGGAGGTTGTTCGACATGTCCATGAATGGTGTAGGCGCGTACTGCTGATAAGCTGAGTCATGTAGCTGAGGCAGAATTGGTCCCGGCGGAGGAAACATCGCAACCCGTGACATCATTTCCATATGGTCCACTTGGTTCGGGTGCATAGGTGGTGATGTCACCGAGGTATTCGATGGAAGACGTGCCCCGGGAGGAAATGGATTGAATGGGCCTGGCATGGGCGGTCCATACCGATGAACAGTACCACCATGCAGGGAAGGGCCAGAGAGATGTCGCGGATGTTCGCCAGAAGGCATACGACCGTTTTCCACAAAGCCGTGCATGTGTGGTGTTTGGGTGTACGAATTAGTCCCTGGCCGATCGCGCCGCTTGTTATGACGAGGTGGTCCAGGATATGGTACTGGGATCATAGGTGCACAATGGCCCATGATGAGAAAATCACCTGCATGAGGGAGGGTTCTCTGTATATGCGATGAGGGAAAGGATGGCTGCCGCATGAGCGGGGCATTTGGCGCAGACTGAACGGGCCCAGGCACTGAGTTTGACGATCCAGGAAACGCTGATTCTGCGCATGTTAGAACAGGAGCGTGCAATCGGAAGAGGAGGTTTGGGGGGTGTATTACGTGGCCTGACAATTACCGCCGACTTATGACTGAGCTCTGCAGTTGTCCTGCGGTCATTGATCGTAGGAGACAACGGCTGTGCTTTGCATGTAAGTCCAACAGGGCTCGCAGACTGCGCTGCATGATGCTTCACCATGTACATCTGCATTCCATGCCGCAAGGCCCACGTAGTATGGTAGAGAAAGTGACGCGGGCAATCATCCTGCTCGCCTTTGGTAAAGATCTCGTCGACGATAGCGAATTGATCGTTCGTGTCATACATAAGATCGGTATACTTTGCGAGCTTTTCGAGCTTCTCAGGGTTTAGCGGACCCCATGCCTGTGCAAATTTCGTGACCGAAACCAGATTATCGTGGCAGATAGCGCCAAGGACGTCTTCTAGAAAGCCAGGTGACTCGAGGTGGATATCGGCATCGTCCCAAAGGTCGGTGATCGTCCATCCGGCGCTTGGGAAGAAGCAATGGTAGAACTCGGGACATTTCTCGCGCCAGTAGCCGGCGAACTCGAATACGCCTTGGGTCTTGTCGCTCCGGACTATGACCGGTGCGGGAGGGAAAGGAGGGTTGCGATGTGGGTGGCGGCCACCGTCGGTAGAGAAGACAGCAGCGCCTGTTCCAGGTTGCGCGTTCATCCTGCGCAGACGCGGAGACACGCGAGTTGAGCACGCAGCGGCAATGGCCGTCTTCTCTGAACTGGCGGGGGAAGAAACTGGCGGCGCGGTATGCAGAGCAGCCTTACCGGTAGCGGGCGTGCTATCGGGGGTTGACGTAGGCGCTGCTGCTGGTGGTGCCGCTGACGGTGGACGCTCGACATTCGCCATGACGGAGATGCTGTTTATGATACAGCAAAAGAGCACTTAAGGAGTTGACAAAAGAGAGAGACGATCGGTCGAAGAAATGCACAAGTAGATGTGACGCCAGGACACCGAAAACGCCAGAAAAGAAAGGGTGGTGGGTGAGGTGAGGCGGAAGGTGCGGGAGGTGAAGTCGAACAGAATACCGAGGGTTTTGATACCTGTGTGAAAATGGGGAAGGCGCGCGTCCCTCACCTGGCAACCGTGTGTGCTCGACCAAAAGGCAGCGGTGAAGCTGAAAGTTGGAAATTTGGTCGACAGCCTGGGACTTTGGCCTCAGGCCTCACCAACTTCCTTCAGCGCAGCGAACCACCCATCTGAAAAGCAGCAAAATGGATGAGAAGAGACAGAAGCAGACCAAACCGATAGTTAGTGGACGCAGAATCAAGCAAGCTTCAATGCAGCTGCAGGCGATGCACCAGGTTCCCGGGAACGAGGAACAGCACGTATGCCACCTCTAAACACGCACCATGGTACCTCACTCCGGTACAAGACGAATGAATCAATGAGACATTTATTTCAGATTGGAGATTCTTGCGCTAATATTGTGCAGCCACCCGTCGCTTCCCACTTTTCGTTTGCTCTTAATCTGGCACGTGTGCGAGGGACCCACTAGATGCCCAACAAAACATGGCCATTCCCGTCGACCCTATGTACAGAGCTGAACCATTGCTATGGTATCACGCCTTGTTGTCCTTGGATATCGAGCGGAGCATCGATAGAATCTCGGACTCGCTCTCTCCCACGACTGTGGAGGTTAGCACTACCAACTGGAAATTGCTGAAATGTTGAACATGCCTGCTTTGCCTTGATTCCAGTCCACCACCTGTTGTTGGTCAGCATATGAAAACGTGGGTGTAGGGCGGCACTCACTACTGGCCGCAAGAACGTCTCGCCGTCTGCCTTCAACCTCCGCATCGCATCTGTCTCATCTTGTGCCCCCGAAACGACCTTGGACGCAGCCCCAGATCCACCCAGATAATCGAGGATCGATTTGAGCTGATCGGCGGTAGGCGGCGCCTCGGTCACGTCGAGCTCAAATTCCATACGTTCAGCCTTGTCCTGTGCCTGGTGGGAGCTTGCTTGGTCTTCCGTAGCATGCGCTACTGACTGCGCATTGGTTTGCTTGAGGAGAGTAAGCACACGGGTGGAGGCGGTGCTCGACGGCTTGTGGAAGAGGGTCACGACGTTCTTCGCGCCATGCTGCAGGCATTGTCAGTGAAGTTGATCTGCATCCAATTGAACACGTACGCACCTCTCCAAAGATTCGCTTGAACATGATGGCGGTGTGGGACGATAATTTTCAGTAGCTGGATGGTTTGTTGCGTTGGAACGTAGCTGTGCAGAGGAGCTTCAGAAGCTGATGTTCGGAAGTGACGTCGCGCGGCGCTTGTCCGCTTAATGTGGTATAACGCCACCGGAGCTCTGCCCAAGCTTTTTGCAAACGACTACTCAAGTGTGGGGTTGCGTGCTTCTCCGTGTGTTGATGGAAATAGCAGGTAACAAATAGCTTGCCAGAGTGTCTTCTGATATGAGGCTTATATTGAGTACAGAACGCAGTCAGTGCCCGCATCAATGACTGCCGACTGTGCCATGCCTCTCTACTCTTTTGTCTCAAAGCGCCTTGATGCACTTGGAATTGAGTACTGTTCCCTTCAAAGGGGTCGATATCACATCCGATTGATAATCACTTCATATACGTCGCCTCGGATGGGCGAGACGGAGAAAGCACTACATTGTCGACCAAACACGACGGAAACTGTGGTGACGTGGAACCATATGAATGGTGTTTCATTTGCAGCTTAAAAGCCGAATGTGCATTGACGCCCTGAATATGCCCCTATCCTCCCAAAGCCGGGGGATCTCAAGTACATAGACATGCCGGGTTACGTCCATGCCGTGCCGAGCCTCCCAGTCCCTCTGATCCAGAGTCATATTTCATCCCGAGGATACCAAATTCATGACAGATGATTGAGCGAGCATTCCACATAATTTCTTTCCCGTCTCCGTCGTTGTCTACGATCCAGGGTTGGGGTTCATCTAGAGACGCGTCAGTATTCGCTGCTGGAGTGATTCAACGGGCTATCTCTGCGCACCTTCCTCTTTCCACCAGTCAGGGTGACGTTCACGAAGCGGCGGGTGTATGTGAGCCTCTTCTTGGCGCGGCCCTTGGGAGTCTTCTTCTTCTCCTGAGGCTCAACCTATAGACGTAATATCAGCGAGCCGTTTCCTAAACTAATCCAGCCAGGCAGTTCGGGATGCTTCATCTATTCATTCATATCCCAGAAAATACTTCTCCATCAGCGCTCGCGCTGTGCTTATTCTCCTGCGCAGTTCCTTCTTCGTGACTCTAATATGACAAGTATGCGTACCTTGGGCGTCTGGGACTTGACCTTTCCGGCACGAGCGAGGGATCCGTGAACTTTACCCATGATTGCGGTATTCGGTTGCGACGAGTGATGTGGGTGCGCGGTCGGTGGTCGATATTATCCCTATGTGGCGAAAGACAGTGTTAGCCTTGTGTACGGCACTGCAGACCCCGGAGGAAGCGTTGGATGGCCAAGCCGCGATTTTCTGCAGAAGGAGCAGCGGGTTTCGATGGATAGGGATACGTACGGGTTGTTGCGGTTGTCGTGGTCGAGTGATGACTGTGCGGGCGGCGGCGACGTCGTGGACCAAAAATCGCCCGAGCGGTTGTGGGTGGTCTTGGCAAATCTAATCAGATGATCTGAGATCACCGAACGACATGCGAGGGACTTCTCGACAACGTCAGTCCTACAGGACAAGACTTGTACATGTGCATTTCACCGACGTGCGTGAATACGCTGCACTCTCCACGTCCTTTTCATCGCCCTCGAAAGCGCCAGCACAACAACGAATCTCTTTGAAGCTAACCGAATTCCCCACGCAGGCGCTCGGGTGATCTTGTGATGCGATACACTACTGCGACCCATTGATACTCTTCCTCCCTCGGGTACCTCTGCTTCTATCCTCAATCTGCGCCGTGGGGGCATAGTACCACCCTTTTTCCATTCTAACTACAACATATTTCTTTCAAACTACAAACATCAGGCACCATGCGTCTAGATCCCGCCCTTCTCCCCCTCATCTCCTTGGCCTCGGCATCCGCTCTCCCATCATGGCACGATAAATCCGCGCATGAGATTTATCACGACGGGGCCGGCTTCAAGATTCCCACCGTACACGAGTCCGCCGTCCTAGCACGTCGCATCCTCGACATAGAGCGTGTCGGTACGCTCAGCACTGTGTTTCCTACCACACACGCCACCGAGAACCGCCCTTCAAATGTAGGAGGCTCGCCCATCGGCTTGCCAGACTACTTCGCCAACTGCGAGCCCGACACTGGCAACCCCACCATCCTCGAGCTCCCGATAGCGACCTCGTTCAAGAACGTCCAGGCGGGGTCCAACATCTCTCTCTCACTAAGGTGGCATGCGCCGTATAAACATTGGTACAGCGTGGCTTCTGTGCCGCGCTTCAACCTTGTTGGATATCTGGAGGAGTTCACGGACGAGGAAGTCAAGGACGAGAACATTGCTGCTTGCTTCGTGAAGAAGCATCCCGATGCTGCTACGTGGTTACCGGGCAACCGCATCCACGTTAGCAAGTGGGTGCGCCTTGTTGTGCAAGAGATCTACTGGATTGGGGGCTTTGGGGATCGCGCGTATATCGGGTGGATTCCGTTGGAAGAGTGGCAGAGCGTGAGTCAGGACGAAATCGAGAAGGCAAGGCTGCCGGGCGAGGACTCGCCATGGAGCTGGAGATTGTGGTTTGGGTTGGTCGACAACAAGCAAGAGATGCTGGAGCTGTGAGGTACCTAGCGCCACGATAGCACCGTATCACGGGCGAGTCATCTTGGTTCCACACTTGACTGCCACGTGTTGTGACACTGTCGGCTTCTATGCGGCGAGTTCGTCGGTGATAGATTGTACCTAGAACCGCCATATGCACATAGCGCAGCGACTCAGGCAGATTGTCGACGGGGCTTGCATATGTACTACACTGAGTAATCTCACCAACTACGGTTCGCGAACACACATTCTCAATTTCCATGGCCATGGTCCTGCCTACCTTCGTATCCAACACTGCAAGCCACATCCCAATGCGCACCAAGTCGCCAAATATGCTTACCCGCCCACCGCCCAGACGCACGCCCATCACCTTCATCTGCGCAAACACCGTATTGACCTGCGATGTTCCCTGCGCCGCGCACGCGAGGTGAGGCTATCCCCGCGGACTTCCATTGATTCCACGAGCGCCCCACTCAGGCAGCAACGCACCAGGACCAGGCACAAACCCCCGAGAAGCGCTCGCATGAAGGTTTGGTAGCTTTCTGAGGCGCCCAAAGGCCCGAATAAAATGACGTGCCCGTGTATCCTGTGAACATGGCTTCCACACACACACACACACACACACACACACACACACACACACACACACACACACACACACACACACACAGGCATGACTCGGCCCCGGAGAGCGGAAGTTGCCTGCACTGATCTTCCGGGAGCTGGCCTGGAGATGGTGGAGATCACGCTCGGCGCGCCACTTTACGTGCATGCCGGGCGGCTGATGCGCGGTCTTTTCCAAGTTGCCATGTGCCCTGCGGCCCTTCTTCGCGGCGTACCTGATAAGCCAGAATTGCGATCCACCGCGAAGCCGTGCGATTCAGTGTCGCCAGCAGTACATGTTGCGCTGGCGCGTCGACTCGCCTCGAACCATGATGAAGCGGGCGCCGCAGGTCGCGATGCAAGCGCCGGAGCCTGTCGTCCGATGCAACGAAGGTGCAGCCACGGGCGCGTGCCTGCGATCTCCAGGGACCAAGACGGCGCTGTCGCTGTCGCAACCGACGTACCGGAAACGCTGGCTCTGCACGACTCGCCTGGCTGTGGCAAGCGACGAGCTACGAGCAAGCCCTCGTTGAGTTCCCGTGACATGTGGCCGCGCCTCGTGCGGCCAGCGCTTGGCGAAACCTGGCTAGGGACCGGACGATGTGCACTACAGAGATGATCCCTGTGCCAGGGCCAGCCTGCGGTGGGCTCCCACGTTGCTGAAGCGGGCGGAGGAGGCTCAACGGTCTCGTAGAATGGTGTCGTGGAATCTTCCTTTTGTGGGCTAGCCTGCCCTGTAGCCGGGATGAAGGCTGGAGCAGCGTGCGACGTCGCTGTGCGCGCCTGTGTGGTCGTGTGTGCAGCAACAACACTGAAAGGCGCCTGGCGAGGCTGCAGCTCCCAGAGATCTGCCGAGAGCAGCCAGAGTAGCATCCCAATCGGACTCGATTCGCATGGCGGGTTACGCAGTCGCTTCCCTTGTGTCGGGACGTTGCCTACGGAGCATGACGCTGCCATCGTACGACTTGACGCATCCATCACACAGCTACCAATTCTTGCTTCTTGCCACGCTGCATCCCAAGGCAATGTCATCACACATGACTAGCCTTCACTACGCTGAGCGTGCCGGCTGCACGGTACAGACCCGCGATCCCGGCCACATTTGCTGACTGCCTCGCGGCCGCCGACGGCATCCCACTACCTCGCCGAATTTCGCTCCTCCCAAGAATCTATACCGTATATCGCTGCAGCCCCGACCCGCCTCGTGCACATGGCTGCATCAGATCAGCAAGTTGCAGCGGGTGAACGCCGGCCAGTGCGTCCGTGTAATGTTCGCTCGCCTGATGAGTCGGGCCCGCCAAATCCTTCTATCCAGGCTGGTATCTTGCATCAGGGCGACGCGGCAGAGCGTCTTGGGACAGACCAGATCTCGTTACTTTTTCGCCGTGGATGAGCTTCCCCCAAGGGCCCTCGCATTTGGGGTGATCATGCATGAGTCTCCGCAATCCTTCCACACGTGACTCCATCTTTCCAACGTTCCATCTGCCCTTCAAGTCTCCGCGAGACATGAAGTTGAGTCCCTGAAGGCTGCATACTCTCCCATCAGCGTGATGGGGCCGCAGACCGGAGAACCATTATGGCCCCTGTAGACTGCGTCCCCTGGGCGAATGCAGAAATCCAAAACGTCGTGGCCCTATACCTTTCCTTGCTCAAGTCAACGGTTACAACCATCCGCCCGTGAGATCGTCTTCCGTACGGCGATCTCCGGCGTAGTCAGCCCTTTGAAATACCTCCTCTCACGGCTACATGTAGACGCTCGGGGACGATCGCTCTTTCACGCTGGACATGGCACCCAAAAGAGATGACCTGCCCTGCTTTGATCGTGCCTTCAGGAGGTGTGCCGGTTGGTGGCCCACGCAGCGGACCTCACGACAGGGCCACAGCTATCTGCAACGGTGATAGCAACGTGCCTAGACTGTGCGTCTCGGGCAAGACGGGCAACTTGCCACGGCCATCTTCATCAAGCCGGTGGGCTGAATGACTCCTGATAGCCCTGCCTCGATCGCTCTTATGACTCCTATAGAACGCCTACCTAGATCGATCGTAGCATGCAAGACTGCGATGCCTCTGGCCGTGCGGAGACTTTTGAGCTTCGATATCACATCGCAGTCCCACTAACATGCCCGACACAGTCCCAGAAGTTTTTCCGCGGCCTGGCCCGCAGGTTGGGAGATCCTGGCCTGAGGCAGGTCTGGCAGCAGCATGTACCTAGACGTTGGAGGTAGCAAATATTGACAGAGCAGCAGGCGGCGAAGGTAGCATGCAGTGCCTGACTACAGCGCATGCGCCCGTCGTGTCCTGCACGGAGGTTGAACTTTGGGACTGGCATCGGCAGAGGCGGCAGCGGAAACAGTCTCAGGGGAACAAGTTTCGACACTCCAAACCGTTTCACGCAGCACGACACCACACCGTAGACACGCGTGGCCGCGTATGCCCTGCCTCGTCGTGCTTCGGCGAGTCGCCCGTAGGATCATGGAAGGGACGATCTGATCGCCGCGCTGGCACGTCCTTCATGCGTGTGTACGAGACTCAGTAACCATTGCACGACTGTCAAGTGTAGCGCGAGCATGTTCCCCAGTTGTTCATGCGCCTACGGCCTACGCGGCCTCGTCGCACCCTCGAGAAGGGTTCCCAGAACGGCGCTGGCGAATGACATGAGGCTGCCCCATGGATGATCCTGACAGGACCCATAGCAACGGCTTTTATGAACGTGCGAGCAACTGACTGTCCAATTTCTACCTCACGGTCCGGTTTCCACTACGAGGAGCTTGGGCCAGGCGTCAATGCGTCGCAGCGCGGGCATCCTTACACCGCCAGGGCCGAGTGAGTGGTAATCTCACGAAGATGAAGGACACGCATTGTTGGTGGAATCTTTGCATCTGATCTGTTTCCACAATGCGGCGTAGCGGTGCATGCTAACGCGCAGGATCGCTATAGTACAGTGGCGGCAAAACACTCGCCAAAACATTGCGACCGGCCCTCACAGGCACTGCGTCGATGTTGATCAACAAAGGACGTACATCCCCTAAATATAGACAATGGGAAAAAAAGTAGGGTACAAGCTTGTATCCCGGACCGTCAAATCAGCAAACGCCATGGTGATGCAGGAAAGGAAACATTAGATATGCCGCTTCAAGTACGCCTGTAGTGGTGCCGTCCAGTGGTATCACACCGACCCGTAGATGCTAGAACGAACGATTGCAACCGCGCGAGATCCATATACAATTCAAGGCAAGCTAGGCCGTGATCAGAACGCCGGGAGAGAAAATTACTGCACAATGAGAGATTCGTCATGTCGTGAGAGTTGTCGATGCGTGGCAGCCCCGCTCGTGGCGCTTCATGTTGCTTCGGACGCTAAAGGCCTTGCCACAGCCAGGCTGGGGACATTTGTAGGGCTTCTCGCCAGTGTGGCTGTGGCTGTGGATGCGCAGGCTGCTTGGTCGCGAGAAGGCCTTGTTACAGGTAGAGCAGATGTATCGGTCTTGCGACTGAGGGAACGCGGATTGACTGGAGGTGCTGATGTAGTGGTGGTGTTGCCACGGGTTCGATCCGTTACCGGAAGGCGTAGGCAGAGGCAGAGGCATTTGCGGTTGGAAGTTCGAAGGCAGAGCTCGTTGCCCATACATGCCCATGGAGTAGGGGTGAGACTCGGGAGAGTAAAAAGAGGCCGCTGACGCCGGACCTGGTGATGAAGCATATGGCGACGGAGCGTAGGACGATGCGCTATATGGAGACATGGAGGATTGCGGTAGAGGAGTTCGTCTGACGACAGAGGAGTGAGGACCGGTCTGGCGTTGTTGGTGAGGCTCCATGTTGTTGAGTGACTGGCCGAGGTAGTAGGAGCCGGCGCCAGAGTGAGTCGAAGCGGTCGACGGAGACTGATTGCCGTCAACCACTGAGTCCGGGTGCATAGGCGGCGTAGGAGGGAGGGTCAGTCTGGGGTGGCTCACGATCGTGGGACCGAAGGCTTGCTCTGAACGGCTCTCGGGCTGCTGCTTTGTTACTGCCACGCTGGACTGGTGCTCCTGCCCCGGTTGTGGTGAATGTGGTTGTGACCTGGGGCTTGGGCTCTGTCCGGCTGCAGCTGCTATTAGCGAAGTTTCGGAAGGAGCGTCTGGATCGCAATTACCTGTCTCGGATGCCGCCTTCTCACCATCCGCAATGTGAAGCAGACTCGATATCGACGGCAGTGAGGGCTTCTGCTCCTCGACTGGTGGTGAGGGTGGCGACTGTGGGTGTCGTTGGTACTGGTACTCGACTTGTTGTTGCGAGATGTGTGTGGAGTACTGGGCGGGAGCTGCTGCGTAGGACTGCGGTTGCTGATGTTGCTGAGAGTAATAGTGTGATTGTTGGAGAGGTTGCTGTTGGTGGTAGTGACGGTCGTGCGCTTCACGTTCCCTCCCGCTGCCGTGTACCATACTAGCGAGATGCATAGCCATGAAGACGTCACGGGTTCACAAGGTGAGGTGGTGTAATATAGGTCGAGGTGAGGAAGTGATGACGAAAGGCAACAGAGAAGAGGACGGGTAGCAGCAGATGTACAGAATGGGCACCGGGACCTCGGGGCGTGGCAGAGCGGGACGAGTCGTCGGGCCTGCAAGCGTTCAAGTACGATGGGCGGTTGGCGAGATTCAGCACCTCAGCGTCAACTGGAAGGGCCCGCGGTGACCAAACCGTTGCCGGCAGGGTGGGTCAGACAGCGGCGAGGGACCCTGGCCGGTGTGTCCTGTGCGGAGGGTGTTGCAAATTGCTATTGAGCGGTGGACGAGGCGGACCGTTGTCTCCACGCCGCCAGCCGCTCAGAAGAGTTAGGGAGCGCCGCCTGGTCTGCAACGGTAATGCAGATGACGAACGAAAGCGGTTCAGGAGGGAGGATGCGCAAGCCCCAAGCAATGCCTTGGCTAAGCGATCCGTCCTCTTGCACCCTGGCCTGCCAATCTATACTGCACCGGCTATCGAGCCTGTTGCGGTTTGCGGCGGTGGAGGCGCGCCAGGGGCCCTGCTGGCGGTCAAGGACAGGCCGTGATGCACCGCAGATCGACTTTCCAGAGAACGAGCGCCGCACACAGGAGACAGGCTGGGGATCCCTTCTCTCGAGCGCACGATGCCCCCACAGCTGCGGCGGAGAAGATAGAGTTCCGCCGTACGCACAACGGGACGCTCAACACTGCGGCGGGTAAAGACGCAGCGAGCAGGAGAATAATTGAATTGGCCTTTGGCCAGCACCCTAGGACGCAATGCGTGATGAGGTCGGCGATCAAAGCTGCCTGAGCCTGTCGGCCGGCTAGAGTTGTGGGTGGATTAGGTAGGGATAGCCTGCACGTTCTCCTCGCGTGTGAGATCGATCGACGACGGGCGTCCGTGAGCACCTGCTTCCAGCTGAGCCTTGTGCGTTTTGGTTTAAGCCAGAGTCAGACGCCCGCGAAACTGCGTGTTCCTGCGCAGGGGAGCAGTAGGACGACGTGCAGATGGCAGAGGGTTCGAGGTAGTGCTCCTTAGACGACCTCACGCAGCCGGGGCGCCAGAGCAAAGCTTGGAGACTGGCTTACACAGGGCTGGCGGAGGATTGCGTAGTGGGTTGCAGCAATGAGTGAATGAGAGAGCTAGGTCCGGGGTGGCGCTGGCGATGGAGCCAGCGAGGAGCCTGAGACAAGCGGGCAGAGATGATACAGTAGAGAAGGCATCTTGGAGACCCTGGGCGCGGTCCCTGTCATATCGTCTGCGATGCGGTGGGGGAGCCAGATGAAGCCGCCATCGTCCCGCTGTCGAAGCTCCCTAATGGCGGTGTCAAGCAAGCCAGCCGCGGACAGCGACGACGTTCTTGAGCGTCGCCGCTACAGACTGCCGTGCCGGCCGCTAGGCGCACGCTACGAGGAGCTCGGCCGTGACGGTGAATGGCGTCCAGCAGCCTCGACGCGACGGGCGATGTACGGCGTCGTCGTCCTGGGGCGCTGTGCGACGAGGCGCTGCTGGCGCGGTGCAGCGTTCCCCAGCATGTCGCTGGCAGCTGCCTCGACGTCGCTGGCCGGCACTTGCTGACTCGCGCGGCATCATCCTTCCCCTCGACCCGTGCGACGTGGACTCCGCTGCAGCAGCGGTTCGTGTGGTGGCTCTCACCGCAGGTCCTGGGACGCGGGACGTCCTCATGGCGCGACTCGTGCTGGGCCGCGTCGGCGGCGACAAGTGTTTCAGCATCGCTGGCAGGTCGCGGGCGCCAGGCTGGTTGAGCCCGTCGCGGTGCCGGCGTGCCGACTCAGGCCTCTTTCGGCAGCCTCTCCGTTCGCACTACGCGAGGCTCGAGCTCGAGCCCTTGTGGCGGGTTGTTGACGGCCCTGGGCGGCCGCCTGTCTGTGGATGTGGAGGATCCTTCTCTGAGCGCGGGTCGATCAGCACCAGTGCATGCAGCTAAACCCTGGAGCCACGTTGGTCGTCGTGAAGACGCCTCCAAGAGACACCGCGTAGCCGAGCTGCCGTCGCGCCTCGAGGCCTCTCCCGTCTGCTCTGGAACTGCATGCTGACCGACGCAGCCTCTCTGCTCGGCTACCGCACGTGTCCGCCATCTCGACCACCGCCAGGCGGCGACCTCGCGGTGCTGGTGCAGTCTCGCGGCCCGCCCGGGCTGGGGCACAGAGCAGTGTCGCTGGCAGGGCCATCGTGAGACGCCTAGCCTGCCCAATCTCACCGCTGTGAACAGGCGTCCGGGGCAGCGGTGCGCCGGCAGCATTCGAGTGTGGCCCGAGGTGCCCTCGTTCGTGGTTGGTGGTAGCACCCGACCAGAATTACCTTTTCGGTCGCATTCCGACCACCTCCATTCATGAGGCCGTGAGAATGCGGGCCGTTTCGAGGCTCCAGCCGCCTACTCGGAGCATCGCATTCACCGCAGTTGCCCTCGTTTCACCCACGGCAGAGCATCACGCACGAGTCCACGACCACGAGAGGCATTTTCTTCGCCAGCTCCTGCTGCAGCGGACAATTTGTCGTGCAGGGAGCAACGCATGATCTTCCGGGAGAAACCATCCAAGCCTTGCGTGGCCAGAGCGAGGCGTGGGAGCGCCGCAGGGATACCGAGGCGTGGCCCGCAGCACGAACCCTCACAGCAGCGCTCCGCGCGGACAAGCTTAAATGCCACCCGACACTGTGTCATCACTTTCTCCGCCAATGGCCTCGGCCTGCTGGGCTTGCTCAACCCTCACCGTCAACATGGCCAAACTTGGACTGCAGTCTCCCAAGATCACAGCATACCTTGGGGAGCGCTATTTTTGCCCCTCCCGTCGCATCATCAGGGGCGACGCCGCCTGCCTATCTCGTCTCATATTGAGCCCAGTGGTCGGGTTACAGTGTTGCTGGCTCAATAGCAGAGAGTCTATGCCGGCTGCTTGGTTCTGCAAATCTCACGAGTCACCTGGTAACGGAGGCTCGGCACCTCATTACGGATAAAATGGACCCAACCCGCCATGCCCACTGCGGTATAGTGTTGTCCCCCACGCGCATCGCGATTGGATTGCGGGCTATTGATCTGCAGCCCCATCCTCCATTGTGTATTCCATGGATTTTCGTTGTCGAAACACTGCATACGACGTCCGTTCAATAACGCCTTCGACGTGCCTTCGTTTCCGCTTCCACGTCGCTTATTCCACACCCAGGTTCCCCGGTGCCATGTCAGCTAGTCATTCCAACCGACAGCTCGCTTACCAACGTCCACGCTGTTGCCGTCAGACACGGAACCGAGATGCGCAAGGCGCACGCCTAGACATCGCGAGTCTTTTAGTCTAGATTTCTAGAACGTATCTCTCTGTGCACGCAAACCAAGAGATTCTCGTGGTACAATTTGCCAGCTTGCTATAGCGCGATATCACGTCCAAGCCATCAAAACTGACGAGTCTGGACTTGCGTTGTTCAATAATGGCGACTAGGCCACATCCACTTACGCTGACTTTGATGTGCTTTTGTATGTGTTTAAACAATCGCTCAAGTAAATAATGGCCGAGTGGGCTGGGACTCCAGTGAGGCTGCACGCTAGCAACGCTATGACTCTGCTTCTTTACAAGCACGACCTGGCCATTCACTACTGTCTACGCACGCGACAGTGTTCAGGCTGTCTAGCACATAAAATCGGCGACTGACTGATTCAGGTCTCTTAATCCCCAACGAACCTTAGATCTAAAACTACATCGCACTACTATGGACTGCTTCCCGATTTTTCTTTCGGGCCTCCCCATGTCGCCTATCTGGCCCACCATACTTACTTGCAACGCAATTACGCGTCGCTTATTACAGTAAAATAAGGTTTATATCAGTTGTTTGAGCGCTCTGTTGTAGCGTCCAAATGTACTGAAAACCATTTCGAATAAGAAAAGCAGTGGCCATTCCTGAGGTTGGCTAAGCTTCAGCTCTGCAGCTCCCAGGATTCGGATGTATTCCTTCGAGCTCCACGGCGCTTTCCGTCGCACAGAGTCGTCTTAGGATCAACCAAGTTTTTGCCTATGTATGCCCTTTGCCTGCCACTCTCCTCAGTCCAGATCAACTCGGCGCCCCATATTGTTAGCAGGGGTACGGTGGTGGAAGAAATTTCGCACCTAAAGAGAACGTTGACTGAACAGAATGGGAACCAAATAACGATCCCAAGACCAAAAGAGACAGCCACGACGAGCTCCGCTGACCCCAGCCCCTGGTCCATGCATAACCGTTTCGAGCTGGTCCTCCGGATGGCCTCAACCGCCTCAGCATGGGTCACCGAACGGCTGACGTCGATCCATCTCGAATCCTGCCTGTCCAACACATCGCAATATTCTCGGCTGACCACAGCCTCGGGGCCAAGTCTCAGATCAGCCGGAATGCACCCATCGAACCCACTCAAGCAGTGCATCAAAGACATGCTTCGGCATGTGTAGCAGAACGGCTATCCCACCCACTCCGGTGCCGTGCCGCCACATAGGCGCCCGGTGTTCCCTCGGACTACTCAAACTCGAAGGCCCCAAACCAGCGCTCCATGAAACGTGAGCGGCTCGTCATTATATCCGAATTCGGTTGCAGCCACCTTTGTGTCAGCCCCCCTGTGGACGTATGTAGGAGGTCTTGACTGCGTCTGAAGGATGCAATCTTCTAGCCAGCAGCAAAACGACGGAAGATACCTGAAACTCAGCTCATATTGATTGCGAGCCGTCCCTCCTTCTCCTCGCGGGCGTGTGGGTCTCAGACTAGTGTAGGGAGCAAGTGGCCGATACGTTCCACTTCTCCCACATGTGTACGCGCGCCGGAATGTCAGGCTAGGCTAGTCAACGTCCGCGTCCTCTTGCACACGTTACGCCTTGGCACTCCCTTTTACTGTGGATCCGCTGTCAGGTCGTAACGCGCTATTCAGTGCGAACGTGTCAGTGTACATTGTACCGCATAGCAACTACAGCTTGAGACTCCGATTGGCAACGTAGCCAGCCGTCTGCACCTCATGGCGAAATAGAGGCACTTCCGCATCGCCTCGTAGCGATCCTTCAGCCCACGATGCAAGCTGCCTTTCTGGTAGCGAGCAAATTCGATGTGGCTTCAAAAGAGTGAAAGCGCGGTTGGATTCCAGCACTGCGGTCCTACCGCCCTCGATCAGCCATTGAAGCCAATGAAGGCCATGCTGATTCTTGGAAGCCAGGGCGCTCCGCGCGGTAAGCCGGATGTCTTCACGAATCGCTCAAAGGTCAGACGACTTTGGCAGCCTTTCCGATCTCACGCGCCATTTCCACCACTAGGGATAACGGCGGTCTTTCGAATCCTAGCGTCGAAGGAATCATTGGAATAAGATCTGCAGATGTTCCTTCAAGGATTGCTCGGACGAAACTGTCTATTGCAACACGTGCAGATAATCTGCGGGTCGTCGTCACGCTCGTCAAATTTGATTTGAAGCCCGCGAGGCGCCTTTCCTTTCTCACAAAACGCTGCATTTTGACCTTGCACATCCAATGAGAACATCCATGCTAGGACAAGCTCTTCGGGCAGTGTGCAGGTCATCGTCGATTATTGAACGCGTGCATGTTGCACTCAAGCACGCCAGTCACATTGGCAAGAACATGCTCGCTCGCTATGCCATGTCACAGTCCCATGTATGATCTTCAGCTGGGCCATGGCTTCGTCTCCAGGTGCTGACGGAGATAAACCCGACTCTGTGGAAATTCAAACATGAGAGCTTTGACCACGCCCAATCATTGCCCGACACCGCATTGTTATTACAGGGGTATGACAGCCGCGCTGCAGTCTCAACGCTTTCGCTTTCGCAGATCTGATGGACAACGGCACGTATTCTCCACTTGTGAGGTCTTTTCATTAGGTGCAACACGCAACTCAGAAATATTAGCACCACACGGCATTAACGGTCGGACAGTGCGATCTACAGGGTGAGGAACGGTCTGACGATCGAGGCCAGGACCCACACTGGATGCACAATGCTTGACAACGAGTCACTGCCCGCAGCATCTCACATTGGACAGTGCTTACGAAAACCGGATAATGGCAGACGATCATGTGCTGAAGGACCGTAAAGACCTGGTCGGCATCAGACCGGAAAGGCCAGTCGGCGCGAGCGGGCTACCTGGACACCGGGCACTTGTACGAACGATTGCTTGTCAGGGTGCGCGAGTCTATCGGAAACCTAATCTGCGGCCGGAGGTCGTAACCATTCATGTACTGATGATACAGATTGCCATGCAGTGAGCATCAGCCGACCGGGGAATCAGAGTCAGCCTGCCATGCCTTCCCGCGGGGTTTTCTGGCATCGAAGACGGTGGGGGCTTGAGGGAAGGTTGCCCGGAGTATGACGACACACCTACGCGGTGGGCACATCTAACAACGTCCCAAGCTTGTGGAAGTGTCTTCTGCAGGTACACGGACGATCGTACACAGTCACTCCACCAGCGCTTCAACCGCGATCATCTACTCTCTCAGGCACACAGCTTGTTATCTTGATCCGTCTGCCCAGGGTCGGAAATAGCCTATGATCATCTGGACAGGTTGCCAGCCACTCTCAGAGAAAGCGCAGATGCAGCCCTGATCAACAATACACCACGCAATCACCCGGTGGTCCGCCCACGCGAGCAAGCGACCGCACGAATGTCGCTACCAAGATCGACGGCTTCGGCAGCATGTCTTGGGCTTCTCTGCAGCGAGCTTTCAAGTATGACGTTGCGCACATGTCCGCCACGCTGCACGCGAGCCTGGCTTCAATATGCACATGGAGTCACCAACATTGCTCGTCTGGACACAAACATATCCCATCTCACTTGCAGGCAGTAGTGTCTGCTCCTTTGCTTCGCATGATTCGTTGAGTCACGGATATTGTCAGCCCTCCACAAGGGTCGATCGCAGCGTGACATACGAACCTAACGGAAATACCGACTACTACCGGCTCGAACCTGTGCAAGTCTGACACATGTTTTCAGCTCCAACTGTGAGCCAAGAACGCAGGTTCTCAATTGTCATAACCTCATTGTAGAACATCCAGCAATGCCTGCAAACGTATCATACACATAAGCACAACCCCACGCCAGCCTGGCGCATTTGACCCTTGCGTTGGGTATTGTCGTGCAGCGAAGATCTACCGCCGTGTGTAGATCGACATAACAGCCTCACAGAGAGCGATGCAAGCGCTCCTTCGGTCCGCAAGGACCAGCGTTGGTGGATATACCTACCACGTGAATACTGAAAACAGTGACATTCTCACGGTCTATCCGGCCGTAACTCACACCGTGTACCAATACTATATCGAGATTGATGGCCACCGAGAGCCAAGACTCGACCATGTTGCTGCTCAAGCAGGTTCACTGTCCGACCGCAGCCATCACCGCCCAAGATGCCAATACCGACTCTCCCCATCTGCGATCGCTATCACACGTGCCGATGCACATGAGACGGGCATTCGAAGGGAGGATAAGCAAGTGGGTGTTCCTCTCAGCCAGGCATTCTCCCACGCTCCCCTGTAGGCTTACTCAGCAGACGCACCTGAGGCATGCACTCCGCATTGGACATAAGCTCGGAGGAATATATAATAGATCATGTTTTCAGGGAAGATTCAGCTTCAGCTCAGTTGTTGCTAGTTGTAGCGGTGCTCTTTGGCCCGAGGTGGTATGTCGAGGGTTCACTTGAATTTTGTCCAACGACGTGTACTGCTGCTTCGTGCTGATACGATATAGTGATACATCACTGGAGAGTTTTCACCAGCGCCTCGCTAGATCAGCACCCCTGGACTTTCCGGAGCAACCGCTAAGCAAACCATCCACCCAATGCGCTTCTTGTCGTGCTATATGGATGTGCGACACGACCTTCACATCTACTCGCCTGCCTGATGAACCTCCTACGCTATTACTGCGCAATGTCTGTCCACATTATATACGGCACTATGGGGCTGTACCCATGTCTGTTGCACGGCGTGCATTGGCTGAAGTCAAGGACAAACCTCGACTGCTTTTTTGCTATGCCATTCAAGAATATAGCCATGCCACTGTCTATCCATGTACTCATCACGCTGCAGCGAATTCCTTGACGCAAGTTGACACTGAGATCATTCGTGCACTATCCTCACTTCATACCGCCAAACATGTAGACAGTAAGCTCTAGAAGTCAAATGTTGAAGCTCGGGGCCGAAGGTCGTGACTTAGAAATCCTTGTGTCTGGCACTCAGATGGTGCTGCTCGTTATAGCATTCGTCATACTATGCCTGATCACAAATAAGAGGCGCGGAGATACTTGTATATTGCTGCTCTATCATGACATAGAAACGCAGTCGTTTGTAGGTGAAAAATGACTCATAGCTATGCAGGGAAAGGGGGAATTTCTATAGGGCACTCTATTCTAGGCCAGATGAAGCTAAGGTGATTGCAGTAAAGGGAAGTTACTACTTCTAGTAAAGACACTTATTTCATTTAGTGGGACACTACTTTAAAGAAACTAGCAAGGTTAAAGATGTAGATACATTCCAAGTATACATAAGGCCATGCCAATCTTCTTATGTAGTCCTAGGCCAACTGGCAACCTGATTCGAAGACAAAGGGCTTTTATCTTCTTTTTGCACTGCTGACCTTCAGTGAAGCTTTGAAACCAGTCCTCTCCGCAGGTTTTCTTGCATTCCTACCTGCTCGAGATTTCCTATCGATAGGACAATTACGAATCGTGTTTCGGAAAACTTACGGAGTCCTAATGTTACGATAAGGTGGTATTAGTGATCTGGGTCGGGATGATCGGAGAGCTGCAGACGGGTTAAAAGGCCCACGTTCCGTGGATATCCTAACATCCTTTGTTGCACAAATCCGGGACTCTGCGCATCTGTCGTGAAGGAGCTTGATCCGTCTATACTTTGCTGGTGAACCATGCGCGCTAAGTATCTTCCCCGCAAATGAGGTGGTACAGATATGTGCCCTTGCTCAACAATTCTCTTATCACAGGATATACCTTATCATTTGCATCTTCGGAAACCTTTCTGACATTTATGCTCAAGCATTAGTGCTGCAGACTCCTAGGAGATATGCTCAGCATCCTTTGACCATCCAAAACCATGGAAACCATGTGCGATATTCATCCACCATTGGCAGGGTTCTGCGCTGCGGAGAGACATCGCAATGGTCCAAACCCACCTGTAACGCAGTTTCGTTGCTGCGACTGCGCGCGCGACTTCAAAAGTGAAGAGGCACTGGCACAACATCTCCTCTCTGCAAAATCACACACGTCACAGAAGGCCAAGAAGGAAATAAAAACGGAGAAGGTTGCCATGAAGGTGACGTGCACAGAATGCCAAAGGGCATTCAAAAATGGATCGTCGCTACAAAAGCATGCCAAATCGCATGTCCATAACACGAAAAAGCTAGAGGAAAGTGAACAAAGAGCATGCAAAAAGTGCAACAGAAAGTTCAAGAACGATGCAGCGCTGAAACAGCATGCCAATTCGCTGAGACATAAGCCTTTGAGCAACATCAAGTGCCTGGCACACAAAAACTGCAACAAACATTTCAATTGCCCATCGGGACAGCTACAACACCTAGAAAGTGGCAGGTGCAAGTCCAAAATGACGAAGAAGATCCTGGACGAGGCTATCGCAAAGAACGACGCAAGGGGAATCATAACATCCGGAGGCATCACAACGCAGTGGGCATTGGAGGATGTTCCGTCTGCAAGCTCGACACCACGCAGTTGGAGTCCTGTTTTCACCCCAACCTCATCTCAGTTCTTCGATTCTTATCCACCTTCAGGGACAACCACACCTAAGTTCGCCCTACTAGAGATGACAGGCCTCAACGCCGCGCTTAGTCTTCGTCTTAGTCTTCGTACTGGTGCCAAATCACGTACATGTCCCCTGTGCCCATCAGTGACGAAGCGCACTTACACGCCAGAAGCACTTCGCTGTCATTTATCCTCGACCGTCCACAGGTGCAGCAAGGCATCCATAGCCTCTTGTTTATCAGCTCCTGGAATAACATTCCATTGCCCAAGTGGTCTGGTCGGTGCAGGAGACAAGAAGAAGACGAAAGAGTTTGCATCAGTGAGTGGGCTGGCACAGCATCTTGAGAGCGGTGCTTGCTTGGGAGGCAAAGAGACAATGAAGCGTGTCGTGCAGTTTGTGCAGAAGGAAATGAAAAATCTTGGGTTTGGGGACAGCAAATTGTTGTTGTGATTGCGATTCCGCGGGGGAGAACGAGTCTTGATGTCATATTCGACGAAGCGAACCTGCCAGTAATAATTTCAACTCACCGATGATGCCGTGCTCGAAGCAGTCGCTTTCACGCACGTAATTAGTACATCGCGCGTATGAATCATAACGTTATTCTATTGTGGCTATGCTCCCTCATTCCCTCACCCCATTCGCTCCCAGTGCGCCTGCCATCTGCACGTCAGCCGGGGGCCAGCCGCATCCTGCAACATCGGACTATTATTGCCCCACGCCATTCTCCCGGACTATTCTTACAAGAACGGCTTCAGCCCCTCTGCAGCCTTTCCGACCCCAATTTCAGTGTCTGAAAAGCTGCCGCAGAGCTTATTCGAGAAGGACAGAGTCGCCCATTTTTGGCGTCTCAAACCGATGTGACACACGGCGTCTATGTACATGATTAGATGCGCTTTGGAAGCAAGCCAAAGGCTAGAATGTGAGATGGGGAGGTGTATAAGGTGGGAACGTGGCGCTCGTGGAGGGTGTGATGTGCGCTGAGGTTGTCTTGCACGGTACATTCGTTTTCGTGTCCTATCACGTCGCTCGTCTATTGCGTAAATATCTTTGTTATTGTCACAAAGAAAAATGGCGATCGAGGATGCATTCCGGGATCTCACTGCCACACAGCGACAAGCAGCGCTGGAAGGCCCCGCGCTCATGCCACCGCCAGGCGTAACCCCCAACTTCATCAATCCACCGAATCAGAACAAGCTGGGCTACGGGTTGATCTATTCCTGCGCTGTTGTGTGCGCTGCCGTTGTGTGCATCCGCTTGTATGCGAGTCTCATCTGTAGAAAGAAGATGAATATCGAAGACTGTAAGGCGACCAAGCGATGTCATCTTGGGTGTGAACTGACTGTATATAGACTTGGCCATAGTAGCCTTGGGAGTGACTGGCGGATTTCTCTACATCTCGTTTCGCATCCTCCTTGTGCCTGGTCTCTACGTGCACCAATGGAACGTCCAGCTCAAAGATCTTGCTATGATACTTTTCGTACGTCTACTCATCAGTAGGTGATGTGTTTCAAGCACTACTGACAAGCTGCAGAACGTCAACAATAACTACATACTCTACGGCATCATCATCATGCTCCTCAAAGCTGCGATCCTCCTCGAGTGGACGCACCTCTTCGTTCCACTCGGCATCCGCAACGGCTTTTGGTGGACTTGCCATGCCATTCTATGGGCAAATGTCATGTTCTACATTGCATGCACTGTCGTGGAGAACTTCAGCTGCGCGCCGCGCGAGAAGATCTGGAACAAACTAATCGAAGGCCACTGCGTGAACAACCCGGCCCTTATCATGTCGTCTGGGATACTGAATATGGTGTCTGACGTCGTCATCTTTGCGCTGCCGCAGAAGATGATCTGGAGCCTACATATCTCGACGAGAAAGAGAGTGGGTATCTGCTTACTTTTTGCGACGGGCGCTTTGTAAGTCAATCCCAACCAGAATACTCGATACTCTCTGGTGGCTGATGCAGACACAGTGGATGCGTTTGCGGTGCTGTACGACTCGTCTGGACAACGAAAGCGCTAGGCGCAGACGACATAACTTTCAACGTTGGACCCATCGGACTCTGGAGCGTGGGAGAACTGACGTCCGGATTCCTCGTCTTATGCGTGCCATCCTTCCCCAAGGTGTTCAAAGACTCAATAATCGCTCGCAAGCTCGCTAGTCTCGCGAATCGCCTCAGCGGGGCTACCAGATCCAACGGAATGAGCAACTTGAGGCACGGACTACCGTCGTGGTATCGACCCAGCGCGCCGCGCAGACCCCAGCGTTCGCAGTTTAGTGAAATTGAGGAGTTTACGGTGCCTGTAACTCAGCCCCAGAGCTGTATGGCGTATGGTGACCTACCACGAGACGATTCGGGAACACGTGGGCTGGGTATGGTGTTCAAAAACGCAGTCAGCGAAGATTAGACAAGACTTGTGTAGAAAGACTTGGTTGAAAGAGGGAGCTTATCCAGCATTCTGAGCAACATTGCTTATACCAAGCATTCTCTGAAAACCAACGACTTCGAGCTCACCACGTGATTGCCAGTTGACGGGTAAAGTGGACTGCGGAGAGATACTTCCTAACACTTGGATGCCTCGCAACCCGGAACTGTGCTTCTCTATGTATTGATTAAGAGTCTGTCTGGTGAACAGTATAGTAGTGGAAGGAAACTAAAAGTCAGTAGAACGCTGAGATAGGCAAAAGGACCGTAGAGTCCGGACGAGTGGGGAGTCGAGAAGATGCCGCGAACGGGGATGACTTTTGGCAAGAAGGGAGCTCTGTAGAGAGAGGTACAAGTCAGGGTGTGATAGGCGACAGAGAAGCGCTGCTTATGGCAAGGCCGAACGTAGAATTGAAACTAGGAGGATCGAACTTGGTGTTAATGCAGTGCAGAGAAGAGTGTAGAGGATACGCAGTGATCTTTCCTGGGAACATCTCGCAGCGCTATCACACGCAATTGCCAATCAGCCACAGTGAAGTTGCCTTTGAGAGTAATGCAATACCGCATGAACCTCAAATGGTGGAAGCCTGGAAGTATGCGCGTGAGATGTCCGAGCAAATGTGATCTATGATTGCATTGAGACCTTGAAACTATTCACACGTAGGTAGTACAACCCAGACCGGGGAATTTTGAAGAACCAAAGGAAAACGCTTAGAGCACCGAGAGGTCTCCGAACTTCTCCTTGTAGCCTGGTACGGCCCAGCGGCCCTTGGAAACGAGCTGCTCGGTGCGCTTGTCAATGTCGGGCTGTGCGGCCGCAACCTCGTCCTGTTCTCGAATTAGCATTTGCCCTATACCCCATCTGCCCGCGCCATGCACATACCACAGTCAGCTCATCGAACGCCCTCGCCTCCTCGATGTTCTTGAGGGTCTTCTGAAGATCGCTCAGTTCCCTGTCAACCACGGTCTTGGTCTGCTCTGCGTCCTTCACGGCCTGCGCCTCGAACGCCTCGATGGCCTTGATCTGTCTTCCGACATCGTAGGTCTGGGGCTTGAAGGCATTGAAGTGCTTCTCGATCTCGTCGACGATGGCGGTGTTCTTGAGGACGGAGCGGTAGTGAGAGAAGTCGACAGTCTGCGGCTGCTCGGAGAGCAGGGTCACTTTGCGGCGCGCATCGTCGTTGCGCTTCTTGAAGGACTGGAGGGCGGAAGCGGTTTGACCCTTGAGACCGAGCTGGGTGCCGATCTTGGTCCAGTCGATTTTGAGGGCGGCGCTGCGCTGCTAGCTGTCAGTTTTGCGCTTCTGCGGCTTTACGCCTCGGGTGCCATTGAGGGAAGAGGAGCGCGCCCGGAGCAGCAGTTGAGCTATACGGAGCTTCGAACGGTGCGAGGGAACAGGGAAACGTACTCCGACAGCCATTGTGATGATGGATTGGGACGGATTTCGGTGGGGATGGTTCGCGGTGAGGGAGGTCAAAGTTCCGCAAGAGCGAAGGAGAAGGGCTTGGCATTCATTAGGTAAGCCCCCAAAACATCCGAGGACGGGCAACGGCGGGTGCTTTCGCGAGCTGGTAGCACTGCAGATGGGTATGTTCTCAAGCGATAATTCCAGGTCAATTAGAATGCATTTACTCATATTCTGGTTCACGGACTCATCACAGCGTACAAGTGCACCGTTTTCATAGCGAAGCAACCATATCGTGGTTCGTTCGTGTGTAGCTTTTACATGATTCTAGAAGTCACAGCCAGAGACTCCGAACGCTCAGACAAAGCCGTATATTTTCCCGTAAGCACGGCCGTGACGCGTTACAAGCCTACCAGCCTATATGCTGAGTGCCATGATGGAATTGACAATGTCATTGTCGTTCTCCTTGAGAGCCTTGACGGCCTTCTTCCTTGACACGCTCGCCTGCTGCATGACGAGCTCGATGTCCTTGGCCTCAAGGCCAGAGTCGTCGACCTCCTCGTCATCGTCCTCCTCCTCTTCCTCCTCATCCTTGGCAGCCTCGACAGCCTTGCCCTTGCCGTGGTCGTGACCCTCGTGATCATGGCCGGAGTGGTCGTGGCTGGCAGCCTCCTGAGCGGCGAGCTGCTGAGCAGCGTTGGCCTGGGCGGTGGAGTTCAGGTCCTCGATCTTGGCCTCACCGAAGATGCTGCACGTCTGTCAGTGACGCAATGCGGGGCGAGTTCTCGCTAACATACATGTAGGTGTTGCTGGAGGGCGACTTGTACACATCAGGCTGGTTGATAACGAAGAGGATCTGGAGCCGCTGTCAGCAAATTTTCGAGCCGTGACAGCAGCGCGGATGCTGAAGAGCTTGTGTGCGGGGAACTCCAGCGTCCATTGCGCGGGCTGCACTCACTCCCTTGGGCCTGCGGAGAGTGACACGGGTGATTCCCTCGATGTGCTTCAAGCCGAGCTTGCCGATGGCCTTGCGGGCTTTCTTCTCATTGCGCGAGTGCACCGTGACGGAGGCGCCTGCGGGGACGCCAGATTCGGCCTCACCCTCGACCTCGGAGTCGGAGTCAGACTCTCCATCCTCGATCTCAACGTTCTTCTTCTCGACCTCATCCGGGAGTTCCTCAATACGTGGGTTGGCCATGTTGACGGTGGTGTGTGTGGAAGTTCGTGGGGTGGGATCGCAAATTGGGCTAGTGGTGCTGTGCTGTGGTGCGGTCGAGCTTAAGCGAAAACTTCACGTTCGGCGCGCGCCTGTTCGAAAACGCGGAACAACACGCGCACAGAATCAGCGGTTGATATGGCCGTGTCAAGAAAACATGTTCCAAGTGAATTTCGTGATGAACCTCGATTAATATGATCGCGCGCCCCTATTGCACTTCGCAGTAAAATTTAGTCTCTTAGGCAACATTTGTACGGCATAAATTCAAAGTGTAATCTGGCTGACCATAGGGGCATGTGTAAGAACGTTGTCGAATGCGGCAATGTGCAGGATCACGGCGAACGTCAGTGAGGCTCCTCAATTCACCCGTAGCGCCGTGATGACCGTCAGACTTGTGGTGCGTAAACCGGATATCAATTACAGAAATGCTAAAATGTTGGGTTCATGAACTTTGGGATTTTGGACTCTTTCTACATGCGCTCACATGAGAGAGTCGGCTTCATCTCCAGATCCGAATTGCACCATGCCAAACAGGAAATCATATGCCCAGTCGGGATTGGAAATTTTGAATGCCGTGGATAGCCCTTCGAGTTGCTCATGACATGCGGGTGCCCTCCACTGTGACCTGGGACGATGCACCCGCCTCCCGTACCCCCGACGCCGTTGATAGAATCTATGCTGCGCTGCGGACCTTGGCGAGAGACTTGCGAACCTCGAAGCGGGCCTACCGAAATGTTAGTGGTATACTCTTCATATCCTGTCACTCCGCAAGTGACGCGAAATGCTATAGCCTACCTGCTTCCTGAGCTTCATGACCTTGAAGCGCTCAAAGTCGGTGAGCTGCCTCCTCTTCTGGAACTGAGCGCGCTTCTTGGACCAGGAGCTCTCGGCCCACTTGGCATCGACACCCTCCTTCTCCCACTGCTGGGCAACATGACCACGTCCGGTACCGCGGGGAAGCTTGGGGATGACGATGGGGGTGAGAGACACCTTGGCGAGGGCGACTGCGTGGCGGGGGACGGGGGCGTCCTTGGAGGGACCGTCAACAAGCACCTAGCATCCTGTGAGCGGCGCGCGGATATCGTAATCGCGAGAATTTCATACACGCTTGTGGTCGATGATCTCGACAACGGTGGCTAACCGTCCGTCGTACTGGCCGCCGCTGAAGACGACGACGCGGCCGACCTCGACCAACCTCCACTGGCTCGTTGTGATATCGGCGTCACCCATTTCGACGGTATGTGCTGCAATTTTGAGTTAGAATTCGGAAGTGGATGTGATGAAGAGTGTCGCGGGCGTACCAGTCGAGAAGAGAGTCGTTGGCTGTGTTGTCGGTTAGTATGTCGAAGTTCGTGGAATCCAAATTGATGATCGGAGTCGTCCACGGTGGTGCGCTCGCTTCGCCTACGCTAAACCACATGTGTCTCGCGTCTTGGCGTAGAGACGCCGACTTTTCTCTGCTTCTGCTTCTCTCCAACTTCTCATCTCCAGTTCGCACGACAACACAGCTGCATCGCTCATGGGTTGAGCATAGCTACCGCAAATCGCACTGCAATGCATGCAGAGAGCTCCACATGCCATGCAATATGACTGCGCGCTATCCAACCGCGCGCTGCGTCGTCGCTTGTCCTGTGATGGGCTCATACTACTAATCCTGCAGTGCAGGAGGCTTCCGTAGCTTTCTAAGGTACGTCAAATTCACCCCTGCTTCTTTCCACCAACTCTCTGCAATGATGATCCAAATTTGCGATTGAGTCCTTTGTCGGAGACCCTCGCCGGGGTTTCTTAACGGCCTCGGACCTATGATATTCAATTTCTTACATATTCTGAGCACTTTCTCACACTTGACGATCACTCCTGCAATGTTTTGTCGGTGCCGATGCTAATTGCTGGCAGACATAGATCACTCCATGAATAGCTCGTGACAGCTCCGACTGACATACAGGCCCAACATCTGCCGGGTGCTTTCCTGCTCGGTAAGTCTCTTTCTTCTTTATTGTTCGTCACACGTCGTCATCTTTCCGATGATTAAAAACCTTTGCCTAGATAGTAAATGACCCCTCGGGGACTGATTTTACTCTTTTCCACCAAGATCACTGAGGAAATCTACACTCCTGTTTTTGCACTGCTTCTTATGGAGGTCACTGCTAACGTACGAATGCAGAGTTGCACATGGGTCGGGCATGGTCATAACGTGGTAGATGTTTGTTAAACATGATTGAGATGGCGTATTCTATCGCACCCTGTGGTCTTGTTGCAGCCACTATGTGTTCAGATATATTGCTTTCGTTGTAGCATCGCGGTTGTTTGTAGACAAACTATTGTACACTCAATGCCCCTCATTCATGTGCTCCAATCCCTGATAGCGTGGCCTCCGACGCCGCGGGCTTATCGTCATCTTCCTTCCATAGCTCCTGTACAGGCGCACCAGCATCTCACGTCCAACATCATTGAGCGGGTTCTTGGGATCATACTTGGCTCCACCATATGGAAATGGCACAATCTTTGCTTGGGCTCCCTCTTCACCTTCGAGGTAAAATTCCAACGCAAACCTGTCGGCTTTGCGGAGCAGATCTTTTAGCAAAACTCCCTTTCCTTCGTGTGCATCGGCCCACCGCCACAAAGCTGGATCTACGAATACAGTTAGCAAATTTGTTCGAGACGACAAATTCTGTCCTGCAACTGACCATAGAAATCTACATCATCTTTCGGCAGATCATGACGCAGTATCTGGGCGTTGAAAAGAAGTTGCCGCACAATGTTGAGGTTGCATCCGCATTTCATGACCGCCTGCCGGATGACGCTCATATTGATCATTTCGGCGACGCCAAGAACAACAGCCAGAGCAGCTACCGCTCTCTCTTGATTCTCGTTGATAGCTTGTACTAGGCCGGCTTTTGCTATCTCGCCAGACATGCTGCCATCCCAGTCGACCTCTCCACTCATTGACACCAAGACGTAGAGGAGCGATGCTTTGTCGTCGGTCCAGGGTCCATGGAGCACCTTTTCGGGGATATAGAAGCCCTCTGCGAATCCCAAATACGTGAGCTTCATGAACCGGAAAGGCCAGAGCCCATCGAAAGCTTCTACACCGAGCGGCTGGACGCTGGAATCTTTCCATATATCGCCTCTTTGCTGGATGAACGAGCTATGCGCCTTTGCAACATATGCGCGGAAGAAGTCCCAGGTGAAGAACCGACAAGCTAGAAGTTGCGATTGAATTCTAGGATCGCTGGTCACTTCGCGGTCTCGGTAGTTGCTTTTATGATCAACCGTATGGTAGAATGATCGCAGGACAAACTCCATGATCACAGTGTTAGATGACAATTTGCGCCCGAGAGTCGGTGAAGCCCGAGGGAGGGATATGTTCATGCTGTACAAGAACACCATCTCCAGCAGCTCCACCGGGAGACCTTGCAATGTTGGCATGGCTGTTTCTGCGATTTTCTTCGATTTTGCGGGATATTGAGATATTTGAGGCCGTTTGCTCTGCGATGCTGATGCTTCCAGTGCCTTTTGGAGGTTAGACTTGGTGGCTCCAGGTCTTTTCCTCTTTCCTCGGATCCTGACGGGTGTCAAGTCCATCCTCGACCTTGGGCAGCGCGATAAATAGGCAGCAGCGGTATGGTTGGCAAATAAGGTTTCACCGTGGTTCTTGATTGGGAAGTGTCGAAAAGGTCGTGAGGGTGCTAGCGCGTAGTGCACGGCCTCTTCAGCCACTTGTGGCTGTTCACTTGCGGACTTTATGTTTCTCCTCCATCATAGTCAACGCCATAAACAAAGCGTACCACGTCCGAGTCAACGCCCGAGTCCACGCATCACGATGCAGGTCCACGCAGTTCCAGACGCTGAGCGCGCCTATGACTCGACTGGGCGCCGTCTCCCGTGGGGCTTTGACTTTCCAGAGTAAGTACCAGCGATTCACACTCTCACTGCGCGTACCACTACCGATTGTCGCATGGGGAGGTGACAGCATTTGCGCCTTCGCGCAGTATACCTGTTGCGCTCACAGCGTTTCTGGTCGCCCACTCTCCCAAACTTATCCTCTCGCTCTAAACCCAACCGCTAACATGTGGCCCATCTTCAGCTCAGAAAACTCCAAGCGTCGTATACCCGAAGAACGAGGACCTTTCGGTAAGGCGCGCAAGCGCGGTGTCAGCCGAAGCAAGACCCCAAACATATCGAGCGCTCAGGATCTCGCTAAGCAGGAGAACCTGAAGCACATCGACGACATCTTTGCGCAGTACAAGGCAGACGACAAGCAGAAGTCGCTTCGCAAAAGCTCTACCTCACAGCTCCCCGCATCCGCCTCCGCGCCAAACCTACTAGACACCGGAGGAGTTACGTCTTCGTTCCAGACTGGTGTGTCTACCAATGGGGCCAAGATTCCGAAGGAGGTGATATTGTACGGATTCGGCGAAGGGCAACAATGGGCCGCTATCAGCAAGTTCGAGGAGATTTCGAATGGTACGATATATGAGGAATACGAGCGACAGCCGCAGGATCCGAAGTTCGGTCTGTCATTCGGGGCCCCGCGCGAGCTACAGAAGAGCAAGCTCTCCGCCAGTCAAGTTGGTAGAATCAATGAGTACGTGGGAGGAGATCACTGGGTCAAAATCACATTCGACTCGGCAGAGGCTGCAGATCGCGCCATCCATTGGTCACCACATACCATCTGGGGTTACGAGGTCTATGCGGAGGAGTACCGAGGTGTTGGCCCCAAAGACGGCGACAGGCCGATCCCCGCAGGCTCCTTGTCGCTCACAGCCTCGCCGGCCACGATATCCTCGGGTACCGTGCATGGCGGCGCCTCTCAGTCCTCAGCGACCGCATCTTCGGCTACAGCAACTGGCTCCGCCCCCGCATTGCTCTCCGCGCGACGTTCCTCGCGGCCTCGTCTCGGCGGATGGGACGACTCTTTCGATTTGGAAGACACGACTACACGAACATCTCACGCACTAGCATCAGCGTCACAAGACCAAGCGCTTGCCCACGCAACTTCGTCTCAGCACCGCCCTTCCGGTAACTCAACGCTCCGCATCAAGCCCAACTCCAACCTCAAAGTCAAGCGCGGCGAATTTCAGGAAGGTAAAGTCTTCCTGCCTTCGCGTCCTAAGTGGCAGGAGACTCTTGGTCAGTTTCCCCTCATAGGGTGGATTGTCGGCTCTGGCAACGGCCTCATCGGTGACCAGGTGCCACGCAACGCGGACGGGAAATTCGACCACGCAAATGCCAGCCTGTATTGGCAGTTGTGGTATGCGATCGATTCATGTGCGGGAACGGACTTTTGCGGTGTCAAGGAGATTGAGTATGACGAGTAGAACGATATCCACGTTTGGGGTTTAGCATTGGGTGGCGTCAGGTTTTCACGGGTTTCTTGCATGATTTGTGGCACGATATCGCCGCTTCGTGCAGTCTCTGGTCTTGTATAGGTCCATTCTTTGAGCGTTCCGACGCTTGGTAGAAGATTAATCCACGTCATGTACATTTATCCCAACATTCTGTCGTAGCCTCACTCCCTGTCACGCGTTTGGCAATCGCTGAACTTATTGGTGTTAAATGAAGACTGGCATTCCTATGACAAATGCCAGTTCATGAAGGTTAAATTTGCCACACGTGAGAGAACCATCATACATCCAAGCTCATCCACTCCCTACGCCTCATTCGATCCAAATCATATGTCCGTATTAGCGCGTCGCGCCTTAATATCACACTCTACGTCCTTAGACGTACTGGCTGAGCCAGCGGATACCTTCGCCGTAACCTTGTCGCATGACGACACTGCACATGAAGACCTCGATCGGCCGGATGCCCTCAAGCGGTACCTTGCCCTTGCCCGTGGTCTGGTACAGACCCAAAGCTGCCCTGAGCTGGTCTTCGGAGATAGCGTCGGGGTGGTCGATCTTGTTTCCGAGGATGACGAAGGGGGTGTTGGCAAGCTCCTCCATAGCCAGGAGAGCGTCGAGCTCCGCTTTTGACTCTGTGAGACGCTCGTGGTCCTTCGCGTCCACGAGGAAGACAATGCCACTGACTTCGGGGACTACTAGCAGTTAGGACGCATCCTCGCACATCTGAGCAGATTGCATACAGTAGTCGCGCCAGAGACGGCGGGCTTGTGCGTGACCTCCAAGATCAAAGGTCGTGAACTTGACGTTGCCGATAGAGAGCTCTTCGGAGGTAGGATGAAGGGTAGGCTGACTGAAAGCAAGGTGTCAGCATGCAAACCTTGACATCAGTTCATGGTAGCCTTACAGAACTGCCACCCTGTCATTCTTGAGCATGTGAAGAAGCCTGTCTACATGAGCGATTGTTTTTCCAGTGTATCAGCTGCGCTTACGTAGTCTTTCCGGCGTTGTCTCTGCATCTATGTCAGCTTCAAATCTCAAGGTGAGAAGTTCGAATTAACACATACAGTCCGAGGAAGAGCAGCTTGGCGTGCTGGTTTCGTGTCAGCGGTGCACATGAAGTCGCGTGCGGCGCTATTCACCTTGTTGAGCAGACCAAGCGATGCCAGGACATCATAGACTATAAAGTATATCAGCCCCTATTCGAATTTGCCAACAGCTGCGCATGGTCGAAGCGAAGGGTTCGCGCGGGACATTTTGGGCCAACGCGATCCACCGATAAGGCAAACCCGCATGCTCGCCCGTGAGAACATGCAACCTCCGACCTGACGTTGGGAGTATTCCGGTTACGGTCTCTGGGCAGCGCTTGTTCGCATGCGTAGGGCAGGTAGGCGACTTTCGTATGAGGCGTCCGGGGATGCGCAAACAAAGTGGGAACGTTTACTTACACCTACACAACTTGTTAGAAGAAGTTTGTGAGTGGAGTATGCTATGTAACTAACCAATTTATAATCCACATGGTTATCGTGTGTGGTTACGGGTATCTCGAGGTTTGGGGTCAGACGGCAGAGGTGATGATGTGGTGAGAGCGGGCGTGGAGTAGGTCTAGTGTGTTAGTCTGGGCGGCGGCGATCCGCACTTCGCCATGTCCGTGCGTTGCTTCGCTTTACATAAGCCTTATCACGTGCGATTACCCTAGCCTTGGAACCTTGATGATTTAATAGAAGATGATGTTGAATGAGTGACATGGTATCGCAGAAAATCTACTAGAACACTTTCAACTACGTGACAATCCTGAATCTGCAGGGTCCAACGCTGCCGAGACTCTGCAAATCCTCCACCCGTTGCACGGGACTCCACGAGGGTGCCCAGGTGTGTGATCAGACTTGTCTGGGTTGGAGAACTGTTTGAGCTACACGTTGATCCTTCAGTGGTTCACCCGCTCTGATATCAGAGATTATTGACCTCTGCAGGTGATAAAAGTTGAATGCCATAGGTAGGCATAAAACGCCGTGTCGTCCATGATAAAAGTATGAAGTTGAGTGTAAGAGTGTTGGATTGCTCAGGCGGGAAAACCTGCCTATATAGAGTTAGGCTAGTCAGGTGCACCTGCCAGGTGCCGGCGGAGTCTCCTTCCGTCAACAGTCCAGACGTAGTAGAGCACTATGAACAAAGTCTGACTACTATCGGGCTGTGTGTTGCTTATGCCAGTGCACCCTGCTATTCAGAAACTCTTTCCACACTGCTGTAACATTGCATTCTACAGCAAGATGTAGCAATACATATGTAGAATCGCTCTTGAATTTTCGGCCTCAATCGATGATATATCATGTGCAAAGCCTCGTGTGTGGCGACTTTACACAACGTATACTCAGCTAGCAAAATTGAGTAAAGATGTTACCTTGCGAAATAGCATTATCTATTGTTCCTATATTTTAAAGTTGGAAGTTTTCTAGCGAAGAGATATACGGCACCGGTTGTAGCGCGCAGGCTTCCAGGACTGGCAGGGCATACATCAGGGGCGAGTGGTATCAGGGTCAGCAAAACTACGGCAATTAACATCGATTACTGCACTTTAAAATGAATCTGCCATGATCTCAGGCATTGCGAAGGCCAGCCGTGCTGGGCAACCATAGTCATGTGGGTGTTTCTTTCCACAAGCTTTCGCACAAATGACGTCAACCTGAATAGGTGATAAGTCTGATGGCATCTGCGAGATCGGGAATACGACGAAGGGTTTCAGCACTGGAGGATCGCCGACACCGATAGATCCCAATAGAGTGCCATGACAGATGCGTATGGTCAACTCTAAAACAACGTTAACATCAAGCTTAAGCTGGCCGAACACCCTACCGACAGTCTGGGTTTTCAGTAATCCGGAACTTGGCGCCAGAACAGAATCGTATTGGTTTGACTCAGCTAAGTTGGATGTTTTCACATGTGGCCGCCATCCAAGGCATGCAGTTGTCAGCTAAGATGTTTATGCTTACTCCTAGCGGATGATCACAAAATGCTTATTATCCAAGTGGTGTGCTGCTTGCGATTCAATTCGCCCATCGCTCTTAGCGAGCGGAGACAAAGTGATGACCCTGGGCGCAGCTTGTGTCGGGTATGCCAGCAAGCCTGGACTTGGTACCGCGTCTGACATCAGAAAAAGCACGGCGACTGCGTAGTTTTGATAGGCGCCACCGTAGTCTCTTGGAACACGAATTCGCCCTTTGCTTCGATGGATCTCACAGATCTGAATTCGTCCGTCGACAGCATCTCAACTACGGACTAGCTCTCACATCGTGTGTATGTGGGGGCGAGTTTTCTCCAGATCGATCGATCAGGATTTGGCAATACGGCATGATCGTTTCGCAACGTCGGAGGGATTGAGACTACCTCATGGGCTCCCTATATACCGAAGGATGGCACCTTGGGTTGGTCTGGTAGTAGGATGGGCAACGCTGTTTAACTCATACCGGTGTTGTAGCCAGGTAAAAAAGGGGAAGCGGTCCCTGATGTTATTCCAGCTTCATGTGGTAGCGTGACTAGAGTTGTGTATAGTATGAAGGGAAGCAGCGGTGAGATGATGTTCTATGCTGGGAGTGCGAGGCTGTGCGGATGACCAAGCCCAAAAGGCGCAAGTCACTAGCCACCGGCCACGCTCTACCCGGCCATGCGGCTCCCGGCGTTATAGTTCATACCAACTCTCGTCAGCTCTGCATCAGCACCAGCCTCAACACCAGACCGGGGTGCACGCCAATTTCTTGGTACGCCGTCCGCCTAGAAGACATGTACACACTACGCACGGAAAGATACGGATCCGAACCTTCATTGCCTCGCCCGTCAGCGCGTTTGCGAAGCTCAAACCCGACGTTCTCTCCCTGTGACCAAATCTCGCATGGTGCGACCGGATGCTTATTCCTTGCAATCATTAGGAATTGTAACTCCAGCGTCGCCACAACGGCCGAGCGGTATACTCTCCGGAGGCCCAAGTCATCCTTGTCACAGGAAGGTTCCTTACTACTATCCATCCGTGCGTCATGTATCTTGAGGTGACGACGTTCATAAGCGCTTGTTGCTGTTCACTGAAGCGAATGGCTTTGCACCGTCATCAGTCCTGCACTGTGGCTGGTGCTCGGGCCCAACAGTGCTTTCCCTCTTGGAGAGCCGTGGCTGCACTCGCACTACATTCCCATGAAAACCCGACACGGATCCTTGGCAGTTCGAATCTTAGTTCAGGGCTGAGAGTTCTTGTCGTCTTACTGATCTTGCGGGAGATCCGCGTGGCCTGCGGTCAAGGCGCCCTAGCCCTGTCAACTTTCCGAAAGTGGAACATCAGCGTTTGTAGAAGGTACTGGCAGCCCTAGAATGTGGTCTCTTTTGTCATCCACCATCCTTAAGGTTAGCTGCTTGCCCAAGTTGTATCCCGTCCACTCAGTCATGCCTTGTCGACCGCAACTCTCGGCCTTCGCATTGGCTACCTGGGCGAACTCAAGACATTTAAGAAATCCGCTCGGGTCTATACCGGCACCCTCAGCCTTCTACGTGACACAGTGGCTTCTAGCAGCATCACCGTCGGATAGACACGTTTAGCTGTACGATCCTAGCTTCTATCAAAGGGTGGTTTGACGCAGACTTCTTCACATCCAACACACCGAAGGTCTACAAAGAGAGCCACAAATCATATATAAATGTCGAAGTTCTACCTGTCAACTTAATGGAAGGACCATACCAAGACGATACTCTTATTATCTTACCCGCTGCAACAAACACGTCAACAGCTCTCAAAATCGTTTCACCCAGCTATCTGTAGTGCCAAGCCCAAGTTCTGTCCAGAATACCTATCACCTAGCAGCACCTGTATCCTTCGAGGAACACTTGGACCGATTCTTTCCACCAACCTCAGTCGTATCAATCAACTCTTTGCCTCGGAGCATTGAGCCCTTAACGAGGCAGCAGTCGCGATCTCCAAGCGAAGTACGAGCATCGGAAGTGCCGCAACTTTCTGCCTCTGAGTTTTCCACGAGCCCCGTCGATTCCAACACGAGATTCTTCGGCAATCCTCCCGCAAGAGCATATCGCGTGCCATCGTTCCACAACATGTCTAGTTCTCGCCCCACCATTACTGCCGTAAGTAACCTCTGAGGAAATCAGTCAAGGAAGACCTCGCTCACCGAAAGCGTACATCAGCGTGCATGCTTTTCTTACGACACTGACAGACCGTAGGCCGAGAAGGACCAGATGATCCAAGCGCTCAACACCCATCGAATCAATACCCTCAGTGAGCTTCGACGCACTGAGAAAGCCTTTGCGAAGCTTGGGTCGTCTGATGTAGCTGCACCCATGACTGCTGCTTGTTGGTCCCCATTTTCATTTGGAAACTGCAAGCCACTGACGGTCGGTACAGGGACCTACTACGTCAACTCCCATGGTCTACTCACTGACATACGTGGCTTGACGAAGAACTATCCTTTCAGGTATGTGAGCACGCTATGTTAAGGGTGTTTCTTCGCTGACAGGCGTACTCGCTTGCAGCTCCGAGTGCCTGGAGGAAGCGAAGCGACGGGTCTACGCAGACCCCGAATCCAACAAAAGTTGGAATCTCTGTTGGCTGGTATTGAACAAGGTTCACCAAGAGTAGGTCCACTCTAGCTTGATGTCCCAGTCAGTGCTCTAACACTTTCCAGTCAGCTCATTCCCTATTATGCCCATTATCAGGCATCTCAGCCTACGATGTGGGGAGGACAGACTCCTTCTTCTGCAGGGATTGCCCAGTTGACGAACGCTTTTGTGTCAGAGTGGCATGGAGCAGTCCAACAGATGCTCGCGCACTGGGAGCAGCCCCCTAGACGCTAAGCTCAGGACCTCGTCCACCTGACGGCCGTTACGCCCTAGGACGTGGACTCTACAAAGTTACACTTTTAGAGTATACAGTGTTACCCTAGGAGGGGTATTTACTACGCAAATGTTTGACCTAGTGCTGCTAGCATTGGGTCACAGCATGCTTAGCGCAAGGACACTTCAGGAAGAGTCTGCGCTTTCAGGCTGGTTCGCATCTCAGCGTTCTCGCTCTCTTTGCTTGTTTCGTACAGTCAACCTGAAGTTCCTTTTTTTGTCTATTCGTTTTCAGTGTCCATTTTCCACGTCTTCTAATCTAAATGTCATCCATTTTCGACTCAGTACTTGCATTTCGCATTCTCTTTCATTGGTCACCGGGCACTTCACCTGTATGTGGCAAAGTACATGACCTCGCCCGATACCAGCATATCGTCCGGTCAGCGTGTTCAACATGCGTAGAATTTGCACTTTCATACAAGTGACTCTTCGACACTTTCTCCCACAGCTGCTGGCATCTCTTCTCCTGCATTGAAACCGCGATTCTTTCGACACTGCATTTTATACGGCGTCCATGCTCTCTTCACTTTCGACTTCTTTCTTTATCTCCAGTCGTCCGTACTCACTCGATCTCACGTCATTTCATGGAATCACGCCTGCAATCTGAAAAACTCGAATCTTTGAACAGCAAGGACCTCCCGCACGTGTTAAATGGTTGAGTTGTCATTAAAGCCACCCCGCGGTCCAGCCTAATAAAATCCATATCGCTGCTAGAACAAGGGAAACAACCGTCGCCGTTGGCACCCGTAATCCGTTCGCCGCAGACGATAACCTCGCGCCTTCTCGTATTATACCGTCCATTAGAGGCCTGCAAATTGGTCAGCTGAGCAATTCTGTCCCCGGAACGGAGCTCCTTACACAACATCCGGCATGTCGAAACATGCAAACTTCTTCTTGTCCCCGTCCATAATCTGGTCGTTCGTCAAAACAGCCATATCATTACCGAAATTGACGAGAGGCATGTTCGGGAAGAACCCCCTCTTCTGGATCACATATCGCGCCAGCGCATACAGAGCGTAGTTCTCGGCGTTGTTCAACGCATCGTAAGGGTCTTGCGTGGACAAAGTGGTGAGCAGTTTTGCTCGCGTCACGCCGTACGCGTATTTGAGGACTCGTACGTTCATCGGTCCGTTCTTATCATCCATTACTCCGGCTAAAACAGAAGTCTTCATGGGACTGGGCCCGGGGGTCAGAATCCATTCGCGGGTGGCGTTGGGCGCGAAGTTGGGTGTCGCGCGCATCACTACTGCTTCTCCGACGTCCGCGATGTGCATTACCATGCGCGCCCACAGAGTGGCTATACTTGTCAGTCTATGAATCAGGATGTGCTTGCCGAACCTACCGCGGTTATAGTAGTTCATGAGGTAATTCTTCGCCTGATCCTTGCTCGATTCATCATTCACCTGTTCGTCCAACGGGTCCAGCGTGAAAAACTTCTCGCAGAAGTTGATGTGGGGTTCGTTCCCAATATTATACGCCGCGTGCTTGCCATCCTTCTTTCTCCCCTCGTTGCATATGTCATTCGGATCGTCACACCGCACATGTATATCCGGATTCACAATCTCCGCGCCCTGCAGATTCCCATACTGTCCCGCGCGCCGCAAATTCGCTCTTATCAGATCCGTGAAGTTTCCTATACGGTACGGCCGGCCGAAGAAGTCGATCTCGCTTTGGTTCTCGAAGTTGGGGTCTTGGGCGGCGGCGAACAATCGGTTCATCTCGTCGAAGCCGTCGCGGATCCATTTCAAGTCCTTGTCTTTGCAGCCCTCGCCACCGGTTAATGAGGCGGCGTAGTTGAGAAAGGGTTCTTTCTTGTCGACGTCGAGAAAGCCGTTCGATTCGTCCGAACCTTGTGGTGAGCTACCAGGCGCAGCAAGAACGAATGTGATGATCGTTGAGGAAAGGAAGACAGGGAGCGCTAGCAGTGCCTTTAGGGTGATCATCGTCGCGGAAGTGCAGGGTCGAGCTGTGTAGCGATGGCTGGTAGACTGTGGTGTCTTGCTTCGAATCTCAGTGTCCTAATATCGGCGCATGTTGGTGAGTGCGAGTGACGCTAGATTCTGGCACCAGGAGGAAATGTATGTCACGTATGGTGCAGATCCAATTACTCAAGAACGAGTTATGGATTGCATGGGACAAGGGTAACTCGAAACGCTGTGTTCCAAAGCACGACACGACAAGCTGAGACCTTGAACCGGTTCATGTAACTGACGGATAGTGGGGCGAACGTTACGAGCTCCAATGCTCTTGGAAAACCGGGCATGCGCGACCGGTAGCAACTCCGACCACACCAGAGTTATGTTTGGTGGAGTATTGTGTGCTCTTTCGAGATCTGTGCGGTACTGTCTGACATGAGCATCGTTATCGATAGCGTGATCTGATCGCATTTTGATTTTGAGGACCATGCCTTAGCGCCCTCAGTCGTTACGCGTCTCAAACCTGATAGAGGAGACAGGTAATGTCTGAGGATACTCTGAAACGCAAGCCTCGGTTGTGCTTTCCGCGATGCGCTTGGCAAAATCGCATACCTAACCATCCCCAACTGGTAGATGCGTAGCTCTTTCTGTATTCATATGTAGACTGTAGGTACATAATTTTACTCAGATCTCCTTCACATAACGACCTGTCCTGTGGCCATGTGGGAAAGACGTGATGGCAGCCAAACTTCAGCGTCCTTGAAACACATTTGTAGACGCAAGTTTGAACAGTGCTCTGAGAGCTCATGCGCCGCTCAAGATGGAAACTTTTAGGAGCCCAGACGAAGTGGAAGAGAACGGCTTCTTCTATGTTTGTGCCCAGGTGAGCCTCAAGATGCTTAGTAACTACTGCCCCCCAGCGTTAGCGTCTCCTCGGCCCTTTCTGTTCCCATTTGCCTTACGCTCCACCAACTCCTACACAAACCGTCCAGGAACCAACCTCGCAAACATGTGCCTTGTTACGGCTGCAAAACAGGCTTCCGATGCTTCTAGCAAACAGCAGAGGACACCACTGCTCGACAAGGCAACTCCAAAGCTTCGCCAATGATAAGCTTGATCTACAAAAGATAGGCCAGGCCCAGATGGGAAGGTGATCCAGCGAAGAGGAATGATGCCCCAAAGTATTAACCACATAGCGAATGGAGTAGTGACAGCCTCGGCTGCGCCGCTTCCTCTGGTGTTCCAAATTAACTCAAGCACCATTGCGGTTGCCGTGCTCCACGGAGCGCCGTATGTATAGCGTGTAGTCGCCACACCCACTTTGTTCAGCCTTGTCGCTCATTTCTTTGCGGTGATTTTGCGCATTCGTTGGTCGCCATTCAATCCAGGACAGATAGGTTCGCGACTGGACGATCGCGGCTCGCAGGATCAGTTACAAGACGTTTTCTGAGGTCCCTGATCATCACTTTGGGACGGACCTGCGTACCATCGGTATACGAGCCTTTTCGGAAATACAGATAATACCGCGAACACCCATCCAGTGCTCGCTCTTCTTGCCCTCTCGTCCTCTCGTCCTAAATTCGACAACACAACGGTCCGTCATATTGCTGCATTGCCACGCGCGAAATACAAACGAGCCGCACGCGACGCGACGCAACGCTCACTAGCAGCCTCCGAATGCTTAAGCTGAGCTACGAGTCGATCCGAACACCATGACCAAAATCACAACGGCAGCCTCGATAGGAATTGGTGTCCCACTTGGCGTCATCCTAGTCGCTGCGATTGCAGGTATTATCTACTCTGTGACAGCAAAGCGGAAGACTCCGAGAGGCGATGTGGAATTGGTGAAGACCGATCCCACAGCGCCGCCTGCACCGGCGCCGAAAGTGATCAGATGGAACCCTAATGGTATGGTGGCAAGGCCTGTAGACAAGACTGGCACAATGCGCTGACGCTTGACAGCTCCGTGACCGCGAACAGCATATTGAAAAGATCGGAATTCGAGACCGATGAGAAAAAGGAGAAACCCGCCAGGCGTGATACTGGGATAATGTGTGGCTTCAGGCTTCGTGGAGGTACCATGGCATTGCCTTTTCAGGCTTTAGGCAAAAGCAAGATGATGCGCTTTGTGTATGCTGAAATGAGCGTAGGGATGTTGTCTGAGGTCCCTGGCATAGTTGTTTGGCGTAAATTCATTATCTCTGGCCGCGTCGAAATGGCGGAATACGACTAATCACCACGCGTCGGTACGCTCTTGCGATTTCAAATCTCCTCTCGCAACTCATACGGGATCTGGTTCCTGTGCACCCTATACTCCTCACCCTCTGTGTTCAGGAAACGAGGCTGCTCGAAGCCTCTCAGCTCGTAACGCGGTGCGGGGTCGAAATTCGAATGCAAGTGGTAGGAGTAGTCTTCCGCTACAGCGTCGCCGTTGATTCTTCTCACGGAGATCAGTCGCTCATGCGCTTCTGCGGTGCTTGAATTAGCGATTGTGTCAATAGGAGACGGCAAATTTACCAGATGTCCTATCGTGAAAGACCTTGATTACATAGTCAAAGTGCACGTTGGTGATCTCGAAGTCGCGCGTGAACCTGGAGAAGTCGAAATGCACATCCTCCATACGAGCCAAGTCTTTGCTGGTGTTGGCATAGCCTCCAGGGGCATCTGCGTAGCGAAAATCGGTCGCGTAGTGAATTCCGAACGCTTGAAGTTGCAGGTTGTCATATCGGCATGCTTCTACCACGCTTTGCACCTGTTTGTCGCAGAATGCCCTGTTGTAGCGCTCCTCTGCGCTAAAGTTCCAGTTGTTACCCGTACCTACAGCATGTGTGTCGCGCCATCGCTTTAGTTCGTCGTATAGCGCTTCTCCCTTACTGAGCACGAAGGTCTGGAGATTTCGTGGGAGAAGGCAGCCGAGATGAAGGTTCGGGTCTGAGGTCTGAGGGTCTGTTGATCAGCTTGGTGAACGTGGATGGGCACAATCAGCGTAAACTTACTCACTAGCAACTCTAGCGGTGCAGCTAGGTATTTCAAGTTCCTGAACCCTCTTAAAGAAGTGGAGCGGGGTGGCACGTCGCGAAAATGGGCGGTTTGTTGTCTGAAGAAGCGGGTTAAACTCAAAGCCTCTAGCTTAGGATGGTGTTTTTCAAGTTCGCTGATGATATTGAGATAGTCAAGAGGGTTGTGAGTCCGGGGAGAAAAACCCAACGCAAATGCCTCTAAGTGATGACAGGATGATATGAGCTTCACAATATATGAATGATGTATGTCAAACTGGTCAAGGCGTATTGTTCGGATCCTAGACTCTTTGACGGGGCAATTCCAGTCCAGCTCATTTATTTGATCGACATCTGTGGGCAGTCTCTCGAACTTAAACAGAATGAGGTCGACCAGGGATGGCAGTCGGAGAACACCGGAGATGTCGCTGAATCGCAGACCAGACATGTTGACTTTTAGCTTTCGGAGGTGTTCAAACTGCTGCTCTGGGTTGTACGGGAAACTTCGATTTCCAGGTGTCATCATCTTCAGACAGACCGCCCAATTTCGCCTACGATTTGAATTGTAGTTCAGCGCTACTGTCTGGATTTTCGGGGCCAATGCAAGGATCAGCGCAGCCTCGAGATCATGCGTCGTATCTTGTCCACTCTGGAACAGCTCGAACATGTTTTTCCGGCGCAATATGTTTCGTGTGAGGACGATGCTTTGTGAAGTTTGTGGATTGAGCTGCTCAGATAGAGCATAGAGACATTCAATGCTGGAGATGGATCGTTTGTACGGCTCCAGGTGTTGAAGGGTCGGACTTGTCGATTCAAGCTCTTTCAGACTCCTCAGATGGCGGGCCAAAAGTGGGTTTTGCACGAGGGTTCTGATGAATCTGGCCGAAGAGACGTAGTTGGACTCGTGGTCATAGTGGGCGTACATTACACTGTTTGCAATTCGGTTCAGACGCTGGCACACGGAAGATACAGACCGATAGTCGGTAAGCGGCAGCCTTTGTACGCCCCATGAGAGATGTGGATTTGTCTCCGGATCTGGCTTCGGGGGCGGGATATGGTGCAGAATTTTGAGCAGCAACTCGTCTGGTAGGTTGCAGATGTAGTTTCTTTCAGACATGACGTCTGAGGTGCGAAGTAGCACGGGTGTTGAAATGGCGAGGAGGTATCGAGGACAAGCATGAACTCCAACGTGGTTCGAGGTATGCAGGTGTTACGATGGAGGGAACCATTGGCAGTTGCACCTTCCACGTGAAGCCAAGCAGGCCGGGGAAGAGCGGGCCGGTACCTGAGTAAGCGTCGAAAAGGCTGCTGTGAACACGCATGCTATTGTGTTGCGTGAAGATTAATTGTGAGCTTGCTAGACCAGGGCCCGCACCGGGCATGAGGCACAACAGAGCATCCCAGGGTGACTGGATGACTGGAGCGATGCAGATGGCGTCAGGCCCGCGTCGCGCCAAGGCGTACCTGCGGATGACGACACAGGTCCCGCGCGCGATGGCACTTTTGCACCCGGCAGGCTGGATTTCGCACTTTCCCATCTCCGAATCCTGCACCGCCATCCTTTCTGCTCTGCCTCTGCCCGCCGCGCCCCGGTGCGCGCAAGCCCTGGTAACATCACGGCGGCCTCGACGAGGTAGACTCCCTCACCCACCCACCTGCCGGCCATGGGCCGCACCCGCCCCCGCTTCGACACGCGCGCGTCGTCGACGCTGCACTATCAGACATTCCCCATACGAGCGCCCAGCACGCGTGGCCGTCCGTTGGGGGGCTCCCAGGCCCCGCTCCCAGGCAACCAAAGCCACGGCTCCGATTCAGACGACAGCCACCATGGCGAGTCTCCGCTGCCGACAAGGCAGCTCGCTGTCCTAGCCGTCATTGCTCTCGCCGAGCAGACGGCCCTCAACTCCATCAGCCCATACCTCCCCCAGATGGCAAAATCCTTCCCCGAAGTCCAGGATGGCCAGGCCGGCTTGTACGTGGGCTTGATCGCCTCGTCGTTTGCGCTTGCCCAGTTCGCGACAAATTTCTTGTGGGGGTTTCTGTCAGACCGCATCGGACGGAAGCCCGTCATCATCACTGGCACCTTCCTAACGCTGCTATGCTTTGTGGCCTTTGGCTTCTGTCGCACTCTGTGGCAGGCGATATTGGTGCAAGTCTGTATGGGCCTGGTCAACGGCAACGCAGGCGTCGTCTCGACCTGTCTCGGCGAGATCACCGACCGGAGCAACCAGTCCAGAGCCTTTACCTACCTACCTGTTGTCTACGGTCTCGGCGCCATCACAGGTCCCATTGTGGGTGGCGTCTTGGTCATGGAACGCCATCCTTTCCACAAAGACCGCCCGAATCCCTACCCCTACCTTCTCCCTAACCTCTTTGCTGCTGCCGTTCTCGCTGTCGATCTTGTCATCTGCATGTTCCTGTTGGAGGAGAGTTTGGAAGAAGCAAAACACCTACCGCCATTAGGCAAGCGAGTTGGCAACCTGTTCTCGTGGTTGTGGCAGTTCACAAGCTCGACGCGGCCTACGTATATCAAACGCTTCATTCAAAAACGCAAAAATCGACACCACAACTCTCACCTGGACGGTCTTCAGGAAGAGGATGACGAAGATGAAGAGGACGTGTCTGATGTCGAGTCAACCGATTCACCTCCAGCATTGTTCCCCGAGTCGTCAGGCGACGTACTGACGAAGAAGGAAGTCTTGAACCGTGATACGGTTCTCTTACTCGTCACGTACTTCATTTTCCAGCTCGCCAACATATCGTATAACTCACTTTACCCAATCTTTGCAGAAGAGGAAGAGCCTACTGGTCGGGGTCTTAGGGTCGAGGGCGTTGGACTCTCGTTAGCCTTTGCAGGCGTGATCACGATACTGTTCCAGATTGGCGTGTACGGGAAGCTTAGAGAGAGGATAGGCAACAAAGTCACCTACCGTGTCAGCTTAGCGGCCTTTGTGATTGCTTTCATACTCATGCCGTGGGTTGGATACAAAGATAGCAACCCTTATTGGGGTCTCGGAACCGGCACCGGATGGCTGTGGGCGGAGCTTGGAGTCATACTTGTTATTAAGACGGTAGCCAGTGTCGGAGGTTTGACTTCGGCACTTCTCCTGGTAAGGCTCATTACGAGATTACACATTGGCAATGCTAATACAGATCCAGATAACAAACTCTGCACCGAACCACAACGTCCTCGGTACGCTGAACGGCCTCGCCCAAACGCTTTCCGCCGCAGGCCGCGCAGCTGGTCCGTTTATTTCGGGCTCGCTCTTCACTGCTGCGACCAATATCCAACCAAAAGGCGAGGCGTTGGCCTTTGGCATCTTTGCTGGTGTAGCATTCATCGGTTTCCTTCTCAGCTTTGGTATCCGCGGGAGTGGTCTCGAAGCTGACGGGTGGAGCTCGGACGACGAAGATGAGGATGAGGAGGAAGATATCGGAGACGAAGAAGAGCACGCTAACGAGCGCACCGGATTGATTCGCAAATGAACCAAAGGACCTGACTGTCCATCACTTCCCTTAGACTGCCTATATTGAACGTAGCGTTCCGATTCCCCTAGCCTTAGCTCAATGGGTCAGGACATGTAGGATATCGCCGGTATGTTTCTGTTAATACTATGTCATGAAGGCTGATAATTACGATGAATGACGATATAGACATTTGCTCTTCCTCTGTCCAGATTTCATGGCTGTGTTTGATGACGGTGACGTTCCCAGATTTGTTTGATGACCGGACTTTCAGTGTTAGAGATGGTCTTGTTGTAGCGGTGGCCTTGCTTATCACCATTCCGGCCCGGGCTTTTTTCCATGCTGCACAAAAATTGGGTTGCTGCTAGTTTATGTATCTATTCTAGGATCAGGTTTCCGCTCCGCCTCGGTCATTCTGCTTTACAGCTAATGCACTTCCGAGCTTGTTGACCGCTTGTTCCCAGCATATCTGGGCAGAACTTGAAATATTGTCGAAAGAGAACACCTTGGACTGTTTCCCACGCATGTTGCAGGAGATCTTCTAGGAAAGGCATAATGGAACGGCGCATAAATCGCCGCTTGCTTACTGGCGATCAATCAAAACCGACGTCTTCCGCTGAGCCCAGGGGCACGGTTCCGCCGCCAAGGATCCAGACCACATACCCAAACGACAGACGAGAAGCACCTAACACCGGTTCAGCTCATGTCGGCTCATGTCAAATCACCCTGCGAAGGGGCAGTGTAGCTTTGGTACAAGAGAAAAAATATACCAGCTCGCACCATGTTTCTGGGTGAAAGAGTGAGGGTTTTAGCAACGGCAACGGTCCCAAGTTCACTGCTGGACCCCACGCTCGTTCAAGAAACATGAAGCTTTTCAGCTGCGCTCCGCCATCCTTGGCAAACGGCGCAATGTCCGCTACACGTGCTGCACATACGTCTGCACATTGGCTCTAGCCCTCCTCGACAGCTCCATGCAGTAAGGCCAGCAAAGCACCGTCAGCCTTTCTCTCAGCTTGGCCGTTCTGAGGCCTTGGGGCCGAAAGCTTGGGAGATGTTGGCCCGCCAGCCTCAACGCAGAAGCGCACAAGTGCGCGGAGCACAAGCTAGGGCCATGCTGCAGTGACGTGCCATTGGCCCCCTCCTGGGGCCTACCTAGGAGCACGGTCTAAAAGTACATCGCGTGCCTCACAGCCGCATGGCGGAGGCGGGATGTGCGTTGTTGAAAAGGCGCGGCGGCCCCGTATCGGGCTGGGCCCTCCAGCGCGTCGTGTTGCCGAGTCTCGCAAAAACCTTTCTGTTTCCGGGGGACTGCGTTGCGAGCGGTTGATCCATAATGGGTTGGTCTTTTCACGGCCACAAGAGAGATGTGTAGGTTCTGGTCCCGCTGAGACACTAAGGGCGAGAAGGAGCTCGGAATTAACGCGGTGCTAACGTGTCGCAGCGACAAGGAAAGGCATCTCAAACGCCTGCACAAGACCGTACCTTGGATCGAAAACCCTCTCGCGGGTGCTGACCACGAACACCTCGTTTTCTCGCAGCGCCACGAAGCGAATACCGTCGAACTCTTTTTCGATTTGTTCTTCGTCGCCAATCTCGCCACGTTCACCACGTATCATTCGATCACAGACGGCGATTATCTGGTAGCATACATTGGGTTCTTTGGCATATTGTGGTCGTCTTGGTTCCAGGTCACACTTCACGATGTGCGATTTGCAAGAGATTCGCTGTACGAGCGTGTCTGCAAGACGATTCAGTTCATCGTTTTTGTAGGTCTGGCGCTGGTAGGATCGTCGTTCAATCCGGGGATGGAATCAACAGGGGGCAAGAAGGCAAGCAATACGGTGAGCCGGTTGTGTTGAACATTACTGGCACCGCTCATATAATGCGCAGAACTTTCGTATTCTATGCTACACTCTTGTCATCAGCAGAGGCCTGTTGGCGATCCAGCATGCGGTTGTGCTCGTAAGTCCATCGCTCTTCGCTCGAAACAAGTGACTGACAATCCAGTTCTACCTCGTGCGAGCGAAATTTTCGAAGCTGTTTCTTCCCATGGCACTCATGATCTCTCTGTACCTCATATTCGCTGGTGCTTTCGCCGCCATGACTCCTGCATTCAAGGAAGGTGACGAATCGCACCGTAGCGTATACGTGGTCTGGTATGTCATTATGGTTGTCGAAGCTGCCGCCATGATAACGATATCGTCTGTGTGGAGGATGCTGAGCTTCAAGAAAACACATTTGATGGAGCGCATGAGTTTATTGACGTTAATTGTTATCGGAGAAGGCGCCATTGGTGCCACGAAAACCGTGTCGCGTTTGATGGGAAAATACGGTCTGGACGTTGAGGGCTGCTTCCTCATTATGTGTATCATTGCAGTTCTGGTGAGCACACACTCATGGCGAGGCTAATACATCGCAAGTGTACACAGGCTTACCTTTAGCAGGTACTTATATGGGCTCTCTATTTCGACAACTTTCCACACGGTCATTACGGAACAATTCGCCAGCAGGTCTGGTCGGTGCTCCATTTCCCGTTCCAGCTTGCTATTGTCGGTGTCGTGGAAGGTAGCCAGCAAGTTGCGCTTGCTCGTTATGTTATCAAGAACTGGTCCAAGATTGATAAAGCCATTGACAAGTACTGTCTGGCCGAGAACCTAGACGGTTCAAAGCTTCGAGACAAGCTTTTCGAGCTTCTGGACTACTGGTACTTCACCAGCAAGACCGAGACCCAGGAGTTCCAGTACATCACCGAAGAAACCATTTGGCAAATTGGGAACACCACCAATATCTGCTCCGCAGCGAACGCAACCGAGTACATCAACACCGGAACCATCCCCACACTGTTTTATAACATGAGCATAGACATGTTCAACGGTGTGTACGTCGGCCTCGGGATGAAGCTGCCGGCGGACAAGCTTGAGAAATATACCGCGGCGGAAATCGCGCTTAAGAGCTGGAGGCTAGTATATCTGTACTACTGGGTCTCGTTCTGCATCCTGATGGCTTGTTCCATCGCCTTCCTCATCCTCATTCGTCGCCACCGCCACGATTTGTTCGACTTTGTATCCATCGGTTCGCGCGTCATGAGCCTCATTATTGGCGCAATATTGTGCGTGATGATCTCCAACGAAGTTGCCCTGTATCAATTTTTGGGCTCACCCGCGGTCCTTCCGGTATGTCTCTGTCTCATCTTCCTTGTGCTGTGCTTCGACAAGCTGAGCGCCGTGTTTTGCAACTGGCACCTGCTCAAGAGCGGGCAGCCATACGCAAAAGAGTATGAGGAGCACGGCCATCACGAGCACGGCCATGGTGACGCTCACGAACACGCTGCACATGCGTCTGGCCATGCACACCATGACTCTACGATCCTGGACCATCGCAAGTCCGCGGCTTGGAGTATACACCCAGAAAGCGAGGACACGCTGCCTCTGACGAAGCACGACGCACATTCAAGTACGGAGTACTACGGCACAGATCATGGAGGTTATCCGATGGAGCCGTTGGTGAGCCCGCCGCTGCTCAGCCCGCCGCCAGCGACAGGACATGGATCTGCAACAGGAGGATATATGCCTGTGAGCAACAGCCAGAACTACGGGGCCTGAGGGCTCTCTTTATCTTGACGCATTTTTAGCATGGAGCTTTGAGCATCTTCACGAAAGGGTATCATCATTCGAGATTCAATATGGAATATAGATATAAACTTATGCTACTACATTCCTACACGGAAATACTAGGTACCCACGCGCCTTTCCTCTACTTGCCTTGGCCAGAACAAAAGTCCGAGCCGACACTGTATTACCTGAGGGTAGACACGCGGTCTAGTGCACTCGAACTGTTCGCTCGACACTGTACTCTTAATCTTCGAAGCTTAAACTAGACAGGGATTGCATATGCGGCCCGTTCAGGCCGTTGGCGTATTTCCCCGCGAAATCGACGTCGCCACCTACCGGCACGGAAGAATTCGCGACGCGTGACACAACTACATTACCATGTTGCGCTAGAGATATATTGCATTCTGGGGTCGCACCTGAAGAAAATGCCGGTCCCATAAAAGACCTATCTGGATTTCAGGCCCCAGCCTGAGATTCAGACATCGCATTTCTGCTGTTTCAATCCCGGGCATCTCAAGAACACTTCCAAAATGCTCCACCATCTCGCCTTCGCCCTGGTCCTTGCTCCCTGCGCCTTCGCAGCGCCTGTCTCCAACGTCGCCGCCGCAACCATAGGCAAAATCCGTGGGGTTGCAGATCCAATCTACCACCTCTACCTGCAGGCGAATCCCAAAAATGGTATCTTTCTACCATCTCAGCGTTCTTATCTCCACCCACTCACTAAACATCGCATAAAGCCTCGATCCCCGTCCTAGGGCCCGAATCCTCTGCTCAAACCTTTACGATCGGAAGTACCATCCAGAGCCAAAATACCTCCGCATACCTCAACATTCAGACGGTGAGCACGAGCTACAAGCCGCTTGTGTGGGGCAAGAGTGCGGAAACCACGGCATGGGGACTAGAGGGTGACACGATTATCACGGCGACGGGGAGTAGTTATGGGAGACGTGAGTTTTGCTTAATGATTTAATGTGGGAGGACAAGGTCTGAGCTGACGCGCGTGCAGAGCTGAACTTTCTGGCTTGCAAGAGCACGGAGAGCGGGTACTATGATTTGTACTTGCAGACGGGCAGCGATGTGCCGAGCGGGAAAACATGTAGTAACTACCAGACGATACATTTGCCGTGTCTGTGTTGAGAGGCGGGATGTAAGGCGTACGGCAAGATTATCCAGTATGTAAGCGTCCGAAGCCTTTCGACTATCCGGATGCAACACACACAGTAGCATTCGCATGCCTACCCAGCTTCCCTCACCATCCCCAAAAGCTCCCCAACCACAACATTGGGCCGTGACACATTGACCGCATGTCCAGTGCCTGCAACGTTTCTCGCTCTCATCTTCCCCTTCATCCTCTCCGCCATCCACTCATGCACCGCAACCGGGAGGTTCCGGTCCGGCTCCGGCAGTATCAGCACGCAATTCATATCTTCACACTTCCATCCCGAAAACGTGCACTATCCGCTGAAAGCATCGTCCGAATGGCGCATTCCTTCCATCAAGCGTCCATATCTCTTCGCTTCGGCGCGAGGTCAGAGAACATCAGGTGCCCCATATCACATGGAATCGCGGGAATGTATTCGCCAGGCCGTCCTGTGCGGTGCGGCTCGGGGAATAAATCAGGAAAGTTTTCAATTAGGATGCTACGGATGGATTCGCCGACTTCGGGGACATGCGCCACAATGTACAGGATGCCGGCACAGCGGTGGTTTTCCCTGCTTCTGCGCGAGAGGCTTTGTTGAGGCCCTGGACGGCAGATGTCCCCTGGAGCCCGGCGTAGGAGTGCACTGCTAGGATTACGTTTGATAGGCTGGGGCCGTCGAGTATGGATAGGAGGGTGGAATGGATGCAATTGGAGTCATCGTTTGTGGTCGCCGGTGGCGAACGGGATCCATCATTCACAGATGGCAGGGTTATAAGGGAAGTTTCGTAGCCTTTCTCATTGGGGAGGATCTCGCATTTGTCGTAGACCCGGGGAGGAGTAAAGGAACCAGTAACTAGGGTGAAGGGTATCGGCCCCGAGGGCATGCTGTCGCTGAGCGTGTACAGAGGAAATTGACTTTTAGCTTGCGACGGGCTACCTCAGAGAATTATCTTGATTCATGTACCTTTTTCTGTTGCTGCAGTCTGACAAATGATGAATAACGAGTGCCATGTCCTTTGAGCTCATGTGGAAACGCGATGCTGTACTTGGTAAGTACAAGAAAACTAGCTCTGAACTTCGGCTATCGTAAAGGTCTCACTTCGTAGCCAGGCTCAACTGTTTGGCATCAGGAGAATTCGAATTCGATCAAATTGACTGAACCTCGTATATTCGTCTATTCCATCAAGTCCAACCCATATCCAGTACCAATTGCACAAGCTAAAGTGAAGCTCGAAGTATTATTGATTCTGCAGAGCTTCACTAGCCCGCCTCAATTGCATCTTTGTTCGGTTCATTGACCTCACTAGCCAGCTTTTGAGCCCAACTCTTATTCGAAACGCTGTTTCGTCCCGGATCTGATGCCGCGCGACCAGATGGCGAAGCCGGGCTGCCTGGAGCAGAGAGTGAAGAAATAGAGGTTGATCGAGGTCTGGGAGATGAAGAAGCTGATAAAGGTCGATAGGTCTTCTCGTGCCCATCTTCATCCCCAAGCAACGAGTCGGTGTGATCTGCCTCTTGACGTGACTCATCGACAGAAGAAAGCTCTTGGTGCCCTACAAAAGATCAGTTTCATAACTTGTGCCGCCTTCGCGCTCTACTCACCATGTTTTCCACCGGTCGAACCATGTGGATGTGGCGTTGTAGAACCTGACGCGACCGAGGCAGTCCTGCTCCTCAACTCCTCGATAAAATGGTCGGAGAAATATCGCTCATCGCCGCTATCAGAGGGATCGTTCCTACCGTCGTCGCTTGATGTTTCGGAAAGGTCTGACCACCATTGCGTCACCGTGGCCGCTGTTGTGCCCAACTTTGGAAGAGCTTGAGAACCATCGGGATGCTGGCTAGGTTCCTCGTTGTTATTGCGATCAAGATGTACTGTCCTCCGTGGACTCTCGTCGTTGACTGCAATCTTGGTGTGAGATTTTCGGAAGATGGTTTCCAGAAGACGGATGTTCATCACTTACCTTCAAACTGTTCGGTCTGGGCTCGCTCGCGCGCCTCGACTCGCTGGCTGTGCAGTGTCTGCTCATACACGGGGATCTGCGATTTTGGCCCCCTCGTTGTTCGATGTCTAGAGGAAGAAAGGCTGGCCTCCGCTTCGTGTCGAGCGCGACGCTCTCCTCTTGATCGCGCATCAGCCTCTGCATTGGCTTTTCGCGCTGTTTCTGCTTGGCCATCATGCGCATCTCTTCTGTGACTTCGTCTTCTGTGTCTGTCTCTTTCTTCCTGTTTAGCATGTTAGCCCTCCGTGAACTTCTCAACAAGCCGTGCATGATCCCTCTTGCCTGGACTTCGAACCTCTCTTGAGGGCCCATTTTTCGGTGAGTCTGATGAATGATCCTGCTTGACCGCCCTCTTCCCCTCGCTCTTCGATATCGGCCTCCCTTCTTGCCTCTTCACCTTCTTATCCAGCTCAGCCCCCTTTCCTTTTCTTACATCTCGTCTCTCATGCAAACTCCCCCTCTCCCTCCTCTCCCTCCTTCGCTGTTTCAAATGGTAATTGTCTACACCCCACTGAAACCGCTCTTTCAAGTGGTCCCCGAGACCGAGCATCGGACCCTTCTTGAACTTGTACTCCGGGAACGGAGCGGGAGATGCATCGCGCCAACCCCGCTTGCCGTGAATGAGGGGCTTACCGTGGCGGTCGAATCTCTGCCTGCCTTGGAAACTGCTCTCTCCTGAGTGTAAATGAGGGTGTCCGTGCCATTTTTTGGGGTTTCCGGGTGAGCGATGTTCTGACTGCGCGGCCGCTTTGTCAAGCGGAGGCGGTCCTAAGGCGCCGCCCGACATCATAAAACCGGGACTTTCGCCATGCAACTCCGCATCAAGGTGTGTCAGGTTTCCGGCCAACAGAGGTTTCTTATGCTCCTCATCGAGCCTGTTTCTCCTCCTCCCAGCTCGACAACTCTCCCCTTGCTCCTCCCTACGTCCATCTCTTCCCCTCGAAGTTCCCCTCTCATGCATCCTAGCAGCCTCCTCTCTCGCCTTCAGCACCTTCAGCTCCTTGTTTAGTCGGTAGATCCTCGTTTCCTCAAGTACACCTTCGAGTATCAGTCGCCCTGTACCGTACTGACTCAAGACTGGGTGTCGCGGACGCTGCCCGGATAGCAGACTTCGGATTCGGCTTTGTACTTCGCGTCGGTATCGTCTTGGGTCTGGGGGAGTTGTGGGCATGGTGGTTTGGTGGATGCATCGAATGTACGAACGTGACACAAACTGACTTTTACGAATGAGAGGTCGCAATGTTTGAGTAGCAACATGTTGGAGCACGCTTTCTGTCCGCGAGATTCGTTTTGATGTGAATGGCTCAGCGTTGAACGTGATGAGAAGTAGAAATGTGAATGCAAGAGTGGCGACCTGTCATTTATTGACGCGAACAACACATTGGTGGAGTAGGTACAACGAACGGATCCCCGCCAAGCTCTTAGTGATATACTCTACTGTCATCACACCATTCGTTAGCAACTCCAATAAGGTATATCACTGGTAGTGCTTTGTTCCGACGCAAGTGGATGGCGTCACGGATAACAAACAGAACTTTCGCACAAGTAGCTAGCCGTGGATACTGCGCTGTATACGCCAAAAATGATAATTAGATGCCGCTGGACTCATAGATCCTCTCAAATGTACATAGAATTACCCCGATATGGTATACATGGGTATCATAGATCCCACTAAATGTCAGCGAATCATATAAATCACAACATATACCGTTACCTCCTCCAGGATCCGTACCCGTAATCATACACGATATCCACACAACAACATCAAAAGTAACTCTTTCCCGTCAATCTCGCTTTCCTCTTGCCTTTGCCCTTCTCTCCCTTCCCGGTCTCCTTCTTCCGGCCTTTCTCTTCTTGTTTCCAATTCTTCATCTCGTCCTCATAGCTTGCTTCATAGGGCCGGTAAGCTCTCGTACTAGCATCTTCGTCGAATTCGATCTCCGGAAGCCACCCACCGCGCTCTCCCCAGTTGCGCACCCCATCCAAGAACTCGTCGATGCGGGTTTGCTCGCGAGACGTTTCAAAGCCGCAGCCACAGCCACAGCCAACAGTGCATTCGCCCTCGTCGAAGCCTTCGTCATTGTCCATGCAGTCAAAATGTGCGACGTGCCCGCATGCGGGGCACAGGTAGAAGCGACCGGAGACGCGGATCCAGCAGATGCTGCAGCTGTAGATAGGGTCGCTTTGGCCTTTCTTGCTGGGCGAGTTTGCGTTACTGGTGGGAATGTTGAGGGAAGAACGGCCTGAGATGTTCGATGTGCCGCGGGAGATGGATGGACGGGCGCTCTTGTGTGCATATGGGGAAAGCTTGCTGTCGCCAAGGGGCAAGTTAAAGGGGTCCTGTGCTTCCAATGTCGGCGTGGGAATGCTGAGACGGAGGTATTGTTCGGATGCCATGAACACGTCTGGCGGAGGCGCAGGTACTCCGTTTCCTGAAAGGATGGAGGTACCAGGCTTAAATTCGATGGCTTCGGGGTTGAAAGAGAAACCTCTTGGAGAGGAAAGAGGTGAGCGTCTAAATTGTTGTGGTACATTGAGGCCGGGTGCAAGAGTAGAGCTTCGCGAGAGAGTGCGTGAAGTGATTCCAGACTCGTCGCGGTCGCCATCTCGTTTGAGTGCTAGGTGCATCGATCCTGCCTTGGATTCGGACACACCGTCGAAGGGGAAATACGAGACGAGGCCGTTGAACTTGAGCACTTCTGCCCGCTTGCTAATGAGACCCCAGCAACCGAGTAACTCAGCATACTGCTCTCTCCAAGCGCGGTAGAGTCCTTCCTTTGACATGTCGAGGAGTGGCGCACTGACGCAGGCCTCGTCATCGAATTGATCTTGGTGTTTCAACGTGACTTTGATCGTGGAATTGCCATCGTCATTTGTGCCAGAAGGTACAGAAGCAGTTTGCTCGAAAGTAACTTCCGGTCCAAGAGTGTCGTAGTCGGAGTCCGAGTCCGAGATGTAGTCAACATTGACTCGATCTGCCTGGCCAAAGCTAGCTCTCTTGCCTTGTTTTGCTCGCGGTGCCGCAAGTCCTCTTTCTTGGCTACCGCTGCTATAGAAAGTTGTCGTACCCCATGTCACACCGCTCGCCGGCAAAGAAGTAGAGAGATCCTCTATACGTGATTTGATAGGAGGCGATGCTGATATGAACGACTTGCCTAGATTTGCAAGGGCGTTCGAAAATCCAGCAGATGATATCTTTTTGCCAACAGTATGGGTCTGTTCGGGACTCGTAGAGTAGGGTGTATTGGCTGTTGTCACGGAGCGAAGAGTAGGCGCCCTGGATATGTTAGGTGGAGTGTTGCCTGTAGAGTAAGGCGTCACAGGCTCAGAAGCCAAGATATCACTGCCCCAAGGCCCGTTCGATGAGCCATGAGAGCCGTACGTATCTAAATTCTTAGAAAGACGATGCCAGCCGAACTCGTACACGGGGGTGGCAAACTTAGAATGCGCGGGTGTAGATGGCATGGAAATGGTGGGTTTGAAAAGACTCCAGGCGGCGTCCGGAGATGAGAAGTAGTCGAGAGAGAAGGCCGGTGCTTCCATAGACATGGGAAGGTGAGACTGCCTCATCTTGGCCATGGCACTAGGAACTCCCTCCCGAGCAGCGGGTTCCGAGAACACACAGGACAGCATCGCCAGCATCTGGGTATCTGCCAAGCGCTCGAAATGGTCAAATAACGCGGGGATCAGCCAGGTAACGACAGGATGGTGGCCCCATTTTACTCTTCCTCTTAACTTTGGATTAGTTACGTTGTCCGCCTCATCAAACTGAAGGTCCAAACCACTATCTTTTCGTTTTATCCTAACCAGTGCCCGCCGAGCAAGCACCAAGACCTGATCTCTCCGATGTTGTTGCGGCAGTATTTCCAAAGGAACCTCATTAGTCAAAATGAGCCTGCAGAAGAGCCAGATATCTGCCAAGTCCTCAAAGCCGTGTTTCCTCGCAACCTCCGAATTATGCAAGCAAACCCTTGGACCCTCACCAAACATCAGGTATTCCTCCGCAAGAACCTTCTTACTGGGGATAAACTCGGCAACTGAATCATTTCGAATAGTTACGATAGCTTTGGTTCGATAAGCGCTGATAGGATCAACGGACGACGGTACGGAGGTTTTTGTATTCAATCGTGAGGAGATTTTCTGCCATGGCAACGGAGGCAAAAGGTCCCTAAACACGATATCGCTTTCTGAACCAGAAGAAGTTGAAGGCGATGACGACGATTCCCATGAAACCCGAGAAGAGCCAGGAGACTCTGGCCCATGCGTTGCTGTGATACGACCAAACGTCTCGAATATGTCGTCTTTAGAAGGGTTCGTCATCAAGTGTCGCGGGAGCCGAATAGGGTCCGTCAGCCCAAGCGCCGATGCCGAGGAGATCATGCTCTGGGAAATTCGTGTCACGGGAGGCCGTGGGAAGCGTACCGACAATAGCATTCCCGTCGAGGACCATCGAACCAAGGTCTGCGCAGGAAGAGGTATATTAGTATTTGAATGTGACGATAGCATAAGATCTTTGTTAAATTCACCCGGGTCAGAGTCATCATCCTCCTCTTCCTCACTGGAGCTCTCGTGCATGTTCCCCTTCTCTTGTTCCTCTGAATCTGTGTCGATGATCTCTTGAAGGTCGGCATCGCCTAACGCGTATGACAAAATAGCGCCCAAGGCTGGCTGCGACTTGAGCGCATAGGTGTTCGCGATTTGATCAAATACATCTTTGAGATGATTGATCATAGCTGGGGTGATCGCAGCTGTCGTCTTCTCTACCGTGATATCAAGCGGGTACAAGTACCGGTCCTCGTTCAACAAGTCCGCTGTGCCCGGATACATATCTGGGAAGATGATCGTTAGACGAAGGAAGACGGTCTTGCGGACGATTTCCTGGCCCTCGGTTGCTGAAGTGTCCATTTCACCCCATGGAGCCTTGAAAGCAACTACGATCCTACGTTGGTCAGGGTCGAATGCCTCAAATGAAACGTTGGGATATTTCTGTCCCACCGCCTTGACCTCAGCGGCTAGATCAAACTCTTCGGCAGCATCAGGGGTCTTGCCATCGCCGTCGGGTTTCCGCTTCTCAATATTGACGTTGTGCATCCAAGTGACGCTGGAAACAATGCGTTGCTGTGTGTTGCGTCTCACGGTGCGTGCAGTCATGGTGGCGCGAGTCTGCCCTTGGAACAAGCTAGACAAGCCGGCCCTGGGTAGAGCATTGTTCTTGAGGAGTGTCGAGAGTGTACCGCTGCGGGGGACGCCCTCCTGCGACTTGTTGGCCTGGTCGTCCTGTTTACCGAGTACTGGTCCGTTGGCGAAGGTGATGTATTTGGCACCTTTTCGTGTGGAGGCCGGAGGAACGGGCACGGGTCGACCTTTCTCGAACCCCACTGCCTTTCTGAGCGTTTTGGCGGAGACGCTGTAAAGCCGCAGTTTGTGGTCAGTCGCCCAAGTCACGAGCTGGAAGTCCCGGTTTTCGAAGCCTTCGTCACAACTTCCGCGAGATCGCCAAAGAAACTCATGAAGTCGACCGCCTTCGCAGTCATTGTTGGCAAATACGTGTTGAGGGCTTTTGGGGGATGGAAGGGACGTATCCTGCTGGTAAAGACTGAGGGATGCGCTGCCAAGTTGTGGAAGAGCGACAATGCCATTTGGAAACGGGGTGTGACGAGCACGCAACAGCGGATATTCCGTGTAGATGGTGCGAGACGGCTGATCAATGGATTCGACTATACCAGCACCATCCCATTGCTTGACAGTCTTATCGAGGGAGCAGGTGAGAATCTGGGTAGACTCAGTGCGATGCCAGTCAATTCCATAGACCTTATTGAAGTGCGCCTGGATCGTCGTAATGGGTTGAGCGCCATGACGTGTATCCCAGATGCGCACGTAACGATCGTGGGATGAAGCCAGGATATGCTCATTTTGTCGATTCCATTTGACTTGAGTAGCTCCGCCTTGCCAATCAGCGAAGCTGTGGCTTGGGAGCCGAAGTTGGGAGGAGAAGGTGCCACCCGGAACGGCGGGCGAACGCAAGTCCCAAGCAAATATCTTGGTATCGAGCGCACATGTCGCCAGCACGTCGGGATGATGAGCGGAAAAGTTGATGTCAGTGATAGTCCCTTGGTGAGCATCCAAGATGAACTGAACTGGCGCTTGGTCTGAAGCGGACTTCTGGTTCAGGTTGAAGATGACGGCTTTGTTGTTGTTCGTAGAAGCAATCCACTCTGCACGGGATGCGAAGGGTGACCATTGTACGTCTGCGACCTCGAAGCTGATGCGATAGCGAATAACTCGAGGAGGAGAGTAGGGACTGTCGAGATCAATGACCAGGAGACCCTTGGTTCTATCTTGAGGTCAGCAGGCTCAATCGTGGAAGCGGTGCGCAGGCGTGCTAATGCGGCATACAAAAGACACTGATGCGGGTCGTGCGAGAGGATCGTAACGTGCAGACTCTCACAAGATCGATGCCATCAGAACATGTCTTGGGGCATCACGCCGTAACATGCAGGGTACGATGGATGCGCTGTCCGCGCTTTCCAGACGCGTAGAGAAGCCAGAAACGCTTACCCTGCAAGCACAACATCCCGTCCGCTCGGCGAGATGGACGCAGCGGTGTAATCCTCATTGATGTCGATTGTGACATCCTTCTCGAAAGTCCGCGAGTCGAACGGCGTCGCCGGCCCGGCCATGACGGCGGTTGCGGTTGAGCTGGAGCAAGGCCAGGCACGTGAGTATGGTGGAGCCCTGCAGCTGGAGAGGGAGTGCGGCAAGAGCTAGGGAGGGATTGCTGTTTGAAAACCAAGCCAGGGGCAGCCCGGGCGGCGCTACGGCAGCGCCTTCCTCTGTTTGGCGTAGTCGCTCGCACCGCTTGCCCGAAATCGAGTCGCCCAAGCCCAAAGCGTAAGTTACAGTCCACGCCAGGGAAACCGCACCTGCTGACTGATTCCTGACAAAGAGCAGGCGCGGGGCAGCGATGACCGCAGCATCGCGGTAAGTAATCTTGCCTCCAACTCTTCGCAGGCGGTTGGACTTTGCGTTTCCGTTCGCACGCAGGCTCACCATCTCCTCAGCGCCGACGACGAGGTCCCCTTCCTCAGCAAACATGGCCGCTCTACCCAAGCGCATTATCAAGGAGACCGAGCGGCTGTCGAAGGAGCCCGTCCCGGGGATCTCGGCAGTCCCTCACGACGACAACCTTCGTTACTTCGATGTGACCATCGATGGCCCCGCCCAGTCGCCCTACGAAGGTACGTGCTCCCCTCGCTTTGTGCTATCCAGACTGACTCGAGTAGGAGGCGTGTTCAAGTTGGAGCTGTTCCTTCCGGACGACTACCCGATGACGCCGCCCAAGGTTCGCTTCCTGACCAAGATCTACCACCCAAACATCGACCGCTTGGGAAGGATCTGCCTGGACGTGCTGAAGAGTGAGTGCTTCCCTAGTTCGTGCGTGTCTGGTAATGTCTCACACCCGCAGGCAACTGGTCGCCGGCTCTCCAGATCCGCACCATACTCCTCTCCATCCAGGCGTTGTTGGGTGCGCCGAACCCGGACGACCCGCTCGCAAACGACGTGGCCCAACAGTGGAAGGAGGACCAGAATCAGGCCATCGCAACGGCGAGGGAGTGGACCGAGAAGTTCGCAAAGGCATAGTTCATGTCAACGGCTTGTCGATGATGGTCAAGGAGGGTGGCAACTGGCTCACCAACCCCATCTCGTGCACTAATGCGTGGTCTATCTCCCGGGATGATGACGATCAGGTCTTCTCGACCTTCGGCTCTAGCAGCGACAACCGTGCCATGGTCTCCAAGTGGAATGGCGATCCGTTCGACGAGCTCAAGTTCTTGATTACCAAGCCCGATCATCCCTTCAACTTCAAGCACAACTATGTGCTGTACTACGGCCTCTGCTGCCCATACAACTTTCTGTAAATTACATTCACGATGTTCACGGCTTGCGAACTTCTTCGGTCTTTAGACTTGCATAGCGATCCCTTCGGGTGGCTCACTTGCACGGCGAATTTGCACGAGCGATATTGAGCTGGGGTTATTGACCGGCAATTGCCAATGGTGTTCAGGATTGGATCTTGGGTGATATCCCCCCGATTTGGCATGCCATGAGATGTCTAACGACGGAATGAAAAATGGTCTCTCACTTGCTGATTCCCTTTGATATGTATTTGCTTCTTGTAGGTGTTGTGTGACATTGAAGCATGACGTGCAGTCGTCCGCCGAGTGAATCTCGGAGACATGATGATCACAATGAGATAGCCATGGTGGATTCAGCGGGCCTTCGCTGGGCTCGATGGATTCGCGATGCGCCTGTGAGTTGCTTTCTGCCCTTCGCCGACAGCGCTAACTCGAGATCCGCGAGGCTGTTTGCTTCGTGGGATGCACCGATCGCTTTTCTACGTTGTGGCGATGCCGGACACTCGCTTGCTTTGGCAGTTTGGAAAGTCTCCGCTTATACACTGACTGTGTTGGTCGGCAGCTGAGGTGACAACATCTTGGTCGGGCCTGCAATTCTTCTCTGCCCTTCACACCATCGCAATCGCCAAGGCGTCACCGCGGTTCTTCTCGCTTTGTTCACATCCACCTTTGACTTGGTGTTTCCCCAACAGTTCGCAGTACAGATTGTGAAATAGCCACCGTCGAAGCGTCAAATTCGCCATGGCCACGCCATCAACGCCACGCAGTGTTTTGCACACCGGTGTTGGAGGTACCGCTGAAAACAGCGGCTTTGAGGTACACAGAGGCCGCACGCTCGAACCGGCGGGCAGGTACTGGACTTGCAGACATGGATCCTCGAGCAAAGTCACGTATTCACAGATGTCAAGGAAGAGAGTGCGTCGATATGTGCCCCGCTACGTCCTCGATCTTAGCTGCTCGACTTTTCAAGACTCGAGGAGCATATTCGCGACTGGAGCATGCGTAGCGTATGTGGCCGACATTTCCGTGCCGGTGCTCAATTCGCGTATTTGCGCGTTACCCTCGACCCACACATCTTCCTCAAGCTCGGGCCGAACCCGCGGGACCTCAGAAAACGTGGATGCAACCGGAAATATCTCCAGCGGCGATTCGCGGCGCACCAGAAATATCTTGCCATCGACACGAAGAGCTTGCTGCGAGGGCATGCCAGCATGGGAAAGTGTCCCGTAATGCTCATTGAGCGGCAGACACACCGAGCGCTCCAGCTTGTGTTACGGAGCTGCGGGCGCGGTGATACGATATTCCAGGCCAGTCAGAAATGTTCGAACGAGCTGCAATCGCCAGCGACCATGTAATCGATGCCACCAGTGGGCTATAGGTAGGTCTCGTTGTCAACATGCTGTGAGCCTCACCGATGGGAACAGCTTCATCGAACTCTCCAGGACGATCCTCACAGCAGATGCCGCGATCAGCCCGTCCTAGGACAAACTCGTGTATCGGTGCCATCTTACTGCGCTCCCAGCATTGAGTAAACCGGGCCTTACATGACCAAGGAAGCAGGTACGAGCTCGAGAAAAGAGTCCCGAATGCCACTCCTGGAAACCGCAAGAGCTTGTATATCTGGTATCTCGGAGTGAACGCTCCCGGGATGGTCGCTCTGGACCAGCCCAGGACCCTTTACAAAACAGCAGGACATGATGAAGTCTCTTTCGTTCCCTTCGGACCCACGATGCTCCTTGGCTTAGGCGCTGTATCATCGCTGTCGACCTAAGCTATCCCTTGCTGGTTCTTGCTTGACAAAAACAAGTATCGATGACATCTCAAAGCTACGGTTGCCTTCGCTGGAATCCCTGAACGCCCCTGTCCCTAGAAGAGCAGTGCTTTCAAAAGCTTTTTTTTTTTTTGTATCCGTATGGAACAGCTTGCCGCCGGATGAAGAAATAAACCAAGAGGCAGAAACCAGGACAGTTGCGTAAGGCCTGCAAAAGATCTGAAGGATAGAGATGCTTCTGCAGCTTTGCGTTGTAGTTGTAGCATGCTCGCCGGTAAGATTGAGCGCGAGCCTATCAGACCTTGAACGCTTGTTGTCGAAAACCTTGCCAGACGACGTCCGTACCGTCCAACCCCTTCAAGCATAGTCCGGAAGGACTCACACTCTCCATGTGCCAATTCGACTATATAAGTTCTCTCCCATCACGGCCCTGATGGTTCTGTCGGTCGCCTGTGGTATGACTGTGAAGGTGGCCTGTATGGATCGATCACTCGTCGAACAAAGACCGTACACATGAAAAGACCCGAACTCAATGGCATTTGCATATAGGAGTCACTTTGTGCCTGCTTAGTCCAAGGTGGGAAGTCCATGCCGCGAGAAAGTTTCGAAGCAGAACCTGTGAGCTTGTCGGTGTGCAATTGGATCTTCTCTACTGGTCTCCGGGCCTATCTTGTCATGTTTTCTGTCCGAAAAGCTACCGTACGTCGTCTTTGCTCGGTGTGAGAGTCGCACACCGATCTGAACGCCCGGCGTCTCATGCGGCTCCTGGCCATTGACGACGTAATACATGCGGACTCTCTTTCAGATAGAAAGCTGTATAGTGCGCACAGGTACAGTTCAGGGGAGCGTACTACAGACGCTAAGCCAGGCGGCTCACGAGCGACCTCTGACTTCTTGAAGAATTAACAGCCTCAGGTTGACTGCGTCGGCCGGTTGCTGTGTCAACTCTATATCCGCTTCCACCCTTGGACGATCAATTAACCGTTAGAATAGGAGTGGCGCAGCCAATATAACGGGTGCCGCGGCGAGTCCCTCATAGCAAGGTCATCGCTGGGGTCCGTCAAGCCCTCGTCCGGCTCGATGAACTTGCCCCCCAATGCTCTACCACGTGTCCGATCGGGGACTCATGCTCGGCGATGTTTCGGGACGCTGGCTGATCTAGGTGTTAGGGTTGCTCGCTGCTCTTGAATCTTGTGGGACGAGACCAGAAAGACACTGGCGGAAGGTTGGCGGTTGGTGTATCGCGGTGATGGCGTTCTGCCACACTCTGGGCCCAGAGCAGCCCGAGTGGAGTTTGAGAAAAACTTGTGTCCAGGCTGTCTGTCTGTGTCAGTTGAGAGCGCATCAAGCCATGACCTTCGAGCAACACCGTGGTATTGTGACTCCACGGCCACGCAACCCAGGTTGAGATTCTCTGCGTGGTGGAAGGTGCGTGCTGGGGCTGTTGTAGGCCAAAGCCAAGTACGACGCGGTCAAGAGCTCTGCAGGAAGTACAATCCGTGAAGCTGCGACAATTGGAATTCTGGGAAGGCGACGCGTCTTGGTTGGGACCGGTGCCTGAGTAACCATCTGCCTCCAGCACGATGTCCCATCCACCCGGACGGCCCGCACTCACGGCGGCGCGAGCACACTCATCAGGCAGATCTGGGCGTAGCTCACCAAGCCCATCGCAAGGCCCTCTTCATGGCTTCGGCCGGGGAAGCGTTGTTGTTGTGATCCAAGTCGCGACTGCCGTCAACGCCACCGCTATCTATCACGGTCGAGTATGAAAGCTGAGCTCGCCAATGGAGGCGAAGGGGAGGATTAAGCTCTATACGTTTTCCAACTTCTTCCGGAGTTGGCTTACCTGCTGCATAATGTGCATCGTGTAGTGTGGTATGGCTCGGCAAGAAGGCGGGCAATGATAAGTGGGGATGGGAGAAAGGGTCGACAGGCCGCGAGACCCAAACACGATGGTGAAGAAACGCTCGTATGAAGCAGCTACCAAATCTAACAACTCATCTCCCACCCACCCTCAGCTCGCTCGCCTTAACACAACGTAACCACACCGCTCTCGTACCGCATACGCTCAACTTGCCTCGACCTACGTCCTTCTGCATCATTTCGCACTCCAAGCATGTCGCTCTCCGGCTCGGTCCTCATCCCAGTCCTCACCGTCAAGCGCGCCTTGGAGCACAAGATCCGGTCCGCCTTTCGCCGCCACCGCCACCGAAAGGACAGCGACGACCGTAAGGTCTATGGCAAGCTAGACAATGCCGAAGAGGCGCAACCTCGCACAGCCAGCGACATTGCGCGCGAAGACTTTACACGCGGCGACTTCATGTGCTAACTCTTCTGCATCGTGCGTCAAGTACCCCAAGATACTTTGTGCAATAACAACTAATCCCGACTGCAGCTCCCTCATGACATGGGCACGCAGCTGTCCCTCTTCCTGCGGGCGTACTTTTGCGTAAAATCGGTTTCCAGAGCTTCATAACAGGGTGAAGACTCGGCGTTCTTGCATATCTCCGGCGTCTAGGTTCGAATTTAGCATACGAATCTGAGTTCCTACGGGATCAGGCATACTGGACAGCTTGCTATACTTTCAATGAAACCATCTTTGCGCCACTCTGCTGCCAGCGCTTGTGCCTCGTAAGTGTACGCGATGCGCAAGAGATCGTAGATTGACAGATACGACGTCGACATCCTGGCCCGGCTATCTCTCCGCAAGTAATAATCCTTTTGGAACTGTCGGGTACGGTCTTCTCGAGCAGCAGCACTGATATAAGGAACGCAAGTAGGCTTGAGCTTAAGCTATGTGAATGGGTAAACGCAACACACCACCTTCTGCACCCCTCCACGAGCTGCAGCACACGCATTTTATACCACCCCAGCGCTGCCCCCAATCGAGCGCCATGCTTCCCCTCACGCCTGTTTTAGCGCCGCGTCGCTGCATGATTCGGCCCTACCCGGCGTTAGCGGGGCATACGATCGCCCGTCATCCGACTGTGGGCCCCCGGCCAGTATGCTCAACCACTGTTTCCGACATATCCGTCTAAGACGCGTAATTAGTGCGCTGGTGCCTGCTGCGTGGGATGACGGGCAGGATGCAGGATGGCGGAGAATCCACGGGGTGGTGGGTTGTGGTTGTGCGGACTTCTCGGGCGTCGGAGATGTTTGGGACGGGATGACCGACAAGGCCGGAGGGTCAGCATCGTAGGGGCGAGGCAACAACAAGAAGGTGAGACTCACCCAAGGAAAGGATTGTTCATTGGTGAGAGCGAGTTGTCTTTACAGAGATCAGACCGCTGTGCACACAGACAGACCCGACAGAAGAAGCCTGCTATGATTGGAGGTAAAACAGGACTGGTCGTACGATCGCACAACGCATTGCATGCAAGTGGGGATGACTCAGTACGACAAAGAGATATTGGCTGCATCCTCGACGGTCGCAATACTGCTCCAAGGCAACATTTGGAAAGACTTTTCAAGTGTACAGCCCGCAAAAGTCGGGTTCTTACGCATTCTGCAGAATGGTCCTGGTCTTCTTCACAAGGTTCCACACAAATGCTTCTTCGGACGTCTAAGTGGAGATGAGAGCCACTGAATTACCTTGTCCGATTTGCTAGATAGAGCGACACCTAAAAAATGTTAGTGGACGAGCAGGAGGATGATGCAAAGGATATGATGAGTGTCAAAAGTATGGTACTGAAATGATCATAACGTTTACTTAAGCGTCACAGAGGATAGGCCAAATGATGGGTCACGGGATCACTGTGATCATTTGACCATCATACCATGCATCACTTCACTAAGAACGGGGCCGATGTGAAACCTTCAAACAGTATTATTGTAGAAGTATTCTGACCCGCAGAACGTCTACCCCAAGGATATTGTGTGCAATGGCTGTCTAATACCGCCAAGGGGGCCTTTCTCCCTGAGCCGCCAGCCCGGCTCTAGCCTGCCGAACCTCGAGCTCATATGCATGGTAGACTTGAGCCTCCCGAACCGTAGCAGGCTCACGAAGCACTGCCGCCGCACTCTGAAGTACATCTGGAACTTGCGGCCTCGGCTCTTTATTCTGGATCAAGATCTGCCTTTGCCTCTCCACCCTCTGTTCCTGCTCGCCCAGAAAAGTCTGCCTCGCCCTCTTCTGTTCCTGCTCCCGAAGCATCGTCTGAATCTTGACTTCCGCGTACGGTACATACTTCTTCACCAGCCACTTCGATGAGGCGCGCTTCGAGATGTCTTCTGCATACAGCCTTTCGTACCACCGCTGCAGATCGAAGCTGTAAGGCGCCGTGGGCTCGATATTCATATTATAGCGCTGATAGTCCTCTGACATGTTGATCGGGCGGTATTGGTGCGGGATGATCTTGCGCCACTTCTCGGTCCGCAGGTCTTCCAGTGTAGGAACGTAGCCGCCCTCTTCCTCCTTCTCCTTGATGTATTCGTCCTTGTTCTTGACGGGCATTACGCCGAGCGCGAAGTTCTGGAGTGAGGCCCCGATCGCCCATACGTCTGCTGCGGGCGTCTGCTTCCGTTCGCGTTCCTTCAAGGGAGGCCCAAACTCGTACGTCCCGTGGTACTTTATGTTCGCACTAGCCGGTTTCATACGTGCGATGTCGCTAATCTTGAACGTAGGCAGAGTGGGCAACTTGTCGTGAGCACCCTTCCACCCTGGCGGCGAGAAGACGAGGATGTTCTCTGGCTTCAAATCGCCATGAATGTGACCCTCTCCCATCTGGTTATGCAGCCAGTCCAGTGCCAGAGACATATCCACCAAGAACTTCCACAACGTCATCTCCGGCACCTTGTCAACATACCGCAGGAAAGTACGCCGAAATTTGCTGACGTCTCCCCATTGTGCGAGCTCGAAGACAAGGGCAGGACCGACGGGCTCATGCTGAAGAATATATGTCAGAAAGTTAGTGATGTTCTCGTGAGGAGGTACCTTTTTGAGCGCAACAATCTCCGCTAGCAGGTCCTTGGAGCGGTCCGGCGTCCGTGGGACCTTCAAGGCAACGACTTGGCCTGCAGTCCGGTTCTCCCAGCGGCTGACGGTACCTTCAGTGCCGTATCCAATATCGCGTACGAATGTGAAGATATGACGGAAAGTTTGCGGATTTACAGGTGCGAGCTGGCTGCACAGCAGCATATTAGTTGGCATATTGGTGCTCATAATCAACGCTGAATGCCCCTACGAGGAGAAACGCGGTAATCAATCCCTTAGCCTATTCTTGTAGCAAAGGGTAGACCTGGGTTTTTCGAGTCGTGACCTACCAGGGTCACCGGAAACGGTGGGTCGAATTTTGCTCTCGGTAGTGATGTCGCGCCAGGTGGCGCACGAGACGCTCTTATAGCAAAAGTTGGATTTACATAGCGACGCAAAGTGAAAACACCGCAGTCGCGGATGACAGTAACAATGTTGGCGTCAGACATTTGCAGACAGGCCCAGAGCGTTTGTCTCAACTCATTGTGAAGCCACAACACAACGTGGGTGATCTCCAGGCTGCACTACGTCAAAGCTTGGATCGTGTTGTAGAAACACGAGAGGTCTGGGTACTGCTGTTGAAATCCCACCGGTGACACCAGCCGCAAGTAACACCTCCTTGAACCGGATGATTCAAAAGGGTTCGAAGACGTCCGTAAATGTTCTTTCGATGCATGCCGACAGATCCAAAGCCACATCTGACTAGTACCTAGCAAGATCCCCGAAGAGTCGCGTTGGTGGGCCATATACGTTTCCATGATAGCGATGACTGCTTGCACGTAGCCGTCTGGACCAAAATCGAGATCACGATCAGACCACTGTCACTTAGAAGCGAAAATCTTCTTGTATTCTTCGAGGCTGTCCACCTTGTTCGTGTCGTCTTTTTCTTCCTCTTCCTGGCTATCATAGGACTTATTAGGGTCGATCTCTCCACGGAGATGAAGCCCGACATACTTCGAGACCTCTTTCATCAAAGCATCGAAAGCAGCCTGACTATAATTCCTCTGAAATATCTGATAAGCTGGCCATCTGAAGAAATCGTGATCCACGCGTTGGATGCGCCCATATTCAAGCATCGTATGTGCCTCACCGATTGCTTGAGGTAAATGACCAGACGGAAGGTACACTTCAGTGTGAAGATACACATCTCTGAGCTTCACAAGCCTAGTGGCGAGGAAGGATGCAATTGGAGCGAAGAGAGTCATACCATCTCCAGACCGTTAGAGCGGCTTGTCATAAAGCCCGGTCCATGGTATGCCGTCGAACCTCCGCTCCCTCTTGATGTCCATATCCAATCCCCCTTGCCATCCCATCTCTTCACTAAGAGCTTCAGCCGTGAGCGTGATAGAAGTCATATTGGTTACAGCGAGCGACGGAAAAGACGAATTAAAGCGCATAGCTCCGAGAGAATGAAAGTCAGCGACAGCCGTTTTGGAAGAGTAGAAGATTGGCAAGGCTTCTTCGCGTATCTGCCGACTGGACGTAATGTTTGCGGACGTCCTCTCAGTCCGACTTGCGACGCAGAAACGTATTCGTAGATTCTATAGCGCAATTCGAGAGCGATGGTCGCCAGACTCGGCGTCATGAAGGCCAAAGTTCAATGGTGAACGCTGATAGGTCGGGGCAATGATTGATGTTGTTGTTACTTCTAACCCTTGTGGAGCTCGTCGTCTCCGCGCTCGGACGAGACGCCACAAATTAGCGCCACAGCACATCCCTGTCGCCGATACGGCGGGCGCCTACAATTTTCTGGAGCGCGCATACAGTCATCTATCAATTGGTGCCGCACTACACGCTTTCTTCCACCGATATACCCTCTTTTCACGCTTTTCACGAAAACAATCATGGCTTCGCAAAAGAAAGTCGCAGAGAACATGCTTTGGGGAGGACGGTTCACACGTCAGTGTCCCTCAATTCCACCACCTTGCTCCAGTCATTATGAAAGCGCACCAACTGACAGCCATGCAGAGGGCCTTGACCCAGTCATGGAGCAGTACAACGCCTCCCTGCCCTACGACCGCCTCTTCTACGCCCAGGACATCGCCGGCAGCATCGCATTCGCCCGCGCCAACATGAACAACGGCATCTTGACCCAGGATGAATTCGCAGCCATTGAGAAGGGCTTCGCACAGATCAAGGAAGAGTGGGCTTCGAACAGCTTCGAAGTCAAGGCCAACGACGAGGACATACACACCGCGAACGAGCGTCGGCTGAGCGAGATCATCGGCAAGGACATTGGCGGGAAGCTGCACACGGGCCGGAGTCGCAACGAGCAGGTCGCGACCGACATGCGGCTGTGGCTGCGCGAGGAGCTGCGGACGCTCGAGAGCTACCTGGCACAGCTGATCAAGACGAGCGTGCAGCGCGCAGAGGCCGAGATCGACGTCCTGATGCCGGGCTACACGCACCTTCAGAAGGCGCAGCCCGTCCGCTGGTCCCACTGGGTGCTTTCCCACGCGACCGCCTTCTCCCAGGAGCTCGAGCGTCTCCGCGAGGTCATCAAGCGCGTCAACCGCTCGCCGCTCGGCTGCGGCGCCCTTGCCGGCAACCCCTTCAACATCGACCGCCATGCCATGGCCAAGGAGCTCGGCTTCGAGGCCCTCCTGCCCAACTCCCTCAACGCCGTCGGCGACCGTGACTTCGTCTTCGAGACGCTGCAGTGGGGCTCCAGCTTCATGCTGAAGATGTCGCGGTGGGCGGAGGACCTGATCATCTACTCGAGCTTGGAGTTCGGCTTCGTCCGCCTTGCAGACGCCTACTCCACCGGCAGCTCGCTCATGCCGCAGAAGAAGAACGCAGACTCGCTCGAGCTCATCAGGGGCAAGTCGGGCCGCGCGTTCGGGCACATGGCTGGTCTGTACGTCACCATCAAGGGCCTGCCCACGACCTACAACAAGGACCTGCAGGAGTCTGTCGAGCCGCTCATCGACCACATCAAGACCGTCGGCGACTCGATGCAGATTGCCACGGGCGTTCTGTCGACGCTCACCATCAACCCGGAGAAGATGATGGCTGCGCTGGCGCCCGAGATGCTGGCGACTGAGTTCGCGGACTACCTCGTCAGGAAGGGGGTGCCGTTCCGCGAGGGCCACCATATCTCGGGACGTGTTGTTGCGTTGGCGGAGACGGAGAATGTGCCCATGGACAAGCTGAGCTTGGAGCAGCTAAAGGGCATCGATTCGCGGCTAGGCGACGATGTGGTCGAGTGCCTGGACTACGAGCGTGCGGTGGAGTTGAAGAACGCGACGGGCGGAACCAGCAAGAGCGCGGTGAGGGAGCAGATTGAGATGCTGAAGAAGCAGCTCTAGAGGCTATCCGGCGCATCTAAAAGGATGGTAGAAGAAAACTTGACGCAAGATTATGAATAGATGAATACCCTTACCGCAGCAAATCTTTGTTCGCACTTTGTGTTGTCTTGGATGAATCATTCTTAGCCGCAGCCAAACCATGGCAAGCAGATCAGTCTCACACAGCAAAAGCATCAGTCGGGGAACAGCAGAGCAGTATTTGAAGTAGCAGTCGATTCAAAAGGGGGTATCTGTTACAAACGCAATCATGACATGTTCAAGAATGCGCCCGTCATCCATCTCATCTCATGCTCCGCCTCACAAACGAAAATTCCATATCGTACAGTCCAGTACCGTAGCAATGCATTACCACGTCCCTCCCCCGTTCACTTCGCTTCGTCGAGTCGAGTCGATTCGGCCTCGCAAGTTCCTTCGTCGTCGGCCAGACTACACACCCAAATCCCTCCTCAAGCGATAGCCTGATTAACTCGCGTTAACAGCCATCACCTTGCGAACGGGACCACCTAGACTCTACTAGTGTGGTGGGTGCGCGTCTTTGCGCCGCGGCGCCGCGAGCCGCCACGGCCGCAGGTCAGGCAGCTGATGATGATGTCGAAGAGGGCGACGATGCCGTTGATGATGGCGGTGCACATGGCGCCGATGGCGCGGACAATGGCCATGATGACATTGCCGATTGTGCGGAAGATGGACTGGATCTGGGGGCGAGTTAGCACTGTGAAGGAGGCGAGGCGGGAGAGCCAGGGCTTACGCAGGAGACGACGGCGCCCATGGTGACGGTTGTGCGGGTTGCTGCTGCTGTTGTGGTGGTGGTGTTGGTGGAGTAGCTATGCTTTGCACGCTTCGAATGTGTTTGAGTGTTTGTGGTGGGGAGGACGCTGAGCAGAGGGTGTTGACAGTCGCTCTTGTGTACCGCCTTCTTTATAAAGCGCGCGCATTCCTCTGCGCCCTCTTGCCTGGCCAACAGCGCCTGACGTCACACTTGAATCACACGGGCGCCCCTCGCACCACACACGGCCCAGCAATCCGGCCCTCATGGGCCTCGCCATGCAAGCTCACCCGCAACCGCACATGCGCGCTCAAAACCTGCTCGGAGCAGCGAGCACAACCACACGCGCCACGCCGCTTTGTCGTCGCGGCAGTAGCGCCCGCCCCAAGCAGCAGTGATGTGCACTGGCACGCCCGATTAGGCCATGACGCAGCCGTCTGATCCCTGCAACCCGCCCTCACGCGCCACACAGCTGCCCTGCATCACCGTCACCACCAAGGTCCATCTGCTGAAAATTTCCGTCGCAGGGATGCGCTGTGGCTGCCATCGCGATGGCATGCAGCTATCGACACGCTGACACGCAAATTTGGGAATCCGCGACGGACCCGCCTGCCGGCTAAGCTGCCTGCGACGCTGAAATCGTGCGAATGGGCTTCCACCACCACCACACCAGCTCCCACGCCGTGCCACACCGCTGAATCTGCAAAGGCAGCGCGAGCGAGCGTAGCGCGCGCTCCCCACTCCGGACAGCCTCTGCCATGTAGCCTGCGACGCGTTGGTTCAGCAGCAAACAACTGCACGATAACCACCAGACCACGACATCGAGAAGTGACGTAGTCACCAACCCCCTGCAACCTTGCCTGCCCCCCCTCCTCCGACATTTTGCTCTCGGCAGAGCAGCCAAACACCGACCCCACGGAACCGCAAACTCAAACTCACCCATGCCTTGTTTCCCACCCCTGCCCGTGGCGTCACCATGCGCCGTCAAGATTGGCAATCTCGAAAATGCGGTCCTCTTCTCCGATTTTCCATCATCCTCTGCATTCGTGCTGGCGTTCCAGGCCTCGCTGAAATGACACCGAGCGGCCTGATATGAAGGCGTGCACGTGTGCCGTGTGTTGATACGAGGCATCAGCATTGGCATTGGCGCTGGCGTGAGGTTGAGCTTGAGCTTGAACTAACCGTTTTCCGGTCAACTGTGGCTGCGCCAATTCCCATGGTCGCATGGCGGGAGCGCCATCGCTACGTTAGCCGAGCTGCGGGTCCCAGAATCTGACAGCACCGGTTAGTTGAGCGGCTGCTTGAGCTATCGGGTACAGCTTATTTCCACGGCGTCACTGTAGCATCATGATAGCTCCGCTGCTGTCCTTGTTCGTGCTTGGAAATGTAATTCTACACATACAATTGCGTCCATCGGATATGTACACGTCCTTGGCGATTAGCTCCTCTGTGCCTATACCACATCCGCTCCCAACATACTATACCCGTGATCATGTTCGTCATCCAAAAATAATCTCTAACCAAATGCGCCCAACCGACGATTGTCGTAATACCCATGCAGCTTTGTCTATGATGCCGCCTTGCAGAAGATAAGAAATGAAGGCCAAAAATTCCACCAAGCAGCGTCAAGTAGTAAGCTATCATCAAAAGTCGTATGTTGTAGGATTCAATCATGCAAAAGTCTCCACGATCAATTTTTTTTCGTTTCGTTTCGTGCCGTGTCGTTATTCGTAGGTTTTGGTAGAGCTGATGATCCGAGGATGTGCTCATGATCAATTCCCTCCCCCGCTTTCAACAGTCTTCTTTCCTCCCCGCCGCGATGCTTCCGTCACATTTGCGGCATTCAAGGAACCCGCAAGTGTTGGGATATGAGACTCGCTGATTAGCGTTTGTAGCTGCAGTCTCGATCCATCTGACATCCTGCCTCTCGGTGTACTCTTAGGCCTCGGGATAGAATTAACAGTACCATCTCCGAGGGTTGGGGATTCCACTGGCGTGACGGATCGACTAACATCACTGCTGAGTGGGCTCAGCTGCCGTGAGACGGTTTCCCCGCTTGAAATTCGGGTCACCAGCGGAGGTGGACCACTCATGCATCGACTTTCTTCCGGGCCGTACAAAGGATTGCTCAACGTTCTCGGACGCTTCGGACCAGGGTGTTCCGAAAAGTCCTGAGCGCTCCAGCTTGCACGATGCACGCGCGCACCGTACGGCAGACTCGAGTATGACATGTTCGATCGGATGCTTGGAGACCTTCGATGGCCGACTGGGGTGCCACTCAACGAATCACGGCTAGTTTTGGCCAGAGTCAACTGCGAGGCTTCGCCGCTGATCTCGTTCATGAATTCTTCATCCTCATCTTCAACCTTCGCCATTCGCCGGACGCTGCTGACAGTGAAGTAGGGCTCTTTCGGGATCTCCGGTTCGACCACGATGGGTGTTGTTACAGGTTCTGGCTTGTCTTTCGGCGGCCGCGGAATATCCTTCGCCTTCAAGTCCAGGTGATCCAGATATCTTCCGCGAAGAGGCACCAACCGCCGGGGATGGAATGTGTCGCGATTACGCGTCACCGACATGTAGCTCGAGATGGCTCCTAGGATGATACATATCAGGACTGCAATGGTAAGAAGACCTTGGACGACAATAATCACAATGCCAACGGCTGTTGCCGTGATTCGCGGAAGCCCGAAACGGACGTCGAATGCAGCGGATAGGGCGACCGTCACAACTTTGCTGAATCCAAGAAAGTAAACGGCAATAATGTTCAGTCGCTGACCTTCGAACGGACGGAGGATGATCAGCCCGACGAACGCGATAAATTCGACTGCAAGCAGACCGAAAACCTGCACCATTGGCGAACCCGATGCTCCAGCCAGGAAACACGCTCGTGCAAATTCGTAAACCAGCCAGACAACGAAGAACCACCACCTTGTTCTACGAAAGCGGGCGGCAAGCCATCCAAATCTTTTTGTGTACTCGTCATCATCATGCACCGACTTCTCTTCGGACGCGGGGCTGACTCTCCACCATCGGATTGAGCCCGCATATGTCTTGTCCTCCGAGCGGGGGAAGTTGCTGTTTCGCTCCAGTCTGTACCAGGGAATCACTTTGAGCAACCTTCTCTTTTCAACATTCAGTTGGTCTGGTTCGGATGCATAATATCCAAACTTGATTATGTGGAAGCACGCATACCCAACCAGACCACCCAAGCCAAGCAGCATGATGAGGAAGACGACTGCAGCGATAGCGACAGGTCCAGTTGAGCCGAGGTAGCTGAATTGGAAAAGTGTGAGGAACATGAGCATGAAGAAGCCAATGAAGAGTGTACGGAGAATAGTAAGGACGGTGTATCCGAGCCAATGCCTCCGAAAGTATACTAATCGATTGCGTCTCATCATTTTCATCGAACTCAGTCCTTCAAGCAGAACTTTGAAAGTGACGACTGAAGCAAAAACTCCAGCAACGAGGACCAGAAACCATAAGAAGCCTGTCATGAAAGCGTTTGAAGCAGGTATGTTCTCTTGGGCGAGCGTGCCCGAAAACCCCGAAAAGTTGCCCGGAAGCGGAAGGCCAGGCTTGACAGGGTGGCCATACCATGAAGAGGCACTTGAGTTACCTGCGGAATCCCTTTTCGACATTAATCTTTCGAGGGCCTCCCTCTTGGTTATCAACTGCCTAAATCGATCGACAAAAGGTTCGTCTGACCCAAGAACACTGGGGATTCTGGAGGGCACACGCCGACTGTAGATCTTCTGGACATCGAAGCCACCACCGAGGCTTGGATTCGCAACACCAGTTCCGGCTGCACCCACGTGCGAGGTATTGCCCTTGTTGCTTCCAATGAAATCATTGATCGTGTTCTGCATAACCTCCGCGTAAATCATACCACCTGCCCAGGCATAGTTGCTCCAAAAGGCGACAAGCACGCTGGGCCAATTCATGGAGAGCGCACCGCTGAAGAAAACGTGCTGCCACACGGCAAAGACGACCAGCACCGAAAAGGAGTGAGCATAATGTTTCCGCATCTCTGGAAAATTTTCTCCGTAAATGGCAGTGGCGAAAGAGGCTATGATGGCAATAATGGTGAATGCCCCGAGAATGGAACTGACCCATGCTGGCTGGGAGAACGAACTCCCGTTGGTCACGACGCCGGAGTAGCAGCCAATCTGGCTTCGGGTAGCATTCGAGAAGATTCTCAGGATGGCTTGGCCCTCGAAATCTGGGATAGACAAAGCGATTGATGGAATGCCGGCGACGTCGTTCTGGCTGATAGGTATGATGCCGCTCGCATCAATGGGCGTTCCGGCCAGAATTGGACATGCGCTAAGGACAGTGAGGGATTTTCTGAGAATCTCTGCAAAGCGTCTTACCTCTTGATATTCGCAGTGCATGGGTTGAAAGTTAGGTCGAATCGCGATTCTCCGTATGCAAAAACACCGATGTACACTACCCGACTCGTTAGCTCCAATAAGACCATATGATGGTGTGGCACACTCATGATAGTTTCGTTCTTCAAGTCTGTCTCTCCACCAAGGTGGAAAAGTATAGTCATGTTATCCTTGTAGTATGCAGCGTCGAAACGAGTGACGTTGATACTGCTGCCGCCCATGCAGTCGCCGAAATCCTGAGTGTAAAGCGAGGGTCTTCGGTCATCCTTAACGAGGTATTCCTGGCCACCGATCGTCCCAACTACGTATCCTTCCTGTATGGCAGAGACAACGGGGCTGAGGAAGGCAAGGGCCATGAGCAGGAATGCAAAGAGGGACTGTTGGAGAGCCATGCTGTCTCACGGGATAGCTCGAAGTTGGTATACAGGCGTGCCGTTGTGCGAGGGAAAGATGATCTGGAAAACTGCTAGCGGACAAGAGTGCGTGCCCTTTCGGTCAATGTACGACCTTTCCTGAAGCGAGGTAGAGGCTCGGAGCCTGAATCGCCTGAACGAGCGCCGTAATGGTCTGACGATGAGTTTATGGATGTTCGAGCCAATATACACAAGATTGACCGCAAGTGACCCTGAATTAGTCGCGTGTGAGCAGCGACATCGTGTCGGGAAACGTTAGGACGGGAAATCGATTGAAGAAGAGGGTACCCATCGAAAAGCAGACGCGGCCATGGCGGCCGTGACTCGCATTGTGGAGACAACGCGGAAACTACTGTCTGGGGAAAGCGCAAGCCTAGGACACTAGTAGTGAAGGAAGGTATACTTCGGCACTTGGCCGACGATGCTCCACGGAACTGGCACGATCGCGGTTTGAAGAACCATACGATGCTGCGGACTTTAACATTTGTCAAATGGTCGATGGCGGTGTCAATGCGACGACATTTTCTTTCCACTCTGCGATGAACGTGTCTCTGACGCCCGTCATAGGAGGATGAAGACATTCACAGCGCAGTCACATCTTCGGTTCTACGACAGCTTGCATATAACCAACCGAGAGCTAATGTAGTGCCTAGCTACCCCAAGCTAGCGTTCAAATGACATGGTAGGTTCCAAGCCTGCGTCTGCGAACCCGATCTTTGGGATCGGGCCCTGGCGAATGATCATCATACAGCCGTCGAGTTTTAAAAGGCATGTTCGACTTCAGGTTTTGTGAGCACTTGGCTGCCGACATCCGCGCTCCGTTCATCACATCTTGGTCTTCCCGCGTTCTAGAATGGCCCGTGCCGGGCCTACGCGCGCCATCTCTGGACCTGCAAAGTGCGGTTAGTGAACCTAGGCTTCTCGATTTGTTCAGAGGATCTCCTCCGCGCTTGACATCGTGTGCCACGGGGGCCCTAGGAGATCGGGTACCCACTGTCACTACCTCTTAGGCCGAGAGATGGTATCATCATGCACGCTGTCAGCACCATCATGATCAACAACTCTTCACGCAGCTAATTCGGTAGTCTTCGACTGGCCACTTCAAACCTATAACATGCTTCAAATGGTTCCCCTCATCGAGGACAAGCCTCCACTGAGACTTGGGGTACATCCGCGCAGTTCCTAGACCATGATGTATCGACAACGTACCACTCATTCGACAATTCTTAGCCTCGATTAATGCATCATGCACGTGTGCCATGCGCGCTCCCATGTTTTTGCGGGGCATCATCTGCCGTCCTCCCGGGTATGGCCGCGGATCGGCGGCGCTAGCAGGTCTTCGATGCATCACCAGCCTCGTCTTTACAGAATTACCAACAGGCCAAGAAATCATGTGCTGGGGAATGTCAAGTTTTCCCGCCAGTTTTGATGGCTGGCAGTGATTGCAAAATCGTAGTTCCTCGGTGTATGCACCAATCTCCTTTCGGAAGCACTAGAGTGAGTATGCCATGCTTGAGCGATTAAGGTATCTCCGATGGCCAACGCGATGGACTCACGCCTGAACAAAAGACTCCAAGAGCCTGGGTATCATTGTGTCTAACACGCGCCTCAATTCTTCAACCCGACACAGGGAATGTCCCCTTCACTCTTACACACAGCTCCCCGTCTACGCTTTCCAGCGTGCCAATAATCTCCACCGTCTTCTTCGCCTCTATAGGCTGTTCCTTCTTTGTGAGGTCCTTCCATGAAGGGAGCCACGACTTTGCGGGCTGCGGTTCGGGGTCTACCGGCGGGGCAGCCTGTGGGAGATTCGGTCTTGAGTAGTTCGCACGGAGTATGTAGAAATTTGTGCTGAACGTGGGTTTCGCGTAGGTGATGCTCATCGACGTGGGCCGTGCGATTGAGTCTGTACAGGTGCCGTCAGTACTTGGCCCTGCATGTTGCGAGTCGTCAGACAGCTTACCGATCGACGCGTCGGGTCCTGCGACCATCCTCGACATGCAGTCCTCGAAGATAGTCGCGATGCCGCCTCCATGCGCCATCATCGGCCACCCGCTCATCGCGCTCCCAATCCACACAGCAGCGACCAACTCCTTGGTGTCAGCATTCCAAAATGCCCGCTGCACGCCCAGGCCCTTGCTCCCAGCCAGCGTTTGGCTTGTTATCGTGCGCGTCTGCTCTCCCTCGTCGTTCTTGGACTCGGTGATGTGCGTCTTGATGTCCAGCTCTACCCATCCCTTGCGTTCGCTGCCGTCTGAAGATTCCTCTACAGGCGCAATTTGTGACCGCATGAATTTCACCACATCGAGTTGTTCAGCGTCCGAGCTGAGTGCATCGAGCAGCACTTTATCTTCGCGGCTTCCGGGCACAGGGAGTGCAGGACTGACGAAGTTGCGGATTGTGAGGCCGGCAGAGACGCCGCCGAAGAGGACGAGGCCGTACCATGCGTACAGAAGGCGTTTGCGGCGCGGCTTCGGCTTCGAGGGTGCGGTGGAGCTTGGAGCGGCCGTCGATTCCGAGGAAGCGAACCGTACGCTGCATCTTTGGGTTGCGGTCCGCTGCAGTGTTGAAATGGCATTTAGTCGAAACCGTGGGCGGATCATTTTGCAAGTAGCGCCTTGCCGAAGCTGTAGATGCTGGGGGGGTTAAAAAGTTGATGGAGCTTGACGGAAGCCCGCCTGCACCGAGGCACAAAGTCTTGGCACCAGCACCTTTCTCGTTGACTCTCACCTTTCTCATCTGTTGAACGTCGCAAAGTTGGTAAAAGGTGGGCTTTGAACTTCGAGAACACTACAAATACAACGAGAGTCGTTAGGCACTGTTCTGGAGTCGGAGATAATGCTCTTCCGATAGCTTGTTCTTCCCACCGATATTGGAACACTCTTCAACTTGGGTATGGTCTACTCCTTCCGCAACCTGTTACCCATGAAACAACCTGCATCGCTCATTTCAGATAATCTGAATCTATGAAGGGCCAGCCATTCCTGCGAAGAATGAAGTCAGCATTTCGAGCCTGGGAGGAAGAGAGTCTCCGGGCTACGTACCACCCATCAACTTGAATTGTCCGATAATCTTTCGCCTGGATGCCCTTGAACATGCGGATCTAAGTGTCTCTTCAGCAAAGTGGGCTATCTTCTGGGAGCTCAAGGCCTACATTGATGCCCATAATGTCAACATCCTGACCCTGCTTCGGCAATTGCGGGTCAAAGAACACAGCGCTTCCGCAACGACCACAGAACTGATGCAGATTCCGCTTTGGCCCGAAAGTATACGTCTTGAGTGCTTCCTGGCCGCTCGTGATCCGTACATGCTCGCGTTGCGGGTACACAAGCAGATATCCGTTGCGCGAACAGATCGAGCAGTTACACTCGGTGATCTTCTGTTGCTCTAGCGGCGGCGACAGTGTGACCTTGTACTGTACGGCGCCGCAGTGACAAAGCGCATCGTAAGTCCGCGCATTCGATGCGTCGAAAGGAGCAAGTTTCAGAATGTCCGCGGCACTCATGCTGACGCGTTGTATTCTACAAAGAGGTAGTTGTAGACGGTTGTATCACAGCTGAGGGCAGGGTATATTAACGTTTTCTTATACGAAGCATGCTGACACCCTTGTGTTTAGCCTACCAAAATTCGGATGCCCTGCAGCAAGATTCGATGAGGCTCCGGAGAGTTTAGCGGCTCGTTATTGCGTGCATATGTCTCCGGTCTTCCTTGTCTGGCGTCATACCACCCTCGTCCGTAGGCTATATCAAGACTGCGCGAAACCGAGCAAGAGACCCCACAAGTCTCGTCGGACAAGCCTTCCTGCAACAGGCAATAATTGAGAAGTCCCACCGAGGCATGACATTAGCACAGACGTCAATCAACCATCAAAAGCAATCAACCCCCACTAGGACCTCCCTGTAACAAGTAGCAACATCCCCGTATATCGAACTCACCAACTGCGCCATCACACAAATATATCACACGCCTCCTCCTGCCCCGACCCCGCCTCTCACCCACGCATGTTTCACCGCTTTCACCCATAGCAGCGTGACACCTCCACCGCGCCCACCACCATACGCCCGCCTCAGCCATCCCAACCCAACCGCCAGGTTACCGCCCGGCCACAAACCAGGCACAGCACCGTCCCAACTTCAGTGCGACACACGTCCGCTCCCACGGGACACGCCCTAAACAATAGTCGTTATTCGTCTGAGACACCAATCGGAGCGCCCGGTGACGATGGTCGCACGGCGACGAGCACGAAAGGCCGCGGAAGGTGGAACGAGCTGTGCGATGGGGTAGGGCTGCACGTAGGGATCCGGGCGAGAGGGCCGATAGAGCGGACAGGGTGGGACGAGATCGTGGGGCGCTGAGGGTGGGATCGGTGGGAGGCTGTGAGAGGTTACGCTGGGCTTGTGTGAGATGCGATGAGGGGTAAGTTGCGTAATTGCTGGTGCTCGTGTATGGCTCCATCGAGGGAGCTGGCCAACGGGATGTACCCTGAAGCGACTGTTGACTACTGATGCAGGTTCATCTGCGAGAACGAGCTCGTCAAACCTTTCGGACGTGGCAACGAATGCCTTGCACTTTTTCTTCATCATGGAGTCGAACCTAGACGGGGTGTCCGACTTTGTCTTGCCGTGTAGCGCTGTACTTTTTTTTTCAGGCCACTGAACGTAACAGTCATTATGTCTTCGAACATGTCAGATCGTACATCATTGGATTGTAGGAGGCTCCTCGGCACATCTGAAGTCTGTTTGCCACTCATCGCTCGGAGTCATGCGGCCTGCACGCTTCTAGTCCACGAGGGTTTTTCGCTTGCTTGTCCGTTATGTTTGATGATACACATGCACGTGATATCAACCCGGATCTATCGTGTGGAAATGCACTTCGCATACAATGCCTCTAATTGAACACTCTGCAAAAATGCTACTCGACATGAAAGGCTTGTCATGGTGGGGGACTACGGGAGTTCAGGCGCAATCTGAGAGCAGTCGAGTGTCATCTGAGGGTATGGAAGTGGAAAAGGTGCGAACTAGCATTTGATCATGCTCCATTCGTGGTAAAGTTTCTCATGTAGACTCTTCATCCTCGCACCTTCGAAACGAGTGTATGAGATTGGTGGTGGGTATCTATGCGCGCCTAGGAACTTCCTCTGAGTATTCACATCACAGACGGAACAAAAAATGACAGGAGTAGTAAACAGGTTCAACACGCTGGACATCTCGTTCTGCATCGCACTGTAGTTGCGTTACTCCAATTTACACTTAGCACGCTGAACATGCCTCCACACCACCAGAAGGTAAACCCCCCAAGCAGCAACGCTCGTACACTATCAGTGCCCGTCAACAAAGCATCATCAGACACTGAACAAACTACCACCTCCGCCCAAATTACCCACCAGTCGAGGATGGACAACAGGAACGGAGCTTCCTCGAAGTCTCCTCATTCGGCCACAGAAATTTCTCATAAGCCCGTGGCACGTGGTTACGACAAATACGGCCGGTATTGGTACGATCGCAAGATCCTCCGAGAGGAAGGGCTCTGCTTCAAATGTGGCGAGCCATATCACCGCGCGAGTGATATGAATGCCCTTGGAAGGATCGCCGTCGCACGAACAATCGCGAGATCCCCGCCCTTATTGACATTTCAATGTGGGCACAAAATCCCACACTGAGCGAATCAGCCATAGACGGAGATGCGGGGACAGGGGGCGATGACGAGAATGAAAGCGAGTATAACGACGAGACTCGGTATCACAACGAGAGAGAGCGCGAGGGGGAGTCCGAAGATGATGGAAGCGAGTCCTCGGAGGGGTCACCACGTCAAGAAGCATTTACATCTATGCCTACGCCTCCTCCTTCGCAGACTTCGACCGACCGCCCGTCAGGTAATCGGGCAAGATCGGAGTCCCCGGGCAAGGAGAAGGCGGCGGTCCATCGTTGGGTAGAGAGGTTCGAATCCCCCCGGTAGCAGGTGAGGACAGCATACGGCATGGGACTACAGGAGGGCAACGCCGACACGTTTTGAGATATGATCAGTTGTTCAATACGAGACATTTCAAGGACAAAAGCAAGGTAGGCTCGTGGAGACAGTCCGAGGAATAAAAATAACATTTCCATCACCTGTAAGCTTTACAAGCTTAAGATGAAAAGTGGCCGGCAAGCTTCGACAATTGTCGCTTGCTTGTGCAGCGTATAGTTGAGGAAAGGAACATGTCAGGATAAGACGTGGGTGACTGGATAAACACATTCTCCAAGCGGAAACAGACGCAAACAATCGCAATCTCCGCCGTACATGATGAGATTTTTAGCAACAAGTGTCAATCTCTAACGGCATGAGGCCGCACGTCCTCTGAACATTGACCGCATGGAAAGATTACGTTCCACGTGCACCAGATGAATAGCTGATTATAACAAACTATTAATGCCCCAGTGTCTCACTCTATGTAAAGCCTACCGCGATCTTCGCGAATTCCCAGCTCGTGCTAAGCTATATTCGTGCTGGCATACAGGGTATGGAGTGCGAGACAACGCATCAGCCAGCCACGTCATCTCATCCTCGAAGCAGCAAAGCACACTGAGACGAACTGTGGCGATGTTGACTCAAGCCCTCCATCTATCCCACGAATCTACGGGCCAGAGGCTCCGCGGACTGAGGTACCAGTTTCACATCTCATTTGCCCCACCACAAAAGAGGATGCCGGGAACTAGGACGGTTCGTGTAGAGGGAGAACGATAGAGGGAAAAAGGTGGGAAGGCGGTGGCAAGAGGAATAAATGAAGGAAGGACGGACAGCACGACGAGAGAGAGGCGGTTCGGCCACCCTCTGTCTGTGTCGACGTATATTACTTCCCTACGTGGGATTGAAGTATAGATTGCGAAGTCCGATTAATCTGGCCATGTTGGAGCCTGCAAGGGGCCGATAGGACGGTCGGTTTATTTATGGTCTTGTGCATGGCCAGCTACAAGACAGATGATGAGCACAGTCGCGCGCGTCGCTTGAATCGTGTGTGTCTTTGGTTCCGAGCGTGTTACGGTGTCGCCCCTCGGGCATGCCATGAGCCTCCCGCACGATGGACTCCCAACAACCGCTGTGAGCGAGGTTATAGAGACACTGCAGGCGTTCAGTGCGATCCGAAAAACGCGAATGAGGGGCGAGGTTTGCAAGGTGGCACTAGGCTGTCAGCGACGCATATAGTGGGAGTAAGGGAAGTCTCATGAGCAGCAAGAGTCGCTTGAGCTTCTGGTATGACCGGTTGTGCGAAGGTAGGATAAGGCCGACGGGCTGAGTGTACCGCAGCCTTGCCAGAAGGTAGTCCAGCGGCTATGGAGTGAACTCCTGTAGCGGTGTGCTTGTCCTGGAGATGGCGAGGTCTTGAGCATGTTTATGCTTCAGTCTGATCCGTTTCGCTCAGCGGCGAAGATGAGAACTGCGTTCCTCTGCTGAGTCGTGTGTCCACGGGCTCCCAAGCGTGCAGGAAGACGAAGGATCAGGGTGGTTGTTCATCGGTATGTGTGTGATTCTCTAGTGGTGCAACCTTCTCGCCTGAACAGGGCCAGGCCGCAGAACGAGGGCTCAGTGTTGCACGCAAATACGACTTGCGGAATGCCTTATCATCAGACTGCAGTGAGCGTATCTTAATGTCTTCTGTTTTCCCAATTCACGACACCAACTTACCTCAAGTGAGTACTGCCTATCTTCCCAGCGTTGAAGTCAATTGAAGCCGACTCAGGGTCAGCACACATGGCAACTTCCGAGGCCTTACGAGCACCACATGACAAAGCAAACCCAGACGCAGCCTTTTCAATCTCTCTCGTGATCCGCTTCCCGCATTCCCGCTCTCAGAAGTGCTCGCACGCAGCGCAGGATTCTGATGTAAGACTGAGACTAGGCGACTACGCAGCCAGCATGGTCAAGCGCGCAGCGCGCCCAAAACCCGGCAACGGGACTAGTCACACGCGAAGCCGGAGTCGTCCTCGCGTACGCTGCGTCAGACGGGTAGATGGGGAAAGAAGTAGGGCAGGGTGCTGATAGATTTCTGTACGCGGGTGCCTCTGGAAGAGGCGTAAGCAGGTGCCGCTGTCAGCGGCAAGATGCTGCTTGCGTACCAGCAGAACCACGAGCGCGTTCCTGGACCGTCCGCAGCAACCCAGTCTGTGTCTAGGGCTAAGAGTATTGCACAGTGGAGTGGTACTTGGAGCGCGGCGGAGGCGGACCGAAGGCATTTGTCACGGCCTGGGCAGAGCACTGCTTGCCCGACCGCACACGAGCCCGGAAACCATCTACCGATTGCCTGTTTGAGAGTGTACTGCAGAGTGGTCAATCGTTAGCTTCAGACTGGTGGGCAAACGATGAGCTGCTTTGCGAAGCACGACCGTGGACCGTTCAACGAGCTTCGTGTCACTCTGAGACGATACAAAAAGCAACAGGCGTAGAATGGGCATCCCGAAAGCGGTATGTACTCCGCGAGAGGTGAGGTGAAGTCACACCAGATCTGCGTAGAGTGTGGACCACATCCTGGACAGTGTCTGTTGTGGGGGCTTGATAGTGTAATTGGAATAAACGGTGTGCCTGTCGCCTTCGTTATTTGTCTCTGACAGGCAAGATGAATGACTGGGCCACATATTTGCGCTCTGGGAGAAGGAACAGTCGCGTCGGTGAGCATCGCTCGATCAGATGCTCCTACGCAGTCTTTTCTTTCTCCGTTAAGACATGCTTTCCGTGCGGTTGTCGAAAGTGGGTGTCCACGCGATTGGTGAGGGTTTCGCAATAACTGAACACGAGACGCATTGTGCGAAAGAGAATGCGATGAGATTGAAATAGGCATACAACACACTGATATGGGCTAGCGGTGAGCAGTCCGAGGAGTGCATATCCCAAGGCCTCAAGTGATGAAAATTATCGACGATGACAGGCAACTGGTTTGAGGCACTTTCTCCTCGGCGCCGGAGGTGATATCTTGATCGGTGATCTAAACAAGGATTGACCACTGAAGTCGTGTTCCAGCCTTTTTAGCTATGGACACTGAATAATTTTGCTCTTTTTGAGCGGAGTTGGCTTTAGCACGACCAGGCAGGCTCTAACTCGTGGTAGTTCAATGACCGTCTCGCATGAGGCGGTTAGTCGTGAAAGCAAGCATCAGACCATTTGCGTGGAGCTGGACCTGGCGGACGCTGAATAGCGCCTTCGTCTGTATGCAGATCGATTCTCCAACGCATGTGTGAATTCTGGGGACTTCCCTGTTCCTCCCACACTGCCGGATTCGCGTGATCCAGGCCAGCTCGGGGCGGGCGTCGATGGCGTCCGGCTAACGAAGCGGTAGATTGTTAGCCTGGATGCGGGAAATGAGATGAGCGAGTTGCTAACTATCGATGTCAACAAAAGCTCTTCTTGGCTGGCAGGGTTTCGGGAAGGCTCTAGAGATATTGTCTTCGTTGCTGAAGTCGGAGCGCAGAGTCTGAGCGAGAAACCCACCGGCCGTGTCTCACAGATAGATTGTTGCGATTCAGGGCGCTCGAGAACGCTAGCTCCAGCGCTTACCGCTTGCACTGCACGCTCAATAACCTTGAGTACGGCTCACAAGCGGTGGTATTGGAGGTCAGCTGGGACATGGCAAGAGCATGCGACGCTCGCAAGGCTCTTTCGCGATGGCAGCTTATCTAGGACAGACATCGTATGTAATGATTAACTGGATAGCAGGGTCCAATAGAAAAATATAATGATGACGCCTCTCGTAAAGGCCTAGAGCATAATCGCCCGAATGGCAGAAAAAGGCGACGACGAGATAGCCATGCAGCGGTAGGCAGGCTAAACGTGCGTCGCTGCAAGGCGTGGTCGCTGAGCACGCAGCAGGGGATGGCGAGTGCCCGCCAAGATGGAATGGCGAGAGGGTGCTGATTCGACGCGTAGCCGCAGAAGATGCCTCTTGCGGGTTGCTTCATACAGAGACGTGTTCCGAGCTCCAGCGCGTGCTGCATGTCAGGACGTGTGGGGTTCGGGGCCGTCATTTCCTTTACAGAAGGTTATTCGGCATGCACCGTTAATCTCCAAACACACACGCGGCCTTGCGGGCTCGTCAAACGGGCGATGATGGAGGAGCAAACGGGGTGGCAGGCTGTCAAGATTGTGGAGGGCCTATTTTCAAAGGCACCCGGGCTGCTGGGAGGGGAAGGGAGGCTTAACGTGGCCGCCATACCGCGGCGGGGACAGTTTGATGGTGTTGGCGGTGGATGGCTGCTGCTTCGTCCCAGGCTCACGGGACGGGCTTGGTCGGGTGGAGGAGGAGGATCAGGAGCTCCGGATAGCGAACAGCACCAGGGGCGGATGGGGAGGCTTGGGGGCGGTCCAAAACACCAATGCGATCCGTGTCAAGATTAAGTCGTGCAGGCGCGGTGCAACAGGGGCGGGCAGACGAATTGGGAGGACGCGTTGGGTGGGCCCCGGGCAGCCCGAAAGCAAGCCCAGCGGACGGCACCGAGCCTGCGAAGATCGAGCGCCGGCGCCGCGCGCGGACGCAGATCGATCACAGCGAACCATGGTGGCACAGGCACCTGACAGGCGCGACAGAAGACGAGTCTGCAGAGACGACCCACGGCGCGCATGCAGCGGGCCAGCGCGCGGAGAGAGGTCGAGACGACGGCCCGGTGCAGTGACGACACAGAGCAGCACGACGGCCAGGTGCTCCGGATTCGTACGGGGCAGGCCAGGCGCACGCGAACGCGAGGTCGAGCGAGGCCGGGCACAGTCAGTCTGGCGGGCGCGTGAATCCGCCAGAGGGGATCCAATTCGTGGGCGCAGGGATGGCCGCTGCTGTTCACCGCACGCCCGCATCATCTGCAGCAGCGCCAGGCGAGCCTCCAGCCCGCTCGCTTCAGCGGGCTGGAGGCTGGCGGAGGCTCTGCGACGAGTCGCCGGCCGGAGTCTGCGTCTACCACAGCACGAGTAGCTGCCAGTGCCAGACTCGCGTGCCCTCGAGATGGCACGCCGCTCCGAGGCGCCCGGTGCGCGGCGTTGCACGGCCGTCGAACGTCTCCCCGGACGCACTCGAAATGAAAGTCTCATGCAAACGTCGTCCTGCGACGGGCACCCAGACGTCCCGACAGCACGTCTCTCCCGCGACTCATGCGACGGCTGCCAGGCCCAGCGGCGAGGCGAGGGCGCGTCTGTGCCGGGCGCGCAGCTCGCGCACTGCTGGTGGTCGCCATTCGTCGCTGGCTGCTCGCGACAGACTGCAGACATGGCGGCATCTGCCAGGCCTTGGCCTTGGCATGCACCCGCAGCACAGCACACACCCACGGTTGCGAGGGACGCGACGAGCGCAGACGAGCAGACGAGCAGACGAGGCGCCGTCGCTCCCGGCTCCGGGCAGCGCCAGCTGTCAACCACGGCCAACGGGCGCCGCGTGCTCGTGCTGCTCCAGACGTGCGAGCCGCCTCGGTCGCCGCCACACGGCCGCACCCTTCCTGTTCCTTCGCACTCGATGCCCTCGCACCCCGGCCGCCTGCACAAGGCCCGAAAATAACTGCAGCTGCCACCACGTGGAGATCTGCTAATGTGCTGACGCAGTGCTCGCCCACTGCTGCGTCCCGGACGCTCAAAGGCCAGGGCAGACGAAGCGCCGCGCTTATTGCACCGTCCCCTCTGGGTCCGACACGTGCCGCAGACAATAGAATGGCACGCTAAAAATACCCCAGAGCCTGACGACCGAGTACCAGCGGCGTGCGAGACGGGGCCAGAAGAGAGGTAGCCGGGACGGGCGCTCGACGTCGTCGTCCCACACGCTGGCCCGCCTGGATCACCACAATCAACTGGCGACGCCAGCCCTGTCCTTGTCCTGCGCCCGTCGATCGACCAGCTCTGCTTGTCGTCTGAAGCCTCTCCCGCCCAGGCGTGCGTGGGCCGCTCCATCATGTGCCCTCCTGCAGCGTACTCGGCTAGCGCGAGCCCGCCGACCTGAACGAGCGAGCTTCATGTCAGCTGGAGGAGCCAAAAGCACGGCCAGTACACGTCGCCGAACCTCTGCCATCCCTGCGCCCAGCCCGTCGCGACCTGCCCGCGCAACAGACGCTACCGCTTGCACTGAGCGCGAGCATTGCGCTCGTACGGGATCCGCTGCGCGACTGCATCTGTTGCCCTTCCGCGACTCCAACATGTTCGTGGAGCGCCCGCCCCGCCCAATCAGCACCTCCTGCCCCCCCCCCCCCAGGTCGCCGAGTTGGCAGATTGCTGTCTTTGTATGTGCGCAGCGCTTTGTCTCGCTGGGGTGCACGGGATGCGTCTGGCCAGACCACGTCCGTGCTGGGTTCGCTGGCGCCAGTCCCGACACTGGCTGGCTGTCCTGTGGCCCATCCTTGGTACATGGAAAAACAAAAAGCTTCCTCTCTTGTGCGTGTTGCTGTGCCGCGACCCTGGGTCAGGAGCAGCCGCATGTCCACGCCATGCCCTCACGCGCCCTCGCGACCGCCATGGACCTCAAAGGAGCCCCGGCGAGGTCAGCGGCACCATCAGCACCATCCCAGATGCCACGCCGGGCTACTCTTTGACCTGGCCCAGCCGCCGCCGCCCACCGCTCCTCCACTGTGCTGGTCCAAGCCGTCCCGCACGCCAGCGACTCCGAGTAGAGGGTGAGCGACAGGGTCTGCTGCTGGTTGGTGCTGTGATCCCGGCACCGCATTGTTGCTCCCCCATGCTCGTCTGCGCTCTAAACCGCACCTGAACGGTGTGGTGCGTTTATTATTCACCAGTCTCGTTGCTTCTCCCGTGTCTCGTCTGCTTTTCCCTGTTGCGTGCAGGCGCGGTGAATAGCGCCGTCGACCGCCCATCTGTAGCCTGCTCTCGCCCTCATCTCCCATCCCGATCCAGATTGCCCCAAAACGCTCGGACGAACCCTATCGCCTGGTTAGGCTCTTGATGCCCTGGTGAAGCCCCAGCCCGCTAGGAAGCCACGCGAACCACAAACCCTGACGCCTTAGCCCGCCTACATATACGTGACTCCACCCGCTCACTGCGAAGAAAGCCTTTGGCCCAGCACAGTCCAGCCTTCTCCGCCATCGCTCCTTAGGGCGCCCAGGTTCTGAGCTTAACAAGGAGGGATCGCCACTGCCCGCGCGCCTCACACCCACCGTCTGTCTACCCCAAAGTCCACTGGACACAGGCTCCACCCGCGTCAACGTGCAACACCACATCTCGCGGCGCCTCAGTAGTGCTCATCGACAGCACCGGCCGACTCACCATCCGTTGCTCCCTCCGGAACGCAACCCCGTTCCCACCTGAGCCGCCAGGTCAACTAAGCCACTAGCCAATCTGAGCCCTGTTGTCCTCCGACAGACGACACGCCCAACACGGCCATAGCAGCAGGTCGAACCTCTTGACCAAAAACCAACATTCTCACAGCCTGTGCGACCGCCTCAGTGCCACTACGTCTGCGCAACCAGGAAATCGGGCCCTACCGAGCGCCGAGTGTGTTGGAGACATTGTTCCACCAGTTTCTGCTTTTGCTGCGCTGTACGCCCTCCTTATTCGACCTGCGACGAGCACCACCACTGATCTTGCGCAGAGACTGAGACTTCTAGAAGACTTCCGGAGTGGCGTGCATCCGTTGGTATCACCATTCTTCAGAAGCCTGCGCAGGTACCATACCCGGGACCGTACACCCATCGCAGCTTTCGACTACCCGGAACGACCATTCGCCATCTGGGACGAGCGATATACTAGTGGGGAACACCATTATAGAATATCTAGACCGGTTTGCGTCTGTGTGAGCGAGAGACCTTCTCCAGCATCGCTACTCCTCCACTGCCTGCATCTCATTAACATTTTGTCCTCCTCGACCAACGCACTTACCCTTCACGTCACGCCTCGGAGCTACGAGCCGTCGGTTGCCCTCCGTGGATTCTTCTCAATCCTCACGTGGGTTTTATTGGTCCGACGCGCACTTCTCCACTCCGCCTTTTGCAGCGTCACAGCTGCAATCCATACCGACTCCTCCCTCTTCAGACGCTGGTAGGTCGTTAGGACCTACCCGGGACACAACCGCCAACGTGGCTGCTGCCGTGGCTCACCCGACTTCCATGCATCCTGGGCCAGCCCAGATGGGTGTACCTCCAAGCTTTTCGTCTAGGAGGGGACACGCCGCTCATTTGGGTAATTTCGAACTACCACCACCGCCTGCGCACAAATTTTCTTCCTTCAATACTATCAACGCTTCACAATCGTCACAAGCTCCAACGACTATCGCTAGCGTTGGCAACCTGCTTACTCCACCCAACAACATCCCGGGTGAAGTGCTGAGTCCTTCCTCAGGCGTCTCGACAAGCAGTGCCCAGCCAGCAACAATGTCTTCCTATAACCAGAGCGGCGGCTACATGTACTCGCCAGCTTCTCAGCCGTCAAGCCACTACGGTTATGGTGGTGCACCACAAAATCAATATAACCAAGGCCGAGGAGGTGAGTTCTTTCCCTGCAGAATCGATCGTCAGTCAAAAGTATCAATGCTCACTTACTCGCGCAAAGGGCTGAATCCGCCGCCGTACGAAATGAACCAACAGCTGCCACCATTCACGCCATCGTCCGTGCCTTCCAATATGCCCCCAATGTCTGCACAACACCAGCCTCACCATATGATGAGCTCACAAACTCCGGTGTCGAGCTCAGCGCCCCAACAATCGCCCGCCCACGCCCAGGAACCTTTCAGGCCACCGCCTACTCCAACCTACGCATATCCTCCCGCCACAACACCACAGCAGGCCACATTTCCTTATTCGACAGGTCCATCCCCAACACATCAAAGTCCGATCAGCGGGGGCGGGCCCATGCCAAGGATGTCACCAGCTGTGTCGCATGGTCCGATCCCTCCCATGCCATCCAACTCTGCTCCATCACCTCACCCATACCAACGATCCTATGGAAATTACGTACCAGCTCCCAGTCCAGTTTATACGAACGTGAACAATCCGAACGGTCAAATGGCCTTGGTTGGCGGTGTTCACCCCGGAATGATGCAAGGATTCAACAGCGGACATGCAGCTGCTATGCCACATTTCCTTGGACCACACCAGCACCAGCAACCACCAGCGAACGACCGTCCATTTAAGTGCGACCAGTGTCCGCAGAGCTTCAACCGTAACCACGATTTGAAGCGACATAAAAGGATACATCTAGCCGTCAAGCCGTTCCCCTGCACGCACTGTGACAAGAGCTTTTCACGAAAGGATGCTTTGAAGGTATGTTTTGTCTTCGTTCCTCTGTTCGCATGAGAGTACTGATCTTTCCTAGCGACATATTCTGGTCAAGGGCTGCGGCAAGGCAGCAAATGGTGGCGGTGACGACGCGAAGCGGGAAAGCCACTCGCCGGATGTCAAAGCCGAGTCCGTCGATACGAAAACGATAATACACAGTCGCGCATAGAGAATCCTCTCTAGCCTGCATCCGGTCTTTCATTTCACTTTCCTCTGTATTAATTACCTGTTTCGAGCCTGACCAGACGCTAAAGCCTACGCCGCTAAATGTCAAGGGCTCACGGCACCCTTGAAACTGTCGATATTGGATACCATCCGCAGGGAGGTCATGCGCTTGATTGGAGTTTTGGTTCAGGCACATGTTTTGTCATTCGGTCGTACTTCTGCAGCAGATACCTCTTAGTCGATTCGGAGCTTCTTGGGATTGTACGTGCTCGGTGTTACGTTGTTCGGATATCATGTTTTCGTCAGAGGAGTGGTTGTTATGCATCTGCGTGTAAGGGAACAACGCGCGAGGTTTCAGGTTTCGGTTCAATTTGGGAGATTGGCTCACGACAGTCCGAGGTCAGCCAGTGGGAGGATGGGGGTTTTCGGTGTTATTGGCTCATTACCACTGCTTCCACGTTACGATATCTGGCGTTCATCGCTCGCGCGATCTGTATAGCAGGAGGCTAGGGAACGGTACAGGAGATGAGCCCACAAGCGCACGAGGAATTACCGCGCAATGAATCGACGTTTTGCCACCCGCTCCTGCGCCTGCAATGCAAACTGTGACGAAATTGTACGCTCGAGCATGCCGAGAGGCTACCCGGTTCGTGGTCGCTCATGCAGGACGATCCTGATGTGTAGGAGGCTGCGTTAAGGTTATTTTGTGGCAGACGGGTTGGTGCAGATCTCGTGACCAGATCCTGGGCCGGAGCCACTTCTTTGGGTTGAGCGGACCGAGCGCCGGCATTCAACGTCAACAACCCTCGCACAGAGTTGCAGTCCACCATACCGCTCCTATCGCAATGCCCGCAACACCAGCGCCTGCCAGCGTTCGACGTAATGGATGTCCCAGGGCACTCTGCATCTGTGTGCTTTCGACAATCTCGCATTAGTGTTTCTTGTCGCTGTAGCCAGATACTGCGGACTATTCCAGAGAAGTATCGAACGAGCATCTCCTCACTCTAGGATACCTACTGGAGACGCGCTAGAAAGATCCTTGTCATGTTATTCGACATGTCGGACCCTTGCCTTTTGCATTTCCCCCTCGAGTTCATTTGGCACAACGCCCTTCTATGGATCGCAGCTATACATCGCTAGTGAGATGACATGAATATCTTCACCCGCCATCGGAAGAGTAGGCAGAAGATGCGGGAGGTTCAGCGAGCGAAACATTGTTGAGCACTTGTTGGCGTGTTTTCCTTCTAGAACCTGGCACGTAAGCATGTTTGTCCCTCGAGCTTCCAGATTCTTAGACAATACTTCGAACAGCAAGGCAGGGGTTTTCTCGTCCCTTTGGGCCCAGGTTCATTTCTTGTTTGCCTGGCAACGCGTGCCAACCTTCTTGTTCGAGCCACAACAAACATGGCACCACCCTCGCCCTTGGCACATTCCTGCGATCATCGAATCAGGCGGTAGAATCCAACGTTATCCCGAAGAATCCAGTAACAGCACCTGCCTCCACCCTCGGTACCGCCACTCTTGCCTACCTTGAGGTCGAGTGCGCGCCTTCCCCAAGCGTCTGCTGCTCAACCGCGATCGCCCAAAGTGCCCGTGCCCTCGACCCGTCAACACCACTATCCCGCTCTTCGCTTGCTTCGCCACACAAGCAGTTTTGTATGCATTGACAGCACCTTGTTAACGTTTTGGTCCTGACGGGGTCAATTGGTGACTTTCGCCGCCCCTCTCTTACCGGCGCTCGTCCACCAACTGGCAAGCAAGCACAGCTTTCATCCCGGGTCATCGCATACACACCGCAGCCCGGCTATGGAGGCAGCTTAATTGGCAGCACACTCACGACAACTGCGGCTAACACGACTTCAATATTTGCTTCTTGGTGCTCTATCCGGGTACATCTTATCTGTACATTTTGGCCTATCCATTCACCCCGGCATAATATACCCCGTCTGCAAAAACACAGCTTCCATATTACGTCCGCGGCACTCCCGCGCTTCGTAAAATGGATCACAGCTTCCACGGGCGCCCACCAACCCGCCGTCGCACTGCTCTCGGCGATGCCACCCTACGTGCCAACGAGGACCACCGTTTGCGCTCGCCGCGGAGCACTGGCGACAAGCTCAATTCCCTTCACGTCCCGACCTCCTCACCGAACGCGCTTCCACATAATGAGTCTCTTGTGCCTAATGGCACACTCACAGTCCGGCACGAGGCACACACATCGCCATCACCTCAGCACAAACGACTCTCTGCCGTGATGGACGAGTGCCGGCCCCGCAACACCAAGCGTGATTCAGAGATATCCAATGCCAGCACGACCGCGTCCACCGGTGGTCGTCGCAAGACACACATTGGGCCGTGGCAGCTGGGCAGGACGGTCGGGAAGGGCGGCTGTTCTCGCGTACGTGTTGTTCGACACAGTGGTACTGGGATATATGGGGCCGCCAAAATTATATCGAAGGCGACTGCAGAGAAGGTACGGGCCTTAAGTATGGCAAATCTGTGTGACAGCGCGCAATATGACCCGACTCTCTTCACAGACGGCAAGGTCATACCCCTAGGGCTGGAGCGCGAGATCTGCATCATGAAGCTTCTGGATCACCCTTACATTGTGAAGTTGTTCGACATCTGGGAGAACCGGAACGAGCTGTAAGATTCCTTCTCCACTGGTGCAACCTGCACATGCTTACTATTCGCAGCTACCTGATTATGGAATACGTTGAAGGCGGTGAACTCTTCGGCTACATCGGTAAGAACGGTGGGCTTGAAGAGAGTGATGTGGTACATATCTTCCGGCAAATCATCGCAGCCCTGTGGTACTGTCACCGACTCAACATTTTTCATCGTGACCTGAAGCCAGAGAACATCTTGCTAGACAGGGAAACCATGACAATAAAACTAGTGGACTTCGGGATGGCCGCACTACAACCGCATGGCAAGAAGCTGACCACGCCCTGCGGCAGTCCTCACTACGCTGCGCCTGAAGTGATCGAATCTCGGTCATATGATGGAGGGAAGGCTGACGTCTGGAGCTGTGGCGTTATCCTCTACGTCCTTCTCACAGGCATGCCGCCCTTCAACTATGACGGCCACGACGGAGAGCACGAAAATCTGAAGCCTCTTTTCCAAGCGATAACCCGTGCAGATTATGTCATGCCAGATTACCTTTCTTGGGAAGCGAAAGATCTGATTCGATCCATACTTGTGCCGAATCCCAAGCGTCGCATATCGATAGAGAAGATCTGGGAGCACCCCTTTATGCGAAAATACGATCGAAAATTGGGATTCCATCGCACCAAAGAGCACGCTAACTCATGGATTCGTCCACACGCACCTGTTGAATGGAAGCCTTTGACCCGACCCACGATTGACCGCGAAATTCTACGCTATATGCGTACTCTTTGGCATAGCGAGAAGGAAGAGACCATCATCCGACGCCTTCTCAATGATGAGTAAGTCCGGCCACTACCGAATCAATTTGGACCAATCTAATTGTGAATAGTGCTACAAACCACGAGAAGTACTTCTATGCTGCCCTCCAAAAGTACCGAAACGAGCAAATCGAGAATTACATGCCTAGTCCTCACCATGCCGTGGGTTACTCGCACAGCGACCATCATCATCATGCACGACGTTCACCAACCGCGAAGGGCATGCTGGCGCTACCGTCTAAGAATCACAAGCGTTCACAGTCGGGATACTCGATATTGAATGATGAGCACTTATATTCCCAGCACAGCTTCTATGAGCCGCCTCCGACCGAGGTCAGCTACGACCCGTTCAGAGCATCCCGGGAGCCAGTTCTTCCCAATCAGGATCTTCATCAGAATATTACAGTACATCGAGGCTCAAGCTCCACCAGCCGAAGGATGAGACCGACTACGGCTTTGGGACATCGGACAGGTAGCTCGTTGCGAGTGCAAGCCCTCACCAACTCAAAACGAGGGTCAGTACTGACACGCACTTCTTCAAAGCGAAGCACGCCTTCACATCGGTCTGCACATGTTCGACGGAGCTCTGTGTCGCGCTCTTCTCTGGCGAGCTCGTATCTTCCCAGCAGCCCACCGGTTTTTGTTCGACCCAAAACTTCAGTCCGGCGAGGTGTGAGTTTTTCCCACTTAAGACGGTCTTCCGTAGCCACCACGCATACAGAGGAGACTCCATCTATACAGTGTACACCCAAGCAAGGAGAATCTTCTAGCTCTCGCCGAGGCTCTGTTGGATCATCTCTGCGGTCAGGTAGACCTAGTACCGTTGGCAACTCACCATCTGTGCGACCGCTACCGAAAGTTGCAGCGCGGCCCGTGGTCCCACGGCTACGTGTACGTAAAGCGGACAGCCCTAGCAAATACATACAGAGCGCAGCGCGCAAGGTCAGCACTGAGCTGGAGAAACACATGGACGAGGCCTTTAACCGGTCTTCGATCGGCTCTAGCGTTCGCACCTCAACGACATCTGATCCGCGCAAGGATGCCTCCGGGTTTGACACACCTCCAACTACCTTCTCAAACCGAGATTCCAGTGCTACGGGCTCAGAAACTCCAGAGCACAAGGCGATGTACCAGCATCGACCACTTCCAGCGATTCCTAACGAGACACCCAATACGTTCCTTCAACGGAAACTTGCTGAAACCCGGGCGGAGATCGCTCGTCGACTCGAAGAGAGCGGTGATAGCACCGAACACTTCAATGAAGTGATTGAGAATTTGGACCGTCTCATGATGCCTGCTGTTCATGTTGCGAAGCGTACCTGCTCAGCGCCTGCCAAATCCCCTGAACATCCTGTTCCGCTTCATGTGATCCCTGAAGAGGCGAAGGAAGACCGTTTTGAGCCCTATGTCTCGAACTATAGAGCTTTTACTGAGCCTTTTGGTGCTAGTGGTCACGGACGTCTCGCCGATGATTCGACCATTCGTGTCGTGGAACAGTCGCCGACTCACATTGCTCCGCTTTCCATTAGAAAGAAGAGCGAGGCCGGACGCTCTACCAAGAGTGAGAATTCTCCTCTAGGGTTACTTTGGCCCGGTCCTATCCGCCACACCTCTGCTCCTTCGCGTCCACAAGCAGAGGCAGGTGCGCTCACAGTCCGAACGAACCAATTTGCACAGTCGCATGGCGCGCCAGAACAAGCGGAAACGAAGGAAGCTACAATCAAGAAGAAGAAGTCCTCGTGGTTTCGTCGTACTCCAGAAGAGAGAGAGCGTCCTCAGGAGGCTCAGCCGAAGGCTGTGTCTGACCGGTTGCAGATCCCAGAGGCATGGCAAGGCTTGGACGACCGCATCAAGGACGACCCCCCCAAAGCCAGTACTCCTGCCCCGGATCTCAGCAAGCAAAGCACGAAGCACTCGGATGGCAGTGCTAATAACGAATTCCCTATGCGCGGCTGTGGCACAACCGTCGGTAAGAGCGAGGGTAGCGGAGCACTGAAGGGATTCTTCGGTCTTTTCGCAAAGAAATCGAAGGAAGGCAAGCGCCCGCTGGAGTTGGGTGAGTGTAAATTGTGTGTGTCAATCCCCTCGGTAGTTGCTTACCCATTGCGCGCAGACAATTTCAGCACGTCCTCAATCCTATCGAACTTCGACACAGATAATACTGGCGAAGCTCAAACACGCCCTGGTCCCCCGGACTTCCAGATGAACTGGCTCTCACGCTTTCTCCACATTAAGCCAGCTAGCCGTGCTCTATGTTTCCATGCCCGCCGTGGAAAGGTCCGACAAGAGCTTGTGTATCTACTCCGTGACTGGCAGCGCTACGGTATCCGAGACGTCACCTGCGACCGCAACACCAATGTCATTCACGCTCGCGTGGATAAAAACAACCGTAAGTTCACCAAGCTCCTGTTTACAGCCTGGTGCCTGGAACAGAACGTCTTCTCGATCGAGCTAGCGGACGCTGTTCCGTTCTTTTCCCGTAATGTTGCACTTGCATCTAGGAAATTTTTAGCTGACTACTGAAATGCTGTAGGCCTCAATCTCAAGCCCGTGGCTTTTGTTATCGAGCTATTCGTTGTCCTTGAGGATAACAAGCGCGCAAATTTGTGCCTTGGGCGCTTCACCCAGACCCGCGGTGCCGCATCCAGCTTCCGCCGAGCAGTCGAAGTCATTGAGGATATTTGTCGAGAGAAACATATCCTTATCGAAGACGAGCAGAAGAAGGCGGCTATGTGTGAGATTCTGAACTGAAAAGCTTGCTATGCGGACGCTGGATTGAATACTGGGCTGCGATTCATGTCTATGCTTTATGCATTAGGATTGTCCAAGTATCGCTTCGGAGGTTTCGTAGCCTGTTGTTGGAGGGCTTGATGTCCTATTGCGACCTGGTTACAAGACCTTTTGTTGTGTTGGAAACCCGTCAAGATCTTGCCTTGCCGTCGGAGGAAATGCCGCGGGTCCACAACATGCCCTTAGGGTTTTATACGACTGTATCATTCATCGAACCGACACCGATACCGTTGGCGATGCATTAGTTCCATCATACTATTCGCCCTTCACCAATCACCACTTTCGGACTTGGGTCTCATCGCAGTACCTCCTGTTGCGACATTTCCCGGTCAATGCAAATACCAAAAGAGGTCTTGGATGGAACATGGAGTGAATGTCACTTTAATTGTGTAAAATTCTTACCCCGACCTGCTTCTTCTTTGCGTAATGTAGGTCACATTTTCCCATTGTGATCTTTTTCTCTTTCTGCATTGCATCTTGTAGAGGTACGCTTTGCCTCAGCCTAATCACATAATATTGGGCTTGGCGGAGTGCGGTATGTGTCTTTCCATCGAGCGAGAAGTAATGGCAGAATGAAGAGGGCAGTGGCGTAGAAGCGGAATCGGCAAGCAGCAAATAATGTATGATGATAATACTAATGAGAGCATGATTAACGCCGAGAGTTTGAACCAACCATAACTACAATGGTTTCGTGACCTCGTTACTAGTCTTTCAGTTGTGCCTCCTCGTCTGCGCTAGAGAAACGCAGCGCCGGTGGTATCGTAGACGCGCCCGTATTGCTTGGACGACACCGAAATGCCATATAAGATTGCATTATCTAGGATGGACTGCATATTGCTATCGAAAGTCAATTTCAGATCATATTACCACAATACGTGCATGTAGCAACGCTGCTCATGACGCACTTGGAGAGTGGAGTGGCTTAGTCACGCACGCCAAGTCGCTAATCTCGTTTCGGGACTCGCGCGCACAATCGAGTTTCGGCATTACAGCAGCACCACGACCTCCACGACAACTCTCCATACTAACCAACAGGTACCGCGTCACCACCGCCAACATGCGTACCTACGACGACTCTTTCTCCGGCGAGAAGATCTACCCGGGCAAGGTGCGTTCCACCGACCCTGCCTCTGCGCACCAACGTCCGCTATAGGCTCGAAATTCCACATCGGCACCCTGCGCGCTTGGAACAATGAGATGCAGCGGAGGCTGGACAATTGACAGGGACGTGTGCTGATGCCATGTTTAGGGCAAGCTGTATGTCCGCGGCGACTCCAAGATCTTCCGATTCCAGAATGGCAAGACCGAGAGCTTGTTCCTCCAGCGCAAGAACCCCCGCCGGATCGCCTGGACTGTCCTCTTCCGAAGGCAGCACAAGAAGGGTATCTCTGAGGTTAGTTTCCACAACTGCACATCCGGAATGTTGGAGACAGTTGCATGTTAAGGTTAGGGGCGGGCCGGAGCGTTACATGACATCAGTCAGTTTGCGCGGGTGTTCCGTACATCCTCCGCAAGTCAGGACGGCGCGCCACCGACTTTGACATGGCGACGTGCTCCGTATTCCCCATGTTGCCTCAGCGTCGGGGCAGGGCTAACCACTTGACCAACAGGAAGTCGCCAAGAAGCGTACCCGCCGCACTGTCAAGCACCAGCGTGCTATCGTCGGTGCCTCCCTCGACGTGATTAAGGAGCGCCGCTCCCAGCGCCCCGAGGCCCGTTCCGCCGCCCGCGCTGCCGCCATCAAGGAGGGCAAGGAGAAGAGGGCCGCCGCCGAGTCAAAGAAGAAGGCCGAGAAGGCCAAGTCCGCCGCCGCCGGTGCACGAGGCAACGTAAACAAGGTCTCGAAGCAGGGTGCCAAGGGTGCCGCACCCAAGGTGCAGGCAAGGACTCGCTAAGGTGGCTGGCTAGACGAGGGATGCGGAAGATGAGATGAATTGACAGATGACAATGCACGGGCGTGGAGTTTTCGATACTTCCTTATACGGCGGGAAAAGGGATACGGATCATCTTTTCTGGGTCAGTGGGCCCGTTACCGATACCTGCTATAGGGTCTGGCGATAGGGCAAAATGTCATTCATGTCCTCACGATATGCAAAGGTCGAGTGCTATGAGAGGATACTAATGACCTGTGAACTGCTGCTAATGTAGGGTTACAACGGTCTCGCGTGTACGTATCTTGTTTCGGCCATTTACAGTCCATCCAAACGGATACATCACGCAGCGTTTCCGAATATATGTAGCGATTGACCATCCCTCAGCCTCGTACATACGACATGGCCATTGCTTGACAAGTTCCACCAGCACCCTCCCTTAGTCATGCCGGATTTCTGTCTGGATGCCCAAAGAACAGATTCCAGAACACACCCTCCTTTTTTGGATGACTGGCCCTCGTAAAATCACCTGCACCCCCTTATCGACTTGGCCCGTTAGGTGTGACCAAGATCAACAACCTCAATACCATCATTGTACTCGTCAACATCGCTGTCTACCTCCTCTACCTCCATGCTCCAAGGTTGTCCCGCACCGAATCCCATCTTGGCGAGCCTGGCAGTTATGTCCTCGCTCATCCCTGACTTGACGAAGGCCTCGCGAGCAACCTGCTCCAGGAAACCTGCGTTTTCTGCGCGTGAACGCCGATGGCTGAAGTCTTCAACGGACAACCGACCCGCAGAAGCAAAGGCAGCGGTATTCGGTGTCTTTGCCACCTTGTCTTTGCGCTTCTTTTGCTCAACGTCACCCCAAATGGAGCTCTCATCATCAGCATCAATCTCAATCCACTCATCTATAGCCTCGCCGCTGGTCTCGCCAGACTCCTTCTCCAGATCCCACGCCTTCAACACAGCCGCGAGCTTTGGCGTGACCGCCTCGACGGGGAACTGCGGGATGCGCGTGGCGATCTGCTCCAGCGTGCTGCGCACCCACCGCATGCGCTTCGCGTCGTCGTCGACCCTGGCCTTGCCTTCCGGTGCACTACCGTCCTCCTTCCGCTGGAGCACGTAGCTGAGGAACGAGGACTTGACTACTGCGCTGGACGTGCAGAACATCCGCCACAGCGTCTGCAGGTTTGTCGCCGCCCACTTCAGCCCATAGAAGGTGGCAAAGGACCGCAGCTCCTTGAACAGCAGACTCATCGCGCGCGCGCCGAGCATGGAACCCAGGCTGCCCAACGCGCCTGTCGAAGTAGACACCGTTGCGATGGCAAGCCCGATGACCTGCGTGCGGAGCCCGACGTTGGACTCCATCAGTGCGTTGAAGGTGTCGCGGAGGCGTTTAGATCCTGTGTACCCACTGTCAATCCATGACATATCCTTCTAATTCCATCCCCTCTCCAACAATTAGACCATCTCATTTCACCGCCTTAGAACAAAGACAGAATCGGATGGGGATAAAGCAGGTCGGAAAGGAAAAGGTAAACTCACCAGTCGCCTCCAACCCCACCAGCCCCAGCAAACTCAGCGCCTGCCCCTTGACCCCCGCCATCCCCACCGCATGCAGCGCCGCGTACCCGCCCCCCATGAGCTCCTGCCGCAACCTGAACCGCCCGCACGCCACCGCCACAAACGCTAGAATCGGACCCAAGGGACCGAGCGGGAAGAGCGAGATCAAGGGCCGCGAGAAGACGTTCAGCGCAAAGGGGAAGGCGTAGCGCTTCATGAAGTTTGGGTGGTGTAGGGCGAAGTTGAGCGTCGAGGTGGTAACTGTCTGGGCAGCAGAGAGGACGACGTGCGCGGTTGGGGCGGCCTCGCGGAGGTCCTCGAAGGTTGGGCGGTTTAGTGACCTGCGTACGTCGTCGGAGCCGTTTAGGAGGATCTCGGGGCTGCTGCTCGATCTCATGGCGGCCGTGGGAGCGCTGGAATTCGTTTTCGCCTTCTGAACGGCGTTTTTGGTCGTGGGGGTATTCAGGCCCCGGATGGGACCAGGGATTGCGATGGATTTGTTCCATTGATCGATGGTAGATGGGCCCCCGTCTTTGCGGTGTTGTAGCTGCTGGCTGTCAGGCATCTTGCGTGAAGGGTTGTGTTCCGAGTCAGTGGTGAGGTGGCCTGCGTTTATGTCTCGAGGGTGAGTTAGGAATGGGTGCGTGGCGGACTTCGAATACAGAATGGTACGAGTATGTATCCGGAGGAGAATTGATCAGAGCGGCTTCAACCCAACCTTGGGACGTGCTTTTAGACTTGGGAGCCATTGAGGGTGAAAGAGGGGCAGGTGACGTGATCATGGTGAAAGGTCGAGAGGGGCAGTCGAGGGACTCGTGCTTCTGCTGTAATTGACATTGTGCGGGTGTTGGTATTTTCGGTAAGTGGACAATGAGCATCTAGCACGCTTGGAACACGGCGGTAGAGACAAGCTAAAGTACGAAGTGGACAGAGTTAACAATGAAGGAGACCTGATGGGACTTGGAGATCCTCAAGGGAATGGACGGCGCCTGATTTGCACATATGTAGTTGCGAGATGACAGAAAATAAGGAAACCGAGGATCAAAACATTTACAACCCCTCTTAGAAGAGTTGCAATGGCCTCCGTATGTGTTATCGATCATTCTCACCACTAACGGAGGATCCTTGCAGCTCTGTGACTCCCGTCCCAACAATTGTTCAACCCCATGTCTTAATTAGAGGGCCAGCTCAGCCTTCCCACTGGATTTCAAGATTTCGCATGCTCCAACAAGCTTGGATATGCGCTTGAAAATTGCGACATGGTTCCCCGCGGAATTCTGATTGAAGTGAGCATGCTGCCCGTGTGAGAACAATCTTAAGATCGTGGTCTACGATACATCATGCATCCTACTGGCAGTCATAACGTACCATTGTGCGTACATGATTCCATTTCAGCAAAGGCGCCGTTTACAACTTCGCTAGAGACTGGATGACTCTGAGATCGTTCCTGCTGATTTGAGACAGCGATGTCTTGCCCAAATTTGCGAGCGAGTTGTCTGTGTCCGCAAGAAGACAGCTGAGCACATGCTTGACGCCTACTTCGCCACCCATTGCGAGCCCGTAGATGTAAGGACGACCGATTAGAACAGCTTTGGCGCCCAGTGCGATGGCTTTCAGTACATCAGATCCTGTCCGTATTCCACTGTCGAAAAGGATGGTCAAGTTCGAGCTTTTGACCTTCTCGTCGCCCCCAATCTCTGCAAGAGCGTCCAGGGAAGCGATGGCGCCGTCGAGTTGTCGGCCACCATGATTGGACACTATAATGCCGTCCATGCCATACTCGATCGCTCTGTGGGCATCTTCAAGGGTCTGAATGCCTTTGAGTACGATCGGGCCATCCCAGTGTTTCCTGAGCGAGGACAAATCGTTCCAGTCGCGGTAAGCTCCCGATGCAGTCAAGCTCATAAACAATTGTGCCTTCTTCATAATTGCAGCATTGGCAAGGATCTTGGCGGCTCCAGTCAGGCTTCCGGGTCGTTTGAGAATACTCCATATCTCGCCGATCTTCTCGGTAGCACTTCTAGTGTCCGCAGCTTGTAACCTCTCGTACATGCGCTGAAAGGCTGGATCGGTGAAGGCGTTTTGACAGCCCTGTCCCCATGCGAAAGGCAGGTAGGACTCATCGAGATCGCGCGGCCGCCAACCGAGCAAGAAAGTGTCGAGTGTAACCACCAAAACCTTGAAGCCGTTCGACTTAGCTCGATTTAGCAGACTTGCTGTGACTTCCTCGGCTTGAGGCACCGGCCAATACAGCTGGAACCATCTATCGCCGTCCCCGTTAGCCTTGGCGACTTGTTCAATAGATCTCGTTGCAGCTGTGGACAGAATCATAGGAACTGAAACCGAAGCGCAGGCTCGCGCGGTCGCCTCTTCCGCGTCATGATGAGCAATTTCCTGCACGCCCACCGGTGCCGCGAATATCGGGCTCTTGTAAAGTTTTCCGAAGAGCTCCACTGAGAGGTCCCGATGGGTCGCTTGGACCAACATCCACGGACGGAGCCTGTAGCGCTCAAATGCAGAAACGTTTGAAGCGTAAGTTGACTCGCTACTAGCGGAGCCATAAATATACATGAAATTGGGCTCTGGTAGAATCTTTCTCGCTTGCGCTTCCCATTGTGATGGTTTGGTTGAGAATGCGGGTTTCCGAAGGCTGGCGTAGATCTCACGCTGGAATTGGACAAACGCAGTCGGATCTGGCTCGTATTGCGTCGCAGGCTTTGGGTTTGAAGAGTCGCCCATTTTGGCTCATATAGATTAGAATAATTGATGATGGTGCTACTGATAGTGCGATAGAGAGGGTGTAATGGTGAATATTGCGGCACAACTAGAACGAAGTCAACGACGATCTTACCTCAGCCTGCCGAGGCTGTGAGGCCGCGGAGCCACCGTGACCCGAACATGGTCTGGCATCAAGCCTCATCTAACTCTTCCTGCGAATTGAAAATCTGGGGTAAGCGGAGGTTTCAATTAACATTTATTCTCCGGAGCTGGCAGGCGCAATGCGGCAACTCTACGCATGCGCTTTGGAAAATGAGTGCTTCTGTTTATTTATGTGTACTCATTCCAGTCCCCTTCCGATAAGATTACGTGTAGACTTGATCCAAATATGACGAGCCCCAAACGACCCAAGACAACAAGAAGTATGTCAATTGATTAAGTACAGAGTGTTCACCGCCGCGTCGAGATATGATACCTGGACCACGCCGTTACGAAGAAGGCTACGCGCAAAATATTTGCGGGAACACGCCATCCGATGATCCTCCCAGTTGGATGTTGACCGCCACAGAGATCTATTGGAGCCCAAAAGGCCACATTGCCATGGTGTTGATGGAAGGATGCTTGTCGTCTTCACAGGCTTGCTCTACAGAGCCTCGGTTAACGCTCAAAGAAGCCTGGCGCCAAACGACCCCACCAGCCCCGCAGCCCTCGCCCTCCGGCTTCTCAACATGCGGACCAATTATCATAACGCATTTATGAGAGTAAACAAGGATTTACGAACCTTCTCGCAACATTGACCATATGTGGGCTTGGCTCTATACTTGGGATCCTCGCGTTGCTGTATGGCGATCTACGTTTCATCCGCGGCATCGTGCCCTTCACCACGTCACCTGTAGCAATGACCCATATACACCAGTTACTCCAACTTTAACAACTTGAACGGCTGCGTAAGCTTATGCCAGGCAGAAGTTTATCAGAACATTAGAAAAGTCGCTCGATACATCGCTGCCACGAGGCACACGCTGCCAGTTGCTTGACCGAAATGGACTTCACAGCGAGTAACATCCTCCTCCTCTCTCTAGTGGAAGCTGCTGTTTCGGTCTACTTCTTTCCTCAAGTCTTCCCTAGAAATGCTCTGGCGTCGTTTTATCTTATCTTCGTTATTGTTCAGGGCACAGCTTGGTGCTTCCAGAAACTTATCATATACCCCTTCTTCCTCAGCCCGCTTCGTCATCTACCGCATCCGCCAAAAGGCTTCTACCCATTGATCGGCCATGGACTGATACTCTTTAAGCGACCACCCGGTCAGGCTTTCCTCAATATATTGAAAGAGACGGAGAACGACGGTCTAATACATTTCCGTGGAGTCTTCCACGCTGACCGATTGCTTCTAGCGAGCCCAGCTGCTCTTGCAGACGTGCTCGTACATCGGAGCTATGATTTCGAGAAACCGCCGTGGGCGAGAAACTTCTTGAGGAAATTTCTCGGCGACGGACTGCTCATGACGGAGGGCGACGAGCACAGGCATCAGCGCAAGCACATCATGCCGGCTTTCAGCTTCCGTCATATCAAGGAGTTGTACCCAGTGTTTTGGTCCAAATCGATTGAGCTCTGTCAGGTGGTCAGCCGTGAGCTAGGGGAGAAGCCCGATAAAGTCCTCGACATAGGACACTTTTCGACCATGGTCACCTTGGATATCATTGGACTGGCTGGCCTTGGCCGTGATATTGGTTCCTTGAGGAATAATGATGACGTGCTCATTGAAAACTATGAAGGTATATCGCCCCTGCTACTCCGAATATCCCTCCTAAGCTCTTCTGCTAATCAATCATTGAAGAGATCCTGGAGCCCAGCACTGAAAAGGCTGTGTATTTCGTGTTACACCTTCTATTCCCACCATGGGTTATGGCAGCGCTACCGTGGAAACTCAATGAGAGGGTGAAGATCACGACTGGCAATCTCAAGAGGATCTGCGGAGAATTCGTTGCGAACAAGAAAAGTCGGATGAAGATGGAAAGTGAGGAAGGGAAGGACATCCTAAGCATCATGCTCCGATCGAACAACTTCTCTGACAATGGGCTGGTCGACCAGCTTCTTACGTTTCTCGCAGCAGGGTACAGCACCTATCTACCCGTACTACCTCAATGGAGGTAAACTTGGCACTGACGCTGCATAGTCATGAAACAACGTCCTCAGCTCTGACATGGGCAACCCACCTCCTCTCGACTCACCCCGAAATCCAGACTCGCTTGCGCACGGAGATTCAAGAGAACATCCCGGACCGAAAGGCATTATTGGACCCGAATTTCGATATTGCTGCGCTTCTCGAATCGCTGCCGTACCTAAATGCCGTCTGCAATGAAGTTCTCCGTCTTTTCCCAACTATCCCTGTTTCGGCACGCATGGCCTCTCGTGACACAACTGTCTGCGGCCACTTCATCCCCAAGGGCACACTCCTTCAAGTGGTTCCATGGGCGACAAACCGCGACCCGGCGCTTTGGGGTCCGGACTCTGAGAAGTTCATTCCCGAACGTTGGATCGACGAGTCGGGACGCACCACCATGAACGGCGGAGCTGATAGCAACTACTCGTTCTTGACGTTTCTACATGGACCGCGGAGCTGCATAGGGGAGCGCTTTGCGCGGGCAGAAATGAGGGCACTAGTTGCTGCTTTTGTGGGTGAGTTCAAGATGCAGATGGCGAACCCTGAAGAGAAAGTGCGACCTGGAGGGACAATAACGAGCAAGCCGATTGACGGTATGAGACTGAAGCTAGAGCCAGTAACATGGGGAGAGTGAGACCACTCGCAGACCAAGACCTGAATCTAGATCAATCAAGCGTTGCTCGCGTGGCGACTTACGTGAAGTTATATGCGAGTAATGCACGAACGTTTACGCAATTTTTTCGATACATGTTGCGACCATCGGTGATCTGACTCTTTGAAGCTGATCGGTGTTAGCGTGTTGGCTTGTGGATCTCGCTTCATCCGCGTAAACGGCGTGTCCGTGTAGTATTAATCGAAGCCTTCATGTGTTCGAGTATGAACGCTATGCTCAAAGATTGTACAGGTAGACGATCATGGTGGATGCGTTCACGTGCGGATCGTCGGAGCCGGTGTACGTACAGCAATGCGAAATTCTTGAACACGTGCCCAGGGATGCGCAACTCAAGAACGAACATCACGATAGAAAACCACATTATATGAAGAAGCTGGGCGCTGCCCTCACCAAGTTCCACTAGCGGGAACCACGCATCGGACTAGCGGCTCGCCGACGGAAAACTCGCGGCGAAGATCTTTCAGTACCCCGTCGGTGACCCACCGGATAACTAGCGGGCAACCAGCGCGAAACAGCGCGGAAAACAGCGCGGTCCGACGTGTCGGAAAACTCCTAGCAGATCTTGTTAAAATTGGGGCTCAATAACAAGGGCGGGAACGACGCGCCCTGCAGGTGTCTTTGGGGGCTTCGTCAGCGATTGTTTTGTCAGCTCCACCCAATGTGGCCAATCAACAACAAGCAATGCCGCCCGAAAGTGGCATAGCGCGATTGTTATGAGGATGAAAGGTGTCATTGGCGCAGGGTCGAACGCTCTGGTTGGCTGCTTTGGGGGCTGCTTATGAAAAGATGGTTTTTGTAAGCTAGGGTCTGTTTGACGTTGGTGACGGGAAACATGCGGGAATACCATAGGGGTGGTGTCACAGGAGTCATATGTTGCGTGGTATGAAAAGTATAAAGAGCTAGCAACGATCGTGGGTTCAGGTCTTCATCAGACAACAGCCAACTACTACTTCAGCGAGCACAGCTTCAATTGCAATCAAGCAACTTAAACGTTCAGTCCATCATACCAACTCTTTGAACCACTCCAATAACACAAGTCTATTCGTTCTTTAATCAACCAATTCAAGCAGAATCAAAATGTCCACCTCGTTCGAACGCCCCTCGGCTGCCTCCTCTCGCCAGAACTCTACATCCAGCAACTCTTCCACCCTCAGCAAGACCTGGAAGAAGATCAAGGAGCACCACGATGGCATGAACGATGCCTTCGCAACCTACTACGGCGGTGGTCGTCGTTCCCAAGAAGCTTGGAACACCGCCAGCCCACGAGGCAGCGTTACCTATGTCGAGGGAACTGAACACGAACCGCTGGTCGAGAAGAAGAGTCTGGCGAAGAAGATGCTCGGAAGGGTCAAGGAGCACCACAGGAGTGTTAACGCTGCTTACCGGGCTTACTATGGCTAAGCTGAGGCAATGCCAGAGGCAAGAAGGAAATACGATATGCGGTTTGCTTGACGCGAGATACCAAATGCGATTGTCAGTCTATTTTTCTGTTTGGGGATTTTCTATTCGGAGCGAGGCGTTAGGGCTTGAACAAGTGCAAAGGCAAAGAAGTGCTTTTGGTAGCAGCAAGCACTGGATATTCTGGAAGGCGCATACTATGAATAACATCCTAATTGACTGACTGAACCGTTCCTCGATATGTGAATCAATACTGAACGTATGTTTCATGCTAATCTCCATAACAAAAATTACAAATACGTTTCTCACATGCACACAAAATGCTCCCTTGTCATCAAGGCATAGTATAAGGCGGCTGGGCACCCATACACAATGAATATGGCCTCTTGCTTGCTGCGACGATATCAGAAAATCAAAGAAGTTGCGCCCACTCCATCGTTGGATGTTGGTAGGGAACGCAAAAAAAGAATCTCACGATTTCTCCGCTCCCAGAATCGAACTAGGGACCTTTCGATTACAACAGATATTACAGTCGAACGTGATAAACCAACTACACCAAGCGGAGGAATGCGCGCTGAAGACGCGCTTGGTGACTCTTGTGGACTCGATATTGAAACAGTGGAAATTATAATATATGACTGCTCTAAATGACCAAAAACAGCTAACTGCTCCTTCCCGCTAGTGGCTCGATCTGCCCCACCATTGCATAACCACACTGCGGCGCGGCGCGGCGTCTCGCTACTATAAAACAACGCCGGCCCAAACTCGACGCGCGAGTCTCAAAAGCTACCACTCCGATGTATCGTAGTCAATCCACTGTGTTATAGTTGCAACATTCGCACTCTCAAATGACCACGCATTCCCTTAGCAAATAAATAGGTCACGCTTCAATCTTAATTGTCAAGCTTCCCGCAGTCCGGCCATGCATAGAAGTGTTTCTTGTTCGACTGGAAAGAGAGCCCACGAGCTGTTCCATCGCAAAAGAGGACGATAAAACCCAGGACTCAAGCTATGGTCTGTGCAAGCGACGTGATCCAGGCAATGCACAGACAGTACAGACTAGATCCCCCATTCCGCGAGACTTGCAGGTATCACGGTCGCCTAGACAGGCACATCTTGTTCGTTAATTTTGGGTGGACTGTTGGAAGTCAGGTAATTCTGATTACTTGTTGACGCTAAAGAGGACAGTGTCGGGTGCTTTTTGGGCGACCTGAACCAATCACTCCAGCAAAGAGACCTAACCAGCTTAATGTCGATGACCCTACTGAAGATCAATCTGGGCCTCATGCAAACATGCTCTAGACTTAGCCTTGTTGGAATCCCCAAGCTGTTCATTGGGCCAAAGTTTGCAGTAGAGAATTGCGGGCCGCCGACGCTCTCTGCCCGAATACCGACCAAGGTCCAAAGCGACAAGGAAGTTTCTGCACAAAATGACATCTTATACATCGGAGCTCGAAAAGATCTCACTCATTTCTCGCGTCCTTCTCTTGGTGTTGTCTCGTCGACCTACAATCATTGATGTCCAAGGCTTATCTCAACCCGGGTTGAGACGAAGCTATCTCTTCCAACATATCTTAGCCTTGTCGCGGTCTTCGGCTGCGCTACGTCCTGAAGTGAAGCTTACAAAAGTAAGTTGCAGCCTGGTTCGTAGTTAGACCGCTGGGTACGTGTAATTGTTCATGCCAATAGACGAATTTCTTGGAATGTTCTTGCTTAGATACGTTATTGCCATTAGTGTGTGTAGTGATGAGAGCCTTGTACATTTAGCAAGAGGCCTATGCAAGCGGCTTCAACCTGGTCCATTTCTAGTGGTATTCTAAAGCATAAGAACAACGAAGATGAGAGATGAAAGACAAGTGGACACCGCCATAACACCATATGCATGACTAGAACCTCAGAAACAACCCATCAAAGGGAGCGAGTGAATAGCTGCCGTTTTCTATCTCCATGTGGTCCTCTCCCATCTCCCGCTCTCAAGAAGCCAGCCAAGCGGATCTCTTGAATGTCATCGCTCCATAGGCGCCAGCAGCTTTAACAGCTGCACCCCCCACTTGGCCTAGTCGGATTCCCACAGCTGGGGTTATTGTCGTGCCTGTCAACGCAATCCGAATCTTTCGAGCAAGTAACCCAGTCGCCATTTCCACCGTTGAAAGCCAGCCAGCACCATCCTCCAGGCGAACTCTGCTCGCACTTCTGCCAGCAGTAGCCTTTCTCGCAGCCATACTGGCGCCATGCACAACCGCGTTTATGCAGTTCGGAACGGGCGTGGAGAGCGGGTGCCTCGTTGGCATCCGGGGCCTGGACGGATACTGCGGACACCGCCAGGACGTCCAGGAGAATGAGGAGGGTCGTGGAAAGCTTCATTGTGGTTCTTTATCAGGTGTCAGTCGTAAGTTACTCTAAGGGCCAGTCGAGGTGAAGTTTGGCAGCGGGAAGCATACGTTTGGGAAATACGTGTTCTTGATGGAGGTAAAGGAGCAGTCCGAGTCAATAGTGACTGTTGAAGGTATGCGCGGTAGCTTGGGGGCTCTTGTGCTGTTGTTGCTCCATCACTCCGAGCTCTCTCTAACTTATATACCTTAAGCCTTCATTGCGAAAGTGGACCTCCGTCGCTGGTCTTCCTCCGTGAGAAAACAACTTTCCGTCCTATTCCTCAATCTCAATTGCCCCTTGGGGCAAGCAGGTGGAGCATTTGGGAGCCGAGTTCGGCATGTCTTGGCAAGCTGAGCTGGATCAGCCTCACTCTCGTATGATCTTATGTAATCTGTACAATTCTACGTCGCTCTCTTCATCTCTCTTCCTTCATTGCATTTGGAGGATCCTCACCGTATGACCGATGCTCGCTCATACGATGGCGTGACCCATCATCAATGTAGATTGAGTGGTATCGAGCCCTATCAGCTTGTTGGTGGTCAGTAATGTCGGTATGGCAACGAGCAGCTAATGTATCTCTAGACTAGTCGCGAGAAGGTTCCTGACGATCCACGCTGGGCGAAGCGCTGACGAGACTAGTATCATGCGCATGGGCTCGGAAATGCCCAGAGGACGGTTGATGCTGGACGACGGTCTCAAAGGCCCTCCGAATGTACCTATTGCTCAATCGCAATAGGAGCGGCATAGTAGAGGAGCGGCATAGTAGAGGAGCGGCATAGTAGAGGAGCGGCATAGTAGAGGAGCGGCATAGTAGAGGAGCGGCATAGTA